TCCTCTTCCTCTTCCTCTTCCTCTTCCTCTTCCTCTTCCTCTTCCTCTTCCTCTTCCTCTTCCTCTTCCTCTTCCTCTTCCTCTTCCTCTTCCTCCTCCTCCTTGGCGTCAGTTCTTGACACTGTTTTCCTTCCCACGATCTCACCCACAAAAATCCAAAATCCAAAATCCAAAAAAACAACACTCAAAAATGGCAAAAACTTAACACAGAACAGTCAACCTCTGGTCTGTGATAAGCGAAACTCACCCCTTTGGGGGTTGGTTTTTCTCGGCCGGTTATACTACGAAATTCTATACAGTTGAAGTCGAATCGGGGTCCTGCTGCCTGCTAACCCGTTATTGCTAGTTCGACCTGACAGGACCTAGATTATGGAGGTGGAGGAGGAGGTTCGAGTCGAAGCCCTGATGCCTGCTAACCCGGTGTTAGTTCGACCTGACAGGGCCTGGACTGGGTGTGGAGGAGGAATCGATCGGCCTCGGTATTCGCCCTAGTCGTGGTAGGGGGTCTTTGTGTGACAGGAATTGAGCGCAATAAAAATATAAAGGTAACAGACAATTCTGTGGTGGGTCCATGAGATGGTGTTTAGACCAGGCACGCGTGGTGTGTGCGCGAGGCTGAGGTTGTATACAGGGAGCGCCCCATCCGTATCCATCTTGCCGTGTCTTCTCCCAGTGTCACCGACTTTTTACCTTCCACCCCAGCATCGTTCGTGAGCTACTTACATTCTTCTCCCTCTTAGTCTATACAAGACTGTGTGAGGGTCGCGATGTTCCCCTTAGTCGAGAATAGAACAGCCAATCAACCGAAAGCAGCAGCCTTGAGCTCTGCATCGCAGCCGCACCAACTTGCATCTGAGCCTTTGGCCATGATGGAAGAGACTTTGACCAAGCCACCCTCTCCTGGTCCTCCAGATGCGACTGTTGTCGAGTCCGACTGTCGCAGCGTTCCACTAGATACACGCAAGCGGCTTTACCGTCCCCTTCGCCAATGGGACACGCATTCTGAGAATTCACCCCGACGAAGAGTTGGGCTCGCCAGTGACCTGTGAGCTACTGGAATCCGACCTCATAGCCCACCTGGGTGTTGAGTGATGCGATGAGGACGAGATCGTTCAATACCACGCACTTTCATACTCGTGGGGCTATCCGCCATTCACACGTTCGGTAATTTGCAACGGAATACGCTTCCCAGTATCAGAGATACTGTGCGATGCTCTCCGTTATCTTCGGCAACCACATGAAGTTCGATACCTATGGACGGATGCCTGCTGTATCGACCAAGCAAACCCCGAGGAGAAAGCTAAGCAGCTCAGAATAATGTTCCTCAATTTTGCCAAGGCCCATATGGTGGTGGCGTGGTTGGGCACACCGACCGACGAAGACGACTTCCTCTTCCAATACATGTCGCGGAACTTCAGTGGTTCTCGCGATGGCAAAAGCAAGGCAACCGATGAGAATCTCACGGGTCCCTTCAGAGCGCAAGCTGCCGCAATGAAACTGATCACCACCAAGGCCTTCTTCCAACCCTCCTGGACTAGGGTCGAGTACTATGCCGCCCGAACCGGATGATAGCGAGGGCTTCCCCCCCAATCGACTACACCAAGCCGGTCTCTCTAGTGTTTCAGGACCTTTTGAAGCAGACCATTAACCTTGAGCGGACACTAGAATGTCTTTGCCTTCTTCAAGATAGAAGTGCCAACGGTGCGGATTTGCCGTCCTCGACGTTCCCCGATATAAAATAGGCAAGGTCGTCCGGCCGCGCCTCGTGGAGTCTGCTCCAAGGTAAGATTTCATTGATCATGGCATTCTTGTCTGCCATGGAAGGCGGCTGGCGAGGATCGGCGCAGAGAGTAATTTTTCGATGCCGTGGCGCGAGATCTGCTCTCGAACGGTGCTACCGCATCAGCAGCCCCACGGTCTTAGCCGTAGCGGGGGATTGCTATTTGGGCTTCGGTACGGACGGTTCACCTTTTCGGGCCGGGCGTTGACAGTGCAATACATGTACTATTGGGAAGAAAAGGAAGGGCAAGGTGAATCTGTACGTAAATATTGCTTTTGGTCTGGGCGCTACCCGGCTGAGCCTAGTAGCCGCAGCTTTTCCCTACCGAACGATTTCTCCTGGTCCAGGCGAGACCATGGAACTGGCCACATAATCACCTCCCAAACGAGCGGACAACAGGGTTCCCCGACTGACTGACAGTCTTGGGGTCAATGGGTGCTCGGGATCTCTCAAGGTTCAGCGGAACCACCAATTCACACTCGCCGTTACGCCTCCCCCCACCCCCTTGACACTATGCCACCACCCCTTGGGCGTGAAGAGTGCATCGCCGAGTCCTAACGTCGTCTGCAAGCCATGGGTCCGGACAAGGCCGCTGTAGATGCTCGACGGATTCCAGATGGCGTCGTGGAGCGCGGCTTTCTGCGGTCCGTACATCATCTCTTCGCCTCTGATGGTTGTTGAGAACGGAGTTGGGGACGAAGGAGACATGGTTGGAGACGAAGTTGTGGTGGTGACGACGTCGTGAAACAATGCGTCGCCGATGTCCGGAGGTAAGAGGCGGATGGTCTTTTGGCCGGCGAGCTGGATGAATAGGTTCGGATTCGGGTCGCGGTGCAGCGGCGTGTATGTCGGGGGGCGGCCCAGCCAGAGAGAGGATGTGTAGATGTCGCCTTTTATGGCGCTGCGGGAAGAGGAAGTGGAAGAAGGGTGGAGAAGTGCGGGAACAAACACATCGGCCTGCATTGAAGCCGGGAGAGAGAGGAGATCGCATTGCGCGAGGTAGATTGACACATCCTCCTTGGCCACTTGGGAAGAGTCGGCAGAGGTTCCTGTTGTTGTTGACTTGGAGAGATATGCGATCAGGATCTTCAAGGGGGCTTCGATGCGCTCGAATCTCTCCTCGCTCTGGCCCAGAGTGCTGCTGATACGAGTTCCAGCAAGATGATGAAGAGCAGAAGGAGAAGTCGAAGCACCTCTAGTGGTTGTTATCTCCAATGGCACAAAGGTAGATTCATGCTCGGACCAGAATGAAGCGCGCAGTTCAGACGAGCGAGGGACGTTGATCGTCCTCCCATCATCGTTGCTGAAAAGATCAAAGCCCGGGTCATCGTCGTGGACGAACCATTTCGCGCACGCGGCGGGAAGATGCTCCCTTGAGCGAGGGAGGCGAGCAGGGAGATTCTGCCTGTAGGCCTGTTCAAACACGGTTGAGTCCCACGAGGGCAGGATAGGTACCTCCTGAATGCCTTTGGTGGAAGTCCCGGATCGACGATGAAGCCCTATGAGGGAAGTTGGTAAAGGTTTGTGTCGTCTAAGAGCTGAGAAGCCCCTTGTCCCAAGGGCGCGACATGGCATCTGTTGTCCCTCTCTTTTCGGGCTTCGAATCGCCCTTCGTATTGTGGCTCGTGTGGTCAAGGATGTGGGTTGGATATACGCAGTAGGACGGAATACGTACCTCGTACCAACCAAGACCTACCTATGTATTGCGTGGACCCAGCAAGCCACTAATCAGAGCTGCTCGGCGTAGGTCGTTCGGCGTTAGATGGCGCGAGATGCGATATATACGAGGTATTGGGTTGGCTGCCTGACAGTGGATGAACCCCTCGCAGCGCTGTACTTGGTAGTAATATCTAATTACATATTATAGTAGTGCATCTCATCCTCTCTCACCTACACCACCCACCACTCACCACTCACCACTCACCACTCGCACCTCACCCCTCCTTGGTGTCCTGCTGAGCAGTGAGTGAGTGACGGCTTCCTTTTGGGCCATTCTTTCGATTTCTCTACGTCTTCTCTCTGGATCCTCCTCCTGCGTCCTATCTGAACTATTCTATTGTCCTGCAACATGACGGCCCGCGTCGACCGCATTCGCCATGGCGGCCCTGCCAACAAGTCTGGATACACATTCTACCCCGTCCTCATCATCGGGGCCGGCGAGTCTGGCATTGCAATGGGCTGCAGGCTACGACAGGGGCTCGGGTTCGATCAGTTCCGCATCTTTGAGCGCAGGTCTGCGCTGGGGGGGACATGGCATACCAACCAGTATCCTGGCATTGCTTGCGACGTGTATGTTTGTCTCCCCCTCCCAAAAGATCTATCCAATTCTGACATGAGGCGCGCAAAAACAGCCCGGCCATCATGTACTCGTTTTCCTTCGCCCAGAATCCCCACTGGACATCGCTGTTGCCTTCCGGACCCGAGATCATCCAATACCTCTACGACGTGTGCGAGAAGTTCGAGATCCTGGACAAGATCCAATTCGACACGTCGGTCAGGGGATTGCGTTGGCTGGACGACGTCGAGGAGTGGGAAGTCCTGCTCGACCACCTCGCGCCGGGCATAGGCGACTTGTCGACCCGTGAAAGGGAGGCGCTGGAGAAAGAGAACGGACCAAACTCAAAGACGGTCTTGCGCACAGAGATTGTCCGTGCAAAGGTCGTCTGCAGCGCGGTTGGCGGCCTGGTCGAGCCGAAACCACCCCTCGAAGTCCCCGGCATTGACACCTTCGAGGGCGAAATCGTCCACACGGCGCGCTGGAAACCCGACCTGGATGTCAGGGGCAAAGACGTGATTGTCATCGGCACCGGCTGTTCGGCGGGGCAAGTCGTGCCTCAACTCGTCAAGCCCGAATACGGCGCCAAACACATCACTCAGCTGATGCGCTCACCCCCCTGGGCAGTGCAATTCCTTCCTCCCGCTGCCAAAGAGTTTTGGAAGAAATGGATCCCCCTCCTGTCCACGCATGTCCCGGGCTTCCAAAACGGACTGCGCAAGTTGATGTTCGCCATGAGCGAGCTTGAATTCGTCGAACTGTTCACGCCCAGCGAAGCCGCCAGGCAGAGACGGAAGAAGAAGGCCGCAGAGCTCCTGGCATACCTCCACAAGACCGTCCCGGAGGAGTATCACGAGATCATGACGCCGGACTACGAAGTATTTTGCAAGAGACGAGTCGTGGACGAAGGGTGGTATCAATCCCTATCCCTGCCGAACGTCGAAATCACCACGCTTCCTTTAACGTCCATCCAGCCACGCTCGGTGACTCTGGGACCGGGTCGACTGTACCCGCCCATGTCCAAGACCGATTCCAAGGCACCGACCGAACAGCGCACGGTGCCAGCGGACGTGATCATCATGGCCAACGGCTACGAGACAAACCAGTGGCTCCACCCCTTGGACGTCACGGGCCGCAACGGCCGGTCTCTGTACAAGACGTGGGACGAACGGGGCGGCGCACAAGCATACCTGGGCACCGCGATGGACGGGTTTCCCAACTTCTTCATGATCTTCGGCCCCAACACGGCGACGGGCCACAGCTCAGTGATCCTGGCGAGCGAGAACATGGTCAACTATGCGCTGAAGTTCATCGGGCCTATCCTCAAGGGTGACGTCGAAACGGCGGAGGTGAAAGAGAGCGCCGAGCGCAAATGGACCGCCGACCTACAGCGCGAACTCCAAAAGAGCGTCTTCATGTCCGGCGGCTGCAGGAACTGGTACACCGACGCCGCCTCCAACTGGAACGCCACCGTCTACCCGCGCACACAGGTCGACTTCACCATCCGCTGCATGTTCCCCGTCTGGCGCCACTGGGACCTCAAGTACACGCCCAAAGGGACCGCTAAGCTGGCCGCCGCGCGCGCCCTGCGGGTTTTTGGTCTCGTCGGCCTGCTTTGGAGCATCGTCTTCGTCAGGAAGCACGGCTTGCAGAAAACCCGCCTCATCCTCGCCGAGGCGCTCAAGAGGGGTCTGGAAGGGATCCGGGGCTTGGTGTTTTAATTTGACAAGGCTAGATCGGGAGCTTCGTAGATCGGGAGCTAGGTATGTATATAGATAAAATAGATGAGAGATAATATCCACATAGGCACGTGCCTAGATATGTATGCATGTATGAGGTATGTTTACAAGTCCAACTCACGAGTGCTCGTCGCACATCTCGTCACTGATGTTCATGTTGCATCATGGCAGTCAAACGCAATACGTCGAGACGTGTAGCACGCCTTTTATCTATCTCTATGTACAGACCCCATTTGAGGCTCGTGTCAACGGCCCAGACCCTCGCATACAAGAAAATAATACAGTCCGTGTTCGCTCAAGCTCCAACGCTCTAACCAGATCCAATATCAGGTGAACCCCGCTTTCTTTGAAGGATCAAACAGCACTCCGACGATCTCGTCCAGAATCGTAAAGACAAGGTGTTGATTCAGTCGCGCGTTGTTCATGGTGGCCGTGATTCTTCTGGCAGCAGCTTGCGCGTTGGCCCTTCCCACCACATTGCCAGCTAGGTCAGGGATCAGCGTGGCCAACATAAGTGCTGCCTCCGACTTCGACTTCTTCTTCTCCGCAGCTGATCGTGGTTTTGCCTCTCTCATCTTACCACCGCCGGGCCACATGGTCTCCTTGATCATGTCAACGTACTTGAGGAGTGGCTCCTCTTGCACCAAACCCGTGAATATTTCGCGAATCTTGCGTTCAATGGTTCCTCCGAGCAGTTGGTGGAGGACCACAATCACGGCGCGACCACGTAGCCAATTGTTTCCTCGATTCAGCTCAAACGTTTCCAGGAAAATGTCACAAATTGGCTTCACAAAGGGTTCCAGTTCTTTGTCCTCAAAAGCCGCCAACTCGGCCTCAGCCTCGGCCACCGGACCAGGCTCCAGAGGAACAATATCTGCCTGATTCATTCCCAACTGGTTCGTAGCAGCCGAGATCAGATTCTGCCCCGCCACAGACAGTTGATCCAGGACCGACACATTTCCCAGGAACTCATCCATGCCCTCGGTGACAGAATTGTAAATCCGGGTCACGATATCCTGTGCATTGGACTCCTTACTCGTGTCCTGCTGCGACTTGATGCTCGATTGCGAGAGGAAGGAGCGTAACTCTCTGCTTCGACATACGTCTGGCATCTGGAGCAGTTGTTGCAAATAATGCTCGAGCGCGAGACGCCGGTTCTGGAGAAATTGTTTTTGAAGTTTCATTACAACCCTCCTCCTGGGAAACTCGAGATTCCTCGTTGAAGGGTATCTGCGTCGTAGTCGTTGATGTAATTCATGGAATTCAGAATATCGTCGAGGAATCGCCCACATTGCGGCCGGCATTTGGTCACCAGCCTGCCTCTGAACTTCAATAACGTACAAGGCAAATTCTCGCCCATCGTCTTCTTTCCCCACGACAACAGACTTGATAGAGATACTGGATCGACCATACAAACTGTTGTCGCTTTCTTGGACAATATACTGCTGACGCTGAAGTTCCTTCCGGCGAATTTCCCTCTGGAGACTCGACTTGGATTTGTTCAGAATTCGCAGCTCCGCGACATTATTTGTTAGCTCAGCCTTGCGAGTCAATGTGTCCACCACCGATTCCTGGGCCACCAGGCGTTCTATATCATTATTAAGAGCTGTAATCGCCTCCGCAAGGCCGAGATCTCCTGGCGCAGCTTCATGAATCTCGTCTTCATCTACATGATCAACTTTGCTTTCGTCATTGTCGACATATTCATCTTCAATGAACTTTTCTTCGTCAGGAAAAAGGTCATTGTCCGTAAACACGCCGATACGAGACGAAGTGTTGACAAGCCCCAACGTTGCCAGGCTGGGTTTGGGTCTGTTTGCCTGTTCGGCACTGGGAATGTCGAGAGAGCTGCGCGGCGACTCGATGTTCTTCGAAGACTTGGACGCTGACACGGGGGAGCCAAACAGTGTGTCGTCGTCGTAGCCCATGGTCTCGTCCATCGGGCTATCTGTCATGATGTTGTTCATGGCTGCCTCCATGTTCTCAATGACCTGGCGCTGATCTATGGAATCACCATTCAAGGACTCGTGTCCGAGGCTGTGGGTGGAATGTGCCAATGGATCAGTGTCATAACCATCGTCGAACAGTGGCGTTGATCCCCCAGATCGTTTGGCAAAATCTCCATCGTCAAACAACTTTGAAGAGGCCAAGCTTCGAACATCTGACGAAGACACCGCAGCCCGCCTAAGATCTTTGTTCCGTGTAACAAGTTGTGAACTGGTTCGGGTCATGGGAGGAGCCTGGGACAGGGATTTGGTAGCGTCGGCTCCAACCTGCCCGTTCCCCTCAGCGAGGTTTCCTGTACTCTGCAACCGAGGGCGTGCTGCGGCTGCTTCGGCAGAAGCTAGAAATTTGTAGTAAAGATCGGATTTTCGAAAATTCGGGAGGTGCCGAGTTTCTAATTCTTCCAAGACGGCAGACTGAGCCGCCAGAATTGCAGTTCTCGCAGCTCGATATTGTTGAGGGGACGCTTTCCGTCCAGCGGCCAAGAATGCTTTGATAGCGTCCTTGGACTCCTGTGGGATTTTCAATTCTTCCTTCACCATGTACTTTTCGCTAATTTGAGCGATGTCCATACGATCTGCATCGGTCCAAGTTTGTTGGATACCTGGGTTCACCTCATCCCCAAAATCGTCCTCGAGGGGACTTCGGAAGCCGTCCACGACCACCCAAAACTGGACCAGAGACATACGATTCTGACGATCCATATACTCCATGAAATACGACAGCCCCGAGGCGGTATGCATGATCTCCACCATGGTCCACTCACGGGGCTTCGAAGCTGGAGTGGGCCGCGAGTCAAGCTGCGGTGTTGCTGCGTGCGGGACGGGCCCAGTCTGAGTGAGCTTCGCTATCTTTTGGTCCAGTACGCGTTTGGCCATTTCCAGCCTCCGCAGATAGACAGGATCTTGACCTTCGACCAGGCTCTCGCGCTGAATCTGGCTGGCGACGGAGCTTCGAAACCGCCGAGCATCCGACAGGTTCTTGGTTTTGCGAATGGCTCTAACAAATCGCTCAAAGGCACGTTCGCTGTCGTTGGGTGCTAAACGGGGCAACTCTTGGCCGGTCTTGCTTCTCGGGACTGGAGATGCGTGCTGGTCCAGCGCCTCCCTCATTCGGCGGACTGTCTTTCGATCTTGTAAAGCGGTGCGTCCGTAGGCTTCGATGATCTGATTCCACGTGTCCGGATCAGAAAGCAACTGCATGATTGGAAACAAAACGGCGCCAGCGACAATTTCCTTCACGAGCACGAGGGTGGCGCGACTCCCCATCATGCTGGAAGATAGAAGATCCGGCAGGATGCGAACCAGGGTTTTTCGGAGGTGGTCTTGCTGGACCGTCTTTGTGTCCGAGAAGGCAAGGGCAGCAGCAGGATGCAGCTTACCCTCCTTGTATTTGGCTGCAATGGCCAATTCCAGCTCCTCCGATTCGGTGACATTGCGATTCAAGCTGCGGCCTCGGACAGCTCGTTCAGCCTGATCAAAGTCGCGTAGATGTGCAGTGATCAAGGGCACAATCTTGGACACGATGACATTGACCATGTCCTCGCCGAGGATCCGGTCTTTGATCTCCACCAATGCAGCGCGAATATTCCTGTCCACCTCATTGACAAAAACCGGGCTCTTGGAGATGTTCTGGTACCAGGAGGAAACGAAGTCGCGGAGGGCAAGACCAATCAAAGTATCGAGGGCTTGGGAGACGACAAAGGATTGGTCATAGAGTTGGAGGGGTTGGTATTGTTGAGAGACTTGCAGGACTGAAACTTCGGAGTCCCACTTCCCGGGGAGAAGGAAGGCAGGGGAGGAATTCGGAGGCGAGGCCAGCGTCTGGTATGTAGCGCGCGATCTAGAGACCCCCAATGTTGCTGCCAGCAGGCTCACGAGAGTGAGAAGGGAGCCCAACGAAAAAGCGTATCCTAGGAAGCGCAGGACGGGAAGGGCGCGGACTGCAAGACCCCAAGCGATGAAGGCTGCAATGGCGGCGGACAAGACATGTCGATGGGTGAGGGTGAGGGTGAGGTTCATTCTCGATCTCGAGGTCGATTCATGTTTGAGCGATCATCGGTATGGCTGCGCAGCCAGCCCGGTGGGGGAGGAAGATGGCAACCTGACATCTACACCGCGGCACGGGTCAAGAGGGAGGTGGGACCAGAGAGGACATGGTGACTCGTGAGGATGCTTTTGCTGGTGCAGATCAAGTTCGTAGTGAGCGAGCGGGAAACCTGGAGAGGAGGCCAGAGCATTGACTTGAGCTTGACCGACACGGCAGGAGAAAATCAATATACGAGGTGTGCAAGGTTGTTGCAAGAGCACAAGTGGCAGTATGTGCCCAACTAGCGCAGGCGGCGCAGTTGGCGCAGTTGGCGCAGGCAGCTCGGCAGGTGGAATTTGTGGAAATGGCCGTCGTCACACCTTCCCAGTTGGCTTTCTCTCAATGTCTGCTGCTCTTCACCGTCTGCGGCGTCTGCACCACACAATGCACCATCTGCAGCATCCAACCCGCCTAATGCATGATCCGATCTCCTGCGCTTCTACTGGTCGCACTCCCACGCCCTGCCGCTTCTTCGGATCAGTTCTCATTGCTAACAGAGTGTGGTGAGAGGAATCCTTCTTGTCGTTGCTTCTGCCATATCCCCAGGTGCTGCACAGGTGCCGCCAACCAAAATCTGCACGGAGCAATGCTTCACTCCTTCCGCGACGGATGGGATTCCCGAGATCCAAAGAACTCTCCAGACTTTGCCTCGCTTACTCTTACCATTATTCACCCTGGCACACACGCTTGAGCCCGTGCCCGAGGCTGTTGATCCGCTCTCCGCGTCCCCGGCACGGGCGTTCAGAACCCACAATGAGTGTGACCTGCCCCAGTTGGCTATTGTTGCAACCAGATGCCTGAGTCGCTGTGGCAAGATTGCCAGTGCCAAGATGCTGCTACATACGGACGGTCAAATCTGGAGAGATTCATCCAATGCCCTCCGTGATCAAAGTCATCGACTGCAACTGCGATGCTCCAGGGGTTGCATTGGACTGTGTGATTTCGAATAGCTGCAGGCGTGCCCGGGCGAAAGCACAAAAAGGACATGGAAACCTGATGTTGGTGATCGTGTATGGGCGCCTTCCCGTTCTGGACGGTCATTCTCCTACCCGGGCAGCTGGCGGCAGAAATAAGACCTTGGGAGGTCAACGCTAACCATGCATGGAGGGCTTTCGTTTTTGCACACATTGCTCCCGGCCTCGTATTCAGCTCTCCTCATCCGGCACCTCCAGGGAGGGTCGCGAAGCCTCTCCACCGAGGAAGAGCATTGTACGGTAATAGCACAAGACAGCTGGATAGTTTTTGCACCCACCGTGGTCTGGTTGCCTTGCCGGCATCAGACGGACTCCACATGCGACTTCGTCAATTTAACAAGCATGGATAAGGTTGAATCGCTCCTATGCGAGTACGCGCGGCTGAGACAGCTGGACGGCTTGAATTGCAGATAAGCCAAGCAAGGCGCCGACGATAGCTCTCCCCTGCATGCACCTCAGGTCGAAGCAGTGATAGATGAGAAGCAAGTCTCATTGTTACAAAAGGGGCCTGTTCACGAGGTCAGCGACACGGCGAGCACGGGTGGTACAAGTTCAATCGGAGGCAACGAGTGGTGGACATAGCGCCTAAATTCTCCAGATCGACTTTATCCACACCAAGCTAGGCACCGCCACACGGTCCAGAAGCAACCATTTTAGGTACTGGGGAGGACGCCACAATGCCCCCTCCATCCGCCCTCCCACCCGTGGCAGCAGTGCTGGTTCCTGCGATTTGGGGAGACTTGCGAGGGGGCAGAGAGCGGATAAGTCGTCCCAAGTCGTCCTTACAAAGTAGGTCTCGCTCCGCGTGGGTGGACGGAACCTTTGTCGACCTTGAAGCTTAATGGCTGTTCAGACCTCTTCGCAACTTCGGATTCCGTCTCCGTACCTCATACCACAAAGCATTATCTGGTGGCGTTGATTCGTCTCTCTCCATGCCGATATCCTCGTCATTGACTCTTGATCCAACCACACCAGAGTCTTGGGAGTGCGGGCGCCGAAATGCTTTCAAGCCTGGCCGGCATTCTCCACGGGCACAGGTCACCTTCGGGGCAGTTCAAGGCGGTCATCCGAAAGCCATCGCTTACCCATGACCGCCTGTCTGAGACTTCCGTTAATTGCCTTCCGGGCGTTTCCCTCCCAAAGTGGTCATGAAAAAAATCTCGAGTATGCGAGTGCCATCATCAGAGCGGTGAACGGACCCCGACAAACTATTGGCGAGGACGGGCCTACATCCCAGTCACCTAAGCTGCGCGGGTTTGCGTCTTATGCCAGGAAACTCATTCTTTCCGTTTCAATAGGACTTGCTTGCATGTACGTAGTAGAAACTGCAACACAGCGCCACCGAAGGATGACATGGTCACTGGTCTGGACAAGTGGGCCGGCACAGTCGACAGACGATCAAAAAGCAGTATTACTTATGACACACTGGTGTTGCCAGCCACAGCACCCAGGCTCTACAGCATGGCTGGAAGGTCTCTCCAGCGGGAGGAAAACTGGGCAGAGCCCTCGAATAGCACTTTTCGCTTCTGCGTGCGAGGTCGGCGCACAATGGCTCAATGCCGAAAGGTTCTCGACCCTGAAGTCGACCCCATCAAATTCAGGAAATGTTTCCAAACAGGCTGTGAGTTTTATAAAAACTTGAACGGCCTACTCCGTGCTATGGCATCTGATCTGGTCCACCTGGCAGGACAGCAAAGCACCATCCCCGAGGATTTGCGCCATCTGTCATTTGTGGGGATCCACAACACCACAGGGGGATTCTTCCACCCTCCAGCAGCCGTGCGTCCCGCTTTCGGCGTCGACTCGCAGGGGGGACGGCTTGGTCAGAGATTGCAACCCTCCAAAAGCAGGCGATCGCTTTGAGAAATCAGCAGGCTTTCCTTCTTCATGTTGAAATTGTACAAGAGAGTCAAATCGAAAAAGAAGGGACAGACTCACACCCACACGCACCAAGAGTCGGAATTGTGCCTTATGGGTGCCATGCGGGACAGATTCACCAGGCTTGGCTTGAGGACTTTTTAGCCCACTAGCCTCAGGCCTAAGAAACCCTAGGACGGCTAGCAAGGCCCCTGGTCAGAGAAAACCACCCTGGAAACGCGGAACTGCAGGCTCCCCCTTCCGGGGAATCCAGCTTCCCCGTCGAACGGTGCAAACAGCCCCCCAGCTTTGAATGCCCACCACACGTCCAATCCTGGACAGTTTGCAACATGCTCAATGGACCAGCGCAAAACAATATTAACACAAGCTTGCCGTTCGTTTAGAGCATGGGGGTTGGGAAACTGGCTTTGGGAAGGTGGTCACTGCCCTCCCTGCAACCCTGTGCTCTGAGAGCGGGCCCCCCGTCCTTACTGGGTACCCCGTCAAAGAAGCCAGAGCACTGGTTGTTGGGGCGAGGTGCCCGGCAGCCCGTCAAGACCTTCGCGTTCCGCACTCCCCTTCTCCCCTGCTCCCCATGTGCTCTTCCTTGGGCATGAAATCTTTTGGACGGCGCTAGTCTTGCCTGAGTTAGGCGGTGCAACCGAACTTGAACCACCCTCGATGCCTGAACATCGTTGACGAAAGAACCTTTTGGGGCTTGTCTCACTGGGTCCATGGGCTCAAACCCGTTCTTTCGAAATCTCAAACTCCCCCTCTCCTGTTCCTCTTTGGCCCCTCTGACCGCCGCGTTATCAGAAAACTCCCTTCGACAATAATTGCAGCTTCGAACTCCCGAGGTCTTGCGGAAACAGGCTGCCGCGCTGCTATTCTCGGCTAATATATCATTTTACCATGTCGCTCATCACAGAATCACTCGTCTGGGAAATGTGACAAACGGTCAACGATGAGCCTTTCCGTGCACAGCTAGGGCGGGTAATCCTGAACCATCTGCCCCATGGCATGGCCCATGCCCTCTGAGACCCCGGCCGCGACTATCCCACTCTCTGACCACTACTGTTGCTATCTTGTTCTTATCCAACACGACTCGTCTCTTCTCCTCCCACAAAATCCACACACCCTTTTCATCATGCATGCAGCAGTTAGTGCTCGATGTCAAGCAGACGGCTCGCTTGCGGCCTGCTGCCCTCCACCATTGGCCGCTTCGCCTGTTCGTCCTGGCCTTCGAGCGACTGCTCACACGCACCTCCCTTCTCCGTGCCTGCACCAGCACCGCGCCGCCGATCTGCAAGCCGGACCTCCACCGCCTGTGTCGCTCAGCTGACCCAAGATCGTGCTGCACCTCTCGAGTCGTGTGGTCGTCCTTTTCCTCTGCCCCTGCTTCCTTACTGCTCCTGGACGGGTTGGGAGCGCCGGCGCGAGCCCACTCGCCGCATTCGATGCATCAATAATGCGTTCCAAACCGTATCGACTGCATCGGTGGACCCTGGGATGACTCCTCAAAGGCCAACGGGCATTGACGAGCGAGGCTGACTGCCTTCGCGTCGGCAGAGTGGCGAGGTGACACAGCGCCAGGGGACCGACGCCCTGCCCTTGCCCGAGCTGTCGCTCATCTCTGTCAATCGCTCGCCTTGCAGGCTTGCTAACTAGTCCACCGCATTTGAGATATCCAGATTCATGCCCGGCTTGGCTGTCTATTTCTTTGCCTGCCTTCGTCAATGCGGTCTCGTCAAGGTCCGTCTGCCCAGGGAGTTTCCAGTCCCGCCCTCTGGCGAGCTCAGACATCACGCACCTCTCTCAAACGGGAAACGCTAGCCCGATAATTAGGGGAAAGAAATAGACAAGGCCACATGGGTCGAGGTGCAGAGGCGCAAAGCGGGCACGTAAGTTTAACCATCCCATTCCCCACCGCGATCACAGAGCATCCGGGCCTTTGCGCAGAAAGGCAACCAATTCCTCATCCTTCATCTACACCGGACTATCCTCTTACCTCTGCTCTGGTTCTTCTAGGATGTCTTCGTCTATTTAGTTCCCTTCGTCTCTGTTTCTCTCCGGCTGGGCTAGTCAATTGCAGTATGGCCGTTGAATGAGCCTTTCTGTCACTCTGGGGTTGGAGTCTTACGTTTGCGCAACCAACAGCCTGCCTGCATCTGATTGGCCTGTCCACCACTCTGACCGACTGAACAGGTTTGCTTTCTGTTTATATTAACAGGGCGGCTACCAGTGGAAAGCTCTGTCCTTCCCGACTTCACCTGAAATTCATCTGAACTTGACCTGTCTGGAGCTTGTCGTGAACGGGGTGCTTTCACAACCTGTTTGTTTAGCACAGAGACATTTCACTTTTCACCATCACCATCAGGTATATATATATATATATCTCTCTCAATTCACTGTTGGATGGTGACTGCTCCTGTCTCGAGCGACTCGCCTGGTTTTTGCCTTCCGCTACGGTATTCACTCACCTTGAGGCAGTGACGCTTCGAGGGCCCCATATAAAGACCCTCCAGCCATGCTCGTTCTCCAGCATAATGCCATCAGACCAGCCTGGCGAAACCCCATAAGCAACAAGAACCCCTTGTCGGTCAACCTCAGTCCTGTTTTCCCAAGGCGAGCCTGCCCCGGTAATCATCATTCTCAAGAACTAGCACCATCATGGCTGATTCCAATCAAGAACCCGATCCCTTCACAAACGACACAATGTCAGACTTCGCGAACGGCTCCAGTCCGGACAGTCCGTTTCCATCTTCAGCCGCAACCTCCAACCCATCCGAGAACAACACAGATCTTGACCCATCCGACGACCTTCATACGAATGGATCAGCCATTACCCCCAACGGCATCGCTCGATCTATCAGCCCAGGAGTTGATGCAGCCCTCGAGCCCTATGACCACCCAGGTTCAGACCACGTCATTCAGTTGTCTAGCATCGAGCATTGCATGCCTCGATCGTACATTCGTATCTGTTTCGCATATCGCGTACCAACGCCAGAAGTGCTCCCTGAGGCGGTGGAGAAGTTGAATCACTTCGTTCGGAAGGTTGTGGACGCGAAGCCATATCTGAGTGGCTATGTGGTAGCAGTGGATAATCCGGGAAATCGCGTGGGTGCAGTGGAGATCCGATTTTCCGATACGGATTTCCTTGAGTATCCCAATGTCAGTATGCGTCAGTTCACTCGCGAAGAGTTCCCGTATACCTATGACGAAATCTGCGAACGAGGTCTACCGCCCAGTGTCATCAAGCCCGAGCTTGTTTCTGCATTGGGGGAATCTGCTGATGAGCACCGGGCCCCTGTTTTCAGAGTTCAGGCAAATGTTGTGGAAGGAGGTCTCATCGTTTCCGTCTACCTTCATCATTGCATCTCTGATGGCACAGGCTTCGGTTTGCTCGCTTCAGGCAGTGTGCTGAACGATGACTTCACTTTTGACCGTCACCTGGATACTCGCGGTCACGACGTCCCAAGTCTGTCAATGAGACTGGACGCGTTCGCTACTCGCAAGAGCATTGTCAGAAGAGAGTTGTCCTATCCTTTTGCAAATCAGATCACTAACAGACAGCTGAAATACAAAACGGCCCAGGCAGTACCTACAGAGCATGAATTACTTAAACCTCGGGGTCGTGGGTGCGTGTTTGCCTTTCCTTCGACCAAGCTGGACGACCTGAAACAAGCTCTGGAGGCTCACGCCGATGGCGCCTTCATGACACGGCATGATGCATTACTGGCCTTGATCTGGCACGGGATGACAAAGGCCAGAATCCCTTCTGTGCCGGGGGTGACAACTTCGAAGCTTCTCATTCCAGTCGATATCCGCAAGAAATTGAAGAAGCCGCTGTCAGAGTCCTACTTCGGAGCCGCGGTCGACTTCGCCTCGGTGCAAATGCATCTTTGCCATTTAGCGGACAGCAGTGCCCCTTGTATGACCGAGACAGCATTGGCTGTCCGCAAGGCCGTCAATGGCGTTGACGAGCCTTATATTCGACAAGCCATCGCTTTGGCAACCTATCCCAATCCGAGAATTGACGTCCGAGATTTGCAAGCCAGTAATATGGACCGAACCAATGGTGCGGATATGTACATCACGAGCTGGATGAAACTGAATGTCTATGAGTCGACGTTTGAGATGGACCTCGGGAGGCCAGACTGGGTGCGGAAGCCTTGGAGTAAGGATCCTGGCTCATGCATCATCTTGCCGTACGACGACCGAAAGGACTACCTCGAAGCCGTCATACAGCTAGTAGAAGCAGACATGGCCCGATTGCTCGAAGACCCAGACTTCATGGGTTATGTTACCAGATGGATAGAATGATTGGATCGACGTCAGGGAGCACATTTTCTTTACGGCGCAACGGACAGAAAGGGGATTGTGAAATACGGAAGTAGGTTTGCGACCTGGGACTCGGGGACTCGAAAAGCAATTTGTGGGTGACGACAGATTCTTTAGCAGAGGAAATTCGGAAGGACATCACCACTTACCTGGTGGGCTGGGAAGGCTGGAAAGGCTGAAAAATCACATAATGTGAGGGCAACGAACGGAAGGCGAGGAATGTACAATTACTCTCAAGCGTGGGACGCATGGAACATCGACAGGCAAATGAGGGAAATTAGCTGACGGCACAAAGGCAACTATCGAACTAGGATGATGAGGACTCTTTCTGGATTGGGGGGAGGGGTGAACATTGGCACGGGAGTTTTCGATACAAATCAAAGATGTTCTCAGTCTTTCATCGTGTATCGACCAGCATGAATAACTGAAGGACGGCAGGAAAAAAGGGGACAAGTACCGAGTATTCCATAGAGCCAAATCCATGGTCATTCGGCTGAGGTTGTCACGTGAAGTCACGCGTCAGGAAAACATTCATCCGGAGCGCACCGAGAGGGTTGACTAACATGTGCTTAGTCAACCAATCAGACGCATCTGGAGTGTTTTCCCCCACGGCAACGCGCAGTTGCTATTTGGCTACCTCGCCTTCTTTGTTGCATCTTGCACCTTCGGCTCACCATCTCACTACAGTTTAGCCCATAATGACACAAATCGAAAATAACGACACCCCCCAAGATGACTACGAGGACATGCCTGGAGGTCCTGGAGCACCCATTCCCATTTCTCAGTTGGCGGTGAGCTTCTACGCTAGTCTTCATATGCCCAGTTTGGAAGACTGAAGTTTTCCTAGGGCGTTGCGGGTTTGACTGAAAGAGACATCAAGTTGGTCACAGAGGGAGGCTACCATACGGTCGAGTCCATTGCGTACACGTCAGTACCTCAATTGGCCTCAACTGTGCGTAATCTAACCATTCCATACAGACCGCGCAGACAGTTGGAACAGATCAAGGGTATATCAGAAGCAAAGGCGTCAAAACTGTTGAATGAAGGTTTGGATACCAATCACCTTCCCTGTGACTGAAGCTGATCTCTAGCAGCGATGAAACTTGTGCCCATGGGCTTCACCACCGCCACCGAGATGCATGCCCGAAGAAGCGATCTCATCTCGATAACCACTGGCTCGAAGAACCTCGACAGGCTACTAGGCGGCGGCATTGAGACGGGTTCTATCACGGAGATTTTCGGCGAGTTCCGCACCGGCAAGAGTCAGATCTGTCACACAATGGCGGTTACATGTCAATTGCCTTTTGATATGGGAGGTGGAGAGGGAAAGTGTTTGTACATCGATACCGAAGGCACCTTTCGCCCTGTTCGGCTGCTATCAGTAGCACAGCGATACGGTCTTGAAGGCGAAGAGGTCCTGGACAACGTCGCCTATGCTCGGGCATACAATTCGGAACACCAGCTGCAACTTCTCCAGCAAGCTTCTCAGATGATGTGCGAAACTCGGTTTTCGTTGCTCATCGTTGATTCAGCAACTTCGTTATATCGAACCGATTACAATGGCAGAGGCGAACTCTCATCACGGCAATCACACATGGCCAAATTCCTGCGGACTCTGCAGAGATTGGCTGATGAGTTCGGCATCGCGGTGCTCATCACCAACCAAGTGGTTGCACAAGTGGACGGCGGGCCCAGCGCCATGTTCAACCCAGACCCGAAGAAACCGATCGGCGGCAACATCATTGCTCATGCAAGCACTACCAGACTAAGCCTGAAGAAGGGTCGGGGCGAGACTCGGATCTGCAAGATCTACGACAGTCCATGCTTGCCTGAGAGCGACACGCTGTTCGCGATTTATGACAGTGGGATTGGCGATCCTCAACCCAAGGACGACAAGGAATAAAGCGGGATGGGCGAGGGTCACATCAACGATTGAAGAGTCATGCATACGAATAAGTGGTTTGATGCACAAAACATTAGCAGCGGCGCAACGGGAGTCGATTTACATGGCAGGTCTGGGAGTATCACAACTCATACTCGGTACATAGCATCAGTCGGAGGCATTGAAATGGGTTCGGGGGTTATGGTTGCTGGCAAGCTGCGCGCAGAAGCCCAGAGCGAAAGTCTCGATTGCAGTACGTATTCAAGCTGGGCGCCAAGCTAAGGATTGTAATAATGAAGCGACCGGCGCGCATTAAGGATGGAAGTTAAGCATTGTGGCTGATGTCTATCAAAGTGGCTTGAGCAAATGAGAGGCGAGCCTTATGCGATGGATGCCAGCTAAGGAGCCCAGAATTTCAAGTTTGGAGAGAGAATGAGTCGTCGAGCCCATCCGTAGGAAGCCAAGGCAGTAACAATGAGTTGGAGAAAATGGTGCTGGATGGTGCTGGATGGTGCTGGATGGTGCTGTAAAAGCCCGGAGTATTATGGACATTGCACTCGGGATGAGGTACGGAGTAATATTTGATTGACATGAGGCCCGGAGAAGTTCTAGAAAAGATTGGGTACCTGAGATCCATCTGAAAGCCTTGGGGTGGTAGTTGGTGGTAGTTGGCCGCACCAGGCCGAGTAAGTAGGCACCTAAGAAAGGGGGGAGCGGGAGCCAGCTGGAGCAGTTCCCAAGAAAAACAAAGGCCCGCAAGGGCCGCTGTGGGTGATTGCTTGGATTGTCTGTGGCTGATTAGTGACACGCCTAGCGGGCCCCCAGTGACGCCTAGTCGGCCTGTTTCTCCAATCGGCCCGGGGCAGAAGCCCACGCCTAAGGGGCCCATGCCCACTCCGGCTGAGGCGCGAACCCTTGGCGTCATCATACATGGCAGCAACGCAGCACGAAGTACACAATGCGTCTCACCAGCCTCTCACAACCTGGACCGATCGACTGCGCTGCGAAACCACGAGGACGGACACGACAGCATCAGATTGCATCGCCAGCATCTTTGGCCCCATGAGCTGCAATCAGCTGCCTGTGTTCTTGTGAATCCTGCCATCTTGATCCGTCCTTTGCTGGAGTTGTGTTAGCTACACATTCCTCTGCTCCTTTTTGGTTCCCCTACGCCGCAAACTTCTTTCTACCTTGTATTACTACTACATTTAACTCCGTGGGTGTCGCTCCGATTAACTGCTTCTCGTCGCGCTTCTGACGGTCTTCAAAGAGCGCAACGCAACGCACCTACTGAAATACCCTTTGGTGAGCTGCCGACTCGCCCATCGCAACAATTTGTAGGAGCTGGATCGTAAACCACGGTATTCAATGGAAGGTGAGCTTGGCAATACTCACCCTCAGTCAGCCTATCGGTGCTTATATGGTCCACTGACAGGAAATATTAGGCCAGGCAGATGGGAACACGGACCAGGATCAGCACGCGCGCGTCGTCGAGTCGCAGGAAGGTTACGGAACTGGCCCAGAAATCACAAACTCCAGCTCTGGATTCGAAGTCCTATGTGGTCCTCTACTCAACTACCAGCGTATGAGTGATGAAGGCCCCTCGAATATCTTCTGGCACGGCTCCGTCCTCCTCGTCACGAAACCCAATCTAAATACTCCCAACCTGGAACTAAAGGCCCTCGGGGCGTGGGATTCTGGCGCAAATCTCAAGGCTCCGCCGTCGCAGTTGGTGCAAGGATTGAAGCTCTATTCTGATCCGGACAAGACATTTTGGAGGTTCACTCTCAAGATCCCCCTGGTTGAGGCGGAAGCAAAATGGCAATACTCAATAGCAAACATGCAATTTCTCACCCGTGTCAGTGAAGAGCTGTCGAGGCAGTTTGTGGTTCCTTCTGCCACGCAGTCAATGCGCATCATGTTCCACTCGTGCAATGGGTTTTCGGTCGGAACGGATGAGGATTTCTGGTCCGGTGGGTGTTTTCATTGACATTCGAAAGAGGATAGCCAAATACGCTGACATAAAAATTCTCCAGGGCCTGCGCTGTGGCATGACGTCCTGCGGACTCACGAGCAACGCCCATTCCATGTCATGATCGGCGGAGGCGACCAGATTTACAACGATTCGATCCGGGTCAAGGGCCCATTAAAGGAGTGGACATCCATCGCCAACCCCAGAAAGAGACGAGAATACCTGTTCGACGGAGATCTGAGGGATCGATGCGACAAGTATTACTTTGAGAACTATATACGATGGTACTCCACAGAACCCTTTGCCTCGGCCAATTCTCAGATTCCTCAAATCAATATCTGGGACGATCACGATATCATTGACGGATTCGGTTCCTATACCGACCATTTCATGAGATGTGCCGTGTTTCGTGGCCTCGGTGGCGTCAGCTTCAAGTATTATTGTTTATTCCAGCACCACACCGCCCCGCCCGTTTCGACTTTCACCACCGACGCGCCGAAGACCATGGGTGCTGATGCCAATGGCACGGCAGGGGCTGATCCGCGCCAACTGAAAAACACGTTTGTGTACAAGAGGACCGCAGATGACCCCAGTTGGATTGTTGGTAAGCGGCCCGGTCCGTACGTCGAGGAACGGTCGAGAAACCTGTACATGCGCCTGGGTCGCCACATTGCTTTCTGTGGTATTGACGCGAGAACGGAACGGACGAGGAAGCAAGTCAATTATCCCGACACATACGATTTGATCTTTGAAAGACTAGAGAAGGAGTTCAGGGCTGCGCATGGAGAAATAAAGCACTTGATTCTCCTCCTTGGTGTCCCAGTCGCATATCCGCGACTGGCGTGGCTGGAAAATATTCTGACGTCGCCTTTGATAGCCCCCGTTCGCTTACTGAATAAGAGGTTTGGCTTTGCCGGCGGCTTCTTCAATTCATTCGACGGTTCTGTTGATCTCTTGGACGATCTGGACGACCACTATACGGCACGGCACCACAAGACCGAACGCCGCGAGTTGGTTCTTCGGCTGCAAAAACTGTCAGCCAATTTCTCCGTCCGCATCACTATCCTGGGAGGAGATGTGCACCTCGCAGCGTTAGGTCGCTTCTATTCGACTCCTGCAGATCATCTGGACCCGATCCACGATCCACGATACATGGCGAACATCATCTCCAGCGCCATCACTAATAAACCACCTCCCCGCGCTGTGGCAAACTTATTAGCGCGGAGGAATAAAATCCACCATCTGAGGGATGGGAATACTGATGAGACGCTTCTCAAGATGTTCAACAAACAACCAGGGGGGGTGATGAAGAGCGCGGACTGGAATCAATGTACTATGCCGAGCAGAAACTATGCGTGTATCACGGAGATTTCTGACGACGAGGACCCACAGCCAGCAAATGGTACTCTGAATGGCTCTGCCAATCCGCAGTCGACATCAAGTGTGGTAAATTCGACAGGCAAGACAGGCAAATCTCGTCCTCACACAAACAAAGATGCGGCTGACGGACACGGATATTTACACTTAGGTGAGGAGGGGGCGGGAACGACACATCCAGCCGCAGATGGTGTTAGTTCAGAGGCAGTAGGGCCACCGCTGAGTGGAGGCTTGAACGTCGCGATCAAGGTCGAGATCGATAATCGAGACCCAGAAGGGAGGACAGAGGGGTATGGGATGAGCAGTAAGACTCCCACATTTTGTTATACCTGTTGACAGACCTGCTAATGCGACAAACAGTTCCTAAGCTCACGATCAGCACTCCACCTCAAACACCAGAGACAGAAGCTTGAAGGTTGACAAAACCGATTGCGGATGTTTTCTCGGGCAAAGTCTCGACTGCTTGTCCATCTGTCGGATGGCCTCATCTAGAGATGAGATACTATCTTCGCAAGACTTCTTCAGATATTAATCAACTTGTTATTATTAAACACGAGTTATCCACGGCCTCGACGCGAGAGAGAGGAGTGTGTGTATGGGTGTGTGTGCAAGGAGAGCAGCAGGAGACCGAGAGCCGCGCAGACCCGATCGGAGTTGAGATGATATGATATTGGGAAAGGAACCCACTACAAATTCCAGCGTAATGGGCTGGATCGGAGTAATATAATCGAATTGGCCGGGTCTATATCCAGTCGGCCGCTGCCCCTGCGAGTCGCCAAAAGGGCCCACTGAATAAAGGGCCCACCAGGGCAAGGGGAAGGAGACGAGAAAACGAGCGGAGAAGAGACGAAGAGAGGAAGAAAAGACGAGAAGATACAAGGAGCGGAGGATAATTCATGTATCAGGTACAGATACACAAACAGACAAGTATGGACCAACGGATGTGTACCAGTGCCACTGCCATTACCACTGCCACTACGACGCCTCTGAACGAACAATGTCCAATGACGAGGTACGTATGTGAACTCCTTTCTGCTTCCGGTTGGGGCTCTTTCTCCCTCCTCCAAGGTACAGACTACCTACCGCAAACGGCACACCGTCTATCCTCATCCTCATCCTTATCTTCACCTCTTCCTCCACCAGGACAAATACCCAGTCCCAGTCCAGTCCCGTCCAGTTGCGAACCACAAGAAAAGGAAGGGGGGAGGGGGGAGAAAAGGGGGCGGAAGGGAGAAATATATGCTCTTTTCTTTTTCCATATCGTCCTCGATACAAATCACACCCTCGACTCATACATATGGTTCAGGGTGCCGCTCCTCTTCAATCCATTGCCGTAGTAATTGTCCTTGTTGCCCGGCGCGCCGGGCCCCGTGGGCTGGCGAGGAAGCGGCCCGTTGCCGCCTGCCCAGAGCTTCTTGCGCTCCTCCTCCTCGCGCAGGCGCTTGCGCCGGGTCTCTTCCTCCTCCCTCATCCGGGCTGCTTCCTCCTCCTCGGCGCGGAAGACGAGGCGCGGGCCGGAGATGGTGCTCAGTTCCACCGCCGCTCCTGCTCCGCCAGGCCTTCTGGAGAAGTCGACGTCGCCGACGGCCTGGCCGGGCCCGCCGAAATCGATCCCGGCGCCCATCATGCGCACCTGCTGGCCACGCACGTGCTCTGCGCGCATCCACTCCCTCCGCGCGCACTCAATCAGCCCCGCCGCCAGCACAAACATGGCCCACTGCAAAAAATCCTTGACCGTCGCGAGCGTCCCCAGCATGTCTGCGAGGCCCGGCTTTCCCGTGTCGCGGAACCGCGACTGTGGACACCACTTGGGAACGCGGCCCTGGTGGCCCGCGAGGATGGGCGCGAGCTCGCAGGATGTGCAGAGCACACACTGTGCAAACCACATGAGCGTGTGGAGAATCGAGACGCAGAGGATGAAAAATGTCGTTGTGACCGTGTAGTTGGCGTCGTAGTGCTGAGGGCTGGCAGATTTTGGAGACGATGCTCCGCCGCGGCTGTTGTAGTAGGGATATGGCGGCGAAGGCAGGCCATTGAATTGAAAGGCTGCCAGATGAGAAACTGTATAAAGTAGGGAGAAGAAAGGAATGGTTCCGACGTAGAAGACTAGAGGTCTGGTAGCAATTTTTGGTCAGTAATTGAACCCTTTTTTTTTTTTAATCCTGACTTGTCATTGGCTTTTCTTTTTCCCCATCACCTCTGATTATTTGACCAAGAAATCGAGGTGATTTTTAAAGAGTATTGGAAGGGAAACATCAACCAGCGGAGAGAGAAGAAAAAAACGTACAGCCAATTCCCTGCACCGGGAACCATTTCATGCGACCACGCCCCATATTTTGACGAGGCAATGAGGATAATGATGGCCAAGATCATCGAAGATATGAGCAAAAGTACCTGAGCCGCTCGAGTCTGCATCTTTGCACTGTTGTTGTCTCTCCTTTTCGTCGATCGGCTCTGGTCGATTCGAAGACTTGAGAGAAGATTTGAAGATGCCCACACCGTTTGAGCAGAAATAAACAGCAGCAGCGTCCTGCACCACTAACGAAGATAGTATCGAAGTACCCCCGAACGAATGAACGAACGAGGCGGGATCAAACACAGCCGGAAAGAATGGAAAGTGGTGGCGTCCAGCGCTCAGCGCCAGCGCCTTCAAAAGGGAAGCAAGAGGAGAAAACCCACAAAAGAGCAGAAAAAGGAACGGATCTGGGTCAGTCCAACCTTGTATATATGTTAACGAGGGTATAAAGGAAAAAGGCGCGAGCCTGCCCGCCTGGAGGAGGGAGCTGGAGACAAAAGAGCAAACGAGAGATTGGCGAAGACGGCCAGCAACCGAAAACAGGGAGAAGGATTGAATCGAAGTCAGATACGGATGGCCGGGCGACAGGGCATCCGTGGTTTGTTTCTGCTTGAAGGGCCGCCAGAGAACCCCATGTTCGGCGGTAGATCAGATCATAATCGTGTCGGATGAGTGCCTAATCAGGCATGTCCAAACCCTTTATGACGTGACAGTAGGGGAATAGTACATGCGGTCGTGACCATAGGATAACATGATACCCCGTCGCTCAGGAGATACCGATCAGATCACGATTTTGGGGGACAGTGTGCAACCCCTGTAGCACATGGCGGCGTATGGGGGAGATGAATTGGGTCAAGTGCAAGATTTCGCACCGATCGGTCGCTTGAAGCCAGACATTCCATGCCGCAGATCAGACCCCAAAGGACTGAAAGGCAGCTAAGAAGAGAGCCAGAGTTGAGGCGCCGGCCCGGCAACCTTGTGATGCGGGGGGTGTTTTGAGACTCGAGTTGCAACAGAACTTCGGTCTGAGACTGATGGCATCGTGTGGAGGTTGAGTTTCACGTCTCAGATTCTCTCCCGCTGAGGCAGCGCTAGACCAGATCCGGAAAGAGGGAAAAGGGGTTTTAATGCCACGTGACTGGTACAGCGGTTGACAAGGCTGAGGATGAAAATAGATCCTGGGGGTCTATAATCTCTGATAGCTCAACTCAAGATGACCCTAGTCCACTTAGGGTCGTTATCAGGATCCTCCGAACCCTGTAATACTTCTCCTTCGGAGAGACCGTGCACGTATGCTTCTCCAAGCAGGGTGAAGACAGGTCTGCCGTCGACGTCGCCAGCGTCCGCCTTTCTCAGCACAAATGGTAACGAGCCTCCTTTCAAGATGACGATATGATCGCCTCTAGAGAGATTCTTCGGCCCTATACCCATGTAGTCTTTCATTGTCCTGAAAAATCGTCGCCCAATTGCCGTTTGTCGAAGAGCAGCGTTGTAGTGCTCTCCGTAAGCCACTTGCTCGCTTCCAAAGAATTCGCCTGGGCGAGGATATCTATCCCGGATGGGAAGAGGCTTCCCTCCTTCGAGCTCTGTGTCGCTGCAGTCACCTGATTTGCACGGATGGACTTGGTTCCGATGATCGGCAACAGCCCAGCCGGGACAGATGCACGCAGGCTTTTCGGCCTTGATCTCAACCTCGAGAATCTCAGGGTATGCCATGAGGAAGCTTTCCGCAAATTCAGCCGGCGGTACAACCAGCTGATTGCCTGATATGGCCCGGTTTCCAATTAGCGTCCGCCAGAAAACATCAAAAGGACGTTGTCCCGTTGGGTACTTGTTGAACTTGACCCCGAAGCACCACCATAGACTCAAGAGGTATTGCTTTAAGCCGATGATACGATGTTGCTGCAATGCGGCCTTCCCATACAAATCAATCACGTCTGTCTCGCCTCCGAACCGTGCGGCTTCTATGAGCACCCTGTCCACGAAATATGCATCAACCTCGAGTAGTCCAGAGGCGTAATTCTTGGGTAGCACAGGTCGCGTCCCCAAAGAAGCACGATAGTTTGCCGTTGAAACGAGTCCAAACGCTAATATCAATGCCGGTTCTTCAGGATAGTTGCTCCAGTCGGGCACCCAGGAAGCCAAATGAGGCTGTCTCCTTGATTTGCCGCAACCGGCGTTAGCCAGCATGTCAAGGGAATTCTCCTCTTCCAATGTAAGTCGTGCTATATCTTCATAAATCTGCGGCAACTGCAGTTCGTAATCAACTCGAACCTCTCTCCTGCCATCAAGCTTCTCTAAAGGCCCATTCCGCTGCTGGCGGGGGGTGGCTGTCCTTGCGTGCCTGATGAGATATTGATCTTTGACAAGACCGAGCAGTCCGTATACTTTATCGGCAGGATTGGTCGATTGTTGTTTCCACGCGCGCTGCAGAAACCAATGTAGATTTTGAACAGGACCTTGATTTGATTTGATTTTGTAGTGCTCGAGAAAGACCGCGACCGCAACTGGACTCCAACCTGTGCCCTCAATGAAGGCGCCTCTGAGTTCTGGGGTTACAACTTCAGGGTCGTCGATAATTTGCAGCGGGGCCAAGCCAAACTGCGTCGACGCATTGATGAGATCAATCCACTGGACTTTGCGATCACCGCAGAGGAATAGTGGCGGGAAAGCTTTGTACACGTCCCACAGGCAGACTTCTTGAACCACCCACAGGCGCTTGAACCAAGTCAATTCCGAGAATCGAGTCAATGCGAGGGCCTGTTCCACGGTGACTTGGGTCTTTGGTAGCCTCTGTGAATGAATAGGGCCGGACGCAACATTGTCAGGCTGCATTTGAGATTTGGTGCTGTCGTGGAAATTCTTGGATGCAGTTCGGATCAGATCGACTGCCACATCAACTCCATCGGGCGGATTGCCTAAATCAACAAACACCTGATTGGCATGGCGGTAGATTTCGTGCATATTGGCAACCTGCAAACAGCGTTAGCTATGATGTGTGCGGACATCGGGTAACCGGCTCCTCGGCTCGTAGCCTCGCGCAATCCGGGCAAAGCAACACGCATTCATCCCAAACTGCTTCGACGTGTTGAAGACAGTGGACCTACCTGGGCAGATTTCTCTTGATTGTTGTCTTGCTGGATCGAAATAGCGTCCGCCCATATCCGAAGCCAATTCTGCTTTTCGACGCGCCTCCATTTGCGAAGAGCCTTGTCGAGACTAGCGTAGATATCGAGCCTCTTGCCATTGCAGAAGGATGGGACTTTGTTAGTTACATCACCACAGACGTAGCTGACTTGGCGGAGAATTCCACATCAGCTCGAAGGACCTTGTACCACGACCAAGCGGATGGCAAGATAAGAGGGCGTGACGTGACTCACTGGCGATGTACTGAGCTGTTGCAAGTGAATCTAACCGAGCGTAGTGCAGGCAGTACCGCAAAGGCTGGTCATCCGGTCCTGGGAAAAGATCAATGACTCTAATATACGAGTCATTGGGGAATGCCTCGTAACGGAAAGGAGCGTCCTCGTCCTGGGGCTTCCCATTCTTCTCCCAGGTGCAACCCGGGCAGCCGGCAAGAGTAAAGTAATGAACTAAATTGCCAGTAACGGGGTCAACAACTGCATCGCCACGAACCCTGTAAGGGAGCAGGACATGATGCTCATCGTCACATCGCTTGTTCTCTGAATGGCACCTCTCACAGATGTCGAAATCGCCACCGCCGCAGAGCGAGCAGTGGTAGAATACCTGTTCCAAAAGAATGGAATCACCACAAGTGTCGCAGACTTTAGACATTTGTAGGGACACAGGGGTGATTGGTCGCTGAAAGCAGTGCTGTCAAAGACAGCAGAAAGAGGCATGGAGTTGAAAGACTTGGAAATGCACTGTCGGTCAACATTTTGTGCTCCGCCGAAATGTCCGGCGTAGCATTTGAACAATCTTGCGCAGCCCCCTATTTCCCAGTACAGCGACAGAGCATTGATCCTGTAACCTCACTAGCAGAGAATTGAAAGATCGGGCATTGCGTTTTGATTCTGTGACCGACACGGTGTGTCTGCATCACGCACCTTCGTCACGGACTCCCAATCAATCAACTCGGGGATGCCTCCACATTTCATGTACATCGTTCCCCATTCTTAACGAGGAGACACTGGCCCAGACAACAGAGCGACGAGAAATGCGAAAGCAGGATGTTATTCACTGCGTTTTATAGCTTGTTCTAACTTGTTCTAACTTGTCTGCGGGGCTATCGTCACCCCAAAACCCCTACACGGTGATCGTGGGCCTCCAAGGGCCAATTCCTACCATGCTATTTTAGCTAGAATACCGCTCGGGTATTTTCTCACGACCATCTTCCTCAACTCGTCCAAGCTCAGAAGTCCAATGCCAAATGTCATGGGAATGAACCAGTGTTCGACAGGGACCTTCTCGCATCCAAGGTAGTCGATGCCAGGCACAAGAGTGAATATCAATGCGATGACGAGCGCAAAGAGAATGGCCGGGAACAGCAACAAATTCTGTGTCTTGTGGTTGAAAATGGGTGGATGCGAGAAGATGGAAAGATGGCGAGTTCGGAGAGCCATGACGTTGAACCACTGCATCACCACGAGCGTGACGAAGTAGATCGCGCTGGCCACAGTCAGGTGGTACGATACGTCGTCCTCGGTCTGTCCTGGTGGGATAGGAATATTGCCAAAGGAGAACCACAGCGTGCCGAACGAGAGGCCTTGGCGTTGCAGGTACCAAAAGCTCATTGCGAATGAGCAGGTCGTCTCCAGGATACCAACTAAGCCATATGCTTGGAGCAACAAACGCCAGTCGACGAGACGGTCTTTGTGGATGTCTCGTGGAGGGCGCAGCATGACATTGGCTTCAGGCTTTTCGTACGCTAGCATTGTAGCAGCGACACAGTCGGTAAAACAGCAGATGATGATCATGAGAAAGCTGGAGAGGACCTGGGGGAGACCAAAGATGACGCTCGTCATGACCGGCCAGAACTCGGAGAACGAACCAGCAGGCAGAAGGTATGCAATGGTCTTCTTCAAGTTGTCGAAAACAACGCGTCCATACAAGACTGCCTCAGGGATCGCAGAGAACGAACCCAAGAGTACCATGTCGGATGCTTCGATTGCGATATCAGAGCCAGAAGCCGGCGAGATGCCAATATCTGCTTGTTTGAGACTGGGTGCGTCGTTAACACCATCGCCGGTCATGGCCACGACAAAGGCTTGAGACTGGAACTCCCTGACGATGCGCAGCTTTTGATCCGGTGTGGTGCGTGAAAAGACAACCTCGCTATACTGAGTCGTGAGGGCGCTCCATTGGTGCGGTAGGAGTGTCATCAGGTCGGGACCCGTCAAAACAATAGCTTTGTTCTCCGAAGGGAGCCGATTTGACTTCTTCTGGCGTTTCTTCTCGACCACGTCTGAGGGAGGGAAACGAGGAAGGTTATCAACCGTGTGAATTTCGCTGTTGGCAACCGTGATAATACCACACGAACGGGCAATAGCTTGGGCGGTCAGCTTGAAGTCGCCAGTTACCATCATCGTGCGGATCCCTGCGCGACGAAGGGTCTGGATAACACTCGGCACCTCGTCTCTGGGAGGATCAACAATTCCAACCAGTGATATCAGAGTGAGTCCAGCTCCCGCGTGCCGTAGGGCTTCAGCCTCGAATGTATTGTCGTTGGGCGCCGATTGCACCATACTCGCAGGAAGAGGTTTGCGGGCCAGGAGAAGGACTCGTTTACCCTGGCTGGACCATGCATCCTTGATAGCTTCTACGGAAGAACGAACACCGTCGTCAAGAGTGTAGACCTCGCCATCTTCTCCGACGTATTTCGTGCATCTCGGAAGAAGAATATCTGGAGCACCTTTGATCATCAATAGCAGGTCGTTCTCACTGTTGAAAGAATTCGCCTCCAAGGCACTCATGGTCGCTGAAACCGCCGCTGCGTTCTCAGGAGAGACGACTCTCAACGCAAATTTGTTCTTGGAGTTGAATGCCAGGTCGAATCTCTTGCGCCACATGTTGCGAGACTGCGTGACAGGGCCTAAATTTTCCGAGAGTCGCAAGATAGCCTGGTCAGTTGCATCTGCGAGGATTTTTCTCTGGGCGAGGGGTAGATGAATCGTGGTCGGATCAAACTCTCCTGCATTGCATACCGCTGACAGCACACGTACTTGCTGTAGTGCCACTTTCTTCGACTTGCTATTGGTACCTTCCGTTGCCATTTCTCGAGATGCCTCTTCCGCGGTCATGGCACTGAAACCGATCAGGCAATCTGTTACCGCCATTTGGTTTTTCGTCAACGTTCCGGTTTTGTCGGACAGGAGAACGGAGACAGAGCCGAGAGTCTCGACAGTCTTCAACGACTTGCAGAGAATGTTATTCTTCTTCATGATATTGGCCGTGATAGTGAGCGATGCTGTGAGAGCAATCGGCAAGCCTTCGGGAACAAAAGCAATTGCCACACTGACGAGGTCAACAATGAGCGTGGGCACATTGATGTAGCTGTGGTGTGCTTGTCGGATATAACCTCCCCAAACTGCAACGACGATGATGTTCATGAAGACCATTAGACCGACAATGATGAAGACGAAGCGCAGAACCTCTTTCTGGAGATTGGTTCTGCCGATCGAGGGCTGGCTTGTTAATTTGGCAATATGGCCAAAGACGGTGTCATCGCCAGTAGACACCACAATGCCAACACCACTACCAGAGGTGCAGTGAGTACCTTGCATGCCGATACATCTTGTCTCAAGATAGTTGGGCTCATGGGACTCGGTGACAGCAGCCAAAGGAAGCGATTCTCCAGTCAAGATGCTCCTGTCAAACTTGGCGTCCGTCGAGACATCAATAAATCGGATATCGGCAGGCAGTTTGTCGCCCGCTTTGAAATGGAGGATGTCGCCAGGTACGACTTCGGGGGCTTGAATTGTTTGCTTGCTTCCATCGCGTAGAACACGGCAGGCTTCGGGCAACATGCCAGTGATACTGTTCATGACCCTGGAAGACGAGAAGTCTTGCCAGGCGTTGAACGCAGCCTGAATGAAAAAGACAGCGGCAAGAACAATGCCCAGAGCAAGATTGGCAACCGCTGGAGGTTGACCCAAGGGTTTCCAAGACACAAAGACGAGGATGCTGCCGCCCAGCAAAATGGAGCCAAAGCCTCCAAAGAAATAACCGAACAACTTCTGAGCCAGCCTGGACGGTGGCGGGGAGGGCACATTGCGGCCGAATTCTGCAATCTTCTCTTTCACGGCGGTGGCTGAAAGGCCGTATTCTGTTGAAGTACTTAATCGCATACAGATCTCTTTGGGGGTGAGAAGATGCCAATCAAAGCCTCCAACATCTGAGATCCAGTTGTTAGCATGTGTGATGTAGTGAAGGATACCAGGAGTAATTCACCGATCGCCGCCTTCTCGCGAGCGTTCTTTGCACTTTCAATGGCCTTGACGTTCGTGATATCATAGCTGAGAGTTCGGTATTGGACTGGCAGGATGACTGATGGGTCGACAAAGCGTTGTCCGCTCCGAACACTGGAAAGTGAATGCACAGAGTAGGTAGAGCCTCGCCTCTTCAACGGGTGGCCAATATCGACAGCGGCAGATGGGCCACCATTCTCCTCATCATCGTCGATGTATCGGATATGGCGTCTCGCTGCGAGAGTAGGGGTAAGCTCTCCGTCATTGCCAGCAGAGGAGGTAACAGCCACGGGGTTCTTTTCGGAACTACCGCCAATATTGTCTTGGGGGGCCATATTGACAAGATTCAGACACGGAGTTCTGTCGCAGGAGATGCGAACGTAAAGAGGGGGGAGAGGGGGGGGGGAAGAATACCAAAGGCAAGAGGGAGAGGGTAGAAAGCGACGTGGGTGGGAGGGAACACCTCCTCTGGCGTACCCTTGATATATGAGTTGGCATCGTTGCCGGCAGGATATGCATAGCTTCTACCCTCCTAAAAGACCCATGCAGATGGCATGGTGACTGCGCGACTTTGGCGAGGTCAACAAGGGATGTGGAATGGTCAACCTACCTACATAATACCCAGCTCGCCAGCTCGCCAGGAACGATAAAGCTAGCAAGCGGGCACGGACCACACATTCAAAGCTAAAGACCAGGGGGAAAATGGAGAAACCCCCAACGGGATCTGGGTTAATAACAAGTAGATGCATGAACCAGGACAAAATGCCTCAAAGTTAACGAGAAATGGTAAGTGGAAGGCAGGAATGATGTGGTGGGATGGTGGAGTGCAATAGAGGAAGTTGGAAGCAAGGGATCAGTTCCTGAGGGACATTGCCCTAAGCTGCCTAGATGCCACCGATGCCTCTGTTCCGTCTTGCCGACAGAGTACTGCACATGCTCGCATCTATCCAATCTGACAGTCAGAGCCACGGAAACTCGGCTTTGCGAAAGACCTATATTCGGCAATGAAAAAGCTCTCAGGACGGCCTAGCGTGTAGGCCGCGGCTATGCTCCGTGCGACGCGAGTCATTGGTTTCAGGCCTGTTCAACTCCCACGCTCATCTCCATACTCGGTACCTCGTACGCTGTAACAAATACACATCAATAGTGGTTTGTGGATGCGATTTTGGAAAGCACGGACCAGTTCCAGGATCAGGCCTTGGGAAGAATGGGAAAAACTGGGGATTTGGTGGCCAGGAGATGGTCGAGCTGCGAACGTTCATACGGCGCCTGTGCGAGGCAGGATTCTACAATACGAGTATGCCTTCCCTTCTACTCCTCCTTGTCCTCTCGCTCGGGCCACTGACCGCATGCAATATCCTGTTCCTACACTTTTACCCGTGGTTTCTCGGGAGATCCACAGGGTGATGACTTCTGTCTTTCGCGTTTGCCGAATGTGTCATGCCCACAAAATTGCTGATGTCAAAGAGCAATGTGGGAAGGAGAAAGAAGAGGTAGAGTGCAGTATGAGGCATTTTCTGGATTGGTACCACTGCCAACCTACACGTGGGTAAGGAGCCCTGAGCTGGCTACGGAGCAGACCTGACTCCAATCCCAGGTTGTCTTTGCCTACCTGTAACTGTAAAGGGAGGTGTGGGATGGCACCTATTAGCCAACTTCCACAGTCTTTTTCTGCTGTCATTGTTTTCCCAAAACTTCTCAGAATGATGTTGCGTGATATGGGGCTGGACGCAAGGAAGATCTCTCTAACAAGGCGCAGTGTGTTCCCAACCTTGGATTAGGGTATATCAACCAAGTTCTAAGCCCTTTTTTGACGCGAACGGCAACCCATTACTGCTGATCGAGCTCAGCGTGGAGAGCATGGTTGCAGAAACCGACCCGACACGACGAATCTGGTGCTCAAGCTCGTCAACTCATATCAGTGGCCAATGCCCGGGGAATATATCAGCCATTCGTGCACCTACTTGTATGCCTTTTTTCCGGGTCGACGCGCCCTTTTAGGACGAGACTCTCCAAAGGTTGATTGACATGCCATTCCCTTACGACGTGCCCAAGGACCGTTGACAGACCGAGTCGAGTTAGCTATCAATGCTTAGGTACCTTTATGGAATTGTTATTTCCTCCACGACAAACTAGTGAGCTCTTATATGTACAATTAAAATGGCCTCTGTCAGGGGTCTTTGGGGTGTTGAACTGTTGGACACCTCAAACGCAGTTGCCTGTGTCGTGGGAGAACTCAGGATCCATTTGTAAGAAGTCCAGACCCCATCATTGTCGACTTAGTTGGATGTCGGACTCTGTCTCGCTTCGTCCTGCATCACTAGGTCTTGACCTCTCCGCGGGAAATCCTTTCGTTGAATGCCTCAAACGATCACGCTGCCCGCAAAGCACAGTTGGCGCTTCCATTGCGCTGTCTAGAAACAGGCGGACTTGGCCCTGTCAAAGAGACGCCCGAGATACCATCCCACCTCGTGAATGTGCTCCTGGGGGGAAAAGACCTTTCAGCCAAAGGCGACATGGCGTTATGGAGCTGTCTGTCCTCATATCACAGATGCTCACCTCGGTTCTGGACCGTACACAGAAGCACCACAATATCTGACCAAGCTGGATTTGGCCTCATGAAGATATTACGGGCATCACGTGCTCTTGGCCGTCTGTACTCCGTAGACCGAATCGAGAAATAAGAGGCGCCGAACAATCTGCCAAGAGTGGCGCAGAAGTTGCAGTGTGGCTGAAAAGGCTTTACTGGCTCGCTGGGTAGTGCTCATTATGTCCCGCGGCGGACATTGGCCAGTCTGGCTTTGCACGGAGAACATAGGTTCAAATCAAAGGATCTGGGGGCCGTGAGCCTCTAACACCATCTGGTCAAACGTGTGGTGCTCTAATCGAAATACTAGAAAGCTGATCACGGCTGGCAATTGCCTGCCTAGGCAAGCCGTTCTTTCGAAGACGCAGAAAAGGATGTGCGTAAGCTGCAGCCCGCCGTGTATCTGCCGTCAGATGTTAACTTCAGAGCAATAGGCAGAAGAACAAGACTTGCCAAACTCCCTCTAGCCTCCGCTGGGTCCCTCGGTGCCGAGCTCGAAACGTTGGCCGCCGTATTACATCGTATGCCGAACAGTAATCTGTCATCTCTAGACACCGAGACAACGGATGGTCAACTGCCGCTACCTCGAAGCCTCTTGTCCCTCGATTGTGGATATGTCATCTGGGAGACCCGTGGGGCGTGAGAATAAGGTATGCGGGGACGGGGGATGAACAGCTATATGATGTCTGATCTCCCTCCTCGTCTACTTGTAAAAGGCACGTCCAGTTCTCCTTTTCTTGATCGGCGAGCGATAGGGGCGAAATTGCCACATATTGCTCCTGGAAGGCATCGAGTATTCCAATCTAGATCATTCTGTCAGCATGGTACGATGTCCTCCTCACCTACCTTGATCTTTTGCCATGGCGCTTGGCACACTCCTGAATATTGGGACACGGTCAAGAGCGAACTGCAAAACAAGGGATACAAATGCGTAGCTCCAATGATCATCTACAACGGCGAAGGAAAGCCCGTCCAATCAATGACAGTCGTTGTGGAGGCCTTGCAAGAGGTCATTGCCGACGAAACTGGTCTTGGCAACGATGTAGTCTTGGTCAATCACTCCATGGGCGGTATCGCTGGTTGCAGTGCTGTGAAAGGCTTCACGAGAAAAGACCCATCAAAACGCAAAACCGAGAAGTCAGGGCACGTTTCGGGCCTGGTTCAGCTCACCGCATGGACGCCACTCGAACATGAAACTTCTCTGGCCGACATTGGAGAGGACTTTGCGCGCAGAAACCCGGGGGTGACGATTCCTCGAATGAAAATGACGAACAATGATGAAGGCTGGACCGTGTTGCAAGGCAACCCTGCAGAGCATTTCTACAACGACATGCCTCCGGAAGATGCCAAAAAATGGGTTTCCAAGCTCATCAAGTTCTCTGCTGCAATGCGACCTGCCCGGGATTCAGTCTATGCCGGTTGGCGAGATGTGCCTGTGTGGTATCTAGTATGCACCATGGATATGGCAATCAGGAAAGAGCTGCAAGAGGATATGGTACAGAGGCTTCGAGAATTGGGTGCAAATATCACGACAAGGGAGTGCGAGGCCGGTCATTCGCCCATGCTGAGTAAGCCTGGGGAGACCGTCGCGTTCATCGAGGATGCCGTGAGAGCCTTTGGTGCGTGAGAGAGGTGTTGAATTGCGACTGCCCTGAGAGATCGAGTCCAAGCCCCGTGGCTACCCATGGCAAGGCGTGTCCGTGGATGGTGTAGACGTTCGATCCAGCGGAAAGACTATATACTCCATGTCAGAAGGGGGGTGCAGACTCCCAGGAGGATCGTGATCTTTGGGAGCAGACGTAGAGTCAGGAAGAGGAAAATTGTCTGATGGGCTTCCGGAATTAGTAGCCGAGATTGAGGGTTTTGCATGTGCAAGCTTCACAGAGGAGAATGAGGTTTTCAGCTCTGTGTATATTGAGTTCCTCGGTCGTAAAGAGGCGAAGCCCAAAGTTCTTCGTTCGCATAATGTAAGAGACAGCCTTGTGAACTCGGGTTCGGCGGGCCGTTCAGTTCAAGGCGGAATGTGAACGATGTTGTCAACAACCGAAACAATTTCGGGTCTTGGCTAGTATCACCGTTCCGACAGGTCAGCTGAACCCCTGCCCAGCTGAAAGCGCAGAGCCACTGCGATTTGAGTGCTGCGAATACGGATAGATTGAACAAAAGTTCAGTCCGCCTGGGCCCCATACGGGAAGCTTCTCATCGACATATTGGCCATGCAAGCATTGTAGGAATGTCTGACACGTGGCTGGCGTGTGGTTTCTCTCTCTTGGAACGTGCAAAACACGGTCGGCCAGAGTCACTATGCTTTGCCATGTGAACCGACCTGATGGAACAGTAGCCGGCAGCGTGCAAGGTCAGCAATCGTGCCTGGGATCTGCAGTAGGCTGATCCACAAGCTCATTGACGACAATCGTATTGGAAAACAAAAGAGATATGCACAAAGCGGCCACAACAAGGCGGCTGGGTTGCATTTTGGACTGACATGTCGGCAGCAGACCTGGTGATCCTCTCGACCGTCTTTTTGAAATCATACCAGCTGGGCCAGTCCCTGCATGGTGTGGGATGACCCAAGTACCACCCGCCATCAGCGCCCAGCACTTTCGGGGCGATCGAAACTTGGCGCAGGCAGCGGAGGCTATAAGGTTTCTTGCTCAGAGCAGGCTCACTACACGCTGGTGCTAGCAGCTTGACGGGCGGACCAAGGAAAGGGAGCAGGATTAGGGGGGAAGATGCAGCGACACGCAAGGTATTGTTATCGTCCCTTTGTCGCCTGACCGCCTGATTGTGCATGAAAGTCGGGATTTGAATACATGTCCGTGCGCTTATGAGCAGCGGTGGAATGGAAAATATATTTGTCGGAAGTGCGGTGTGGAGGGATCCTTGAGGGTGTCGCGGTTGACACAAAGAAGTAACAGAGAACGATGACTCTTACAATACATATGTAAGGAGTACGAGGTAGAGAGCTAGATGCTCGGATTTCTGGATGCGGATGAATGGCAGGCAGCAACAAGTGGTTGATTCTGGAGAGGCCACCAAAGGCACAGATAAGGGAAGCCCGCTGTACGAGCCCCCCTTCAATGGTCTAAGGGGCCAGTCTGGGGCGCATGGGCCGTTTCGCGGGCGCGCTTCAGGCAGGTGAGGCTGGTGAGGTTGCTAGGTTGCTGGTTGCTAGGTTGCTAGGGCTGCTAGGCTCCTAGGCCACTAGGCTGCTACGTAGGCTAGCTGGTTGCTGAGCGGTAGTTGCCAGGCGTGCTCTGCTGCACTTGTTTATGTTAGCCTGGGCCCCCCATTAACCCCCAAGCACCCACCAGGCGTGCGTAACTCTGTAACAACAAAGGTGTGCGTTCGTCCACCTTGCATCTCTCTTTAACGCGCAATGCTCCCCTGAGACAAAGCTCATTCCTCTCCCGCTCTCTTGATATCCTTCTTGTCCTACAATCTCCCATCTGAAAACCGGCATCGCCAATCATCTAACAGAGACTCTTTTGGCCAGGAGTTGACGGCCGAAGCCCACTCACACAACACCCCGTCCAATCCATCCGTGGCAGTACCGTGCGGTGCAGTGCGTGCAGTGCAGTGCAGTGCGTGGAGGCCCGCGCCAGTGTCTTAGCCACATCCACACTAAACTCACCCCGAAAAGGTACTTCCCTGACAATCATCTCTCAACCTCTTTAAACATCCGTCTCCGTCCTACACTTCCCTCTTTCCCCCATCCTTGCGCCAGCAACCTTATCCATCATCTCTGTAGACGACTGCTGAACCGCCAGCTTTTCCTTGACACCCTCATTTCGGCTGTCCTTTAGTCATCTTATCTGACTCCGTCCGCAGCAGCCGTCATGGCTGAAATCCGTCGCAAGCTCGTCATCGTTGGTGATGGTGCCTGCGGGAAAACCTGTTTGTTGATGTATGATAATCACCTCCGAATCCATTCATCTCAATTGGCTTACTGACAGTTTCATTTTGCAGCGTCTTTTCCAAGGGCACATTCCCTGAGGTGCGCAACCCAACGTGATCCAATCCGATTCTCCTCTGGTTCATCCATTCGATACCTACCAAGACCCCCCTATCGAGACAAGGATGAGAGGAGCTGGAGTTGTGCAGACACAACTAACATGTGAACACAACAGGTCTACGTTCCCACTGTCTTTGAAAACTATGTTGCCGATGTCGAGGTCGATGGAAAACACGTCGAATTAGCCCTGTGGGATACGGCTGGCCAAGAAGACTACGATCGTCTTCGACCTCTATCCTACCCGGATTCTCATGTTATCCTCATCTGCTTCGCCATCGATTCCCCTGACTCACTCGACAACGTTCAAGAAAAGGTATCATCTCATGCTCTGGAACATTCTGCTACATCAGAGCTGACGCAATGATCAATAGTGGATTTCCGAGGTACTTCACTTCTGCCAAGGCCTTCCTATCATCCTCGTTGGGTGCAAATGCGATCTGCGACATGACCCCAAGACCATTGAAGAGTTGGCAAAGACATCCCAGAAGCCCGTCACTCCAGAACAGGTGCGTCCCTCGCCATCCGAGCTCTATCAACACCCGATTGCCGTGAGGACTAACTTGGGTTGATTTAGGGTGAAGAGGTACGCAAGAAGATCGGTGCCTACAAGTACCTTGAATGCTCGGCCAAGACCAACCAGGGTGTCCGTGAAGTCTTCGAGTCTGCCACCCGTGCCGCCCTGTTGACACGCAAGAGTGGAAAGAGCAAGAAATGCTTGATCTTGTAGATCAAGCACGCCCTTTTTCTCGATGCAATGATACGGCCCGCGTAAATCCCCGACCATTATACCAGGATATCGCCAGAGGGATCCTCAGATATCAAATCAAGAACTGCAATTTTCTTGCTCCGGCTTCACCAAGGATCTGGGTTGGCGGCTTGAGTGTGCTGCTCTTCGGGCACTGATACATTAGTTTTGTTTCCTTACCGAGCGAAGGATGGATGGGTTGATGATTGAGGCAATACAAAGAATTGCACAGAGGCCAGAGATGGATCAAGTTCGGATGGTACTGGCAGCATGACGGCGTTCCTACAGTCGAGACATGTCGAGTCATCATCGAAATAGGCAATCCATTCACGGCGTTTCGTCCTCAGGCTTCGGGCTTTTTCACAGTCTAATCTAGCACTTCAATTGCCCCATTCAGGTTGTACTAGAAATTTCTCGAGCAAAGCAATCAAATAATGTCCAGCCACGTCTTTTCCAACTCAACTTTCCACCAGTATTGGTGGCGGAGAGGTTGGAAGGCCGTCTTCGTAATTCCAACTGGCTCCACACGTTATCTATGAATTTTCGAGCCGTCTGAACTGCCTGAGCCGGCAAGTATGGTCTTTCGAACTGACGATGGCAGATCAGGCAGCCCTAGCAACCAGACCTAGCGGTCATTTGTCGAATTACGCGTGAGGGACGTTTATTGCTGGATCTCCATCCTCAGTTTAATGTAAATCATCGGAATACATGTGAATATCCAGCAACAAACGACTCACTGTTGCAGCACGTGCCTCTTCAACTTGCAAAACAAGGTTAACAAGGCTTGCAAGGCCAACATCACGTGCAAGCTTCAGCCTCGCCATGCCATGACGTAGGAGTCGCCGCTGATAGGCTTAAGTCTTGGTCCTCGCGATACTGCGAGGACTCGCCCATGTTCGGGTGTGTTGTGGAAAGGGTTCAGAATATCTCTTGATATTCACCATGGCCAGCTAATATACATTTTTCTCTTTGACAATTGGAAATGGTGCTCCTTGTAGCACATCATAGCAGACGCTGCTCCTGCTCGTAATGTCCGCTCGTGCCGTCGTCCCTGCTCACTTATCCTACCTCGCAATATACAATCCATCTCTCGGTCCTACCGATGAGACCTTACGCGACCAGATCGTGTTTTACTACTCCCACAAGTTTGAAGTGGACCAAGAGGAGCAGGCAAAAGGAAAATATGCTGCCAATGGAAAACGCCATGCTGCATCTGAACCGGACAGACAGCCAAAAGGAAAACAGAAAGAGGAAGAGGAGGCAGAAGAGAATGAGAGATTACGGCAGGTCGGGCTGGCACAAGGTATGGTGAGCTTTGTAAAGTAGGTGGGCAGCGGAGACTGCATCACGGCCTCCATCCTCCTTTCCGTTCTTGGGCTCTCAGAGTCCATGCCTGCCCGATAGCCATGATGATCTGACATCTGATCGACATCTTAGGAATTTCTCGAATGGCGTTCCTCTCGAGTCCATCGAAACGGGAAAATCTCGAATTGTCCTCAAAGAGATCGAGCCTCAGTGGTGGATTCTCGCTGCCATCGACCTGACACAATTGCCTTCTGTCACAAGAATCCCCTCCGGACAAAAGCATTTTGCAAAATCAGCAACAAATACCGGCCTAGGTGATACTGCGTTTAAGGGGGATATGGAATACTCGTCGCGAGAGGTTGCACCAGCACCTTTATTGCTCGCACAACTTATGCATGGATATCGTGGATTCTTGCTTCACCATGCGACGTCCTTGTCTGAGCTGTGGAAAAAGCATGATAACGATCGAGATCTGTTTTGCAGCCTTTTGCACAGGTACTGGACACGATTCATCTTAAATTGGGATGTCCTTTTGCACGGCCATCCTGTGACAGACATTTACGACGCTGTCAAACTCGCTGGTGGCGGAGAGCTCGGTGTTGGCGTTGGCGAAGAAGAATGGGGAAGTGGCGAGAGGGAAGTGCTAGAAGGATTTGCGAGCCGCACCGAGGGGCTCATCGATCTCATTGTTGGGAGATACGGGGATGCTCCTCCGGAGCGCATTGGCGAAGAGAAAACAAGAGAGATAAATGCAGCGCATCCTCCTCGAGAATCGCAGCCTTGGTTGGGTAATGGCGAAGATTCGAGGGCTGAGGATGGAGTCATATTTTCTGGTGTTGGTGGCATCTCAAGGCCTTCCCTTATTACAATGTCCCAGTGGATGGAATCTATTTACATGCACGGTGATGCAGCTTATGGAGTGGCTGAAAATCCTGCATCTCGCCCAAAGCATCGCAGAAAAAGACGCAAGGTGGATAAAGGCAGACCGCAAGAAGCAACCTCTGACCAAACGAAACAGCAAGCACAAGCGGTACATCCCAGAGTCAAGCCATCTCTAGGCAAGCCGCAGGGTTTACGCCGCAAGGCGATCGAGAACAATGCAACACCGCCAGGCATTCCGGCACCTCTTGTTACCGCCGTAGAGCGATCTTTGGACAACGCAATCGCCAAAGTAGATTCAAAGTCACCCAGCGCAACCGACGACTGCCGGAGTGAAACAGACATCGAGTCGGGCCCCGAAGCCTCGGAACAGCCCCCCATGTTCAACACGGAGAAGATGATGAAGTATCTCAGCCTTGGATATGGCACCAGCTGGACACTTAATCCCAAAGGCTTCGGCGGTGACAAAACGTCTAAAGTCCCAGACGAAAAAGATCTGAATTCGAGTACGCACACAAGTCAAGCCACAGAATCTGCGGACGAACAGTTGCAGGAACTTGATCCGACTCCAGATGTCAGTGACGAAGAAGAAACACCATTCGTTCAGCGGCTGGAGGAGTCCATTGGCAAGTTCTTGATTGGCCTCTCTGGTGATCTCGAAAATACAGAATTTGAGGACGAATCCAATGACGAGAGAGCCAGTATTGGTCCAACAGAGTCAAGATTACCATCACAGCGGCCGTCAAGCCGTATTTTCCTCCGCACCCTAGTTGTTGAGATGTCCACGTCCAGATTTTCGCATCTAGACGCTGAAGAACATCCGCAGTCGAGCGGGAAGGATGTCGATATCGTGTCAGGACAGGGTAAAACAAGTACGTCGGCATCCGCGGACGGCGCCCACCCAATTGTCACCCACGAAAAGATTCAAGTTGCGGTCTACGTTCACCAGCCATTCATTTTCGTGTTCTTGTTCCGGTTGCACACACCACACCTTGCGATGCCTGGCTTTTACCGAGCCATACATCATATCCTAGGCCCACTGCAAAAGAGCCTCTTGAAAAGCACGGATCCGGAACGCTGGAGAGAGCGAATGAGAGCGTCATTGGGCATGGATTCAGGTTCAGGACTCGAAGATGGGGACAATCCACAATCCCTGCCCGACAAAAAGGATGTCACTGAGATATATGATCTTCTTTATGATCCCCAGAAATCTACGCTTCAAACCTCAATCCCAAACATACCGCTTCCGGGGAGTCTCGCTGCTGAAGGGCTGCATCGGACCCAACAGAGTCTGCGCCCGATCACAGTTTCGGGCTCGTGGTACACCCTTGGGATACCTATAGGATCATCATCAACAGAGGGCGGCAAAAACTCTTCAGGTCTGCCGAGAATAATCAAGAGTGACTGGACCCGCATTGAGGCTCTGAATGTCTACACTCACATTCTCAATACATGGGCTTCAACTCGTGACAGGAATGCTGGCATCACCAATGCTCGACCAAATGGTGAGGAATTAGAAAGAACAATCAAAACGGCAAGAGGCTGGTGGATTGTGTGGATGAAAGTCTTGCCTTCGAAGCAACACGCCGACGGGAGCGGTGATGTTCCAAGGCTGTCGACGAATCAAGCCACAGGTGGTGACCTTTTCGAATTCTGCGAGAGTGGATTGCAACGAACCAAGGATCTTGCCAAAGAAGCAATTCTCGTCAGAAGATCTCCCCATGAACGCACATCGACAAGCAGAGACACGTCCCGGTCCAGGTCAGAGGCCGGAAGTTCTACCTCAGCTGGGAAATGGCTCCTTCGTGACCAACCCCGGACTCGAGAAGTCAGCGGCGGCGGGCGCGGCATGTCTGGAGCTGTTGGGATGGCAGGAGCCACCAATGCAAAGGGGGTCACCGAAGGCGTGGGAGTTGACGCTAGAAAGTGGGTTGAGGCGTTGATTCGATTGAGTTTTTGAGGCGTTATCGATAGTGCAGGGATCTATACATGGACTCAGCATGCACGAGGCTTGACTTGGTCGAGGTGAGAATACTGGGTAGTGTCTTGCTTTCTCTGTCCAAGCGAGGTGATTGCGCATAAAGTCGGCAAAGATGAATAGCATAATGTCTAACCGACGGTGCTCAAGTGGGTACCCATTGAGGAGGCGGGGAAGTGTTCAACAACGACAAAGCTGTGGCCGGTCTTTCACTATCCAAGCTATCTTTCGGAGCCCGAAGACTCTTCCCAGGAGAGAAAACGAAAAGAAAGAAGGAAGGTGTCCAACTCAGCCGCATTGAAGATCATACCCATTCGAAGGTGCTAAATCCACCCAGACTCGTCAGACATTGCAATGTCTCTTCCAAACTGCAGACACCCAGGGATAGCAGTCGGCTAGTTCGGTGAAGGTTTGGACAGTGGCATGCAGGGAGTTCGTCCCACGATACCAGGAACAGCTTAGACGCCATGAGGAACCCGGGTTGGACAAATACCCAGTAGAGGCCAACAGAGGCGACCCTTGTGGCTGGAGGCTCCTGATGCGAGACACTTTGGGCGGGCCAAACAGTTCATCCAGTGCGTTTCCCCGGTGGAGTTGTTTTTCCACCATGCCAATTCAAACCCTCCACAATTGCAAGCGGCATCTCCTACCTGGACTGTTACAAAACTTGGCTATGCTGACGATAAGTCCCGAACTGCAGTCTGTGAATGGTGGATTGACTGTTTTCCATTCCTCATCACGATCCGCCGTCTGGCCAGACAGGACCTCCCTTTGATGATAACCCTCTAGGTTCGACCGACTTTTTTTTTTCTCTCTTCGATCACTATGACCTTGCTTTACTTCCCATGCCTCAGCACCGAACTCAGCCTCAGGCTCGGCCGCTCCGACCCGCTTTAGGGGGAGCAGCCGCGCTGCCAGGGTCTGTTCCACTAGATCCCTCAATTGCCATAGACGAGAACACAGGCATTCGCGACGCCTCTGCTCCAAACCCCCAGCGCTCAGCCAAGAAAAATGCAACTATTGCTTGCCAGGCCTGCAAAATCTCGAAACGAAAGGTAAGCCGTACGATGTCTGCCAGCTATCCGCGGGATTCGAGGTTCCTCAGCTCCCAATCGACCAGACCTGATCTTGTCATTAGTGTGATCAGCACCAGCCCTGCTCCAATTGTCAAGCGAGTAACAAGACATGCATCTACGACCCATCACAGGATGGACGAAGGAAGGAGAGCCGCAAGAGGAGGCTCAACGAACTCGAACTCCGAAGTCATGCTCTCGACAGGATCCTGATCAGTCTAAAACACTCCTCGAGCCCAGAGGCCCGGCAGTTGCTCGAACTTATCAAGCAGGATGCCCCTCTCGAAGAGATCATTCTCTTTCTTGACACCCATCCTGGTCCAGCGGCAAATGAGACTCGCGCGGCTCTATCCGCCAGTCCTCCTCCAGAGGGTGACGGGATACGTCGCATGCTTGCAATAAGTGAGCTGACCGACAATCCGACTTTCAGGGTCCCTGCCGCTCCGTGGACCACAGTTACGAAAGATGACCTCCTCGTCTCTCACCTAGTCTCCGCGTACATCAATTGGTATCATTTCTACTACCACAACTTCGACGAGAAGTTGTTTCTTGCCGCCATGGCTAAGGGGAATCTGGACTCTTCCTATTGTTCACCTTTCTTGGTCAATGCAGTTCTTGGGATGGGATGCGTGAGTATTTTGTCAACCCGACGCGTGCGGGGCCACATGTGTTGATTGCGATGCCAGTTTTTTTCAGATCATCCTTTAGCCTTTGCGACGCCAGGGGAAGTGGGCTCACGAGGCCTCCATTTCTACAATGAGGCTCACCGGCTTTGGACACTCGAAGCCGCTAAGCCGACCCTAACCAATATTCAGGGCTTCACTATTATGATAATGACGTGAGTCGGGAACATAGCAGTTTGGGCGAGACGTGTGCTGATACCCAGGATTAGGGCGGCTTTCACTGGCAAAGACAGGGTGAGCTTCTCGTCCCTGAAACAGCTCGAGGTGATGATGCCTCAGCTTCTTCGTCGGCATCCGAAATCAGGGAAGAGTCAACCGATCTCTGAGGATTTTGAACGATCCCTGAAGATTGTGGAGTGGGCGGCGCACATATATTCAACGTGAGCATCAACCACGGTTGGTCGAGTCTAGGCGTTCTGGTTGACTTGACCACCAGTGGCTTTGGCACAGGGTTCCTGATCGCACCGACGAGTCCCAAGCCATCTCTTGAAGCGCCATATGCTTCCAAGGTATGGCTCAACCATCTCACACCGTGGTCACCTTATCCTATGGCGGGGGATCCCGTTCAGCTGCCACTTCAGGCTCTTTACCACTACATGTGCGAGCTGTATGTATTCGCTGGCGATATCCAGTCTCTGGTATTTGCCGACTTTTCCACCATGAGCACCATGGAAAAGCTCAACGCGGCTCGGGAGATGGACAGGAAAATGTTGGAATGGTACAGTTCTATACCTCAGCAGTTCCAGGTTGATGACCCCAATTTTGTTTTGGTCCCGACCACGGTTGATCTGGCGTAATACACCTTGTCCCTATGATGTTCGATTAAGGTCGGCTGACTGACATCTGCATTAGATTGAGCTTGCATCATTTCCGCCTGTTAATGTGGAATTGGACGATTCCGCCGCCTCCGAGTGCCTCAAAGCCGAACGCAGAACCCGAACAAAGATCGGCAACAGGCACGAGCCCGGATGCACCAATCCCAGGTCAGGACGAGCTCGACCAGATCGCCCGCGAGGCGAAGGAGATGTGTATGGAGATCGCCTCAGTCACAGTACGGATCATTCGAGCCTTCAATGCTAGCTTTGGCCATCGCTTCTTCACCGTCCTGACGCCGCAATCCGGCATCCTCGCTGCTAGTTTCCTGCTGTCTGGCAATCTCCATTCCGCGGACGAGGAGGAACTGCTGCTGGACATCATGCGGGTCCTGGTGAGATGTTCGCGGCAGCGGCAACTGGTTAAAGGCATCACCCACATGTTACTGAAGACGGCAGAAGACAAGGTCGTCGCTGCCGGGAATGGAGATACGCCTCCTCCTGGCGGCGTCAGCAAGTCTCTGCTGGAGCAGTTGACGGTCATCGTGAAGGACATCGCCTGGGAAGGCCAGGAGCATCTCACCTTCAGCTCCAAATACCCCAATCACATATTGGTAAAGGAGGATCCGGACACCGAGCTGAGCCTGTTGCTCGAAAAGTGGGCGCACATGGGTTTGGACGACGAGGAACACGATGGCGGCGAAGGTTCTGACGACCACAATCAATCGACGGACAGGGGAAGAGAGGAGGCTGCATGAGTAACCACAATCGTCAAGTGGCGATGTGCTGACTTTGACCATTCAAGTCCTTATCACACAGTCTCTCTCTTCCCTAGGGCGCAGCACTCGTCTCCTTGGTCTCATTCAGCACACTTTCAGGATCTGCGATCTCCTGTGCTTTCATCGGCATACCATTTCCCATTGTAATCGTGCTGACGTCGTGCGACCTTATCGGATATCTGTCAATTTGGCGACCTTGCATGATCGTGGAACGTCTTACCACTTGTTGTGGACTTTGCTCGGTTGGATGACCATGATTCGGCAGAGATCCCGATCCTCGTCTGTTTTCGCAGCGTGCGACAGATCGGTCAGACTCTGAATCTGTTCTGGTGTGAATGAGTCCTGCGATCCTCCGTTTTCCTGAGGCATTTCTGCACAGCACCTACAGTATCAAGACTTCCTCAAACACCCTAACTGTCAATAGATAAAGATACACTCCGTATCGCCCAAGAAATACGAGGCCTTCTCGCAGTTCAGACATGTACGGAGTAGTTGGTTCAGCCTGACAGTTATGCGCGGTGGCATTCCTCACGGCGTGCCCGCGACGAGCGACTCTTGGTAAAACGCTCACTCCGATTTTCATGGTCACGCATTCCCCGATACGAACACCGCCAACACTGAAGCATATCTTTTCAACATCAGCAAAGTGGCAGGGAAAATTTGTGGAGAGAAACTTGCCCTACAGTTCCCAGCACCACTTCAGACTTCTTCGCACCACCCAGCGCTGGAACTCTGGCTAGAAGCAGAGTAAACACGCCAACCAAGACTAGTCGAATCTTTTCCCGCACTTCAACACGTAGTGCTATCGTGGCAACTACTGTAAGCATAACTGCTGAGAGTATGGCAATCCCGGTCACAATGTCGTCAAAGTTTGAGCCCGGGAAGAAGTATATAATTTCCTCCTTGCCGTTGATATCGATCAATTCCTTCTAACAATCATCTAATGATTCAGTGTATTTTGTTTTCGTAAGTAGACCTGCACTAGTGCTGACCATAAAGACGTATTTCAGAAAAGAACCCCCCGGCATGGCGCGTGCCAGCCAACTGTCGGCAGAGGTGGTGAGCGAAGTTAGCTCGCCATTCTCAACATCGTGACTGATGGTGGATGGGTTGGCGTCACGGTATCGGTCGCCGAGGATGCTTCTTGTATTGGTTTTGCATCATCCATTCAAGCCTTGAGCCCACTGATATGAGAACGACTCGGAGAACTAAGGTTCGACACTGTGAGGAGATCAGACGGAGGATCTAGGCATGCCGTTTGCCCTGAGACATTTGAGGGATTCGGATCGGGACAGCAACAGCGTCCGCGACTTTGTACAATCGCGACTGGCAATGGTAAGATTGACGCCATCTTGCCGCAGGTTACTGGCGCTTGGTGTCACGACTTTCACGTACATCATGATATCATGGATTCCAGGTCCCAGTCCCAGTGCGGGCCTCGGATTCCCTCTCCGTCTACACGCTGAATACTTCTGAGCGAGCCCATAGCTCCTCCCCCCTTCAGCAAAAGGGCTACAATAATGCTGTTGCTTTACAGTTCCGTCTCCTCTGAGTCCCGGATTTATATACAGCCCAGACTCGGCTGCATGTCCCCCGATACGTTAACGTTCCTTACATCAGTCAGAGTATTCGACGGACATGGCGGAGCCGACCCTGTCTGAGAACCGGTCCCAGTTGAAGGATCTTGTTGCTGTATGTGAATTTATGTTTTCTTGTCTCATCCTGCTCCCCTCTTTCGATTCCGGCACTGGTGGTCCTCTTCCTCACCACCATCAATCAAGCCGGGAGAGAAGAAGATGGTCAGAGCTGCCCCAGCTCGAGACCTAACCAGTACCAGGAGTTAAGCCACGCGCACAAATCCTCTTCATTTCCAGGATCCGTGCAAAGAAAATGCACTTCATAACCCCGAGCCGCTCGCTAACTTGAGAATGCTGCCATCAAAAATCTGTAGCCACCATGCGTGGCGACCTCTCCAACATCACCGCCCCGCCATTCGTCCTCGATACGAAATCCGCTATTGAACTGCCCTCGTTCTGGGCCGAGCGACCCTCGATATTCGTGGCCCCTGCGGCCGCGGACGATCCCGCGGAGCGAGCATTGTTGGTGCTGAAATGGTTCGTCTCGTCCTTGAGGAACCAGCAGTACGCGGGCAGGTCGGAGGCCGAGGGCGTGAAGAAGCCGATCAATGCCTTTCTCGGGGAACTGTTTTTAGCCAGGTGGGAGGACGACCGGGATCAGGATCAGGACAAGCTCGGGGTCGGGGTTACGAGGCTGGTTAGCGAGCAAGTAAGGTAAGTCGGACGCCTGCTTTTGTCCCTTCTGCGATCGTTTCTATGCTCGCTGGCAGTTCATTCGGACCATCTCTGAGCCTTTGCAAGTCATCACCCACCTGTGACCGCGTGTCGGGTCTGGAACGAGGAACACGGCGTCTCGGTAAGATTTTCTGAGCAAATCAGACCGTTTCTTCAGGCGCTACTAGTAACACTCTCCTCCAGGCAGAAGGATACACTCGCCAGGAGATCACCTTCAACGGCAGCGTCAACATCCAGCAAATCGGCCGCGCGACACTTCATCTTGCTCGACACCACGAGACATACCTCATCCCGCTTCCAGACATAAAAATCAACGGCATTTTAACAGGTTCTCCGTACCCGGAGTTGCACGGCACCCACCACATCCCGAGCACGAGTGGGTATATTTCAACCATCCACTTCAACGGCAGACGAGGCGTCTTCTCCAGCTCTGACAGGAAGCACAGCTTCGAGGCCAGAGTATATCAGGACGGCAAGGTGGGCACTGATCCCATTTACACCGTCTCAGGGCGGTGGGACGGCCAGTTCGTCATCCGCGACTGCAGGCAGAACATCGACATCGAGACATTCGACGTAACGACGGCGAGAACTACGCCGCTAATCACCGATCCAATCGAGGAGCAGGACCCGTGGGAGTCGCGTCGAGCGTGGCGCGGCGTTCGCGAAGCCCTGCAACGCAGGGACATGCAGGCTGCTGCTGACGCCAAAGAAAGGATCGAGAAAGGCCAGAGAGAGATGCGTAAAACGGACAACGACGGCAGAGACTGGGAGCGGCTGTTCTTCGAGCCCATTTCGAGAAAGGATGAAGTCGCAGAGTCGTTGGCGGGAATGGTCGGATTGACTCTCGACCCCGACGATACGGTGGCGAGCTGGAAGTTTCGGTGAAGAGAGTGGAAGGAGGAAGCTTTCAGGAAGCCATATCACGGGGATCTGATGCCAGACAATAGTACGCAGGCCAGGGCGGGTGAGGGGGGAAAAAAGGTTGTCGTCGAGGGAGTTCTTCCGGTGGCTGGTTCGCAAAGGAGTCTATCAAGCGGGGAGCAGAGAGATATTCCACCAGCCCGCACCAGTTCCCAGATCAACGGCTCCCCTTCTTCACCTCAACCGGACACTCCTATCCAGACGGAGATGAAGAAGAGCATTGTCCGAGACATGAAAGCGAGAGAGAAGGCCCAAGTTGAAGCGTTTCTCAGAGACAAATATTCATGCAGGAGGCGGTGAGATGGGCGCCATCCATTCATGCCTAAATTGTTTGTTACTGTAGATGGATCGAGTTTGGCTTGTGCTACGTCGTCCTTTCTGATGTTTTGGGTGTTCATGTTGCGTCAGGTTGAACGGGGGCCCGAAAGCAGCAGTGATCCCATCGACCAGAGTGACAAGGATATGTCGTCTCAGAGGTTGGAAATGTCTAAGATCTCATTAATGAAGACCAATGTCCTTTCCACCGAGACATTAATACTCACGCCATTTAACACTCTAAATCAGAAACTCAGCTCGCTTGCTAAGAAGGGAAAGCAGGGAAAGACGTCCGCCTCGTGCTTCTACTCCACCACTTTGACGATCTCCCTGCACATCTTCAAGAACCTGCCCCGGTACTCCGGCGCAGCAGTCGTGATACTCATCGGGCCTTTGTCGTCAAACATCCTCCATGCATTGATGAGCATCGTCATCATCTTGGCGTGGACCTTGTGCTTAGCCCAGAAGAAATCCAGGATCACCACCCGGAACAGCCACTTGTCGTCCTGGCTAGGTACACCGGTCCGCCAGTTCGGCGGATCATTGAACGGGTTTTGGCTCTCGTCCATGGAAGAGGAGGATTTCGGGATCCGCACCAGCATCAGGCTGTAGTCGACGGCATTGTGCTTCTCCAGGAGTTCTGTATCTTCTTCGAGCAGTTGCAAAAATTCGTCCGCCTGCTCGCGACTGAGGAGAAGCTTGTCTTCGAAATTGTCGGCGAGCTTGGACTTGGTTGCTTCCGAGGCAAGTCTGCCACCAGCCACATCACGCTCCGGGAAGAAATACGACATTGGCTTCAGGTCAAAAGTCTGCCAGTCGGAATCTTCTTTCTGGCCGTGGAGAAGGTTCTCCATCACGAGGTGGTAAGTTGGTGCAATGCCAAAGAGGCCACCGATGCTCGGATAGCGCCATCCAAGAAAGTCGGTGATGCGGACGAGGAGTGACTTGGGATGGGATTCCATGTGTGAGACATAGGGTTCCAGCAGGTCGTCTCGGAAGAAGGTGTGCTCGAAGCGACGAGGGATAGATTTGATGAGGAATTTGTTATCTTTGGTGTTGAAGAAAGTCTAGACAGCCGCCGTCAGTACTGCACACTTTGGGAGAGGAGACTAGGTTTGACCTGTCACGTACCGAGCCCGAATAGCCCATGTCGCCCTTTGACACGAGTGCGTCCTTGCCCTTGAAGCTAGCCTTGTATTCGTCATCTGAAAGCTTCCATGTCTTTTCTCTCAGCCTCTTGAACAACTCTGGGCGGAGTCTGATCAACAGAAGCCCATAGAGCGCGAAGAAGGTCTTGAGAGGGCGCCATAGTCTGCTTCGTCTCTGAGACTCGTCGTCTTCTTGGATGGCAGAGATGATTGACCGCGAGATTTTGTCGTCTCGACGGCGGCCCATGGCTTGACAACTAAGCTTTCCACCGGAAGGACTGGCCGATATACGAGGTTCCTAGGGAACTGGCGAGGCTGGGTGCGTTGAAAGTTTCCTGGATGCGAATTTCAGGGAACGATTTGCCCCAGCAGTTGTGACGTCACTGACCAGAATCTTGCCAAGGCTTGATACTGTCAGGCTGCACTAAGCTCTCTTTGGCCGCGCGCAAGGCTGTCTGGTATTGGCCGTGGCTGGTCCAAGGCTGGTCCAAGGCTTGTCCAATGCGCAGCCACATCCATGATTCGACGAAGAGGCTGGAATGCAACCAGATGAGGCTAAGCAGGGTAGAAGCAGATCTCGAACCTCTTGCAAGACCTGAATTTGCCGTCCAAAGATATTCCCATTCCTGCTTCTGGATAGCCGTGGCCCGGATCTCTTCTTCTTACTTAGACCTCGGTACTACATACCCGTTCCAACCCCACATCTGGCAGTAAAGCTCCCACATCAAATAGGTGGGAGTAGTACCGAGACAAGAAACTGGGAGAATGCTCTACAACCCTAGAAGTTCCATCAATCGACTGTGACGAGGGTGGAGGATCACGGGTATCTCGCTTTCTATTCGCGGGCATATGGTTGAACGAGTCTCACATCACCCGCCATCAAAGATCATGGCTAGAATATATCGCAATCCCAATAGACCCGTTGTTGACGTGCCAAAGCTGGACTTGTTGACATTTCTATTCGGTGTGCCCACATCTTCTGATCTCCAACAAGAAAGGTCGCTGACATCAACCAGAGACCGAGCATTGCGTGGCCCAAGACGACACTGTTTTGCATTTGGAAGCATCCAACCCATCCAACAAGATTGCCAAGAAGGATCTTCTAGACCTCACTCAGCGCATCGCCCATGGTCTACGGCATCATTATGGCGTCGGCGCCAATGGCCCCAACACGGATGTCATCACGGTCATCAGCTATGGTCAGCCCTTGGTGCCAGCAGCCTTCTATGGCACCATCGCCGCAGGGGGAGTGTATTCCGCCGCCAGCCCTTCCTCCACCGTAGCAGATTTGGCTCGACAAGTCAGCGTCGGTACTAGTCGCCTAATTATTTGTGGGTCGGAACACAAAGATCTGGCAACCCAAGCGGCGAAACAATGCAATCTCTCTTTGGAGAGGATCCTGGTTCTGGAGTCCAGCCCTTCGTGGAGCCTGACAAGTCTAGACGGCAGGATCAATGTCATCTCCGACCAGACTGTGAAATGGGAGCGCATCACTGACCCCACGGCGTTGAGGAAGAGTCTTATTGTGATTCTGTGGTCCTCTGGTACAACTGGTCTTCCTAAAGGCGTTATGCTTTCCCACGAAAACCTCGTGCAAGAGACATTTGTGACATCCGTTGCCGGCAGAGAGTGGGCCGCTAAACAGGTCGAAGCCGGGAAGGAACTCAAGCCGTACCGAACGCTGGCCCATCTCCCCATTAGCCATATTGCCGGGCTGTTTGGGTACCTCGTTGCACCATTCTATTCTGGTGGGTTGGTGGTATGGATGCGCAAGTACGAATGGAGCCAACTGTTGAAGTATATGAAAGAGTACGAAATCACCGCCTTTTACACAGTTCCCTCTATCTATCTCCGGATATCCAAGGCTCCCGAGGTGCAGGACCATTTCCGATCCCTCGACGCCGCCACAACTGGAGCAGCCCCGATGGATGGCGATCTGCAGACTGCTGCGAATGCCAAACTGGGCCAGGGAGAGACGTTTATTGGTCAAACATGGGGATTGAGTGAGACAACAGGAGCGGTAACAATGATGCCGAGGGGCCAGAGCGACATAACTGGTAGCATATCTCCGATCCTCCCCAATGTCGAAATCAGGTAAGGAGATTTCCAGAGTATCTCTCAAATTTCGGTTGCTCACTGGTTGGAGCAGAATGGTCGACGAAAACTTCAACGACGTTGAGCCAGGACAGGAAGGTGAAATGCTGGTCCGGAGCCCGCTTGTCACTCAAGGCTATTTCAACAACCCTCAAGCCACGAAAGACGCCTTTCACGACGGCTGGTTTTGCACCGGTGACATTGGAGTGCTGCGTGATGGCAAGTTTTATATCGTCGACAGGAAGAAGGTTTGTTTGCCTCGGCAGGCCACCACGAGCATTGCTGATGATAAGTGCTCCAGGAGCTCCTCAAATACAAAGGTCTCCAAGTTGCACCCGCCGAGATTGAAAACTTACTCTTCACGCATCCCAAAATCCAAGAAGCAGCCGTTGTCGGGGTCAACATGCCAGACGATCCCGGTACTGACCTTCCTCGGGCATATGTTGTTGCCGATCCTTCGCAGATCACTGAGGATGAAATCAAGGGATTCGTTAAGCAGCGGCTGGCGCCATACAAGCAGCTTCGTGGAGGCGTTGTCTTTGTGAAGGAGCTTCCGAAGAACGCGGTTGGGAAGTATCTTCGAAGGGAGCTCAGAGACCGGGCGAAGAAGGAGTTGGGATTGGTCAAACCGTCGAAATTATGAGGAGGTGTAGAGGGAGACATGTGCACATGGAAATCTCGGATCTGTATGGAAGGCCAGAGCTTTTCCAGGTGAAGTTGGGTGATGGAGGGAGTACATAGCATACAGGCAACAAGAGAAGCCCGCGGAATGGCCGCCGAAAGTGCCAAGCCGGGAGAGTCAACTATTCCGACCAGAACCAAATTCTACGGGGACCAAGAACAAGGACCATGTTACCGAGGAAACACCATTGTAACTGGCACTGTGTCTTTTCTCCGGACACCACGGGCCGTGATCCTGATGTGGAACTAGTCAGCGGCAGCCTCGCTTCGGACGGTGGTGAACTGTGTTGATAGAAGAATCAATATGCTTTTTTCCGACTGCCAGTATGCATTGATAGTATCTTTGAGATAGACGTCGACTAATAGTCTGAAGCTTTGCAAGGCCCTGCTGCGGCTCGATTCCACCACGTTTAAACACATATTTCGTATTGCTATGTCTGGGTCATCTGTTAGCACGGATGCGTATCGCAAAACAAATATTACTGATCTATTCTCTTTAAAGGGGAAAACGGTAGTAATAACCGGTAAGCGGCCATCTCAATCCGCTTGAAGTGGACATCTTGAACGCTCAGTTTGTCGCAGGGGGTGCTCGGGGGCTCGGCCTGACCTTCGCCTGGGCTTGCGCAGAGGTTGGGGCTAATATTGCTGCCTTGGATTTACTCGACGAGCCTCATGAGGATTTTGCTCTGTTGCATAACGAGTTAGGGGTCGAGGCCAAGTTCTATCGGTGCGTAGGCTGCAAATCTATTGGGATTCTACTTCAATTCTCACTCCAGTCCACTCCTCGAACAGAACAGACGTCACAAACCTCCAACTGCTCACGCAAACATTTGCAGAAGTGGTGAGGGATTTCGGTCATATCCACTATTGGTTAGATAAACCACCTCTTTTAACGATCTGAGGTCTGTCTAACTCCAATGCTCAGTGTGACTGCAGCAGGAATTGCAAAGGAAATGCCCTTCCTTGATCAAACCCCGGATGATCTAACTTCAGTGCTGAATGTCAACGTAAGAGACTCTCGATGCTAAGGGTAATATAGCTAACATTCTTGGCCGTAGGTTCTGGGAACGTATTTCACTGCGCAGCTAGCTGCTAAACAAATGGTCGCACAAGGAGATGGCGGGAGTATCCTCCTTGTCTCTTCTATCGGAGCTCATTGCTCGGTACCAGGGAAATCAGTGTCTGGTTATTGTGCTTCCAAAGGCGCTGTGCTGTCTATGTGCCGCGCAATCGCTGATGACCTTGTTCCTTACAATATCAGAGTTAATACCATCAGCCCTGGGTACGGCTTTGCTTTGTATTAAGCTTTCTCCAAATTTCACGTTTGGAAGCTTCAGTGCTCTCTCGCTGACGATAAAACACCAGGTTCATGCTGACTGACATGGCAATACGGGATATCGACAAGCGGCCCAATATCTTAGAAGAACTTCGTGTTAATGTGCCAATGAAACGTCTGGGGGATCGTCGAGATCTCAAAGGTGCTGTTGTGTTACTTTTATCCAATGCATCGGCATACACTACGGGATCTGATCTTATTATTGACGGAGGTCTTGTCTCTCATTGACGACCATAGTCAATAAATGAAAACTCGGTACAGTTGTCTCCTTAGGATATTGCATATGCAGAAGCTTTTGAAGAGGCAGTGGAATTCACGAAACTGTTTACGAACTTGATCTGTTAGTCTACTGAGATGGTATTATCGGTGAGGTGGTATAGTGATCAGATTTTGCTATCTCAGGTAGGTAAGGTCTGGTATTCTATAATCAAAGGTTTGGAGAATCTCTACTACTTTGTATCTCAATGATCAGCTTCCCAAAGTTCTTCCCTTCTCTCATTAATGTGAAAGCGTCCTCAACATTCTCAAAGCGGTGTACTGAATCTACTACAGGCCTCATTTTTGCTTCTGCGATACAGGCCACTAGTTGCCGAAATTCATCTCTCGATCCCATGGTTGATCCTCGAAGCTGCCAATTTAATCATATATCAGCCCAAGAATCCAAAGTCAAAGTCTAATCGGGAAAAGAAAATGGAAGGGGGAGAAGGGTTGAAGCGAACCTCGATGTTCTTCATCACAGCCGGCATGCTAAAAGTAATCTTTGGACCAAGGGTCATACCATAGCTAGCAATAATGCCGCCGGTCCTCAGCAGATTCAATGACCTCCATACGACGTCACCGCCAGCACCATCGATTATTGCGTCCAAATAAGGTCTTTCCGACGGAAGAAGATCCAGCAGCTGCTCGTTCCATCTAACATTTTTGTAGTTGACTCCTGCCGTGGCACCTAGTGCCTTCGCTTTGGATATTTTGTCTTCAGATCCAGACGAAACATATACTGATGCTCCGCGTAATAGCGCAAACTGAAGGCAGAATAGTGCGACGCCTCCGCCAATACCCGTAATCAAGACATTATGTCCTGGCTGAACTTCAGCTTTGACAATTGTGGCTCTCCATGCCGTGAGTGCTGCCAGGGGAATGGCCGCAGCTTCAGAGTCAGAAAGATGCGCCGGGCACGGCTCGATCTCTGCGGCGGGGACGGCAATATATTCCTGGCAACAGCCGTTCTTGAGCTTCACTGTTCCTCCAAGTATAGATATATCAGACTCCGGACCCTTCGGATCACTTTTCCACCTTGGGTCACGATTAGCTTTACCTGTGTGATTTTTTGGAATGAAGTACCTACCCTCTGGCCGGAGCCAGAAGAACTCTTTTACCCAACCATTGTTTCTTATTCTCTTCAGATGCCGCCAATACAACCACTCCTACTGCATCTGCCATTATTGGCACTCCGGGAGAAGCCCCACGGTACAACTTTTGACGTGCAAAGAGATCTCGATGGTTGAGGGATGCGCAGGAAACTTTGACCACAACTTCGTCTGCATGCGGTTTTGGAAAAGGAACTTCTGTTATTTTGAGCCTGGAAGATAATCAGCGGCTTGTCTCGAGAAAATCGCTAATTTGGAACAGCTCACGGCCAGTAGGTCTCCCCGGGTCCCCCAGGGGCCTCCACCATTACGATTGCTTTTGGCATCTTTGCAGCACTTCAAGATGAAATACTGGGCTTTCGATGCCGACTTTCCTGCTTCACCATAGGATGGGAGCCATAATATAAGATACCCCCAGGCCTCGCGATGATGAGTGTAGTAACTAGTTTATCAATATAGCCGGCGTGTTTCTCCATCATTCGGCGCATAAACCGAGGGTATTTTCCCGAGGAATTTCACTACGATGAGTGGTATAGATCTAAGCCTTCAACTTTCCCTGATATGCTAAAATACATCTAGAGTAACGCAGAAACTTTCCGATCCCGTACTTCCATCCAGGTACTATGACTGCGAAAACTTCTTACTTTCGCAATATCCACCTCCGTTATAGGTCTTGCCTCCAAAGCAGGGTTGTATCCCATGCGTGACACCTTCGACACGTCCACAACGCACGTGTTCGACTGCCCATCTGCGCGTTTATAGACTGTGACAACTGCAGCGCCACCGAGTCCAAGATTGTGTTGTAGTGCAACGGAAACCCCTTGGACATGTCGATTGGTGGCCCAACCACGCAGGTGCCAGCATAGCTCTGCGCATTGTGCTAACCCTGTCGCTCCGAGTGGATGGCCTTTCGAAATGAGTCCACCTGAGGGATTTACCACCACTGTTCCGCCGAATGTAATATTGCCTTGCCGAACGAATTGATGTGCCGTTCCTGGCTCACACAACCCAAGTCCATCGAGGGTGATCATCTCATTTGCCGAGAAGCAATCATGAAGCTCACAAACTTTGACGTCCTTGGGAGTAACACCAGCTTGGATCATGGCTTCCTTTGAAGCCCGTTTCGTCATCTCAAAGCCCACCAGATCTATTGCCGAAGTGGAGTATAAGCTGGGAGAATCAGTGGCCATTGCGCAGCCTGCAATCAATATCGCCTGAGACTTGAGGTCAGGATGGGCATCGAGAAATTTCTGCGAGACGATGACGGCAGCTGCTCCACCGTCTGAAGTTGGACAGCTACCGAGGATCAGGATGTTGTTAGCTCGCCGATCCCTGTCTGTACTCTATGAAACATACGCACCATTGCAACTTCGTTAGTGGGTAATGAATCATTGGGCTCTTTATTATTTCTTCCAGTGTGTAAACATCCTGAAATTGGCTGTAAGGATTTTTCGCCGAGTGCTGATGATTCACCCGAGCGATCTCCGCGAAATCCTCCAATCTTGCTCCAAACTTCTCCATGTACTCACGCCCAGCATTTCCAAACGTCTGCGGGGCCCTGGGGACTTTGGTGTCATAACCGCGGGTTGTTCTCATCATTTCGACAGTGCGTTCGTTTGGCGGTGCTCGATCACTGTAGGCCGACTTGAGGGAACCTGGAGCCATCTTCTCGAATCCCACAACAAGCACGCAATCAGCAAGCCCTCCGGCTATTAGCTGAGACGCCATGAAAAGTCCTGTAGAACCTGTAGCGCAATTGTTGTTGACATTGTAAATGGGTATTTGTGTCATTCCTTTGAAGAGGATCAGTAAACCGAGGGCGACACGCAAAGAGCGCTTATATTGCCTATACCGAATTGATAGAAAACACGTTGACCGCATGTCGAATCTCCATAACAATAGCATGCGATCCCTTGGTCAACTTGATCGTAGTTGATTCCGGCATCTAACATGGCTTTAACGCCTGCCTCAAATCCGAGTTCTGGGTAATCCACCAGCCCCCTGGGCTTGATAAATTTGGTCAATCCGACACCAACAACGTATGAGGGGAATTTCGCCATCCTGAAACTATTGCAGTGAAGTGACCAAACAGAATTCAAAGTCTGTGGTTAGTACAGTGGTCTTCGCATATGTAAATCGCGACTTTAAGGATCTGGAGAAACCCCCTTCCACCACTATCGAACCGGCGATTGCTAAACCAAACGTTCTCTACAGATACCGAATTATCCACCCTACTTCCAGGTTAAGGGGTTCCAGCCTTGCTCACTACGTCACGTGAACCGCTTAACGGCCCGCATTCCACGGAGACCGATTCCGGAGATTCAGAGAGGAAGGACCCGAGGCTTTGTCTCTTCCCATTCCCGCGCAACAGCAATGGGATCCATATTTGTTTCTTGGGCCTCACAGTTGATGAAGATCAGAAATGTCTGCCTTGTCCGAGATGATTAAAATCAACAGCTCAAAAATCTTACACCAAGGGCATCGAAGCAGTTCGTTGATATCGAAAAATGGCCGGTTTAGACGAGCAACAGCATTCAAGTATGAACGGATTTGATTCTGGTCACAGTATCAAGATCGGCAGCAACACACCTGGACCCCACCCGTCAGCCGAGCATCGCCCTGTGCATTACGAAGAATGGGGCACGCCGTCTGCGAGAGGATATTTTATTTCAGACCATATGATCAACGAACCTCCAAACAAATCATTCAAGATCATTCTTATCGGAGCTGGAGCAGCCGGTATAGACTTCCTCCACCACGCCCCGGCTACCCTCGAAGGTCTTAATGTTGACGTTGTATGCTACGAGAAGAACGAGGAGATTGGGGGTACCTGGTACGAGAATCGTTACCCAGGTTGTGCTTGCGGTGAGATACCAGCAACAAATCCCAGAAACAACGCAGTTCTGACGGGGTGAAAGACATTCCAAGTGCAAGCTACCAATTTGCCTGGAGGCCCAATCCAGAGTGGAAGAGCTACTACAGCGGGGCCAAGCATATATGGCAGTATTTGAAAACTATTGTGGATGAAGAAGGCATGATGAGATATATTAAACTCGGAGTCGCGGTGACCGGCGCTGTTTGGCAAGACGATAAGTCTAAGTGGACCGTCCATCTTTCCCGGTCTGACCAAGATGAGATATCTGAGTGGACAGAGGAATGCGACTTGCTGGTTAGCGGGACGGGCTTTCTGAAGTTGGTATCCACCAAACCCTTCGATCAAGGAACGTCGTTTAGCTGACCTTTAATTCCTGTTTCCTGCAGTGCTTGGAAGTGGCCTGCAATTCCCGGGCTTGAAACCTTCAAAGGGAAAGTTTTCCACAGTGCAAGGTACGAAGAAGGTTTTGATCTGAAAGCAAAGCGGGTTGCTGTCATCGGGTCCGGCAGTTCGGGTGTACAAATAGTGGCTTCGATCTATCAGGATGTGTCCCAGCTTTATACTTGGGTACGGACTCCAACATGGATCACGGCGGGATTTGCACAAAAGTATGCTGGTGAAAATGGGGCAAACTTTGACTGTGAGTTATTATGCGCCATCGCCCAACGGTCAGCTAGATCTTTCTTTTCTGCTAACAAGATTGGCCCAGACTCAGAGGAGCAAAAAACGGAATGGCGGCAAGACCCAGAAAAATACAGAGAGTATAGAAAACTGATCGAGCAGGAGTTGAATCAGAGATTTAAGTTCGTCCTCAAAAACACCCGTGAATCAGACGAGGCCAATATTGTAAGAGAATCCACAGCTATATTGCCATCCCTGAAGGTACCACTGACTTTTGGTGTGAAGTTTGCTTACAAAGAGATGGCATCAAAGCTTGGCCACAATCCTCGTCTCGTAGACCGAATGATTCCGAAGGACTTCAATGTTGGCTGTCGCCGACCAACTCCTGGAAATGGTTATCTTGAAGCACTTGTTGGTGAGAAAACAACTTGCTACACTGACAGCATTGGCGCCATCACTCCCAAAGGCTTCGTCACCGCTGATGGCGAAGAGGTCGAGGTGGATGTGATCATCTGTGCAACAGGATTTGACACCTCCTTTCGCCCTCGGTTTCCGATCATCGGACTCGAAGGCGAAAGCCTCTCGAAACAATGGGAAAAGCTGCCCGCCAGCTACATCTCTGTCGCGGCACCCAAAATGCCCAACTATTTTATGTACACGGGCCCATTCGGTCCTGTTGCCCAAGGCTCTGTGCTCCCCCTTCTTACACTTTGCTCCAACTACGTCATTCAAATAATCCAGAAGATGAGAAAGCAACACATCCGCCGACTCTATCCCAAGGAAACCGCAATTGAGGATTTCATGGAACACGCCGCGTTGTACATGCAGCGGACTTGTTGGTCAGACCCTTGCACAAGCTGGTTCAAGCAGGGCACAAAAGACGGGCCTATCATCATGTGGCCGGGAAGCAGGTTGGCATTTTTCGATCTGATGGAGACACCGAATTTCGAGGACTATGAGATCGAGTATTGGAGCAAGAATCGATGGGGTTGGCTGGGAAACGGATTCAGCACGATTGAATTCGACGGAAAAAGCGATATTACTTATTACCTAGACACACAATCTGGAACTGGGGCTTCAGGCAAGACATCAGTCGTCGACAACCACGCCAACGGCCATACGAACGGAGTCAACGTGGAATGATGCATGTCTGATATCTCTAATATGGAAAAGCCTGATTTTCCCTCCATAAAAAACAAACCTCCCCTGAAGAGTTAAAATGCTCCGGAGATAGAGCTACTGGCTCATGCTGTTCTCCTGTTCGTTTCTGGTTGATCAGACGCAGGGCTCTGCTCAGTACAGCGCAGTCCCGCACACTACAACTCCTCAAGGTTGATGTTCTTTCATCCAATTTGACTTAAGTTTGAAGTTTGCAGTTGGCTCATAGAAGCTCCCCACATAAGCGCGATAGCACCCGACCTCCCTATGTCGGGAAGGGAAAGTAACCCGTATGTGCGTAGATAGGGCGGATGGAGTCAAGACACTGGGGCTTGTTCGGATGTCGGAATGCCACATTCCGCTCTCGAAAAGCATTCACATTACATATATTCAAATGCGGAGATCGATTCCTGTAATTTTTGGGTTTCCCCAACTTCAAGTCCGGTAAGAGATCCGCGGACCGAAAGTCCACGTTGGGGTTCAACACGATTGCATAGACGATACGGATCCCCGGGAGATCTTCGCGCTCCTGGAACTGGGCGCACGTTTGTCCTCCATGACAGTAGTCTTGCACTGCAATCTTCCTCTATCGCGAACAAATACGTATGATAACCCATGATTTACGACAGGTTCTTCCTGTAGGGGAACGAAATCAAACGGCCCTCAACGCGATTTTGGCTTATTCCGCATGATGGCCCAGTCGATTCAAAACTTTCGATATCCTGACCAACCATGCGCCTGGAACGAACGAGACCTCATACTATTTGCGGCAAGCATTGGTTGCAGGGCGGAAGAGCTGAGATACCTCTATGTAAGTCATTCGTCTCTCTGCTCAAGCCCGCAGATCCTGTTTGGGAGGGAGAACGCGTGCATTTACCGTCAAACTACGACCTTGGCCGATAAATTGGTTGACTCGGCACAACAGGAAAAACATCCGACCTTTTGTGCGTTTCCGACATATCCTGTGATCCTTCAATTCAAGGGCGCTGCAAATTCGGTCGTTGACTATTACTCGAATATTCTGAAGCCACCTCCAATCCCCGGCAAGACGGAACGGTTCATTGACCCTACTCGTGTCCTGGATGGTGAACGACGTATCGAGATTTTCAAAGCTTTGCCCCCATCTTCGGAAGGGAGACCTTTCAAGCTGAAGACAAGGGTTTTGGGTATGTACGACAAGGGTGCGAGCGGAACAGTGGTCGAGACCGAAGCCCTGCTAGTTGAAGGCTCCGACATATATTGTCGCATTGTACGCCAGAGTTTCGCCGTTGGCCAAGGCCAGTGGGGCGGTCCCAGGGGACCTAGTCGGCCCAGTTTGATGCCCCCGGAAAATAGACCAGCAGACAGAGTGGTGACTATGGACACGCGGCCGGAATTGACTCTTCTCTACCGGTAGGAATCATCGCGCTTTTGCTGTTTCGTTTTGTTTCCGCTCGCGAGCATTGCAGACCTTGGATCTCAATTGAACTGACAGAGAGACTTTTGCCTACCAGATTAAATGGAGACTATAATCCACTCCACGCCGATCCTGCCGTGGCCCAAAAGGCTGGCTTCCCGCAACCGATTCTTCACGGACTCTGCACCTGGAATATGACAGCGCACGCTGTCTTGGACACTTTTGGGACAGCAGAAGCGACATTGAAAGAATTCCAGGCGAGATTTACCAATGTTGTTTATCCTGGCGAGACTCTGACGGTGGAAATGTGGAAAATGAGCCATGCTGGATCAGGGAGTGCAGGTTCGTCGGAAAATACGATGGAGATTCGATTCCTGACGAAGATCCGAGAAAGTGGAAAGGTTGCGTTATCTAATGGTAGAGCCACGATACAAGTCAAGCATGACAAGAGTAACTTGTAGGCGGTGGTGGAACTTTTCTGCGCTGCCACTAGATGCGCGATGGTCCTGAAAATCTCCAGTTGATCAACAAGCACCTGTCTTTGACTCGATGCACGCTTGAAAGTCATATTTATAGTCTCGCTAAGATTCCACGCGAACCATCGCTTCGAGCCTCTAGTTCCTCGATTCGGGAAAACTGCTCAAAGAACTTCAAACTCCCCGGATTTGCAATTGCCGAAGTAGACACATTGAAATTGCCCGAGATGATTCTTTTGACAGGTAATTCCATCTTCTTATTGGTCAGGGTCATCTGAAGTAAGGGTTTTGTTAGCTCGGGATCTCAAGGTTTCTAGCCCCTCGATGTAGTGAACTTACAGGAATTTCCTTGCATTCGAAGACGTACTTGGGAACGTGGCGAGCTGATAGACGTTTTCGGATTGCTAGTTTGATATCAGATACCAATTCAGCATCGAACCTGGCCGCTGGTCGCATGAGAATGAAGAGGAAGACTCTCTCATCCGAATCTTGTTGTCGGCGCTGGCCCACACAAATCGAATCAGCGATTTGGGGGAAGTCTTGCAGTACGCTGTATATTTCGGCCGAGCCAAACCTCACACCTGCAATGTTAATTTGTCAGTCTCGGCGTCCGGTCCATGACTTCAGACGGAATGGCATACCGGACGGATTGAGGACGCCGTCAGAACGTCCCAAGAATTCGATACCTCCAGTATCAGCGTGCACCTTGATGAAGTCTCCTTGTGTCCAGACGCCTAGAAAGATGAGTCAAATTACGGTAAGAAGTCTCGGGGTGCCGAATATCATGGGCAATATACCTTCAAAGGTTGCAAAGTAAGAGGCATGATAGCGTTTGGCTCCGTCTTCGCCCCAAAACATGATGGGCATTGTCGGGAAAGGTGCTGTAATTACTAGCTCTCCTGCGGAATCTGCTCGAGCAGGTTTGCCCTGGATTGCACCTTCTCCATCACTGATATTGGGCTGTTCAAACACTTCAAGCTTCATTCCCAGAGCGGCTGATTGCAACTCGCCAGGGTGGACGGGCAGAAAGGCATTCTGAGCAGCGAATTGACAAGCCGTATCGGTACTGCCAGCAGAATTTGCCAGATGGACTTTTGAAGGGAACGCCTTCTCGTAGAACCAGTGAGCCTGTTCGGGAAGAAGCGTTGCACCTGTGACATTAACCATCCTCAGACTGGATAGGTCTGCGACATCTCGAGGGTTGATCTGATGACGCTGTAGTTCATCGAGGTATCGCGGAGAAATGCCCAAATGCGTCAACCTGCAGCATCGTCAGTTTACAGTTCAAGCTTCCGTCAGCCCAGGCCAATTGAATAGTTACTTTTGTTCTTCGCAGATTTGGAGGAGAACTTTTCGATCAGGATAAAAGGGGCTGCCGTCGTAGGTCACAATGCGTGCACCATTTAGGAGACTTGTTATGGACTTGTTATACATGGCCCAGCTAGTCTTTGGTGGGGAACATCGGTCAGTATGGCTATTCGTCATATTCGACGACCTTTTGGGATCCCTACCGTCGTGAAGATCATTTGGGCAGATTCAGGACCAATTTCGAAATGTAGAAACAGTTCCTTCTTCTGCGACAGCAAAATGCCACCAGCCCCGTGAACAATGCACTTCGGCTGACCGGTGGTCCCCGACGAATAGAGAATAAGACATGGTTGATCAAAAGCCACTCTTTCGAATATGGGCTTGGTCTCACTACCCTTGGAAAGAAAATTTTCAAAAGAAGCGCTGTCTTGAATATCAGACGAGTCCGGGATATCAAGAGGTCCAGAAGTAAGAGCTCATACCTGCGAGGAATGGTTGATAGATCCGTCACCAGATCGAATCTCGGCATGACAACCAACTGTCGAAACTCTTGGACTTTTTCGAGGAATTCGACGAGTTCGATTGCCTTCGGTCGTAGGTCAGTGACCTTACCGCCGTAGACTGCGAAATCCTCCATGAACACCCATGTAGGGCGGATTTGACTCAAACGGTCTAGTATTGCCTTACTTCCCATATCTGTAGAAGTTGAAGTAAAAATTGCGCCAATCGATACAGTAGCGAGGAAAATGGAGAGCGTATAGAGGTTGTTAGAGGCAATAACTGCGACTCTATCGCCCTTCTTTATCCCATGAACACGCAAGGCCGAACCCAACTTTCCCACGATGAGCCTCAGCTTGCCCCAGGAAGTATGCGTGACATTAGCGTTACCCTCCCGAATGCTGGTGACAGCGATCTTTGAGTCGGGCTTTCCGGGACCAAATAGAAGATTCTCAATTATGTTGATTCTCACGCCAGAGAACCATTTCGGAATCTTTGCCATGGGCGTTGAAGTGTCAACCACCTTGATTAGCACTAGTCAGACTTCGTCTCTGGGCCTCCAGCGTCGCTAAAATTAATGCTGCGTACCGTAGTGTAGCTCCCTGAATAGAGAAGATCCGAAAACTCAAAAACATCTTGCCAGAATTCGGGGAGTTGGTGTACCGAATATGAATATAGGTCGTGATAGTCCTATATCGTGTGAGTCTCGGTTTGAATAATGCCTGACCTGCAAACAAGATCGATAACGGGGGACTGCAAACGAACAAGCAAGTTGAGACCGCGACGATGATTGACGAATGTGCGGAACCTTTCCAAGTGAGTATTTCTAGGATGAGGATGCCGCCATAAGATCTGGCGACGACGATCTAGAGGAGAAGAAGAACCCATCTTCCAGTCCTCGATAGTTGCGTGACTAGGTATTACCACTGGGCCAAGAACTCGACAGATGTCGCTGTAGCCCCTAATAACTTTATAGGTACGGGGGAGATATCGCAAAATGTAGCGCAATCATTAAGGCCACAAGTGTTTCCTGTGCTCGTACAGGAAATGGTAAACCGACATGGGATGGGGTGTAAGACGCCAGGGATTTTCGCATCAACGCCAAGTCGGAGTCTTTGATCCACGGAGACTGCTCCGCGGCAAAGGTTCCGAGCTACCTTGGGACTATTCTACAGTATTTCGCTTGCTTGTTGAGACTTTGGGGGATTGTCTCGTTCACTTGGCCCTCGGGTGATGATTACTGCACCCCATTTTTGTCACATCAAAGACTGACTGCCTGGACAGGGTTGACAGGTCTGTCTGGGAGCACCTATGGTTTTTCCAACCATTGCCCTTAGAAGGCATTGGCTACTACGGCCCTGCAAGAAGGAGGTGACTCTCACCAAGTATTACGTCTCCTGCCCGACCCTTTATCTTTCTCATGGCCTATGGAGTGGTGGCGTGTTAGGACCGCCACCAGGACCGGACTACCATTGAGGGTGTTTGGGGGGCGAAAGGGGAGGGTCTCGGGTTCCCCGCTATCCACAGCCATCCCCCCGTGTGCCCCAGCCGAAGACATGGCTTCAAAGTCATCCCCGCAGTTTCACGTTGCACCCTTGACCGTCCGGAAAGAAGCATTGTATTCATCCAGATTCTCTGATGGACCTCGTAGAAGCCAATATGTCTGGTCATATGGATAATGCCAATCAAGAAGTTTCTGTCTTCACGTCAGGCTCATCATCACCACATGGACGCAACAGCTCAGCTCACCGAGCTCTCCGACCATTTCGGCGACGTAGAGAAAACAGAGCTTGCAATGCCTGTCGGGCAAGGAAAACCAAAGTGAGTCCTTTGTGATACATTCGCGCTCCTAAGTTGTCAAGTGTTTTCTGTTCATCGAAACATCTTCTAAGGCTCGCTCTCATAGTGCGATATTTCCGTAAAAGGCCAATGTTCTTCCTGTGTCGCTGCCGGCCTCATATGCGAAGTGACAGAACCATCCGCTAAGCAGCAAAACGCCATTCTGCTAAAGTAAGCAATGAGATACACGGTTCCAACATGCGCCCTTTCTCTGTGATGCTCAACTAACCCATTTCGAAACAATAGACGAATTTGCGAGCTTGAACAGACTGTGGAGAAATTTGCAAAACATATTGAGCATGTCGGGGAGCGGCCGCCCGAACAAGCTGAATCAGATGGCCACAATGAGGACTTCCAGCCGCGACTTCCTTCACAACCTCCATCTCCAGGCCCAAAACAAGCAGACCATCAATCAGCAGCCGAGACTCAGAGCAGCCCGACTGTTGAGGTGGCAGGAAAGTCTAGTCTGAGGAAGCGTCGTCGATGTACCAATGGCAGTCCAAATTTACAGACATATGTGACTGGGGACGGAACCAAAACACACCATTTCTATGGCTCAACTTCGGAACTGGTGTTTCTTGACTCGGTTAGGGAGTATGTCCAGCAACTTGGCTACGAAGTCCCAGCGTCTGGGAATCTATGGCGCACTAATGTTGACACGACTCAAACAAAGCTTGCTGACAACCAGCCTAAATCAAACCTGGCAGCTGATTTACGGTCGCAATTGCCCTCCCAGCGGCTTGGGGCGAAGTTGATCGAGGTATATGCTCAACACGTTCAAGCACATACACCCATGTTATATTGGCCTTCAATACTGATCAAATTTCAACGAATCTACACGAGATCTCCTTTGCTACGTTATGAAGAAGGCCAGATAGCGGCCGACTTTTGCATTCTGATGATGGTCTTCGCCGTTGGATCCCAACTGTCCGAATTGGCAGAGGTCGGTCACGGTAGCGGTCAGCAGATGAGGAACGGATGGGGCTTCTTTGAGGCAGCCAGGAAGTGCCACCGGTTAATCAAATCCACCTACAATTTGGACGACGCCATCATCACTTTGCTTATGAGTATCTACCTCCTCGGAGCGTCTCTGCCCAGTCCATGCTGGGTCATGGCTGGAACAACATCACGTATCGTGCAAGATCTCGGTCTGCACAAACGACCTTCCCCACATCAGCTATTCAATGTCGAAATCGAATCTCGAAATCGACTCTTCTGGGGGGCTTACATGGTTGATCGGCTCGTGGCGCTTACCTTCGGGAGACCTGTGTTGCTCTTGGACGAAGATTGCGATGTTGACCTCCCTGGTAATGTGGACGAGAAAGGCATCACGTCTCCTCACTCATTGCATTTCTTCCGAACGAGCATATCAGTGGTATCTCTCCTTGATCCAATCATCCAACTCGACGCCGTGCCCCGGAACGAAGAAAATGATGTCGAAACAATGATGCAGATCGACGCCCAACTGCTTTCTTGTTGGTACAAGTATCCCGGCGATTTGACCAACGATGATGCAGATGGAAGTATCGAGCCTTCTACCCTGAAAATCTTATTCATCACACAGCAAGCGCGCCTGGCTTTATTCAGACACTTCACCAACAGTGCTCTCAACAATTCTTTCCGGAGTACATGCCTGAAGAAAAGCGTCGAGACCTCCAGACTGACGGCCAAAATCGTGCTCAGGGTTGCCAAAGGAGTGGACTGGGAGGACGGGATCGCCCACCGCTGCAACGACATTGTGTACAATCACATATTCCGAGCCTCTATCGTCCTTTTACTAGAACACCGTCTCAAGACATCGTCTGCGATGGGAAAAGGGCAGGGGCCTGGTGCTGCACAAAACAAGCACATCAATATCCTCTGGCAGTCACTACGAGCAGCAGCACAAACACATCTAACCGCTGCCAAATCATTGGAGCTGCTTCAAGTCTTTGCCAACACCTTGAATTTTGACCTCGGCCTCACAGAGGAGAATGCTGACGAGTACGCTCCGGGAGACGGGACTGATGTCCTCATTCCACACGGGCCGGATATACGGACTTATGAAACTCTCGCTGCACCGGATTTGACGGCATGCACCGCTTTGATGACGGCTGACATGCCATCCCCATGCCCAGAGATCCAGCCACGACCAAAACCGAGCTCAGCCTTAGGAACAAACTCTTCCAGTCATATGCTTGCGACGGGTCTCACATTTCCCAAGCGGGATGATGCAGGAGCTGCAGGTACCGTGCCAGATGAAGAGGGGTGCCTAGGCACCGAAAAGCGACCTTCACCAGGCCATGGTAGCATTGGGTCCGAAGATATGGACTGGGCAATGTTCCACGAACTGCTTGACCACGACAGCATCTTTGATATGTATGCAGGCGGAGTGAATGGGAACGGCGATTTTCCAGTTGAATTCTGAAAAAGATATCACTCATCTCGGGTATATGTATATTAGACTGTGCGAGCCTTAACATTGCTGTCATGCTTTGCCGATTGATCCCGGTTGTTCAGATATAATCCGACACCCTCCACGATGGTGTGGACCGGCTTGAAGCATAAGCGACACTACCCATGAACGAAAATTGTGGATAATCCAAAACTCTGCTAATTAGGGACTACTCATGGGCCTACAGCTTCAGTGAAATCACTTCATGAGCTACGATGTAGTCAGATTGCTTAATACGTGAAATTTCTCTCCGCCAAGCAGACATCAAAGCACCGCATCGCTCAAGCCTTCCAGTACAACTTCACCGCATAAATCGAAAGCTTTTGTCTCAGAGATAATAGAAGTCCTTAGAATCAAATACACCTATTGTGAGCTGCGAAATTCTACACTAGCAAAAGACAAGGTCATTTCGTCTTCGCCGGCCAAGATGTGCGCCTTCGAGCACGGACGTAGATGTTCATAGGACGAATGAGCTGGAAATCAGGGTCGTACTCAATCGCACCGTGAGACTCCGACGTAAACTCATAGCGATAAATCAGCTCGGCGAAGAGGATCTTGACCTCCTGCAGCGCAAAGTTGAATCCAATGCAGCCTCGCGGCCCCGCGGCAAAAGGCAGGAATGCGCACCGGTGCCGTTGTTTAACTTGCGGGGTGTCCCACCTGTCGGGGTCAAATCGCGCCGGGTTATCCCAGAATTTGGGATTCGAGTGGATCGCATATAGTGCTGGGACGACGACGCTGTTGGCAGGAAGGTGATACCCACCGGGGACAATGACGTCTGTCTTGGTGGTTCGTGCGGGCTGGAAGGAAGGGTTGTGAAGGCGCTGTGTTTCTTTCACAAACTTGTCCAAGTATTTGAGGGAGCCGGCCAGATCTGGTGACCAGTCGATATCGTTGGTGACGTCGTGATCGACCAGCTCTTGCAGCAAACGCTCTTGTTGGCCCTCGTAGGTAACAGCAGAGTAGATCATCCAAGATAACAGCGAAGAGGTAGTTGTGAAGCCAGCAGCCGTCATGATGACAATGTTCCCCAGGAATAGATCTTCTGGCAGTTTGTTCCCAGCTTCGTCTGTTGCTCGTTTAATGTAGTCCACGACGCATGTTGCTTTCAATGCAGCCTCGCTGAGAGGGAGATCAGAGGTGTCGCGCTGTTCCACGCTATCCATTGCGGTCTGCAGTCGTGAGTAAATCCGGTGCCTCACTTCCTTCAGCCGTTTGGCGTCTCCAAATGGAAGAGCCCCGTACCATTCACCTCTGCTTGTCACTCTCTTGTTCAGAACTAGCATGGCTGAAATATCGTCGACAATGGGGTCCAGTGGAGAGTCTGGGCCGTCGAAATGATGGAAGTCAAGACCCAAGCAGAATTTGCCTATCGTCTGTGAAGCGAGCTTAAGCATATATTGGTAAACATTCCAGCTTTCGTTTGCTTCATCCATCGCGTCGAACACAGGCAGAGACGAGCGAACGGCCCTCTGCATCAGTGGGGTATAGTGTCGGATAGCTTTGGGGCTAAGACATGGAGGGAGGAATTTGTGGGCTAGTAACCAGCTGTGCGTTTCTGTATCCCCCACGAAAATTGCCGAGTTATCTTTGATTCCCCATAGTGGATGATCGGACGTTATTTTCTTGGTAAAGTAGGCGGATTCGCTCAGGAGATGCCCGGTAATGATGGGATCGTTGGTGTGATAGGTGGTTTTACCCATTGTGTTGGTCTTGATAACGGGTCCATATTTGCTAAAAAGACGAGCGTGATTTCCCAAGTGGTCGGGGAAGATCTCGTAGAAATTCCCGACGATGGGAAGGCCGCCTGGTCCGGGAGCATTTCTGACAGGTTTGCCATCGATGGTAATTCCAATGGGTGCGGATGCCTGGAGCATCATTTCTACAGAATGAATCGGTTCCTCTTCTGTTTGGAAATTAATTCCTGAGCAAGTTGCTTCTATCAGCTAGGATTCGCCTTGAGAATGGTATAACTCTTACCACCAGGCTCCACAATATGAAACTCCTGGCCAAGTACATTCTTCAGTGCCTTCAGATCATTGTTTAGAGGGACATCGACTTCTCTGATTTTTCGAGGCGTTGGCCCTACGAGGTAGAACCGGATCTTTGCCCTTTGAATCATCGTTTGGTATTCGACTGAAATCACGGTGACACTGTCTTCGGAAAATTGCACTGATGCACCTCGTACTCTCGACTACTTTGTAGTTGAAATGATTTGGACTGGACAGTTCCTATTGCACCTGAATTTCGAGGTACACTCTTGGTGACAGTTTCGGATATGCTTCCTCGGCATCAGTCCTCGGGTGGATTTCCGGAGAAGGCTAGGTACGTACCATTTTGTCGGGGAGCAGTGTCACAGTGGCGGAAGCCAAAGCCGTTTTAGGGATAAAGTGGGGACTGCTTTTTCAGAGGTTACTTCGCCGCTTTTCCAGCGCCCCGGTTATAATCATCTTGTATATGTAGATCTGGAATGGCCTTGAATGGCCTAGCTTCCCGGTTTCGAATTGTCAAAGATGTTGCCGAAGTATTCTTCCAAAGATGTTCGCGCGCATACGTCGGATAACGACCTCTGGATCGTCATTCGCAATACAGGTGTGCCTTCTACTTCTCTTTGAGAGCATGTGAGAGAGCAAAAGTGTCTGCTTTTGTGGCTCATGGTATTTCCCGAGACTTGTGAATGTTTGCTTACAAGATCGCAGTTTACGATGTCACAAGTTACCTAGAGGAACATCCAGGTGGTATCGAAATATTGAAAGAATGCGCTGGCACAGATGCAACCGAGGCATTTGAGGATGTTGGCCACTCGGAGAGAGCGTGGGCTGCTATGGAGTCGCTCATGGTTGGCGAACTATTGGCAAATGTGCGTCAGGAAATCTTCAAGTTTGATATTCTGGCGTCTGAGACGTGCGCATGAAGATCTCGACTGACTGATATGTTCAATGTCAGGAACGAAGGGAATTGGTGGCGCTCTATCAGCCTACCTATGAACACGTCGGAACAGTTTCCGTCTTGACCAAGAAGCCAGTGATGAAATGGCTCATGAGTTTATCAATCAAGGGCATGTGGCTGAGCCTGACCGGTGCCCTTCTCTACAAAGGTAGCCATCGTCTTCTTGACCAAGCTCGCCAAATGCGCCTCTCGAACGCATTTTGGTATGGATTCCTCAGTTCAGCAACGGCACTTTCCATTGCCTCGACCGGCATCGGGTACTATCTGGTCTCAATATTTAACGCTAGCCACAGCGTGAAGAAATATCCCTCCAGGCAAAGGGCGTCGCAGAGAGTACTCCTTGGAGACAACTCAAGTACTGCAAATACCGCGATCCTTGACGCTCGAGCCTACCGCAAGTTCCCATTATCCAGGAAAGAAGGGATTTCCCCTAACGTCTTTCGCTTCACCTTTGCTCTGCCAAACCCTTCGGATAGTCTGGATTTGCCAATAGGACAACACGTCTCAGTGCGTGCCGACATAGATGGTCAATCAGTTACCCGGTCATACACTCCAATTTCAAACAACAAAGACAATGGCGTGATTGAATTGATCGTTAAGATTTACGAACAAGGCATGTTGACAAGATATTTGGGCTCATTACAGGTTGGCGATGAGTTAGAATTCCGCGGCCCTATCGGGCCTATGAAGTACCGTTCTGGGCTTTGTAAACACATCGGCATGATCGCAGGAGGTACTGGTATCACCCCCATGTATCAGCTTATTCGGGCCATTTGCGAAGACGCCTCGGACAACACAACTGTTAGCCTCCTATATGCCAACAACACCGAAGAAGATATTCTCCTCAGGCCGGAGCTTGACCACTGGGCAGCGAAGTGCCCGACAAAGTTCAACATATCATACGTCCTGTTGCATCCGCCTCGGGAATGGAAGCATTACACAGGATTTGTGACAAAAGAGCTCCTCAGAGAAAAAATGCCAATTACTGCTCTGGACTCTAAGATTATGATGTGCGGGCCTCCTGGAATGATCACTGTAATGAAGCAATATGCTGGAGAACTTGGACTTGAAATACCTGGCGCAATTTCTAAAGCCACTGATCGAGTTTTTGTATTTTGAATGGATCGGGAATCAAAAAGGTCATTTTTCCACCTGCCTAACCAACGCATTCTGCCTCATTTAAAATCCCGGATTGGCAATTTTCGAACATGAGGATCTTGAAACAGCGCAGTAGCATTTTGTACTCAACTTTTGCCTTATCCACCGTCTAATTTCCCTTCAAACCCTGCCCCGTCATCTTGCCGACTATTGGTGTCTGTCCCCGTGACGATTGAGTCTCTAGAAAGCTCAGTACATGGTTTGAGGCTCTCGGGTCTTTTGACTTTACGAGTCCGGCTTCATAGCCGCGGCATCCGGAACAGATATTACGACCCAGATCCTCATTTACCCGACTGGCCACAGACTTGAGCTAGTTTACAAGATCGACAGTCAGTGGATCAGCAATGAACGAATCCGGCAAAATTCGAGCTTTGATATAACCTCCAACTGTTATATATGGACCTTTCTGAGCGTGCTGCGACCACTACTACCCGTGCTAGAAAAATTCCACGAAACGCGCCAGTATTATCCTCGACGAGAGAGGACTTCATGCAAAAAGTCAATTCAATGGCTGTCCCTCAGATAATTAAGACGCCCCTTACAGATCTGTTAGGGGTCAAGCATCCCATCATTCTTGCAGGTAAATTCTTCAAGTGAACAAAGGGCTACTTCGGCAGCTGACCAGTGTTAGGCATGGCACGGGCTTCTTCTGGGTCATTGGCAGCCGCAGTGTCTAATGCAGGTGGCTTCGGCGTCATAGGAGGGCTGAACTATTCTCCTCAGCAATTACAAGACATCATCGACGAATTCAAATGGCATTTGACAGATAAGTCGCTTCCATTTGGGGTGGACCTGGCGCTTCCTAAAATTGGAGGGGGGGCTCGAAAGACGAACAGAGACTATACCAAGGGTCAATTAGATGAGTTGATCGACGTCGTCATCAGGAACGGTGCAAAGTTGTTTGTCTCTGCTGTGGGCGTTCCGCCTCCACACGTGATCGAAAGACTTCACTCAGCAAACATACTGGTAATGAACATGGTCGGCGCTCCAAAACATGCCAGGTATGCTCTGGACGCTGGTGTTGATCTCATCTGTGCCCAAGGCGGGGAAGGGGGAGGCCACACGGGAGTCATTGCCAGTTCAATCTTAATACCCGCAGTGTGCGATGTTGTGTCCAAATATCGCTCACCTATGACTGGAAATTCTCCTCTGGTTGTCGCGGCGGGAGGAATCAGAGACGGTCGATCCCTCGCCAGCGCTCTTATGCAGGGAGCGGCTGGTGTTTGGGTGGGGACACGCTTTCTGGCCTCAGTTGAAAGCGGTGCTAGCCAAATGCATAAAGAAGAGGTGGTTACAGCGAACTTCGAAGACACTGTCACGACTCTGGTCGTCAGTGGTAGGCCAATGAGAGTGAAAGCGAACGACTATATCAAGGCCTGGGAGAGACGTCCAGAGAAGATCAAGGAGCTGACCGAGGCGGGAATAGTACCCTACACAAAAGATGTAGAAGATGGCAACGAAGAAGCGGATCGACCTTTTCTAATGGGTCAAGTCGCTGCAGTCATTGACAGCATAAAACCCGCTGGGCAAATAGTGGAGGAAATGGTTACTGAGGCTAGTCAAATGATTAGGCAAGGCACGAGATACCTATGCCTTGATGCGAAATTGTAATCAATATACTCCCCAGAGTTCATCGCACGGAGATTCATAGTTATTACAATCGAGGTCCCTGAGCACAAATAAGACAGATTGAAGCAATGAATGCTCACAGCTGAAGCATAACGCTTAAACACCTTCTTCCTGGCACAACTTGGTGCACATCCTGGTGTAGCCCCATACTTGCTGTGCGGAAGGAAGATCTGGTAAAGACGAGATACTCCATCGAACCTGACGTAAAACTCAGCTGGCCGCAAACTTCTTGCCCTAACCATTACTAGTTGTTGTTTTTTTTTTGATTTGGTGTTTCTCCTGATCTGCCTTGTAGTGACCTTCGGAGCGAGCTCCACGGGTGTGCTTCCCGCGGCCCTTTTCGCGCGGAATACTGCTTTGTATCATCTGCTAAGAAACCCTCCCCCCTTCAAAAGTTGCGGCGGAATATCCGGGGACCCCGCGACCTACCATACCCCATAGAACTATTAACTATAAACCTGGGGTCTTTGACAACATACTTCGTTCTGCCTCATCGATCCCCGTTCTACCGGAAACTACATGACAATGCCAAACGACAAAATGATCGAGAAGGCGACTATCGAACTCAGAGAGGACCTTGCAGGAGCCATCGATACGTTCCATAATGATGAAGCACTCAAGGTTATCGCCGAAGAGCATGGCCAAAACGAATGGGATGCGGCCGAAGAGAAGCGCCTTGTTCGGAAGATTGATTGGAAATTGCTTCCGCTGCTGTGCCTAACGTGAGTTGGAAAATATTATAGCGCTGTAATTGCCTAGCTAACAGTTGGAAATAGCTATGGTTTGCAATATTATGATAAAGCCATGCTATCCCAGGCCGTAAGAGCGTCCATTTCCCCCAAATTTCATGAAAACTGATTTTCATAGGCTATCTTCGGCCTTCGCGATGACTTGGATCTCAACGTGGGGAACCGCTGTATGTGCTAGGTCCCTCCTAGATGAGCACTTGATTGACACGAGCCGGAATTTGAAGATACATTCAGCTCGGCCATTTTGTACATGGGCTTTTTGACTGGGTCCTATCCTGCCACAGTGCTGGCACAGAAATATCCTATTGAACGTGTTGCTGGAGGACTCGTCTTCACCTGGGGTGTCTGCCTCATGTCTACGGCAGGTTGCACCAGTTTTCGAGGACTATATGCTCAAAGATTCTTTCTTGGATGTTTGGAGGCAGGCATTTCTCCCATCTTCATGCTCGTGGTCGGAGGCTGGTACGAGAAGGGTGAGATACTATCCTTTCGTTGACTCGCCAGTACCTGGTCGTAAACTAACGTTTCCGAACGCAAAGGCGAGCAAGCTCTCCGTATGGGCGTAAGTCCTATCGAGACCAAATCAAAGGTGCTGATTGTACTTACGATCAAATGACGAAACAGGCTTGGTTTTGCTGCACTGGATACTTCGGAGCAGTCTCTCCCCTCGTCAACTACGGCCTTGGACAGATCTCCGGAGGCACCTTGAGTTCCTGGCAGTATATGTATCTCGTTGCCGGAAGCATCACCGTCCTATGGGCTCTGGTAATTCTATTTTTTCTGCCCTCGGACCCTATTCGAGCCCGGGGCTTTTCCAGCAGGGAGCGCTATATTGCCGTCGCCCGATTGCGCAAGAACAACAGTGGCATCCGCAACCTCCACTGGAAAAGTTCTCAATTGATTGAAAGTCTAACAGACGCTAAGTTCTGGCTTTCTTTCTTCATGGCATTTTTCATGATGTTCGGCAATGGCCCCTATTCCACTGTAAGTTCACTTCTTCAATGTTGTTGTTGGGATATGAGCCAGGCTGACCGAGCATTTTGGTGTAGTTTACGCCCATCATTGTCCATGGTTAGTAGTCGACCCTCTTTGTGTTTGTTCACGGTATGATTAACTTGACGCTTGTGTGGCAGGTTTCGGTTTCAGTGCCTTGAACTCCCTGCTCCTTACCGTTCCCGCTGGGGTTTTCGTGGGATCCGTCGAGCTCGGAGCTTGTTATGCTGCTTTCAAGCTCAAAAACTCGAGAACCATCATTATGTTCCTATGCCAGTTCCCAACTGTTGCCGCATCCCTACTGTTGTGGCTTCTTCCGCGTCATGAGCTGGGTGGATCACTACTTGCAGTATTCATCATTGCTTCGTTTGGGGGAACGTACGCTGTTCTACTAGGGCTGACTATCGCCAATTGTGCTGGGTATACTAAGAAGACCACCTTCTCAGCTGGGCTATTCGTTGGCTACTGCCTCGGCAATATTGCTGGTCCTCTGTAAGTGTATTACCCAATCTCTTAAACACTTCAACTGACGGAATCTATGAAATCAGCATCTTTAGGGAGCAGGACGCACCACGATATGCCCCTGGATTCATTGTGGTCCTGATCACGGCAATTCTAACTCAGGTGTTGACAATTATGTATCGCTACCTGTGCATCCTCGAAAATAAGAAGAGAGACAAAAGTGGAATTCTGGAAGGATTTGACCATGCTTACGAAGATGATCTGACGGACAAGATGGTAACACTACCTTATCGACAAGACACTCTGTATAAGCTGACATTCTACACTAGAATCCCCAATTTCGCTACACATACTGAGTGAACTATCTCGTCTTTTCATAGTCGCGCCACAAGATAGGTTACCTGATGTACCAGAAGAGCCCGTTCAGCATCCGGACTCCTGTGTGTAACAACCTCCCACTTTGATTCGGTTAGCCTTAAAATAGGCCCCATCTCTGCCTGTGAGCTTTTTCTCGACTCCTCTTCTTTCGCAAGGGCATTCTGGACAGCGGGATGCCTCTCCTGCGCCTCTTCCCGCTTCCGAACCAAAACAAAGAGATCCTTCAGTGCACTATTTTCAAGTCTTGCAAAGGTGCCTCCCCTTGGAGTGCTGGATCCTAATAGAGCAGAATCTAAAAGGAGAGTTCGAGTACCTCCCGACCACTAGTAGTTTAATACCGTCTTTAGACAGTCTTGATTGAGTATAGTGGAATATCTCGAAAATGTCTTAAGAATGTCTATATTAAATCGAACAAACCGCGGTCGTTTCATAGGATCCGGCGAGAGCCTGGGATCCAAGGCCCCCACCAAATCATGGAGAGACCGATAAACTGGCGTCTGACCTGACGACGATTTCGAGCTTTCCAAGAACGATGCCTCTCGACGGGCTACCCAGCGACAGATTTGTAATCAGCTGTGTCCCATCATAAACTCCGATGAGTATACGAGCCGAACGATAGTGGTATGGTCCTGGAGGATTTCCGAGTGCCTTGATGGCCCGAAGACAGCCAGCAATTGCCATTTTAGTTTTGAGTTGCCAAATATGGGCTGTTGATCATGGAGGTCTTAGTCAAAACAGCTTCCAGGATGTTTTGCGATATCGCCTCATATTCCAGCAATGCTGTTTCCCTTCAGGAGCAAGACATCTCCATCGTAAGCAGTGCTGAGAAAGCCTGGCAGATCGCGTTTCGATTCATTAATGCCACGAGTCTTTTGCATTGTTGTTCATGAAATACAAGCCCTTCAGGAGCCGATGTTGCGACTGGATGAGGGCCAAAGGCAGAGGAACTGCAGCGAAAGAGATGCGAGACCTGGAGGCCGTGTTGGGTCCATGTTACTTTCAAGGATTCGTACCAGTCGGAGTCTTTGCGTTGCCAAGAGAAGGTTCAAAAGGTACATTCGAGATCAGTGCACTCTCCGTGCCTGCTTCGGGGCGAGGTGACGCCGCCCTGTGCTCACCGCATGAAGCCTTGCCTGACCTGTTGGCGAGCAGGAGAGGTGGAAAATTATCATAGGATTTATCGACATCGAATTAGAATGTCTTGACTAGAAGGGCTTGAAGTCAGGACGCTTGATCGAGAATACAAGGGACGGCAACTGCGTGAGATGGCACGGCACGCGGCGAATGCTCGTCTTCAAGCAGATAATCGTATATCAACACAATAACATCAACCAAGAAAGAGTTGACGCTACAGCCCAGAGACTCGAGAGCGTTCTACCCAAGAGATTTCATACTTTTTGGCCGAGAGAAGGCACAAGTACTTCGTACCGATCAGCGCATATCCCTTCGGGACGAGGCTGACGCCGATGTGCAATTGGAGCAGACCGGTCTTCATCTCCTACGTTGTCCCTATGTGTTTTCATGAAGCCAAGTCAATGCCCATGCTCAAATTCCAAAGATTTGATTTGCAATGCCAGGGCCCCGAAGCATTTGACACCGTTCCAGCATCTTCTCTCCTGCGTGCGCCGGAGCCAAGGGAGAAATCTCTTGTAGAAAGCGTGCTTTCACCTGCTGCGCATTCAGCCAAGGCACGTCCGGGGCGGCTTCTTGAAGCGCAGCTCCGTTCCGCAGGACCACTTCGACTTTGGCCGGCTGGTTACCTATCGCATAGCTCTTTTCATACTCGGGTGTGGTTAAGAGAGCGCACTTGTGCATTAACGAAGCCACTTTGGAGTCGTGAACGCGCCCCAATGTCTCCTCGTCAAGACGAGCAAACGCGAGAGAACTGCATACTCCGTACTGAATGCTCAATTTGCCTTGGGACACGGTCTCGAGGGGTCCGGCGTTGTCACAGCCAGGATATGCGATGGCGGCTGCGGTGGCTGTGATCCTGATGCTCTCGACCTCATTCGTCAACGCTTGCCCGTGTGCTTGGGCGATCTTCAGCGCCATTGCTGACGACGTCTGGGTAAAGTTGCACACGGGCGCAGGTTTGAATTGGACATCCAAAATCCCCGGGCCAATCTCAGACTCTCGGTCCCAGCTTCGAAACACGTCGGCGGCGGCGTCACCGGCCCCGAGAGCGCGGAAGAAGCCATCCTTACCCTCCAGGACCGTGGCACTAGCCTCCGATCCCACACCGGGCCAAATCGTAGCTCGTAATTCCCACCCGACTGGCGATCCCATTATGGATGAAGATCTCGCGTCCGCCGCTCCACGCCCACTCGTTGATTCCGCAGGCCATGTTGACCGCCAACGCCAGTGCATTGGTGGTGGTCTCCTCGTTGCAGAAAGTGGCCGCCACCACGGCGCCTGCCGCGGCAAACGCGCCGATAAGTTCACTGGCTCGGAGGTGGGTGTTGAATGTTCCATTTGCCCGGATGGATGTCCCTAGGAGAGCGCCCATCTCATAGCCCCCTATGATACCTCGGAGCAACTGGTCGCCCGACCAGTGATCACGTTGTGCTAGAGCCAGGGTGGCCGCGACAACCATCGAACTCATGTGAGAGCAAGAATCCAGATGCATGTCATCTCGTGCACCGCTGCAGACCTAGTTCAGTCTCTGAGCAAAAGCGAAGAACTGCTCAACCAGTACCCGCAGGTCGAGGAGAGGGGGAACCAGGGATTTACCTGTGCGCCAGAATGGCATTTGTCAATGCGGCGGTCTCAGCACACATGGCCATATCGGCCCCAAAGACATAAGCCTCCGCCTTGCCAGCATGGAGAGTTGCAAACTCAAGCACCTTTCGGCCTAGAGGGTTCGGGGCACCAACTTGTGCAGCACCCAGCCAATCCAGTAGACACAATGTAGCCTTTTCTCGCACCTCGGTCGAGAATTGACCTTCTGATATTCGCCTCAGTCGTGAAGCCGCGAAGCGCAGCAAACTGGGGCGCTCGACCATCGATTTCATGTCGTTGGTTCCGAGGCTTCCCATCTTTGGGCAGCAGGTGAGTCCTCGGTTGTGTCACGATTTCCCAGAGATCCTTTTTCTTCAGATGGTGGCAGTTCGTCCAGCTAGGAATGATCTTTCTCGACGCTGTTAGCTCACAGGGTACCAGAAGAAATCTCCCAGTTGACACCCAAGCAGATAGTCATGGAGTACATGTCCATAAAGTACATCACAAGTACTTCAAACAGGTAGCGTAGACAATCTCCATACGTATTTGTGCTCTCAACCCCCTGGCCATTGTTGCCACCGATCCGACTTCTTCCTCCAAACTGGGGCAGATATTGGGCGGGATGTCCCCGACCGACTTTTCGGCCAGCAGAGCTTGGCCAAGGTCAGCGCATTGCACAGGGTCCAGGCAGTCCCCGAAATCGTGACTGACACCCCCGTAAGTCTCTGGTCATGCCGAGTGAGTTATAGCATCACATTGTGAAATGCTTGGCCCGAAAATTGTCCTTCCACCTGGCCGGAGCCTCTTCAGTGAATTCGCATGACCTTATCTGATTACTGAGGTGTAGCAAACACTGTCAGGCCACATGTAAGCAACTCCTTAAATGAGGTCACCGAGTGAGGGCTGTTTAGGCTGTTTGACATCCGCCATTCCTTTTGACACTTTCACTATTCCTGATTTTCAAACACCCGACTCCATGTCGTTCAAATGCTGTTGAATGGCCGGCGGAACAAACAAATTGTCCATTGACCAGTTCCATTCGGAAAAGAAGCCATCGTCATCAATCATATTCGGAAAGGAATTCTCATCGAGTTCGGGAAAAGTTTGCGTCGTTGTGGTGTTTTGTCCAAGACTGGGGTGAATAGTGCCGTCAAAGGTGAGAGAGGCAACGGAATTAGAACCGTCAGGGCCTCTGCTGCATTCTTCTTGGTATGGATTCAGTTCCCCGCGAAGCTCCTGCCTCCAATGCCAGAGGCAATCGTACACGATACCCATCTCCTAGTAAAATCCGTGTCAGTCAGTCCACGTCACAGTCCGATTTTGCAGATGGTAGGCTTCTCTGACATACCCCTCTGCTCCGGATCCGGACGGTCAAGCTGTCCAGGGATCCGCCTGGCTGGCGGAACACACGTTGACTCTGCCACAGCTGGGAAAGTATGGTGGCCATCTGAGCGTTCAGATCATTATTTCTCAACACTCTTTTCTTGAGAATTCGGATGGCAGCAAAGTAGGAACGCTCTCCCATGAGAAGATCAACATTCGCTGCTAGCTCAGTGCTGCGACAAACCCGTAGGATCGTTATTGCCCCTAGCATCAGAGTCCGGTAGTATTGCTCCGAAATGTACAGAGCATAATCGTCTTGTTGATCCCGAGTCTCCACAATGTCTACAAAGGCACAGGCCTGGTGATAGACCTCGATCAAGTGAGTTAAATTGGAATTTGACCGGGAGATGAAAAAATGATAAGCTCCCAGATGAAGGCGAGTGCAGAGGAACCAGATAGCAGCTGAGGGTATGTTAGTATGACTCTGCCAGAGGAAAAATGGGAAGAAACGGAACCGCATACCGAGATGCGGGTGAGACTGTTTCTTGAGCTTGATAACCTCATCATCAAAATGTTTGATGATAGCCGTAAGTGGGTTGGCGGGGTCGCCATGTTCGCCGTCGTACCTTGCCGACGTCAAGGTGTTCAGCGAGCTTGTCATGACAGTCTCTAGCCGCTGCATCCAGTAGATAGATAAGTCACCCGAGACGAATTCGTCTCCCCAATGGAGTTCTTGTACCCAGGAGTCGTCGAAAAGATGCGGAGGAAGTCCACAATAGATGTTGACGCTGTGAAATGCTGGTCAGAAGCCATGTCGGGGGATAATGGATATCCACACCCTTACCAGGGACAAACCACCTTGAACCATGCCCACAGGCGTGCTCGAGACATCTCCTGGTTTGCATCCTTGACTAAGAAGGCTTGCGAGAAGTCTTGCCTCTTGCTATGCATATGAAGGCCGTTCTGCAGACAGAGTTGCATGATAACACCTAAGTAAACAGGCGAAGGGTCGACACTTGCGTCCTCTATTGGCAATGGCCACACACAAAGAATCAATAAGGCCGATATCGTGGGAATGTATTCAGAGAGCCTAGTCATAGCTAATGCTACTAGCCGGGATACTCTAGGCGTGAGTGCGTCGAGCAACGTCGGATCCAGGCGATAGCGTCTCGAGCCGGTGACGACAATGACCTAAAACAGCACCGGCGAGTATGTGTAATAATCGACGCAGGCATATCGTGGTTCTAAGATGGGTAATATCGGGTGATAATGCTTAAAGTATCTGACCCTCGTCAGTGCAAAGGAACCCAGTCGTCAGGAAACGAAGTCCTCCGGGAAGGAAGATGTTGCACTCACAATGAAAAGCAATCCTCGAGTTTCGCGGATCGATTCTGAGGGACTCCAATGTCGGGCAGAAAGATGGCGAGGTTTTTTTTTTAGGAAAGGTCGAGGGTCGTTCAACGGCAGGCACGTTGTCCGTATACGTGGAAGCTGGCATGGCTGCCAATGACAAGGGGAGGGAGGGAGGTGATGCTGGAGACGACGGTGCTGTCCCAGTCCGTGGAAGGACGGAGATGGAGGGAGAGGTCGCATATTTCAGCTCCCCCGTGGACAGCGGCACAATTGGGGACTTTCGCAGGGAATCTATCTCGCGCTGCAGCTCAGTTTTCCTGCTGTCGATCAGTCCTCAAGATGTAGCAACTCTGGAGCGATCGGTATTGGCATACGTGCGATATTTTCGCCTCTTGAAATGTTCCGTGAAGACACAGTCGATGCCCGAGACTCGACATCTTGAACACGGTTTCGAGTAATCGACATGGTGTGCGTCGCATTTGAGCTGCGAAGAGTAAGCGGATCGTGCCCAGACAAGCCAGGATCGTGGCACTGGAGATGAGTAAAGTTGAAGCTACCTTCTGCTGTCGACATTCTTCACACGCTCGTGGCCTCGACGGGGCGGCGGACGCTGCCTGGGGCATCTTGTTCCGTGGTGTCTTGACTGCGTTTCAGGACCTTGGAATCGATGGAAAATGCATGTGCACCATTGATTCCGAAATAGCGATGTCAGGAGCTCTTTTCTTGCAATGATCGGGTCTTAGCGAAGCTGCACGCACGAAGGACCTAGGTATGACTCGTCATGGGGAGTAAGAAAGGCAAAACCGCAGGACGGGGGATGGGGCGTGGGGAATGGGGAGGGGACTAGAGTGGAGGGGTGGATAGAGGCGGAAAGGACCCGAGGATGCCCAACTAGCCTAACTGGGTTTCTTACTTGGCTAAGCTGGGCAAAGCTGGGGAGTCTTAGTGCCCCCAATGCCCCTGGCTCCAGGTGCATGGGCGGCAGGGCTGCAGCTATTTACAGTAACTAACTGGGGGGAGATTAGTCGGGCCGATTTTTCGGCCAAAAACATATCCAACATTGTCAATACCTTCCTTCCCACCGTCCACGTATTCCGCACAGAGTACTCGGTATATGGAGCAGCTCTGCAACAGGGCGGGTCAAGGTGTCTCTGAAAACTCAGATCACGCTCTGCTCACTCAAGCTCCGTCGGCAAACGCGACACCTCCAGCCCTCTTATCAAACTCCATGCATTCCTGCTGGCCGAGGAGGTTGAAGAATTGCTTGACTCCCCCTTCTCGTTGCGCTTGACTGACACGCGCTCTTTGATTCTGCTTCAAGTCCTTCATGGCGGCCTCGACGACTTCCGAGACCGGCCCTAGCGCGACGGCGGGAAAGATGACAATCTTGTAGCCTAGACGGTTTGCTTCTTCCACGCTGAGGTCCGGCGTGATACCTCCCGCGACCATGTTCAACAGGACCGGCGTGGGCGAGAGATCCTTGCATGCTCGGCTGCATTGGTCCATGGTCGTCATCCCTCCCAGAAAACCGACGTCCGCTCCAGCCGCTATAGCTTTCCGGAGCCTCGAGACGGCCACCTCGTATCCCAGAGATTGCAGGGAGTCGGTGCGAGCAATGATGACGATATCTGCAAACCCTCCCGTGACCCGTCGCATTTCCTCCTGTGCCAGAACCGCCGCTCGGACCCGACTAAGGTAGACATCGTCGACCAGTTCTTTGTTGGCCAAGTGACCACAGCGCTTCGTCTGCACTTGATCTTCGAGGTGCATTCCAGCCACACCGCCAGCGATATAGGCTTTGACCGTCCGCGCCACTGACCCCGGGCCACCATACCCAGTGTCGGCGTCGGCAATAACAGGGACTGAACGATCCAGAGATGCGATCATGGAAGCATTCTGGACCATGTCGTTCATGGTGGCGAGGCCGAGGTCTGGCATTCCAAGCATGGACGCCGCAGTCCCCGCCCCGGTCATGTATAGACAGTTGAAGCCTGTGTTCAGGGCGAGCCGAGCACTTATGCCATCATAGACGCCCGGACAGAATATTGTCTTGCCCTCTTCATCTAGCAGACAGCGCAATCTGGCAGCCGCTGATTGCCCTGTATATTTGTTCGGCGCCGTGATTGAAGACATGTATACCGTGGTGAACAGCGCCGTTGTTCTATCCCGACCCGCAGGTACTCAGTCACTTGGAAGAAGGGAGGTGTTCTGAACCCGCGGAAGATGGAAGAAAATATCGTTTGCTGGCTCACTGTCCGGTGCTTGACATATATTGCCCCTGCTCGTCCGGAGCTGTGGCTAAGATTCTTCTGAGCGTCGGTTTTACCTGAGATTCCCTTGACCGTTGCCCGGAACCAGCATTCTCACTTGGCGAGCTATAAAGATGAAGCCCCGTGGTCCCAATTCCCGAAGAAACCTGGGGAGCCTGTATGGTCGATTTTTCACCCTCGGTCGACGGTCAGGAGTGTACGGGTCCGCCGAAAAGTCGGGCCGTAGCTAGCAGTCGCCAGCTTTTCGCACCCACTGAATCATTCTGCTCCCGAACCTAGTTCGCCTTTCAATGGGGAACAAAACAGTCTGGATCTCTCCAGAGTACCAAGAAGGGAAATGGGGAAAGAGGTCCTGGATTCTTTCGTCGCTTAAAGCTCACCTCAGCCATTGTGATCGGACCATTCCATCTGGACCGCTAGTCTCTGTCAATTCTTCTAGAGACCAAAAGTGTACCTATGCAACAGTGTAGAGCCATGAGCAAGGTGCAAGTCCAATACGACACGGTGACGGTCCCGGACCACATCGAGAAGACCGATGCAGCCAACGCCGTCGCCATCGCCGGCTCTGAGCTCCGCGCCGCGAAGACGGCGGTCGAACGGCGGCTCCTTCTCAAGGCCGACTTTGTGATCCTCCCAATGTGTGCCCTCGCATGGTGGGTCACATACCTGGTATGTTACTTCAAGGAGAAATGACTCAGACACTGGAGAGACTGATGGATAGTATCTCCAGGATCGCAATTCCATCGGGAATGCGAGGATAATGGGCCTGGAGAAAGACCTCCATATGACGTCCGACCAGTTTTACAACTGTTTGAGCATGTTCTGTGAGTGACTGACCGTCGCATCTCTTATGTATCTTGGGCCCTTTTCCCCGCTGACTTTTGCTCAGTTGTGGGACACACCGTCTTCTTGTTACCCGCCAACCTGACGTCGCGTTGGATTCGACCCAATCGATCTGTCGGCTTCGCTATGATTGCCTTTGGTGCTGTTCTGTGTGGTATCGGCGCAGCGAAGAACTATGCGACAGTCCTGGTGCTCCGGATCTTACTAGGATGTGGTCAAGCTTATGTGCAATTTCTCACCGTATACATCAGCTTGTGGTACAAGAGATACGAAGTCGCCTTCCGAACAGGTGTGTCCTCCATATCCTATAGCGGCAGCGGTCTTGCTAACGACGACCAGCAATCTTTTTCTCATGCGCAACGATTTCTGGCAGCTTTGGTGGACTGATCGCATAGGGCATCGAAAAGAGACTCAGCTACGAGAGCACGGGCCGGGAACCGTGGTCGTGGTTGTTTATCATTGAAGGTGTCCTAGCCATTGCCATCGGATTCATTGTGTTTGCGGTCCTTCCCAGGTTTCCATATGACCTTCAAAAAAGGGCCAGGAAACACTGGCTTTTCACGTCGGAGGAGATCGACCTAGCGGCTGCTCGATTTACTTGTGAGTTTCCCGTTGCTCTGGTGAGATGATGCCACGTAATTTCTTGGGCTGACCCTTTCGTTTCACGGGTAGCATACAATTTTGCCCGTGAAAGGATCAAGGCCAAGCAATTGTTGGAAGTCCTCAGAGACCCCAAGTCCTACTTGTTTGCCATTGCGCAAGGAGCATGCGTTCTTGGTGTTTCTGTGGTGGGAAGTTTTCTGCCCTCGTTCATTGCTGGCTTTGGCTTCTCACGAGGTAAGTTTCTCTATACTAGTATCCAGAAGGATAACCCTTGCAGGTGACTGACCTCCGGCACAGTCGAAACTCAACTCTTCACTGTTATTCCTTATGCGTGTGCTTTCATTTCGGTCCTCATCTGCGGATATTTGTCCGACAGACTCAATCGAAAGATCCCGTTTCTCGTGGCAGCGTTTGTCTTGGGATGTATTGGATACATCTTGCTCCTGGCGGTCCACACTCGCCCAGTCAGCATCTTTGCTGCCTGTCTGATCACGGCCATCTTGCTCACCCCCGTGTGTGTGAATATCAACACCGTGGGCTTCACCAAGCGAGGCGCAACCTGGGCTTTTACCGAAGCGTTCGGACTGACTTGGTCAATCATGGGCACGAGAATCTACGATACTCCGCCTCGCTATGTCAAAGGACATTCGGTTGTCTTGGCTTTGAATGCCCTGGCATGCTTGTGCGTCATCACAGTATGCTTCCACATGCGGCGCATCAACAGCAAGAAAGAGCTTCTTGAACGGGAATATGCCGAGCGGAGCGAGACTCATCCTCACATTGCCCAAAACAAGTCACTGGAGGAGATTGGCGAGGGACATATTTCTTTCCGATATGTGCTGTAGGTTTCTGGGAACCTGTGGCCAGGATCTGGAAGAAGGGGTTTGCAATGTGGACATTAGCTCTCTGCATTTGACCGGATCCCACTGGAGGCCATGAACTTTAAACCAAATAAATATAGAGATGTAGCACAATGCTTGCTCATTGTAATGGTTATCATGGAGCTTAAATGCCTGCTGGCCTAAGAGACTGTTGTAGAAGATGCAATGAAATCTTGAAGGGAAGAAACTTAGCCATGAAAACGTGGACTAGTCGCGGGTGGGTCGGCCTGGCGGTCAGCTGGCCGAAAAGACGGCGATAGAATACTAGTAGAGCTCGGCATTTCAATGGGTACATACCTAGGTACATAGTACCTCCAGTTTAGCGAGGATAATAGAGGCAGATGCCAGGGCCGCGGCCGTGAAGAATCACATATGCAGGGTGTATACATGTATATAGACAACCAATCACCACTGGCCTACAGACGAATCTGCATACTCTGCCTCCACCACTGAAAACGAACACTTCAACAATGGAGCAAATCCCCAGTCTCCCGACCACACGAAGGCTAGTGACGGGACACGGGAAGGAGGGGAAAGCGATCTTCGAATTCGACGACATGCTGACACCAATCAACCCATTTCCCAAGCCTGAAAGAGAGGGCAAAACCGACCACACTGTCGAGGCCGCTGCAAGTCCTCTAGGTGTCACATTGGTGCACCGAACCGAAAATACCCTGTCAAGATTCAAGGGTCTACGGAGGAATTGACCCCGGACAACCTTCGTCGCGGACAGGGCGAGCCGGGCATTGTATGCCAGATCGTGGATCTGCCCGCAAGGTCCAAGGATACGCCTTTGTTTCTGCGCCGCAACCAGAGTTTGGACTACGGGGTTGTCCTGAAGGGCACCATGCAGATTGTGCTGGATGACGGAGCGGAGCGTACATTGAATGAAGGAGACGTGTACGTGCAGAAGTAAGTTATGTCGTATAAACGGTCTCTGAACCCGCTTTCTAGATATAAACTAACGTTAAGCGGGGATATAGAGGCACGCTACATGCGTGGAAAAACATCAGCTCGGAATACAGTCGATTTCTGACCGTAGTGATTCCCTCGGAAAAGGTCAAAGTGGAAGCCACGGGGGAACTTCTGGAAGTGACAAAGATCCCAGCCCTGAGCGACTGACTGATCCAATCAACCAGGAGCCGAGCAGGACGAGAAAAGGGGGAAATACATAGTAATGTCCCTACAGGACCGAGTAGGGTCCAGCACGTGACGAATACAATGGTCATACGTACATAGTTAGACGCTGAGCCCACAGTGACCATGTCCAGGCTACAGAAACATTTTTCGTGCCTGTTCTGCTTCGATTGTTCAATTGGGCCCGGGATTTCAGACCAAATGCATGCAACCCCTTAGGAGCGTGAAATCGGACAGGCTCATCGATCATTTGGCAATCCCATAGCCCTCGGGGTGTTTCGGCGCGGTCGCAAGAGGCATATCTCTTCGCTCTCTAGTCCTGGACCCACTCTGACTGCGATTTTTCGGTCGGGGGCACGATGGGTCAACAGTCTGCTGAGCGACCTAGGAAGCAGAGGATCTGAAGTAGGGCCTTACATAATGACGTCCATTCACAAGGAGATATGAGATTGGGCCCATGGAGGAAGCCGTGCTGTAGGTACTAGTTCGTCATCTGTCGAGCAAAAACAACGTCCCATTCTATCCTCCTTTCGGCCGAAATCATTATTGTGAAGATGATCTCCAAAACCCTGCCTGATGTCGACCACTCTATCCCAGTAGCACCGACGAGAGAGAAGCTCGAGTACGCCGACCTCGATACATTAGACTTTTCGCGCTATGATGATGGTCCTGAGGCGCGCAAGGAGCTCACCGCCCAGGCGCATCAGGCCATGACGACCCATGGCTTTTTCGTCGTGGTCAACTATGGCCTGACCGAAGACCAAATCACGCGCCAGGTCGATATCGGACACACTATCCTGAAGCGCACCTCTCAGGAAGAGAAAGATCGCCTCAAGGCTGATATCCTGGGCAAGGGGGAATACCCAGGGTTCAAGCCTCGGGGCCACTGGAAAGCAGGCGGAAAGCCAGATAGAATCGAGAACTTCAATGTCAACCGGAACATGAGTCTGCACGAACAACCAGCAGCCCCAAGTTGGAGCCGTACCGTGAGGAAATCCAAGACGTGGTCGACTTGATCCACAAAGACATCCTGTACAAAGTGCTCAGACTGTTCGCCATGGCGCTGGAGATCGAAGACGAGGACTTTTTTGTTAAGCTGTTCGGCTATGAAAACCACGATGAGTCCCGGGCGCGTTGGATGCAGTATTACGACACCGGAGACCAAGATGAACAAGCACTCTGGCTCGGTGGCCACCAAGACCTGTCGGCCCTGTCGCTACTGTTCTCCCAGCCCATGGCGTCCCTGCAGGTGCGCGATTACGCGGACGACGCACAGTGGAGATATGTCCCCTACATCCCCGGTGCGATGATCGTGAATGCAGGCGAGATCATGAGGTGGTTGGTGGACCGGAGACTACTTTAAGGCGGCTGTCCATCGGGTCAGTTCAGCCACCTGCCGACCAGCGAGGCCACGACCGTAGCGCCTTCTTCTACTTCACCGTCCCCAACGACAAGGTCGTCATCAATACCTTGCTCGAGGAGAGCCCCGTGCTGTGCAGGGCCGGCGTGCAGAAGTGGTTCAAGGAAGGCGAGGCCCCGACTAGCAAGGAGTGGTGCAATAACCGTATCCGCGTGACAGGCCAGAAGGCCCTATTCCAGAATCAAAATGCCGCACTGAATAGGGAGATGGAGAGGATCGGGACCGTCACGACCACCTGGTATCGATGACGATGGAATTTGTCTTCAGACAATGTCAATAGGAATAGGCTGTTTTAAACGGCTGCGGGCATAACGCTCTCCAATAATTCCAGGGAGAAAGATGTGCAAATAGCCACCGAGGATGGATTCGCAAATCAAAGTTGAAAATGTACGTTACCAATAGCATTAAGTGGGTGTGTCGTCCATGGCCGAAAAATCGGCATGGTTCTCCGCGGCACCGCAGTTATCTATCAGTGTTAAAAAGGGGGTTTGATGCTCTCATGTTCCAGATCGTGCCCTTCCGCCGGACTCGACGTGACCCGTCCCATGCCACTTGACTGAGCGGTATAAACCCAGATTTTTCGGGCTCATGGTAGAGGGATCAGACGTGCCCGCTCTCATCATGTCGTCCACTCAGAAGACTGCCAGGTGGATGATTACGCCCAATCTGGGCCTGGACGGACTGCAGGATGAAGTCGACGTTCCAGTCCCGCAGCTGACAGGTCGTCAATGCCTCGTCCGCATCAATGCAGTATCTCTAAACTATCGAGATATCGCTATGGCAACGGGGAGATACCCTTTACCCACCAGCAAGTCCTTTGTCCCGGGGTCCGATGCCGCAGGATAGGTGGTCGCAGTCGGTCCTGAAGTCAGCTTGTTCCAGGTCGGCGATAAAGTCTGCACGCTGTTCATAAAGACCATCAAGACGGTATCATCACGCCTGAGATTCGACAGAGTACCCTTGGCAGCCAACGGTATGGTGTGCTGCAAAAATTGGCCGTCTTTGAGGAGACCGGGTTAGTCGCGTTACCCAAGAATCTCTCGTACATCGAAGGTGCATGCTTGTCTTGTGCGGCCGTGACGGCGTGGAATTGTCTGTTTGGCCTGGAATCCCGAGCCCTGCGGTCTGGCGAACTAGTCCTCACCCAAGGCACCGGCGGGGTGTCCTTGTTTGCCATCCAATTCGCACTGGCCGTTGGAGCGGTCGTCATTGCGACCACGTCGAGCCGGGACAAAGAACTCCGGTTGGAGGCACTAGGAGTTCAGCATGTCATCAACTACAAGTCGAATCCTGACTGAGGCGAGACAGCCAAATCCTTGACTCCCGATGGCCTGGGCGTTCACCATGTCATCGAAGTCGGAGGAGAAACGACCCTCTCGCAGACGATGAAAGCCATCCGGCCTGAAGGCGTCGTATCCATGGTGGGATTCCTGGGTGGGAAGACTAATACTCCCGGCGCCAGCTTCTCGCTGATCCAGCAACAGCTCTGCATTGTGCGCGGGATAAACGTCGGGTCCCGAAAGCTGTTCCAAGATATGAATACCTTCATCGAGAGCAGAGGCCTCGATTTTAAACCCATCTTGTCAGATCAGTTGTTTGGGTTTCAGCAAGTCCGACAAGCATACCAGTGGATGGTACAGCAAGCATTCTGGGGCAAAATCGTGGTTCAGGCAGATTGATCAGGTCTAACATAGTATATGGGGCCGTCGTATAGAGACTTGTTGCGACATGGCTCCAGTCGCGCTCGCATTCTTGATTCGATAGACATGCATTTTGGTCCTCATGCTTACATAGGGCAGCAGCTCATCATTTGCCAGTCCGGCAATATCTCAGTACCTGACTCCTCTTGAGCAGCTCGCCCGACGCCTTTCTCTTTGTTTCGAGATACGGATTGATGGAAATGGTGCATCCAGCTTTCGTAGATCGAAGGATAATGAGAAAAGGAATAGGAGATTGCGTCCGGACTGATCAAAGAGATCAGCTACAACAGGCATTTTTATATGGGCGCGATTGCGTTTATCGAGACTGTCTAAAGATAGAACGAAACTCCTTACGGGTGAGTAGACCTAGATCGAAGAAGATAACGGTCTCGAATCGGTCTGAAATCGGTGAAATATCTATCGGGAGGGCGACCTGGTATATTTGTACACCGAAAGCGAGGCACGAAATATGCCAAATCGAGTCTAGCTACATTGATATCCTAATTTAGTATGAAACCTGCAGGGACCCAGTAATAAAGCACTTAAACTTCAAGACGGTATAAGGAGTATACAATAGCTTCAGCGTAGAATCACTTTGGAAGTGGTACTTAACTGCACACGCCGAAGAACCTATTTTCTCTTGTCGGTCTGGATTAAGCTACCGCAGTCGATGCTGCAGCAGGCGGCCAGCTGTACGGTACGGGCTGCGTGGATTATGTCTGAATTAAAAAAAACACCGCAGCTGGAGCGACCACTGGTTACATAGAAAAGTCGACCTGGAGTGTGGAATAAAGCGGCGAAGGACGACGATTCCACAGGAAAAGACGCCTTCTACCAGCCTGTGGTTTGATGACCGCGTTGTTTTGGGAGGTAACGGAAAGCTTGGCGTGGCTGTAGGATATATGATAGGCGCTGTACAGCCGACTTGACTGGAACCGATCCCGGTGAGCAATTCGGCCCTTAAGTGAACCAGTCGAGTTGAAGATCATCTGAGTATATGCCATTCAACTCCATCAAATCAAAGACATTGTCAAAGACTTCATTAACGCCGCTGGTCGCAGGTGCATCTGTTCGAAATGAGCTTTCTATTTCCTGCATCAACAGGAGGCGTATTACCATTGTTGAGGCCTTGCGGATCAGCGCTTTCAGCTTCGGTACGAAACTGCTCCCGCCATCTCCACAGTGAGTCATACACAATGCTCATACTCATTCGACTCCTGACCTTCAGTTGAAGTCCGTCCATCCCAATACCGCCCATGAGAGATGGATTAGGATGTGTCCAGAGGTAGGCGATCACATCACTGAGTCTCCCTGGTAAGTCATTATTGACCACTGAGATTTTCCTCAGCGCCGAGACAGAGAAGTTGATGAGCCCTTTGCCCGAATCTGCGTCAATAATTGCAGCAAAATAATCGTTCTTCACAACTTTGAGCAGAATGAAGACCGCGCACAGGAAGGCTTCGTAACAGAACAGTGGACAGAAGCGCAAAAAATCTTGAGACCGGCTGTCCAGGTTTCGAACGTGTTCGATGACGGATGTAGCGGTCGAATAGAGCGCTACGATACGCTCCAGATAGCCCAAAGCTGTCGGTTCGTCGAAAAGATAGAATGCATGGAGATGAAGCTTGACAACATGGAAATAGAACGCGGTAGTGGCTGGATTTCTCTAGTCAGAAGGGCTACCTGATTGACTAGTGTACCACAGCTAGTTTGCCGCTCACCTGGGGTCCAGACCCTGCTAATTTCCAGGTCGATAATCTCCTGGTTCAAAATCGTGTAGAGAGGGAGCCTCTCGCGAGTTGGCAAAAGCCCCATAGGGTCTGAAGCGTTTGAAGCGAGAGCTTGGGATATTCTGTTGCACGTCGAAGCACATCTCAGATGAGCATGCAAATCTTCATCTATCCGAGGACCCTCAAGCGACGCCGCAACAATGGACCAGTCACATAGTTGCGCTGGAGTTGGAAGTCCAACACCGAAGCTTATGCTATATCGCATTAGCCGCTGTTCATCAGCGTGTCTCAATAGTATATATTACCTCTGCGTCACGATGTTGCTAGCAATCCATGTCCTCCGCCGGTCTTCGACATCATGGGGACTGAGGTTAACGCGGAATTTGGTAAAATCAAGCGGACTTCTGGGACGATGAAGGCCCATCTGAATGCTAAGTTGTATTATCATCCCAGAGAGCGTGTAAGTTGGGTCAGTTGTACTGCTGCTCGTTGGAAAGGGCCATGTGCATAGAAGAACCAAGCTCTGAATGACACCCAAGGAATGTGGTTCTGTTTGCAGGGATTTCCACAAAAGATCTGTAACTGCTCTTGCGAGCCTTGTCAAAAGAGTGGGGTCTGCTTGATATCGACGAGATGCAACGGAAATGATGGACCAGAAAAGCAGAGTCGAACTGTCGCAGTATTGGGCAGGAGAAATTCCCGGGTCGAGAAACGGTAGATATGCATGGTAATGCGAGAAATATCTTGGGAAGCCATCAGCCAATGATACTCAGGGACACGAGGGACATACATGCGGAATAGCTCATTGATCACCTCCTTTGACAGTTCAATGTCGCGTAAATTCCGTGACGAAATCACTCTACCCTTGCTGGTAGAACGGGTGTCAAGTAGACTGCCTTTCGGAATTGTGGTTGCTCCTGGCAGGCACGCTCCATTGGGAGAGTCTGGTGACATCCCAACAGGAACCGTAGTTGAGAAAATCCGGTTCTTTAATGGGTCTGACAAGTCTCTGGAGTCCTCGTTCATACATCGGTCGTTATCATCCTGAGGACCACCATCTTCAACGAGGGATGGTACTACACGATCTGGAACGGAAGGAGCTGCCAAGTTTGTAAGAACATTGTCTTCATAGACCGATAATTGGCGCTTGAGCTTGTTTATTTCTTCCTCCAATTCCGTGGATTTCCTGTAAAGTGGGCCAAGGTCAGTCACCAGTTATTGTGAGGCCCAACTCTTGCCGGTCTTACTTCCGCTTGCGCGTCCTCTTGAACGTATCATCTACTCTGCAGTCCAAGTCCAGTCTTCGGCAGCGCGAACAGACATTTGATGATGGAGCATCAAGCTTCGTCAACTCACATCTCAACTGCAGAAGTTAGCTCCCAAACTACTAGTAAAGCGCAAATGCTGTGGCTCACCTTTTGCTGTCTACAGTTGTTGCAAGCTTTGGGCTTCAGTCCGTTGGTGCGAGTTTGTGTCTCGACACTCTCGTGTGGTTGGCGAAAGCTGTCTTCCTTTGCGGCTGAAACTCCTGGGCCTTGCTGATGGGCCGGCATCATCGGAGACGCTTCGCGAAACTGCCAGGGCTCATTTTGACTTTCTTGGGCGCCGCACGCAAAGGTGAGGAGATCAGTAAGTGAAAGTGTGTTGACGTCTGTTGCGGGGAAGACGCGGGTTGACGAGGCTGGCATTGAGGTATTTACTCAAGGAAGGTCAGCCGACTCCGTCTCTGGAAGGCACAAGGCTGAGGGCCCCCTTCCGCCTTTCCCACCTCCAGCTTATGGACGTCGGGCCTCTCAGAGGATGACTAAACGTGCTTCTGAGTCTTGCTTTGCCAACATCGGCCAGTTTGTATGATTGACCGATCAAGTAACTTCAATCTCGACTGTGTGCACGTGGTTTCTTCTTCCCATCATAGGCTGAGAGACCCCAGCCTTGTCTGTCGCTTTCGCTATCAACTTGTACTTCCCAGGTTTAGATATCGATACCCTAGCTCGGAATGACTGCCATTCAAATTCACTCCGTGCTCTCAATGAAACACCCGATCGAGGCAGCCAACATTCACCGCCGTCGATGCTGACATCGACCTGACTGATTTCCTCGCAGCCCCAAGCGCGCCCTCGGATCTCAACATCTGGTCCTTGCAACAATGATTCCGGCTCTGGCCTAACAATCATGGAATTAGGCTCGACCATCCACACAGGCCTCGTTCTCTGCCCACCAGGGTCAGTCGGGTCGATCTCATTGTAAAATATCGTGGTGAAGGGTCCGATGGCGCGGCGATCTTGCAGCGAGAGCCGACAAAGCCACTTCGTGCTATTGGTACCAAAGTATCCAGGCACAACCATTCTTACCGGACCGCCTCGATTTTTGCTCAGTGGTTCGCCATTCATTTCATAGGCAATCAAAACCTCGGAGCTCAGCGCCTTCTCCAAAGGGAGGTCTTTTTCATATCGGTCAGCCGAAACACCCGCAAATGAACCTGACTCCAGTCCTTGCGACCAGACATATCTTGCCTCTAGCTTTGGTTTGGCCAGTTCGAGCATGTCCGCAAGCCTGACGCCAGTCCATTTGATGTTCCCAATCCTCCACAACGCGTGGACCGGGGGCGCGATGGGACTTCCATAGCATTCATGGAAAGCAGTTATGGTCGAACAGGGCATGCTTTTCAGCTGTGCGAAAGAGACGGAGAACGGTCGTTCAACCAGGCCATCTATCACCAGTTTCCACTTGTTCTCGTCTACAACCGCAGCACCCATGTGGATGGTTTGGAAAAGTTGAGAATCATCTGTAAGTTCGGCATCCAGCTCATGTGGCTTTGGAGGGTGCCGTATCAGGAATCCGGCCGGGTCAATGGCCGTAAGGGCGTCGCGCTCCGACCCATCACTCTCACTTTGGGCTCCTGGAAGGAGGCTGACGTACTTTAAGTACAAACTCTCGATGTTGGGGTCCATCGGCCACGGGAGAATGCAGCGTATGCGCTCTTCGTCGTCGGTGAAGCCGTCTTCTGTGCCGTAGATGCCGAAGCAAAAGGAACTTGCATTTAGTCCTAGTGATTGTGGCTTCCTTGCATTCGATAGATTGTGTTTGTTGCTCGGTGCAAGTAAGCGGCAACAGCGGTTAAGCCTCGACAACGCGGAGGCGACGCGGAGCCGTCACGAAGGCTTGTTCGACCTCGGTATCGGCCATCCGGAAAATTCACTTACTCCGACTCGACGAACATAGGGGGCCTAACAGCAGGCCTGGAGAGCCTTTGGCGGACCATAAATGCCAAAGAGGGCTCAAGGTGCCCCAACGAGATTCGCTAGTCGTTGGAGGTGAATCGAACCATGGCCAAGCCAAAACTGACCCTGTACTTCGACCTGCACAGCCCATACTCGTACTTGGCATTTTATGTTATCAAGGTCGGTACTCGACCGAAGTCGATCCCCTCCCAGCCTCGTGAGAGCTACCGAGAACCAGTCTGAGGCTAACATAACATGACAGAATTCGCTCGTTTTCAAATCCTGCGACATAACGTATACCCCAGTTCTGCTGGTGGCATATATAAATGCCGTTGGGTTAAAGCCACCCTGGAGCAGTCCTAGTATGTGGCTGACGAAGTCCGCGATCCTTGCTAACCCCCCCACAAAAGGGGGTGAAGTCGATTCTGACATGTTCTATCAGACAAGGTGAAATGGATGCATACAGACGTCGCTAGATGGTGTCGGCACTTCAACATCCCCTGGACCCCAGGTTTGCCAGCGAACTATCCATTCAAGGTGACCACGTTGAAGGTGAATTTTTCGCACACTGAATCGTACTAAGTTTCGCATGCTCAGTCTTCAAACAGGTCCAGAGGGCCCTGGTGGCCTGTTCGCTTGAATGCCCTGACCGGTATCCGGACGTGGTGAACGAGCTATACCATGCATGTTGGTACGAGAAAATGGGGGTTCAGCTGCCTGAAATCCACGGACCCATTATTGCCCAGATAGTCGGCAAGGAACTCGCCGCAAGGATCCTGGACAGGGTATGTAATAATCAGTTCCGGCGTTGCAACATGATAAAAGACGTTGACAAGACTTCTTCGACAGAGCACCTCCGATGAGGTCAAGTCACTCCTGAAACAAAACACCGACAGCGCAATTGCTAGTGGGTCTCCCGGCATTCCCTGGATCAAAGCGGTAAATGGAGAAGGACAGGAGGAGTTCTTTTGGGGCTTCGACCATCTTGGGCAGGTTGCGAGATTTTTAGGCCTCCCAAGGCTGAACGGGCCCCATCTGTAATCTGGGAATACATTCACTGTTAGGATTGTGTATTGTACAGGAGATCCGCCGTCTATTGCCCGCGTACTGCAGTTTTACTATTCCCCCCGAGCATGGCTACAACTTCGAACCCGTCTCCTTTGCAGCGAGCTCCCTCAGCTGCCGCCGTAATATCTTTCCCGACTAGTCGAGAGGTCAGTAAGCGTCATACATAGGATCCACATAGGGGACTGAATATTGTGATTACTCACCGGATTTTTGGGGATAGCATCCACAAAGGCCGCGCCTCCTGTGAGGTGCTTAATCGTTGACACTCGTATCCTGACGAAGTCCACGACATCCTTTTCAGTAAGTCGTGAATTCGGTGCCCGCACAACGTACGCGCGCGGCCGTTCGTCATCCGTCGCCCTAGAGACATTGCCGTCAGCGGAACAATTAGACATGACGTGCAAAGTCATCGACGTACGTCTTTACGCCGATCACCGCGGCGTCCACAATCTCGGAATGCTCGAGGAGAAGAGCTTCGAGCTCTGCGGGGGCAACCGCGACACCCTTCACTTTGATCAATTCCTGGCACGGGTTAATTGGCTGACTGACGCAAGAACTATTTGGATATTGGCGCGTGCTTGCAGCTTACCTTCATCCGATCAACCATGTACCACTTTCCAGCTTCGTCTCGGTATGCTACGTCGCCGGTCTTCAGCCATCCATTGCTGATAGTTTCGGTAGTAGCTTTTGGATTGCGCCAGTATCCCTTCATTGCGTTCGGAGAGCGGATCCAGAATTCTCCCCTCTCGCCTGGCTGGGTTTCTTCCTCGCCGTTCTCCTTGACGAGCATTGCTTCTGCCCCAGGGACTAACTCGCCGATTGATATTGACGACGGACCCGAGCTCTCCTTTTCGTCCCAACACAGCGTGATTGCAGGTGTCCTACAGGGTAAACCGTCAGCAAGATTCAAAATCCGAACCGGGTTCCAGCACTTACTCTGACATCCCCCATGCTTGCCGTACTCTGATCCTACCATTCCAAAGCTCTTCGAACTGCTGCGTTACTTCCATGCCAATGGGCGCCGCGCCTGCCAGCACCTTTCTGATGCTGCTGATGTCACAAGTGCCATCGCGAACCGAAGGGTGTTTAGCCATGGCTACCAGCATTGGCGGGACAAGCACAAGTTCCGTGACTTTGAATCTTTGAATGTGATCCAGCATATCTGCCAGATTGAACCGCTCCATCAGGTATGTCTCGAGACCCCATTTCGGCGCCGTAAAGTTGTAGTAACATAGCCCCAATGCATGGTACATGGGGACCGCGCAAAGAGTCCGTCGAGCAACGATGGTTGAATCAGACATAGAGATCATTTTGAGTTGAATCATATTTGCGACCAGACTTCGATGAGATAATTCAACACCCTTCGGAAGGCCGGTAGTGCCTGAGGAATAGATCAGAATTGCAGTGCGCTCCGAAAAAGCCTCGGTGTTGCGCTCTTCCCAGGCAAAATTTCGACCAATCTCAGGCTTTGCAAGCAGTTCGCTCCAATGCTGCACTTTGGCATTGGTTGTGGGCGGTACTTCTTTCTCGTGGTCCATGGGCACCTCTGAGAAGAGAAAGATACGTTTCTTATCGAATCCGACAAGATCAGCTGCTTCCAGTGCTTTCTCTATGCAGCTCTCTGCCGCGAGGACAATGCGAGGACTGGAATCTCTAAGTTGATGAGCAAGTTCCCGCGGCGTATAGGCAGGATTCGCGCTGTTGTAGATGGCGCCGGCCATCAAAGCACCCATGACAACAACCGGATAGAAGATGCTGTTAGGGGAGAACAGTAGCACGCGATCCTCATTTTCAAGTCCTGCGAACTGGAGGCCAGCGGCAAATCTCTTGGACCATTCGCGATAGGTATGAAGGGTAAGAAAATGAGTGTCGGGGCGTTTTGCATCCACAAGGATTTTGTCAGTTGAATTGACGTTGGAGGTCGAAGATCCGAACATAAATGACGGAACTGACAACGTCGGTGGTGTCAACTGCCATCTTGATTTGTAGGGCATGTTGAAGTTCTTAGACCGGGTTGCTTTGGCTCAAGGATATCCGGGAGTGAGGACAGTTGCCGATATTTTAGTTTCTGGATGTTCACGTAAGGGAGAGAGCTTTGCATGAAAGTAGCTGAATATATGATCACTTGTACGGCCTTTAACTCGGTATAGTTGGCAACATTGAAGCTGTGATCTCCGAAATGGTGGCTGACTGCTCTGGGTGGTGAGTGGTTGAAGTCAGGTCCAGGCCGCCTGCGGTACGGGATCCACAAACACAAAGCTCGGTGCGGCTGACGTCGGAGCCGCAGTGATGGCAGGTCTGCAGCTAGACGATCGACATGAACCCGATAGCTTGTTGCTGCCACGCACTTCGTACACCGTCCCCCAGGTATACTCCATACAGTGGGGCAAACTGTTTCACCATTGAATGAAGGCTGCCGTGGGGAAATCCTATCTGCCGATTGTCGGGTCAAGATAATCATTGGCAAAATTCGCGTTGACCTGAATGTTTCATTGTGATAGATTGTCCACGTCTTCGTGTGACCAACAATCCATCAGGATATCACCATATTGCTGCATAAGCCTCTGCAACGCCGGTCTCGCAGTAATCGCTCCAGACACAGTCGAGTCGAGCGTCAAAAAGCACGTGAGCAAAGGCTTCATACTGGCAACCCACTCCGAGTCTGGATCCGTGTTAGAGAGGTGTGTCGAAGTCAAGTCGCCATGTTGATCGGCTGATATATGCAGGTCAATAGTATGTTCGATTGCCTTGGAGAGGGCCAGGACCACCAGGGCCGTATTTGCATGGTGTGAGATGAAATCCATCTTTGCTTGAACACTATTGATGAGTCTAAACTGGCCCATTGCCGATACGTCCACAATTCGTTGCGCTATTGTGAGAAGAGACGTAACAGCCTCTCTCTGGTAAATCAGCGCCTTGTCCAGCAGGGGCTGTCTCTCGACGACAGGAAGTATGTTGGATGCGCGATGAAGCTGTTCTATGAGCAGTAGAGTGCCTAAGCTCCAAAACAACAGCATAAATGCTAAAATCACCGGATCGTCAGCATCAATTCTTGGGCGATGGCAATAGATGATTCACCTGAAGCCAGTTTTGATTTCTCGGAAAGTAGATAAAAAGAGATGGTGCATTGCTGGAGCCATGAGCCATATGTCAATGCAAACTCGTCGTTGATCCCCATAGATATGGTGATGGCATTCCTGAGCGTGGCCATATTGAATGCTGCGTCGCTGGTCAAAAGCATCTGCCTCAGGTTGATCGTCCCCCTAAAGACACGGAAAAGATCTCCTGCGGCATTCTGGCAATGCTTTGGAACTTCTTGATCGAAGATAGCTGGTTGCTGCCATTCTGGGGCTAGGTGACCGCTGAGGAGGGTCCCTTGCTTTATCGTTAGTCATTACATTATAATACAAGTCCGTCGTGTTGCATACCGTTTGACCTTGGAGGTGCGTCTTCCAACATACAAGGTCGCTCATGAAGTACTGAATCAATCGTGTCGCGCAGATAGCCATACCAGCGGATAATGCCAACAGAAGCCTGAAGGAGGAAGCGATAAATTGACTGACGTCCCAAGTGCACACAGTAGTCTTCCACGAGACCCTGTAGCTCTTCCATCTTGCGCAGAGCATCGTCCAATAGGCCCAGCGGAGTGTCTCCATAACAGGATATAGACGCCGCTTCTGGAGGAACACTCGTCATTAGAAAGAGGAAGACTGAATAAAGTTTGACAAATGATCGGTTGTCTCTCGAGGAAACCAGATGAGAATGTGCATTGAACCAGGCCGCAGTGAAAACGTGTGTACTATTGGTACTCCGATCTCCCGGCCCAGAGTCTGGTCCCGAGCACTGACTGACATCCGGCGGGTTTTCAAAAAGCTGGGCCAATGGACCATCCGCCCGCTTGGACGGTGCGAACTGGAGAGCGAACGCCTGCAGCACAGCGATCAATGTGCGCTCATTCTGATTGCGTGTTTTCTGATCAATGGCATTGCCGTACAGAGGGCCAAAGTTGTCCAAGAATCGCGCTACCCCAATCATTGTGACCTTGTTAATCTGACTCGCCAGTCTTTCCGGTGCCATATTAGCGTGGATCTGGGAGCCGTTAGTGTCTACCGAGGCGTTCTTCCAAGAGGGCGTAAACATGTTGCCCACAGATTGGCCACTGTTAATATCCAAGCTTGACGGATTTGACTGATCAGGATCAAACGAATACTTGTAGGAACCAGCGAAGAGATTACAGTTGTAATCAAGATATCTTATGGCGATCCCGGACATCATGGAATTGTAGACCTCACCGAGACTTTGATTTATTCGCTGAGTCTCGACACTGGAGTTGAGCAAATGAATTGGGCTGCCCCTCCAAAGCCCAAGCGTCGAATTTTTTCGGGCAAACAAATCACTGAGCGATCTAGGTGGTGTCTGGTAATGGCTGCCCGAGCTGTGGGTGGTTGAGGAAGATGTGCTACTGCTTTGATAGTGTTCAGTGGCCGGAGCCTCGGTGGTAAACACCTGGCGGTCCAGGTTGGTCCATTCCGATACCAGATTTCCCATGAACATATCGACATCAAGGAACCCGGTATAGGGAATCCCACCCCAGAGGGCATTTTGCGTGGTTCTTCGAGTGGAGTCCACGGGCTCCGGGTCCGCGCACAAAGGGACAACAACCTGCTTCTCAGATCTCGGGATAGCTGGGGCGATAGGTTGTTCCTGTACATACGAGGCTGGTTGCTTCGCCTTGTTCTTCCTCTGGTTGAGTCGGGAATTGACAAAATCGAACGTGCAGTTGTGCCCGAGATGGAGACAATTCAGGCAGCTATTTGGTGACCCAGGTTTGACACCATCCGGGAAGGCACATCGTCTTTTCGAACGGCGACAGGGGTCACAAGACGAGTTCTGCTTCCGAACTGTAGGAGCAGGTCCCATGAGGATTTGTGGAACTTGAGTAGCGGTGCCGTGAGCCATAGCCATGGACGGTCAGCAAAGTCAACAATATTAAAGTAATTAACTTGTGCCACGATGGATCTGGGAAATTGTTTGAGGCGTGGCGATGCAGGAGATGGCAGACACAGTAGTCGCTTCAACACGGACTCGTTCTAGCCAAGTTGATTTCCAACTCTTTGACGGGGCTCTGCATTGTTCCATCTCACAAGCCGGAAAGGCTGGATTGTGGTCACGGCTCAGATCCTCCATCTTCCCTTTCATCACGGGACCAAGCTTTAACTTTGCCGCGGCTGCAGGGATCGGATCCGACCAGGCCGTTGTCATCGCGTTGGCCATGGATGGTACAATTGGTGCATTCTCCCGCGCGCCGATGACAAAGTCTTATGAAATGTTGAAGCGGGAGCCGATCCCTGTTCAATGGGTGTCAGAGCGGCCGTTTGGGCTCATCATTTTGCCCTGGAAAGTAATGGATCAAAGTGTATAATATTTTGTAGAGATCGCAAAGAATCAAGTTGGGTCTTTGACTGCCAGGATGAGGAGCCTGCGATTGCGTAAGAAATTGCCCCCTTGGCACCGTAGACCTGCTCCTCAAAGCCATCATCTTCCATGCGCAGCTTACCACAGGCGATGGTCCAAGATAAACCGGGATGTTCTTTGAGAATGATCGTCAGGATCTGCAATTGGCCGCTGAGCACCGACATATCGGAAACACCAAGGCGGAAAGTCGATGAATTCGGCCCACTAACCGCCTGACGCCACCTGGACGGCCGCGGTGATCAAGTCCCGTAAAACACCCTGAGCGATTCGAGACGACGGTAGGCAGTCTTTGCACATTGTCTCCAACAGCGGCGGCAGCACCGAGAGATACGCAAAGGATTCATCTCGCGAGCCAGGGCGAGTCTGAACACACTGAGACTTGACCGGGACCGGATCCCCACAGGCATTCCGGCTCTGTGAAAAGATATGACATATTAGTTCTTTCTCTAGGGGATGAGCTCACATCTAGTGGCCAGAGACCAAGGATGCAGACTCAACATCGACAATCAATCAGGTGGCAGTCACCATTGCTACTGCAGAAAGCCCCATTGGACACAAGGGCTACAACTCAGGAGTCGTATTAGCCCTATGCCCAGATGCTCATGCCGAGTGAGACCTTGTATTTCTGCACGAGCAAGCCGAAGGCATGGTGCTAGACCCTTATTTGAATGACCAACCGGGAAGATATACCGAGTGCATTGGTGTCATTGCTTCGACGCAAGGCTATACAGGCCGCAAGGCTGAATGTCCCTTTCATTATGCAGTTCACTAGGCGCAAGGCTTATGAAAAACCTTGATGGTCCTGAACCCGAGATTGCTTCGTAACCATTTCCAGGTCTGCCCCAAGGTTTTGCAAAGGATCAAGAACTAATGTCTCAAAGTGTCATTTAACGCGACGTCCTTTCACCCTGGGTTATTGGTATACGAACTGTCCCGGGAAACTACCTAGGGACCCAGGTATGGTCAATCCCATGACCGTATCTCCTCAACGCAGGCTTCTCCCCTCATTCCTATACCATATACAAAGACCGGTCCACTCACCAACGCAGATTCAATATCGCCGCGCTCGACCATGGCACTGTGACAGCAAGCATCCCACCCTGTGTTATCTGCAACACCTCCCCCGACGTGACATTGTTTAGCTTCACTGGCCTCCCTTGATGAAGCTCGTAATTATATGACCAGCCGTCAAAAGTAATGCCCGTGATGGCGTCACTCCCGTTTGCCATCAGTCGCTGCACACGGACTCCCTTCGCCGCTGACCCAAGTCCAGTGGTTGGCAGTTGGAAGCTGAACGTCTCGCTAGGCCGAGGTCCGTTGGAACCGGCCGTGCCGTTGGAGGTGTAATTGTACGCATTCATCTGGATGATGGCTATCCTCTCTAACCGACCATCGACATATGCCGCATAGGCGTTTTGATGTGTGCTTCCCAGTTCGATATCACTTATGCTGACGTTGTTTTTGGTCAAATCTCCAAGAAAAGTTGCTACCACGATGTTCCCATAGTATGGTGCCTTTGTACCTATGGTCTCGTTGACAGTCTGGATCGGTTGCCATGAAGCGTACCTATAGTTAGTGCCTTGATGCATGTGTACTCGAGCAATACCCGTGGCGGCACAGTAGAGGTTGAAATCCACGCCCCAGAGAGCAGCACCGAACGAATTAGACAGACCTGGAGCTCCTTCGTTGTACAAGCTATTGGTCTCGCCAAGGATGTATGGAAGACCTGTGTACGCCAGAAGGCTTGATTCGTTGAGGTGCTTGTTGACTGATAAGACGGTTGATGTGTGATTCATTAAGGTGCCTTGGAGAGTCACACCGGGCTGGGTTGCACCTCCAATGTAACTGGACACTGTCAACAACTATAAGCCTGATTTTCAAACGACATACTTATGGCTGTCAATGAATGCAATATCGTTGTCGGCGTTCAATCCAGCTTGCCACGTGGTGATCATGTTCAAGCTGTTTGAAGTCCCCGCAAAGTTGGGGGCGTAAAACTTGAACTTCCCCTGCTTGATGATATCCGGACAATTCTGCTGGACCAGTTGATGCATGGTGCGAGTCTTATTGAGCCATTCTTGAACGTAATCAGCCTCCTTCCACCAATTCGGTCTCACTGGGCCTTGGGCACTGGTCTTGTAAAGATCAGGCTCGTTACCTAGCTCCCAATAGGCGACTTTGCTGGCACCAAGAGCTTTGCAAACAAGCGGAGCAGTTCCCACCAAGGTATCGTAACCAACGGACCCATTCTTGCCCAGGTTGAATCCGTGGATATACGTGACACCTGGCCAAGTGGTGTAAGAGTCAAAGTAGCCGGGACCGATAGATATAGTCGTTGGGTAGTCTCTCGACCTCGAGAAGTTAAAGCTACCAACCAGGGCGGCCGTCTGGGAAGCATTAAAGGTGGCGTAATCCCTGGCCCTTCATTCGGCATTAGTCCCTCGATATAGCTTAGGAGGAACGTACTCCGTATTCCCACCAACTCTGATGATAGGATAGGACCCTTGAAGGTTACGCAGGTTGTTCAAAAGGTTGTATGAGAAGTTGTTCGGTTGACTCGAGTTCCCTGGAAAGAGTTGGTGACGAACTCCTGCTTCTTCTCTGGCAACCTACCTGCAAAATCCGGAAAGGATGAAAACTCAATCGAGTATGAGACGAAGGACTCGAGGAGTGGCTTGCTGGCATTTTGGGGAGGAGCGAGAGACAAGGAAATAGCGCATGTAGCTACCTCGATAAGGAGCAATCCAGCAACAACACGAGACATGAACATTGTGAAAGGCAGCGTGATTAAAGAACGAAGACCTTCCAGCTCATTTTCCCACCTATTTATTCCTTTCGTACGGCGGCCATTCCAACATAAACGCTCTGGAGCAAAGCCCTGTTCATTCCAGCATTCCGCGGGGGGCATGCTTCGGCACATTTAAGGCCAGGAATTCCCCAGGTTTGCAAGTCTCGCGATTGGTGGGAAGCTTTGCATTTCAGGAAGGTGACAGAGCATTTGCCGGGGGAGGTTCACGGATCGGCAACCGTACAACGCATGTTTTGGGAGCGGAGAGCTGACAGGAATACCTTTCATTTGCCCGGAAAGGAATTTGAGAGACGGCGGGCTCGCAGCTCGCAGCGTCATCTGCAGAACTGGAGTCACATCATGACGGAAGGTGGAAATGATCTGGTGGTGGGAGAGGGGAAGTTGAGTGATGATGAAGCTCTCGCAGTTACTATGCATGGAGAAAGGAGAAAAGTCAACAGTGATCGTTGCCAAGCCGATTTTCTTACGGCGGAGTATTTTGGTGCCTCCAGCGCAGTTTCATTATTTTTGAACTTGCAGGCAAGACATACATAGTGGACATATGTAACAGCTACAGCAAAGACAAGATCGAGATACCATTATTTTGCGCAAACATCAGATACTCCATCTTTCCTTCGCGTTCCCATATCTGAATATGTTCTGAAAGCCTTCTCTCGCGTATCTCTCGACTAAACCCCTAATCCTGTCTAAGATGCCCTCGCGATCTCCGTCACGAGGGCGGTCTCCTACACGATCGCATACGCCAACTTCTATACAACGAGCACCCTCTCCACCCTTCAATCTTTCACGTTCGCCGCGTCGGTCGCCCTCACCGCGATCGCGTTCTCGTTCCCCTTCTCGATCCAGATCCAGATCATACACTCGGGCGTCTCCGCCTCGCGATGGTCGCAATGGGCATGGGCGGGGGAGAAGCCCCAGCCGAAGCACGACGCGCAGCAGGAGCAGGAGTCCAAGTCGCGGTGACAGGAGGTCTTATAGAGAACGAAGCTACACGCGCAGCCCCAGTCGAGACAACCGACGGGTGCAGAGCTCCAAGATTGTGGTGGAAAAGCTCACCAGAAATGTGACCGAAGCCCATTTGCGTGAGATCTTTGGCTCATACGGTCGCATCGAGTCGATTGACCTCCCACTGAACAAACAATGTAAGTCTAACCTTGCCCCGGCCCGGAAGACGTCTAACGTGGGACAGTCATGACAAATCGCGGCACGGCATACATTCTTTACGATCATCCTTCCGGCTCAGAATCTGCCATTGCCCACATGCATGAGGCCCAACTGGATGGTGTCGTCATTTCTGTGAGCATTGTGCTTCCTCGCCGGGCTTTTTCGAGATCACCGCCTCCAGCCAGATCCTCCCGATATGGCCCACTACCCTCCCGTTACGGACCACCTCCAAGAGGACCTCCCCCACCGAGATATCGAAGCCCTCCCCCCAGGAGAGGCGCCTACGGTGGAGGGAGGCGAGCAGCAGAAGACGACACGTACGTTCCACGTGACACATATTCAAGGTCTCCTTCACCGCCCAGGCGGCGTCGGCGGTCACCGTCATATTCCAGATCCCCATCTAGGACACCGCCTCGAAGACGTGGCCCACCGGCTCGAAGTCCACCAAGGCGGAGAAGACGCAGTCCAAGTTACAGTTCTCGGAGCAGTTACAGTCGGAGTAGAAGCAGAAGCAGAAGTCGGTCAAGAAGCAGACCCAGGTATGGAGGAAGAAGATGAGCTGAATGAGAGTCGATGGACTGTCGTTTTATCTCCTCGAACGGAGAATAAAAGAAAAATACGAGCGATACTCGAAATGTAGTGTTTGACAACCCAACTTTATGCGAAAGCGCATGGAGCATCCTTGTCTCAGTCGGACGGAAGTGCTTCTAACAAGGGACGAGCACGCAAGGGCTTCATAGATGAACGAATTGAAACCGTTAATTCAAATCCCATAGCAGTCATCTGTCAAACTTCAAACTTGTGCGGACGACCGAAGTTTCAAAGTTTCAAAGTTTCAAAAGTGACAGGACAAGAACTGCTCAGAGAGGGAGCCCCCGGAGCATGGTCTCCGATATAGCTGCCTAGTGCCTAGGTAGGTCCCTAGCCTAGGCATCTTTACCTAGTGGGCTGCCCACAGCTCGGCGTGGTTGAGGCCCCTAGACACCTATTCGACTGATTTTAGCGGTGGTGGCGGCGGGTGCATTTAGTTGAGCTGGTTCCTTGCATGAGAGCCGCTTGGCGGTCGGGTGGAGCTCCAGTGGTGCCAGTCAGTGACAGGCGCCGCACTCTGGCGAATCCTCGACCCTCTCCAACGCCTGCGCCAATTTTCAGCTTCCGCTCACTTTCACTTTCTGGTGCGCGATCAATGTAAAAGTGAGCGCAGTTGGAACGCATCAACAACCACCTCGGTTTCGGCAGCGATTCCTGTCAGTGAATCGTCATCCCATGTCTGCGACTATCCTTGCCGGCGTCTAGTCTCTACCAAAGCTTCTGCGCGCCCTCCGAATGACAACGCGTCTTCTTTTGTCACTTTGCCCGGTCAGAGCATCCACCTCCCTTCATTTAGTTGATCGTCAGCCCCCTGCGCATTACCCGCGCGTCGATCACCATGAGTACCGACCCTGAGACTCCCGATGCGCCTGATGGAATCGACCACCATGACGAAGAGAGCGAGGCCGACGATGAAGCTATCAACGACGCCAGCATGCAGGATGCGGAAGACGATGAAGGTGGAAATGACGGTGCCGTTGACGGCGAAGCTGATCCTGCGACTGAACGAACCTTGCCCAATGGCAGACCTTACACCGTATCTGATGAACCACAAGACTATAGTGTCTTCAACAACCCGCGCGATCTCGCCGACATGCGTCAGAGACTTTTCACCCTCGAAGACCCCGTTGAGTTGCCGGTCGCGGACTGGCGAAATTATTTCCCTTTTGTTGATAATATCTGGCGTAAAATGAGATCCCAGCCAGAGGACGCCGGTGCCAACGTCGAGTATTATGCCTGCAGGCTGCGACGCGGCGCCAGCCAAAAACCACATACGCCAAGGCCCACTCCAGAGGGTAAACAGAAGAGGAAGAAAAGAGTCCGAGACGAAAAGACATGTGCCATGACGATGAAGGTGGTCTACAACAACGGCCCAATAGAGACCTGCACTATTTCAAAAGCTACCGATGGAGTAATGAGACATTCCCATGATCTGGACTACATCGATGGTACAAAGCGAAATACCGGAATCATGGATACAGCTCGCCATGAAGCTACCAAAGGTTATTTGCCCGCTTCGATATATTGGAAATTGTGGCAGGAGCCAGACAAGATGCAGGCTGCTGGGGGGAGGTTTATGAAAATGTCAGACGTCCGAAATGTCCAGTATGCCTGGCGCCAGGGACATCAACAAGTTGTTCTCAAGGCACACAAGGGCTTCAGTCAACAGCGCGCCCTCCGACAGCCGCCAGCCCCTCCACCTCTTCCGAAACCTCAATTCCAACCTTCCATGCAGCCTGGCGTCTTTGGCCGACTGGAACCCGTCAAACCAGATGCACGGAATGAGCCAACAGCAGCAATAACGACAACGATGACGACGACGGCGACGTCAATCCAGTGGGACACGTTACAATATCCACATCATGCCAGAGGTTTTTTGGAACCATATGTGCCCGATCCCAAACTTGCCGCCGTCCGAACCCGTCCGCATATCACTCTTACCTGGGCAAGCAGCCTTGATGGCAGGATCAGTCAAGTCCCAGGAGTTCCTACGGCTGTATCTGGTCCAGAGACAAAGGCAATGACACACTATTTGCGAAGTCGGCATGATGCCATCTTGGTTGGTGTTTCAACAGCCATAGCTGATGACCCTGCCTTGAACTGTCGACTCGCAAATCCCGGCGGGTATGGTGGACTAGCCTGGGAGTTCCAACCACGGCCCATCATCATTGATCCTCACGCACGGCTACGAATTCACCCAGAGATGAAAGTGCTCAAGACAGCAGCCGAGGGTCGAGGCAAGGCCCCCTGGGTCGTGGTCGCTCCCGGTGCATTGCTACATCCTGTTGCTGTAAGCACGCTAAAAGCTCACGGTGGAGAATATCTGATGATTAATGACTATCATCCTGCACAAGGAGGACTAAACTGGGAAGGTGTTTTCCATGTGCTATTTCGAGAAGGAATAAAGAGCGTCATGGTTGAAGGAGGTGGGATCGTACTCTCAGAGCTTCTGAAAATGCATCGCTCCCATCTGGTCGACTCTATCATTCTCACAATAGCTCCGACATTCTTTGGTAAAGCAGGAGTGATGGTGTCTCCGGATCCAACATTCGACCCTACAGGACGCCCAATTGCTACCAGGTTGAGAAATGTCAGATGGCAACCAATGGGAGACGCCGATGTGGTTATGTGTGGCCACATGACTATCGATCCTTCCCCGCCTACAAATGGTATTCTACCTGGTATCGAGGAATACTCGCGAACAGCGGCAGTTGTTCCAAACCCGCAACAACAACAGCAGCAGCAGCAGCAGCAGCAACTTCAACAGCCGCCAGGAGGACAACAAACACCACCCGCCCCGCCAGCGAAATCGCAAACACCTCAGCAGCCGGCTGTCGTCCAGACGGAGGCTCATGCATCCACGAGTGTTCCTACTGGTACTCCGCAGCAACCGGTACCTGTGCCTCCACCGGTATCTGCCCCTGCACAGCCTTGAGTTGAACAATCAAAACGGAGACCCCATGCTTGCTGCGGGGAGAACAATTGGTCTCTCAACTTCACCAACGGAAATGAAAAATCGCTATGGGGAAATAGTGGTAAACGGGACACCAACCCCGGAGCCTAATGAATCAAGTGATGAAACCGAACAAAAAGCGATCCATGTAAAGTCAATGCGCGGGCATGCAAGAGCGACGAGAAAGAATATTGAACACCGCTAGCTCATTTACAACAAAAGGAAGAGGCGTCTGACACTTGATACGGGACGAGCTAATGACTTCTACGACGCAGGAAATGGGAAAATGAAAAGTGTGATGAACAATGCTGGTCACATGGATGAACCTGGGCCAGGTAGACAGTCCTTTTCCGACGATTTCGAGTTCTGGAACGCAAGCTGGAAAGCAGGAGATTGCGTTGTCTACTATTTACTGGCTATGTATTGCCGAGTGCTGTTGGTTCCAGGGAGGGGAGTGCAGGAACTCAATTCTAGAGAACGATGGAAAAAGGTGCACCTTGGCATGTTAGGACTAGTACTAGTAGCAACAAGGAGTGGCTGGACTCCGCGGTAGTGCTTAATGCTGCGGTGCAGGGAGCTGACCAGGCCTTTCAGCGCATTTTATGATTGGAATACTACTACTATGTACTTCCATACCAAATTAGCAGCACAGACCACTAAAGTAGCTAAACCCAACGAGGAAGAACACACATAAAGCCAGCTAGACTAATTTTAGCCAATTGTCCGTTTTGGGATATCTTAGTGACGTATTAATTTTCGAAGCAGAGAAATTATTATAATAGTATATATATAAATGTCTCTAGCCCTACGTAAGGACTTTTCTCCCATCTCTAGATAGCCTCGATACTGTATCGAGACCATCTAGAAACTCTACATTTAGTATTAAGTCTAGATATATTACTTTATATACAAACATTAAAAGTATTCAATTTTTCTCGTCGAAATTGTTTTTTCTTTCTTCTCTTTAAGGAGAATTAGTATTAGCAATCCCACTCTATAATTGAATTCTCTATACTACACTAGTAATAAAAAAGCCTTGAATATATAGTAGAGACTTTTAGAGTCGAGGAAAGTACTGTTACTACTATTCCTAGTGTCTAAGAAAGATCGGGCAAGGATTGAGACTTGCTAATTTACTAGAGACGAGATTCAGTAGTATCGAAGTAGTCTCCGAGATAGTATTTAAGAAGAGTCCGAGAAGTATCGAGATCCTGGCATCGACTAGAGATAGAGTAAAGACTATGTAAAGGATGGTACGTATATAAAAAACCCTCAGGGGGAAACCAGGCGATGTGAATATTATTTATGTGCCATTCGTAGTATTTCAGCGGGTTAAGAGCGCGGAATCTTATCTGCGTATAGTATTAGAAAGGTAGTGGTAGAGGGAATCATATATACTAGTATTATATTAGTTCGAACTGGTTTAAATAGAGCCAGTATGGTCAGCGGACCTAGTTATAGCCCGATCTAAGACCGATTCCAGACCGATTCGAACCGATTAGACCTATATAATATATAAAATATCATGAATCGATTTTAAATCGATTTAGTCTAGGGCGAGCCGACTTAAATTGAGCTCAAATCGATTTAGATTACTTCGAATCGATCTCGAATCGGGTTGAATTCATCTGGCTCACCTATAAATCTCTTAAATCGAGTTTAACTCAGGCTAGAACCGGGGCGGAACTGGGCTAGAACCGATTCAACACTGGGTGGACGGTGAGTGTAGTAGTATGTAGCTTACACCGGCGGTAGGTCATGGAGACCGACAGAAAAGTACTAGTATAAGTAGTGTTAGCAAAGAGACCGGATCCGGATTCGGATATGATTCATGCTAATCATTAGGGAGTCCTGCGACTTATCTATACTATCGACCTTCCTTCGTAGTGCTGCTAAAAAGAGATACTCGTTTGAACGTCTATAATTGAATGTCAGCAGTGAAGGATATCTCAGGGAATACTAGTATCTCGATCACTCTCTCAGAGTAGCGATCTATTACATAGTATTAGTACCTCTTTGAACATCCAATGGCATCCGCCGTCAGTCTTAGACTCACTGCCAGTCTTCGGAAGCCCTTCTTCTGGGGTGGTTCAGCATTATTAACTTTTGAGCCGACCGTGCTACGTCTCCATCGTCGACCTCAGAAGGGAATTTACTCTGTATACAATATAGTACTAGTATCTTCCACCGAGCCAGTTCTTACAAAAAATGTCCTCGCGCTATTCGAAAGCTCTGAACACGACCACCAACAACATCATCGTGCCAATCGGGGTATTACTCCTGACTCAAGCAGCGCCGGAGCCATTCCAGCTCCTAACGGAGATGAGATCGCAGCAACTAAAAAGCTTATGAGTCCCTCTGTTGGAGAATGTCCTCACTTACAAACGAGGGGACTCTAGCAAGAGATTGTGCGAGTATGAGGTGGATCAAGTTCGGGAAGAATTTCCATCAAGCTCCTGGTAGGAGACAAAGATCTGGTGGAAACAGTTGAGAGGGTGCAGAAGGAGACGGTGAGTGGATTTGGGAGTGAGAAGTACTAGCGGGGACCTGTGTCCTGTTAACTTCAATGCCTGAGGACTTCAAGTTGCCATGGAGTTGAGGAAGCTGTCGTAAAGAGGAGTGACGCGCAAGGGAAGGAGGTATTTTATGAAATGTTGCCAGTATACTAATAGTACATGATTTATTCACTAGCGCTATCCTAATAGTGCCTAGTATACGCTAGCTCTCACTAGTGCCATACGGCTTCTACTAACTGCGTCCCTACCAGGTCACTTAGTACTTCATCGCTTTTCAACCATGACAAGCACTTCCGCCACTTTAGTAGAGCCCTGGTCTTTCTTACCGAAGATCTTTGTCTGCGCCATCCTGACCAGCAGCACACTTACACTTAGCGCTCTAAGCATACTCGAGTCACCCTTTCTCCAAACCAACCATGCTAGCCAATACTAGCATCGCCATTATTGCACCTCTTCCCATCCTACTACTATTGTTCACCATTGGAGTTTTCAATTACAAGCACCTACTACCTCTCTGGACATATAAAAGGCAGATCAAGCTCGATTTCTCGCCCAACGAACTTTCTGGCGTCGATATAGCTGTTGTCTTAGTTATCTTTCTGTTGAGATCGGTCAAACATTCAATACTCTCGACATACAAGTGGATATGCAACGCCAGAAATGATGTCTCTGAAGTTCCAATCTCCCCAGATGAAGACGAACTATCGTTGGTCATGCCGTTTCGACCAACACAAGCAGACCTCAGTGCCTATTCCGTGGCTGTCAAGAATTCACTAGTTGATAGGGACGACGTTCAGTTAGTCAGCTCACAGCTGCTTCTCCTCCTATCAGCTCTGAGTGAGCCAGCCATGCTGTTGTTACTTGCCCACCGGTCGTGTCAGATACGACCTCTAGGCTCCGTCAACGTAAGAAACCGATTCGAACTGTTGAGGCCCGACCTCTGCACAGGGGAGACATTGGTGTCTTTCAAAGAGGCCTTCTTGACTGCAAGGCTCTCAAAGCATGTCCGCACGGTCAAACGAGGGTTTGAGGTTGACCTCACGGTAAGCTTGAATGTTCTAAGCAAGGATTCCACCGACTCGATCCCGGTCTTTCGGCAAAATTTCACTATTTTGCAGTTCGCAAGAATTCGCGCAGAGATCATTCAGGGACGGAATGCCGCCCCAGATAGTACTATATCCACCCCGGCCTGGTCAGCTTCGATACCTCTCACCGTCGAGTACAATGACCCCACCGGCTGGGCAAGGCTCTGCAAAGATTACAATCCAATTCACATCTCGACGATCGCGGCAAAGCTCTTTGGATTCCCAGGGAAACTAGCCCACGGCAATTACATCGGTGCATTAGCTGCCAAGTACATTGCTTTTGCCAACGCGAACGAGCCGCTTTTTATGGAAATTACGTTCAAGCGGCCCGTGGTTGTCCCTGCGCACTTGGAGTTGAAGGTTTCCCCAGCGGCGGCAGAAGAATCACAGTCACGCCTTGTTATTATTACATTGTTCCAAATTATTAGCAAGAACAAAATCTGCGTCGAAGGGAGAATTGGCCAGCTCAAATACACGGCCAACGCCTGATGCTGCCAAATCCCTCTTCTCGACAAAGGGGTGGCAAGCGAACAATGACGAAGTCGACTCCCGATCAAGCCGCGGAATCAGTCGGCAAGTCGGGTCCCAGCCTTACTAAAGGAGCTGTCTCGCTGTTCAATGGCGCAGAGCCAATTTTCGGAATGGTCGGCGAATCACAAGCCACTCGATCTGGAGATCAACGCGTCGGCGGCTTGGGTCAAATTTTAACATTTTCGCGCATGTGAAGTCCGAGCCTCCCTCCTTTCCAATCTGCGAGTTTTATGTGTTCAAGGCGCAATTGCGACGGTCTGGGAATATATACTTAGTCTAGTCCTCTGCTTCCTCTCTTTTGCCCGTGTTTACTCCATTCAATCACATAGATCTGTACTGTGAATCCCCCTTCAATTGGTGTTTCAGAAATCTTGCCGGCCGGAAAACAAAATGTCGTTCATTCTTGCTTATCGAAAACCAAAAGAGAAACTGGCGAGGGCTCGGGCGCGAGCACCAAGCATTCCCAGGCTCCATGAGAATCTTGCAAAGCTCAAATCGAAGCCCTACAGGCTGTTAAAATTCGAAGAGCTGCCTGAATGGTACCAAGGTAACCACTTTACGAGATCGGGCTATCGACCAGTATCCAACTCATGGTCTACTTGTATCTTTTCTCTCGGGCACCTCCACAACGAGTCGGTCAATATCTACACTCATCTCATTCCGGCCTTCTGTCTTGCTGTCGGCCAAGTTCTTGTCTACCGCGGTCTCAGCTATTTCTACCCCGATGCGTCAATGGCTGATTACGCCGTCTTCAGCATCCAGGTCGGCGCTGCAATCGTCACAATGCTGCTTTCCTCTACCTATCACACCCTTATCTGCCATTCCCAGGATATCGAGAACTTAATGCTGAGAGTCGATTATGTGGGTATCCTGACGCTGATTTTAGGAAGCTTCTTTTCCGGAATCTATGTTGGATTTTATTGCGAACCTCTGCTCCGTCGAGTCTATTGGGGCATGATCATTTCCCTTAGCCTCATCACGGCCATACTGGTTTTGCACCCAAAATTACAGGGTCTCAGATATCGGAGTCATCGAACGTGGGCTTTTATATCCACCGCACTTTCAGGCTTCGCACCCATCATTCACGGCCTTTACCTCTACGGCTGGAGCGAGATGTGGGTACGCTCGGGGATGCCCTACTGGTTTCTGGAGGGCATCGTGTACGGGATGGGCGCTTTCTTCTTCGCGACTCGGATACCCGAGTCGATATGGCCAGGCGACTATGACATCTGGTTTTCATCGCACCAATTTTTCCACGTCTTGGTGGTCATCGCAAGTCATGTCCACCTATATGGAGTTTGGGTGGCTTTTGATTGGAACTACGAAAACCAAAGGTTCTGCCCTGCGATCGGGTTATAACCAGTGGCGGCTGATTCGTCTATGCATTTACGCGACCTAGAAACAAGAAACGTGGGAACCCAGCTTGGTGGCTGGTCAATTGGTCTATGTGGTCGGTCTATTGCAGATCTAATTTCTATGCTCAAACAGTGAATTTTTGCAGATTCTCGAGCCCAGATTCCTTTGCGATTTTGGCGACCTGCTCTTCACCGAGCTCGTCGAAGATGTCGTAACCCCATCGGGCAGGGAAGTTAAACCTTTTGTGTCTCTCGAGCGCGTTCAACCTTTGCATCGCATCGTCGGGGAGGATAGCATCTTGAAAGTTGTCGCGGATGCGTTTTTCGGTGACACTCTTGGGAAGCACCACCGTCCCGCGTTGGACGGCCCAGCTCACGAGGACTGCACCGGGGTCCATCCCCAAGGACTTTGCAATGGCATGTACTTCGGGGTCATCGACCGTCTTTAGCTCTCCGGTCATGTTATTACCCAGGGGACTATACGCCTGGACCAGGATTCCCTTCTCATTGCAGAAGGCGAGTAGTTCGGGCTGCTGAAGATATGGATGTGCCTCCACCTGGTTAACTGCAGGGACTACCTCGCAACTGGACAGGAGCTCCTTCAGACGGCGAACGTTGAAATTTGAGACACCAATTGCGCGGGTCTTCCCAGTCTTCAACAATGCCTCCATCGCCTTCCACGTCTCGTTGAAATGCACACTTGACAGCCGGAACACGCCCTGCTCGTCGAGGGGAAACCACCGGTCGCCAGATGCGAAAGCCACGGGCCAGTGCATAAGGTACAAGTCGACGTAGTCGAGACCGAGATCCTTTAACGACTTGTCGAGTGCCGGTTCGACATCCTTGGGATCGTGTTTGCTGTTCCAGAGCTTGGTCGTAATGAAGATGTCTTTCCGGTCGACGCCACTTTTCCGAATGCCTAGGCCGACCTCTGTCTCGTTTCTATAGATTGCCGCACAGTCCAGATGCCTGTACCCAGCCCTGAGAGCTATCTCTACCGCCTTCTCGACTTCGTGCGGTGCAGCCTGCCACGTGCCGAATCCGACAGCAGGAATTTTAGTCCCTGTATTGAGGGTAAACGTTCGATTGAGTGCCATAGCTGCTGTCTTGGGTTTTCTGTGAATGATCGAGGCGAACAATATATTGTGTTTGGGGAGAGAGATCGAAATTCTACCACTGCAGAAGGAGTTGCGCTTATCATCCTCAACGCAGCATCATTCCTTCGCTTTTCCTTTTCTTTTCCGTATCCTGCTCAGGAAACTTTTCCACCGGACACTCGGCTTTGTCGGCTATTGAACCGGTGCCCGCGTTGCGTCAAACCGGATCCCAAAGTCAAGGGAGTGTGAGGAGGTTTTTCCACGGCTTCCCGACGGAGGAATCGCCTGTTTGCCGGCTCTAGGCTAGCCTGCTTACGCCCTTTCGAGGTTGGCCCTCGCCCAAGACACTGTCTGGAGCCGAGGAGATTCCGCTGTTCCAGGATTTCCCCGCCACCGAATCTTTCTCATCAGAGCAGCTTTTGATCCTTTGTCTGTCAGCCGTCCCTACGGAAGGCAGTTGGTCCAAAGTTGTTCGACCCACGAAGGATGGACGAGTCCAAGATCAAGTCTCCGACGGAGAATGATGCTCTCCCATCCAGCCCTCCCAAGAGACGCAAGCTCAAACATCCACGCACAGCAAGGGCTTGCATGTTCTGTAGGAGGTATGTGATCCCCCTGGTGCCTCGGCGGCAGGGATTGTTTGCGAACGAAGCCTCAAACCAGCAGACTCCATTGGAACCTTTACGTCCTCCATGCCTGTATACTGACGGTGTACCATACGTATCCAGACGAAAAGTGCGATGCTCAGGCACTCAACCCTGTGATTACTGCAGTGGTGAAAGTGTTCGCTGCGAGTACGATGACGGTATTGCGAGACCACCACCGAGGGCTTTCAGTCATGCCCCAATCTCTGGCTCAAACATCCATCCGGTTCCAGTAAGTTGGCATTCGCCTGGCAGCCCAGCTGGCGAGCGTGCAAACGCCACTACCTCAATCACGCAATCGTCGAACCGGGCAGCCATCATGTCACGCGAGCATACACCCCATCTGTCTCGAGGCCCATCTCTGGAACCGACCTTTGCTGAAGGCCACCATATTGCCGCAACAGCGGGAGTATCCTTCCTTTATCATTCATGGAATCGAGGTGATGCAGTCGAGGGAGAGGCTGTATTACCATCGGCCCCGTTGACCTGCCATGGAGACATCCCTCCGGTTCAAGTTCGACAAGACCAGCCGTTCCCCAAACGAGAGGAGGCAGATGCGCTTTTGGAGCGCTACTTTCGTTTTGCAACGCCAACCTATCGCTTCCTCCATCGGCCAACGCTCGAGAAGTGGACATCTCAACTGTTGTCAGGGGCTCGTATGTTGACCGCAGAAGTCGCCTGTACCCTGTTGGTGTTCTCGCAATCGCTTCTGTATACGAGGGAGGGCGATAGATACGTTGACGGCGAGGACCAAGACCTCAACCGGAGCCAATTCTGTAAGTTGTCCCCAGGTTGTCATGCATACACGGTCAGGATCCCTGGCCATGAGGGACGTGCCTTGGTATCTGACGACTACACATCGGTACCACGGTTTCCTCAGCGGGTTTTATGCTAGGTCAAATCCACGACATGGAGCCCAGAAATCTTTTTATCCCTGGCAATCGGCGACTATGGCGTAATTGCTGACTCGTCTCCGATGCACAGATTTCGAGAAGGCCAAGTCGCTTCTTAATCAAGAGCCTGGACCAGCCTCCGTTACAAGCGTCCAGGCCAGGCTTGCCATGTGTCTGTACCTTCTGAGCACTTTCCGGATCAACGAATGCCGGTTCTGCTTCAGTCTGGCTTGCACGCTCTTGACATCCATAGGCCTGCACAGAAAGATTTCTTCCGCCCACAGGCTAGATCTGGTGACATTGGAGTCGCGCAAACGCACATTTTGGTGCGCTTATGTTTTGGATGACTATCTGAGCGTCATGCTTGGGCGGCCGCGAATGCTCCGCGACGAGGACATCGACCAACCGTATCCTCGGAACATTGACGATCAAGACTTGCTGTCGTCCGAATCGCCCGAGGACCTGCCCTTGCATGGCAACCTGGAAGCGTTCATCGCTCATGCGGATCTTGCGAAGCTAATGGGACGCAACAGCGATCTCCTCTATCCGATCCAACCACTGTCCGAAGATCAGCTATTCGACCGTACCAACAGCATGCTTGAGGCCACGCTAGAGTGGAAAGACAGTCTCCCTGACTTCCTCAAACCTCGCGATAAGACACTGGCTGGGCAGCGAACGTTCGAGCGTCAGAACACCGTCTTGAAGCTGGCGTATGCGCATCTGCGGATTCTTGTCACTCGGCGGTGCCTGCTCGCGGACTTCTCGCGCCTTGGCCGAAGGGCCTCGTCGGTCCTAGACGAGAGGGCTTTGAACCCGATTCGGGAATGTGCCAGTGCCATAAGCACCATCCTCAATACCACGTGTGACTTGATTCAACGGGCTGCCATGTACCAGTCCTTCTGGTTCACCCAGTATATCGCTCTCGTCGCGGTGTCTACCCTGTACGTCTTCGTCATCCAGAGCAGCCGCGCCAACATTCCACCAGGTGTCTTTCCCGACATGAACGTGTTCTTCGATAAGGCTAAGCTTTGCCAGGACCAACTAGCCACGATGGCACCAGAAGGCAGTCAGGCACGGCGGCACTGTCAGCTGCTGAGTCGGCTTCGACTCCGTGCCGAGAAAGATGCTGCGCGAGCGAAAAGGAGCAATGGAATGAGGGCGTCGGGCTTGGAGCAGACAGCGATCTCGAGGACGGCAGCGTCTCACGAGTTCGCGCCTCCATCGACGACATCACATCTGACCTCTTCTTCGGAACCAGCAGACTCCCAGGGCATCCCAGGTCCTCGACCAACCCACCCTGACCCAACTTCCGAGCAACCTGAATATGCCAACGACGCGGTCCGACCCGGGGGCGAAAGCGGTCTGTCTCGCATGGATGGGGACGTAGATGTGGACGCGGCGCTCGTGAGCCAGTTCACGCCATCCGACGACGACTTTATGTTTCAGAACCTCCTGGGCTGGGGCTGGGAGAGTCTGGACACGGTCGGGTTTCCCGGGGAGGGGGACCTGTTCAGCATCCACCCGTGAGTTAGCTTTCTTTTGGTCGTAATAAGTTGTAGGTCCGCGGCATGTATTGCATAGCATAGCATTGCATAGCGTAGTATAGTATAATATAGTACTCAAATGTCCTTGTCAAAAAGGGTGGAAATTCTCAATATGGCCTGTATGCTCGTCGTGGACAAAGATGTTAGTTGCTGCTAGAACTAGCCCCTCTACCAGCGGCGGCGACGTCGTCCTCAGGCAGCGGTAGAGTGAATTTGATTCCAACCCCCCGTTCCAGATGTACACATGTACATATCTACATGAGTAGTCGTGGGTCGTGAGTCGTGGCCTGGGGCAACGGAAACCACGTACCACTTTCTGTGCTCGTCGTATCAAGGGCATCGGGAACGAGATAAATGGATCACGTCAAGAGCATCGGTCATTGCGCCGTTGCATGGTTTCGGTTAGAGGCACCTTTTCACCAGTCCGCCTTGGCTTTTGAGCGCGTTCATCCGGAAACCTTGCTGGCCATGGATGACTGTGAGAGGGGAGGGGGATATCGATCCCATCACCCGTTTACCCGCTGATAGAGACTCACCGCTCAAAGTGCACAGATTGACAGAATTGTGACGGACAGGAGCCCTCGCCCGGGGTAAGCACACGTCTAAATCCATGTCGAGGTCGGGTCCAGGGACGAGGTCACCCAGGTACGGGTACAGTAATTCCAGGTCTCGCATTCCAGCCAGGCCCCTGCCACATTACCCAGGCACAAGCACGCGCACGGGTAACTAATATGTCGACCCTGCCTGATTGCTCCTTGCATAAACATACACATCGGATTAGAATCGCGACCACGTGAAATGCTCTTGCCACCAGCACGCTGTCCTTCCAACTAACATGACACATGTACTGCGCAGACCTAGTGAGGCTATCTGGGTAGGAGGATCAACTTCAAGTTGTCTGTTGAATGTACGGGGCTTCTTTACGCTGTCGTTCCAGGCCGGCGACCGCTCCGCTAGGATGTTGAATCTTTCACGAGGGGGATTTAAAAAGGGGACGAAGGCCGGTACATGCTAGTCTAGAAAGGCGCCCTAGTGGAAGACGAACAACTTCTTCCAGAGACCTTTCATTGAACGATTGAGGATACCCAGTGTCTCTCTCTTCTTTCTTGTTCCTTCACAAACCTTCCGTCCAATTTCATCTTCTCACAATGGGCGAAAATTCTGGTGCCACGATCGAGCATCATCACTGGGCTGCCCATCTCCACAACCCTTCCCAGAGGGTATCTGCCGATCGACCAACCTTGGGCACAGGATGGGCCTGCTCCTCGCTCTCCTCTGAACCTGCGACGTCGGCCAGAACCAGCAGCAGCGACCTCGAAACGTCATGCCTCCGCCCCCTTATCCACACCCACGCCCGGCGCAGCCTATCCAGCCACAGGCCTACATAGTTCCTATGCACATATCACCAGTTTATCCACTTTCGGGGAGACATCGGGGCAGCAGAGGAGGAAGAAGAAGATATCTGCGCGAGCAGCAGATCTATGGCCTTGAGGAAGGAGAGAGGCGATACCGACGACGACTGGCCGGTGCCCTTTCCGGGGGATAGGTGGTGTGTGTGTGTGAGTGCCTGTTGGTCAAGGTATGACTCTATAATGATTTCTGATGATAGGCAGACCTTGCGAAATTGTGAGGACAGGTCGGGAAACCTTGGGGCTTAGTGTGAGAAGGCAGTAGCAGCTCGGGTTCCTCGTAGATAGTCTAGTTGTTGGGGAAATGTCCCGGGTTGACAAACCGTGCGATCTAGATAAAAGGGCTGCAGACGAGTGATGGAGAGATTACTGTAGCCCTCGAGGTAACGTGCGAGCGATGGATCCGAGATGGCCGCCAGCCTTCAGAACTTTGACCGTTCCGAGAAGAAATACTCAGAGTACAATCTGTCCTCGTTTGTCGTGCCTCCCTGCTTCAGCCCGCTTTGCACTTTTGATGGACTCGCTTGTGTCCGTTCCGTGTTGCCCTCGAGATGACTTACCTTCCCGACATTTTCGTATGGAGAGATCGAGCCGGTCACCAACGGATTAGCTAGCTGGCCAGATATCTCGTCCAATGTCTCCCTGGGGCACTCGTTGCCAAGACCTTTGGTGGAATGCGATGAGGCTGCTCCCCCCTGAACAAGACAGCATCCCAGACTCTGTCAAGATGAGCATTGTGATTTCTTCCGTCGGGTTGCACGACGGAATCCCCGCCCTCTGGCAGGGTGAGTCTGAGTGTCCGCCTTCAGTGTTCAGGGGCTTTTTTCCGCCTATGACTGTATTCAGCCAACTAGCCTGCTGGTGCGGAGTGTCGGGCGTACGTCGACTTAATATGGGGCCCGGACAAGCCCCCGCGTTTATTTGAATGGTACGCAACTTGAGCCGACGGAATTCGATGACCGAGTTTGCCAGAGAACTGATTGTCATATCGCTCGCTCATCGCATATTTCCATGGGGGGAGTGGGCCAGCAACGGCTGCCAGCAACCTCAAAAAGACAATTCCCTTCTTTGGACGAAGCATTTCCGTTCTTGTAGGCACCCGGGAGGAAGATCGGGGGGAGATTCTTATATGGCCCATCTTCTCCATATGTCTCGCCTCGAGCAAGCTCCATGATCTCTGCCCAAACCACAACAAAGACATAGAATCGATATGGCGTCAGTGGAAATGATGTCTCCCGTTCCTATCTCAAAAGTCGGTTCGGTCACATCTACGACGGTCCAACCGCCAACGCCACCGTTATCACCACCGCTCCCGACTCCTCGAACAATCACAGAGCTGTTGTCACTGAGAGCGCGAGAGTTTCCAGATGAGCCTATTTTTGGGTATCCCTCGGACGACCTCGACTATCTCGAATACACATACTCGGACCTCGTGAGAATATCTTTTCAAGCAGCACGAGGTTACTCGAAATGCTTGCCGGCCCGTACCGACTCGAACCAAGAGGCGCGAGTCATCGCTTTGCTTGGGCCTTCCAATTTGGATTATTTCTTCACCCTGTTAGCTCTGTCCAGACTAGGATTCACGGTGCTCTTCCTGTCGACGAGAATATCCGAGGCGGCGTATTTGTCGTTATTGGACGTCACGGAATGCCGCCACATCGTGATCGATCCGTCATTTCGAAAGACTGCAAATGCACTTATGGATTCTAGACCCAGACTTGAGGTCATCGATATTCTGTCCCGCAACCAGTACGTGGCCGACGCACAACTAGACGATACTGAGGCACAGCAGTACTTTGATCTGGACGAGGAGTCTTCCAAGGTTGCTTGGATCATCCACTCATCTGGCTCGACTGGCCTTCCGAAACCCATCTACCAAACCCACAAAGCCGCACTGAAGAATTATGAGAACAGCTTGAGAATGCGTGGCTTTGTCACGCTGCCACTCTTTCACGCCTTCGGGCTCAGCAACGTCTTCCGTGGTATCACCGCCGTCAAGAAGATATACATGTACAACGCCAACCTGCCGTTAACCAGTCAGCACCTGCTCAGAATCCTGACAGATCACCAATTCGAGATCTTTCTCGCCGTACCATATGCACTCAAACTCTTAAGCGAGACGCAGGAGGGCGTCGATGCGCTGGCGGCATTGAAAGTTGTCATGTTCGGAGGCTCGGCATGTCCAGATGCTCTGGGTAACTTGTTGACTGAAGGTGGTGTCAACTTGATCAGTCATTATGGGACCACTGAGACGGGTCAGCTTATGACATCTTTCAGACCTGCTGACGACAAGGCCTGGAATTACGTCCGAGAACACGAAAAGCTGAAACCCTATCTCAGGATGGACCCCAAAGGTGGGAGCCTTTATGAGCTTTGTGTTTTGGACGGATGGCCGTCAAAGGTCGCGACGAATCGTGATGACGGATCGTACGCGACGAAAGATCTCTTTGAGCCCCACCCGTCGATACCAGGAGCGTGGAAATATTGCGGGCGACTTGATGATACTCTTGTCTTGGTCAATGGCGAGAAAGCCATTCCCATTGCCATGGAGCAGGCGCTGCGGCAGAACAAACTGGTTCGAGAGGCGGTCATGTTTGGGGCGGGTAAGAGCCAGCTAGGTATGATGGTCATCGCTTCCGAGCAGGGGCAGGGCTTGGAGGACCGAGACTTGATCGAGGCACTTTGGCCAACAATCAAGGCGGAGAACAAGTCATTGCCTGCCTATGCCCAATTGGCCAAAGACATGGTCCGAGTTCTGCCCGCGGGTACAGCATATCCTTGCACCGACAAAGGTTCACTGATGCGCCAGGCATTCTACCGAGCCTTCCATAAAGACATCGAAGAGGTTTATCAACAAGCAGAGTCGAGGATGGGTGGCACACTTGTACTCTCAGAACCGGAACTGCGAGGATTCCTCCGAACACATCTGTTGGAGCTTTGTCATCAAGATGAACCCTCCAGCCTTGCAGATGATGCCGATTTGTTCTCGTCGGGTGTGGACTCCTTGCAATCGATGAGGCTCCGTGCAAAGATATTGAAGGAGATTCAACTCAACGGCAACTCGGTACCACAGAACATTGTCTTCGAATACCCAACAATTGCTAAACTGGCCGCTGCCATTCTCAACATCCGAGATAGCAAATCTGTCGAGACGCGGGACGTGGTCAAGGAGATGGAACAGCTTGTTGCTAAGTACGGCGTTTTCCCCAAACATGTTCCTGTGCCATTAAAGTCTCTGGAGAATTGCATCGTTGTCACAGGCGCGACTGGATCGCTTGGAGCACACCTGGTTGCACAGCTGGTTCACCGGGAAGATATTTCCGAGGTGTGCTGTCTGGTACGAGCCAGTTCCGAGACTTCTGCTCGTCAACGGGTCATTAGGTCGATGCAGGAGCGGGCCGTATACCACGAACTTCCACTGAAATTGCGTCGCAAGATATCCTGCTATGCATCTGACTTTTCAAAGGCAAACCTGGGCCTCGATGACAGACTCTATGCCAGCATTTCAGCAAAGATCACAAGCTTGGTGCATTGTGCCTGGTCGGTCAACTTCAACAAAAGCCTCAGCAGCTTCGAGGCAGACTGCATTGCAGGCACCCGGAATTTGATACTTTTTTGCCTTTCAGCCAGACAACCTACACCTGCTTCTTTCAATTTCTGTTCGTCGGTTTCAACCGTGGCGAGCACCCCTGGAGATGTCATTGCAGAGGCACTTCCCCCCAGCTTCAAGTGCGCCCAATGCATGGGATATGCGCAATCAAAACTCGTGACTGAGCACCTGGTGACTCGAGCCGCCTCTCAAACAGGACTCCAGGCCCGTGTTCTGCGCGTCGGACAGATCATCGCGGACACTACGCATGGAATCTGGAATGACACCGAGGCCATACCTTTGATGCTGCAAGCAGCCACCACAATTGGTACCCTCCCAGCCCTTGACGAATCTCCACGTTGGTTGCCGGTTGATAGAGTCGCGACGACCATCATGGACATCTCCCTTTCAAGCACCACACAGTCAGTCTTCAACATCGTCAATCCCCGTATTTTCCATTGGACGAAAGATCTCCTACCAGCGCTGCACAGCGCAGGTCTATCATTTGCCCCAGTGGGTCAGCGCGAATGGATTCGCCGACTGCGCGCATCGAATCCAGACCCTGAACTGAATCCCACGATCAAGCTTGTGGAATTCTTCACGAATAAGTATGACAACGACGTTACCAAACGGAAAATCTTCAACTATGTCACCTCTTCAGCAGAACAAATCTCACCTGAGCTGGGTAGTGTGCCTGCTTTGTCTCCAGAGCTGGTGAAGAAGTTCGTCGGCCACTTTCTGAAGACGAGTTGGTTGCCCAAACTGCCAACGGCTGGCAATCGATCGCAGTCACAGACCCGGCTCATCGTCGCAATAGGTCCATGTGGGGTTGGTAAGAGCACGCTTGCCGCAGAGCTTGCGGAATCCCTATCGTGTCCGGTGATTGACGGTGACGTTATCCATGATGCCATTGCCGCTGCAAAGATGAGCCAGGGAATCCCTCTAACCTCGTTAGACAGGCAAATCTGGCTTGGTCGAGTCAAAGTTGAGATCCTGGAATGTGTTCGAGCTAATCATCTTGTCCGTGGTGGTCGGCCGCGACCCAATGAGGGAAACAGAAGAGATGTCATCTTCACGTGCTCCGCACTTTCCCGTTCCCATCGCGATGCGTTGCGAAACATTCTGCCCGCGGCCAACGGTGAGACACAAGTAGAGTGCATCAAAACTGTGTTTGTCGTGTTGCAGGCCACAGAGGACGAAATACTCCGGAGAGTGGCGCAGACAAAGGGACATTACATGAAAGTTGATATGATAGCACCTCAGTTGGAAGCGATGGAAAAACCTGGCGTTGACGAGACGGATGTCTTCCCTGTGGACGCAGAGCAGGAGATGGAAGTGATTGTCGGGGAAGTTTTGGCTGGGTTAAATGTCCTAGCGTAGACAATGGCACTTCGATACAATCGGTATTTGGGCGCTGGCGAGACAGAATATTGGTAGACTGGTGAGTTTGCGAACTGCGACTGAGAACATGTGGAATTCACCCAGGATCTTCCGAGAGCAGGTCGAAGCCATTTGTGCTTCGCGTAGTAACTCCTTGAAACTTACTCTGCTGCTTCCTTTTCCTTTTCTTCGATGTTGTGGCGATCCACTCTCCGTCTATCGACCTAGGGCCCTTTATGTTTGCCGCTTCACTTGTGTCCTCTTTCTCCCGTTGAGTGTTGCTGTAATTGGGATCAAGCTGGTGCTTCAAGAGTTCAATTGCCGAAGTCCGCGTTTCAAGATCCAGGTCACTCAGTTTAGCGCGGATGTGTGGGATGTCCAGAAATAACGTTTCTATCGGAGGCATTGTTGATAATTTGTGATGGATATAGCTTATAAGTACTGAAACATCATCGGTATGGGCAGGTTTTTGGATATTTGTCATATTTGTATTACCTGGAGTCCCTTTTATGTGATTCAAAACATATCCAGTCATTTGCGCAAGTATTCGGAGGGAGTACAGCACTGCATGAATATTCGCGAGGAAGTGGATATCGTCCCAGTTTATTCTCATCGGTGCCATTGGAGAAAATTGGGTCGTCGATGGCCAGCCTAAGAGCCGTAAGGTCTGCTCTGAGGTTGGGGTGGCCTTGTCAAGTCTGATTTTCTCTTGCTGAATGAGGTGGATGGCGAGCAAGTACCATTCTACAAGAGTAGCTCCGTTACGGGGGATGGGGCCTTGCTTGCAGGATGAGATATAGGTGTCCAGGAGTTGGAGGAGTTCGGCTGCTTGCTTAGCGAGCTCGGATACATTCAAAGTTGCGACCGAGAGAGAAGTGATTCTCTGTCCCTTTCTTGCACATTCTACCATGTGCGGTGACGTCCCCACGATGTTTACTGGTAAGGTCTTGAAGAGCAAGGAATATGCAATTAGTCGAATATGTGCTCCATATGACCATGAAGAATCACGTTGAGGATCTTCCAGGAGAGGAATAAAATAAATATGTGGTGATTCATCGAAGTTACTGACAATCTCTGCTGTTCGTGGATCCATATTTTCGAGATAGGAATGCGGGTGTGCCGCTTCTGGCAGAGTCAGGGTGAATGGTTTTGCAAATGCCAAATATTCGTTCTGCAATCTCTCCAACCTCGAAGAGTCCCTTGCGCGTTCTTGAATGTTTGCAAGCGATGCTGAAGAATCAAGGAAGCGCTCGAAACCAAATCCGAGCAAAGACGACACTTTGAGCCTGGCTGCAATGAGGTTTGGGTTGAGAGATAGCGCGGAGATATAAGACTCCCTGTGTGAAGGTCTGCACTTGCTTTCGATGCTATGTAGCAACGCGACCCTGCCATTGGATCCGAGGTCGTGAACTGCAAGGTCGGAATCGTTTGTAAGGATCGCCACAACGTGTGCGGACTGTTGAGCAGCAAGAGCACAGAACATATCAGCTTCACCCGGGACCACATGGACGCAATCACCCCATTCAGTGTTGCATAAAAATTCAATCACACTAGCAACCATGAATGGCGGAGGTGGGAGGGTAGACTTCCTCGTCGACAGGACGGGAGTATGCCAGAGCATCTTGTCGAAGTCTCGAAGATCAGGTGAAGCAGCAATTGGTGGAAATTCAGGATAGAGTTTGCGGTATGTTTCTAGCTGCTGCCGCAGCTTCTCCATCCGTTCCAGGCGGACATCTCGTTTGGACGTGGGAAGTCCTCCGTCGAAGAAGATGTGTTGGATGTGGATGCCATGAGCTTGGAGGTCATTGAGGAGGTGGTGCAGGGCTTGGTTGATTTGGAAGTAAGTTGGTGGCAGAGTGGCGCGCGCCAGGCTATTCAACAGCTGATGTGCCAGTAGTTTGTTATACACCCAGTACACAAGTGAGGGTCCGTCAATGATCAGATCTTTGATAATGGTGACTTCAGCCTGAAGGGAGGCTGGAGGTGGCTTGCCCAAGACAATGTGATCCGCATAAGAAGCGAGATCCTGCGACAGTCGCGGGATTCCCATTGTACTCAGGGGGGTAGCTTCATCACAAGTGAGTTAATCAATATGAGCCTGCCACATGTGCAATGCTGTTCCAGACGTTGGAAGGACAAAATGATTTGGTGGTGAAGGGAATTTTGTTGCACTTGGGGTCTTTGATGGTTCACCGAATATTGTGCGCCTATCATGGATGCGATCCACCGTGCTACTATATATTCTCGCCTCCTTCCGCAATCCCTCTTCCTTTCAATCTTCAGTGGACATCGACATTGACCAGGAATCATTGCCTCGAAACTCAGTGAAATACTAGGGAGTCGCTAATGCTAATAAGTACAAATTTATCTCATTGTCTCCACAGAACGACGCATGTTTTGCCATATCCAGCACACATTCCCTTTCTCTATAGCCCATACCCCACCAGGTTAAACTCCATGGACTGGACCATCACAGCTTCGCTTGTAAGCGCATCGATGCTGTCAAGATCTCAGCCGCCATACGAAACGATGGGCACGCTCAGTGAGTACCATTCACTTCATTTACTGCAGTTACCCCGTGCACCCCATTGACACCATTAATTGTGTCCACCCCGCTCACCAGCTTTTCGGGCACTCCCTTTTCCGCGGCCTGGATTGCGGCGAAGTTCTCATCAAAGACTTCCTCAGCATGTTTGTCGGCGTCATGCATGTGAATCCAGTCCTCACGTGGGAACTGCACGGACTTGGGATTCTCCTTGACCTTGTCCCAATCCGCCTTGTGCCACATGTCTCGTGTTGTTTCTCCAGTCTTCTGCACTGCTTTCACCCGGTCGTACCTGCAGACAATCTCAGTATAAGGCTGGGGCATACCTCAATATCACCTACCTGATTCTTTGATACGTCCGAACAGCGTCTGGGACCTGGCCCTTTCCGGCCCGCCTGAGACAAATCGCGAGAGTCACGCCGTCTTCCATCGACTGAGTGGCCCCCTGAGCTGAAGTCGGCAGGAACGGATGTGCAGAATCCCCTAGCAGGGCGATGCGACCGCCTTTGCTGACCCATGTTGGGAGTGGGTCTCGGTACACCAGTTTCCAGTCGACAAGATAACTTTCTGGCGTTTTCGAAACAATGGTTTTGCAGAGAGGATCCCAACCGTCGAATACCTTGTACACATCTTCTAGCTTACCGGGAAATGACCAAGATTCGTCGATATCTGCCTCGTCCTGCGCGGGATTAGTGAAGTCAAACCGACGTTGATCTTGCACCTACTCTGTGCGTCAGCACCCAACAGCAGTCACTTCCGTTCTTGATGGTCGAAAAAAGGAAGTGAACATCTTGTCCAATCCAGCCTTGAAATGTATCGCCATTGTCGCAGAAATGCTTCGTCCGAGGGTCGGCGATCATATCGGTATTGGGGAACCTGGACGAACTCAGCTTCCGCTCGAACCATTTGTTGCCCTCTCCAAAACTCACCAGGCGCGAAAGACCGCATAGCCACTGCTCTTCGGTTTGTCGATATAACCTAGGACAAGCTCTCGTGCTTTTGACCTCACACCATCTGATCCGACTACCATGTCGCCGTATATCTGGCAACCATCAGCAACGGTGTCCGACTTTCGGCAGGATAATTTGATCATACTCTTTCACCATTCGCAAGTTCAACACCAGCTTTGTCGTCCTCTTCAAAGTACTTCTCAACTCTTTGGCCGAGGTGGATAGGGATCTTCAGATCATCTCTAGCATAATTGAAGATAACCTCATGCAACTCTCCGCGATGGCCGTTGAAAACTGGAGCGTCGGGATCCATTGGAGGGGTCGGTTGAGTGATGATGTGCTCCCCCGTGTATTTGTGGATTTTGAATCCATGCTTTACGAGGTCGATGCTTAACGTCCTCATTTTCTTAGCTATCGAGCCGTCGACACCCCATCGACGAAAAATCCGACCAGCATTTGAGCCAAATGATATAATGTCCCCTAGAGGCTTGAGAACCGGGAACGACTCGTATATTTCAACCTGGTGGCCCTGACGATGACATTCTATAGCCGCTGTGAGACCTCCAAAACCTATCTGTTGTCAGAGCTACAATCCTCCCTGGAATATTACTGGATCTGCTTACCTGCCCCGACGATGATCACCTTAATGCCAGTCTTGGATTTTGCAAAGGGTGCCTCCGCTGCCATGATCATTTTGCCAAACCTTGCATCGAGTGTTTCTATTTGACCTGCACTGCAAGACAAAAATCCGAACCTGATATTCACCAATGCTGGATCCGTGAAAAGAAAAAGAGGAGCTCTTTGAAAATCTTTATGGCAGAAAGCCGAAACCCTTTTTGATCAACATATCAGGCCGATATAGCCCCACGACAACCTCGTCAGTCCCTCCTCACGTGTGATGCAAAGCGGATGGTCAGGGCAACCGAGTAACATCGGAGATGGTGAACCTTTTCTCCAACTGAACTGCCGACCCCATGCATTGTACTAAAACGGACAATGGAACACGAGATCCTGGGAGATGATTGGGCCTAGTTTGGCAGTGGATATTCTTCTCCACACCGAGGATGTCCACCCCCATCATTTCCCGTCCCGTGCCACCGTCCAACGGACATGATTCAAGACAATGGTACATCCGGAGTATGCTACCTTCTACACAGCATTGAATGTCTCTGGAGAGTGGACTTTCGCCACAGAAGGTAATTGCATGCTGTCTACCTCTGGCTCCAGCATAGATACAAGCCCACTCCGCCTGTATCTGGTACCTGTCATTCGCGGCTTACAACCTCACTTTAGAACCATCAATCCGCGTTGAGTCGAATAGGCAAGTCCTTCATGGTCAAGGTCGAATATTTATCACCGAACCGGTGGATCATCTCACCCTTGCATCGACTACTTCGGCTGCCTCATACAACCACAGTCTGATGTGTCCTGGTATCACAGCTCAGGCCAGCGAACGGGCGGAAAGATCACAATGACTCTATCCAGGTTGGTGTTCAAGCCTTTTCTGTATGAAGTGTCTATCAGTGTGCAAAGTAGAGAGTCAGAAGGACTCGAGACTGACTAAAGGAAAGGAAGGGGTACCGAGACTAGTCCTGGAATGGGCCGGTATGTTTATGTGGGTAGAGCCACGTGACACCTCGCATCACTCGTTCACCAGACGTTTAATATCTCTTCGTCCCGAACTTGTCTCGATCAATTCGTCCGATCTCTGAAACCGATTGTCAAACGATTCTCCGACACCCCGCATCGCACGTGAGTACCGGTTCTCCCTGAAACCATAGTCTCCTCAGCTGTGACTTTCTTTCACTGAAAGTCCATTCCTCCCTACTCCCCACTGGCTTGTCAGGGTTTCTATACCTGACAGCCAATTGCAGCAGTGCTTCAAAATGGCGTCACATCCAGAGTATGACCAATACACCACGGCGACAGAGGTAGCACGTGCATTCAGTGAGGACGTCCGGGGTAAGACAGGTGAGCACGTCTATACTCCTCCGTCTCTGAATGTCTTCGACTGATGATGTCGATGTAGTGGTCATCGTGGGTGTCTCGCCTCAAAGTCTGGGCGAATCAATGACCACAGCCCTCGCGGCTCACTCGCCTTCCCTCGTATTGTTGGCTTCTCGAACCAAGGCAAAAATTGAGCAGGTAGTTACCAAAGTCAAAGCCGATCATCCCACATTGCGCCTGGAAATTGTTGAGGTGGACTTGTCATCTTTCGATTCCATTCGCAAGGGCTCCAAGATCATCAATGATTTGGTAGACCGAATCGATATCCTCATCAACAACGCAGCTGTTGTGATGACAACACATGCGTTCACAAGGGAAGGACTCGAACTTCAGTTCGGAACCAACCACATTGGCCCATTCCTCCTTACGAATCTTCTTATGCCCAAACTTGTCAGAGCTGCGCAATCTTCGGCCACGGGATCAACCAGAGTCATCAATGTTACTAGCCAGGGCCATATGATATCTCCAATACGCTTCAGCGACCACAGTTTCCATAAACGGCCTGAGGAAATTCCTGCCGAGGAGCGACCAATGTCAAGACCCGGTGTGTCGTTTGATCCGCCACCTGGGGAAACTTATGCTCCTTTCGTGGCATACGGGCAATCAAAGACTGCAAATATCCTCATGTCACTCTATCTCAACCAGCATCTGTCAGGTGCGGGCATACAATCGATTGCCACTCATCCAGGTTCCATTTGGACGGATCTTTCCCGTAACTTGGATGAGAAGCATTTATCGATAATCGAGAAGACAGGTGGATTCTGGAAAGACCTTGATCAGGGCAGCGCAACGACCCTGGTCGCCGCGCTTGACCCAAATCTGGCGGACCCCAAGGTCATCTACCTGAGTGACTGCCAGGTAGCAAAACCCGCAGATTGGGCAAGTGATGGTAGAGCAGCTGAGCAACTTTGGAAACTCAGTGAAGATATCGTTGGGCAGCAGTTTGACCTGGCCGCAGCATGCCGACTTTGAGGCAGTCTGCCGGCTTAGTCCTCTGTTCATGGTCATGGGTGATTATCAGATCCTCCGGGTCCGGTGGATACCAATCAGGAATGTCGACGGTGTCTCGGCAGAGCCCCAATACGACCCAGAAGATTTAAACTTTCATTGCACCCTTTTCATCATTCGCTTACGACCGCTGAGGTTTGGCGCTGCAATCATCAAATGGGGGAAATAGCACGGCCCGATAAACCAGTATCCCGAGATTACCGTGTCCTCGTATAGGCACATTTCGTCTGCCGAGCGGGCCGTAGTCGAAATGAAATGCTGACACGCTGACGGTGCACAAAGGGGGTTAGAGAAGACGATGATCGGCTCTATTACTGATGTTTCGTTCCGCTCTTTCTTCAATTGGCGATTTCGCTAACCAGGTAATTTGTTGTCCCTGCCTTCCTTTTGACGATTGCATGGCTTGAACCATTGAAGAATGCCTGTGACCATTAACCTGCCCAAAGCTAGAATTATACAAGAACCATCACTTGGACAAAGGATTCTTCTTATCATTGAATCAAATTCATTACGAAAGATGTGTTATTGAGATTGGCTAAATAGGTGTGAGCCTTGCTACCAGGAGCCCTACTAGCGTTGGTTTCTGGACTTGTGGAATGGTGGATCCTTACCGTATCGCAGTCTGTTTGCCCCTTCCATGCGCTAACCAAGAGACTCCCAGACCGCTCCAACCGAGACAAACACGCCGCAGAAATGGACAGCAGTGACATTCGAAGGCGAGAATGACTTGGTGCATCCGCAAAATTGACCTACCTCGAAAAAGGCTGGCATTGTGATTATAGTATCACTCATGGCATTCACTGTGGGCTTTGGATCGTCCATCGACTCAGCAGTCCCCCCGCAAGCTTCGACTCTGTCTAGTCGGTCTCGTGTGTGGAGTACCTCGTACCTTTCGCTGGTCCCTTGTCCGGGGAACGTGGGCGCAATCCTGTCTATCTCTTGACCTTTGCGTTATACTGCTGCTGGATTCCGGGTGCGCCATTCGCTTCGAGCATTGGAACACAGCTAATCTTTCGATTGCTTGCGGGTACCTGTGGTTCGACTCCATTTACAGCTGCAGGTAGAACCCTGACTGATGTCTTTGATCATGATATTCGGGGCAAGATCTTTCCGTTCTTTGCACCATTGGTTTTCTGGGTTTGATGTTTGGCTCTGTTGTTGGGGGATATATTGGACAAGCCGGGATGAATTGGAAATGTGTTGAGTGGCTCACCCTTTTTCATATCTTGTGGAGTTCTGACCCTCAAGGTGCTCTTCCTCCTTGGGACCGACGCAAAGGAGATTCTTCGTTGGAAGACGCAAGCCTTACGAGCACGCAACGGCAGCGACATTCCGGTTCCCCAAAAGCTCCCTTTGCGACGCAGGCTCGCATCGGCTTTATTATGGCAGTGCATCATGCTTTTCACAGAGCCCGTCTTCACCGTCTTGAGGGCCTACCTGACCCTGGTTTGCAGCGTTGCGTTTTGCTTCTTTTCCGAGGCCCACTACATCTTTGGACAAACATACGGATCTAATCACAGCAATACGCACCTAATATTTCTAAGCATCTCGGCCAAGCTCACTATCTATGCGTTCGTCACTCCTCTGTTTGTTATGTTGATCAGCAGAGAGAACGAGCATGCTGTAGAACGAGGAAAAGGCCATGCCTGTCCAGAAGCCATGCTTTGGTGGGCGATGACCGGAGGGCCGCTTTTGCCGACATCAGTCTTTTGAATGGCCTGGTCATCCCGTCGTTCAGTCTCCTACTGGTCTCCAGTGATAGGGCTTGACGTGCGTCCCCTTTACTCGTGAAGAATTTCTTGCTAACCTTCGCTTTAGTGCTGCTTTCTTTGGGTTCAGCATGCTCTGCTTGTCCATCTCAACCTATGCGTACATTATGCAGAGGTTCACGAAGGTCGCAGCATAGGCCCTGGTTTCAAACACATTCGTCCGATACGTGGTCGCTGGGGTTTTGGTCACACTATCGACTCCCTTGTTTGGAAATCTCGGAGTGCATCGTGCCTCGACGATCTTTGCTGTCGTCTCCTGCGCTTTCACCCCGGTGCCGTTCTTTCTTTATTACCACGCCCACAGAGCACAAAACAAAGTACAAGTCGACAACATTGGCCATTGAAATGCAATCAAATCCGTCATGAATCGCCGTCTTGCGCTTGCCGATGGAGGATCCTCGGGGCAAGCTGGATTTGTCAGTTGAACGCTGTCATGGCTGATTGAGGTTTTACAGGGCTTAGGAGTTCATGGGAGTTGGATAGTTGCGGAGCATTTTCCTGGTCATATCGATTTCTAGAACTGGGCTTTTATATTGGATTCAATGGACTCGTTGTTTGCTGACCAATTTCCTTTTGAGAGATATGAAATCGTCCCAAGTCCTCAGCTGGAAAGCTGCGAACACTCCAGACTGCAACAGCCCTGAGTGAAGAATCTGATCCTCCCATGCACGAGATAGATTCCTCTAATCTGGTATCTTGTGCTCTGCAGCTTCCACCCCTTCCCTCCATCTATATCGGCTAGCGACATGCTCATCCGGCGGGCCCTTCTGGCCCTCGAGTCCGTAGAAGTTCTCGCGATACGTGCCCGAGGGCACAGCGTAGTCGTCCCAGAACAGGCCCCTGGCCTGGAGCTCCGGGACCAGGAGCTCGACGACATCTTCGAAGCTGCCGGGAAACACGGCGTAGGCGATGTTGAAGCCGTCGACGTCGGCGAGGTCGACCCACGCCTGCAGGCTGTCGGCCACCTGGGCGGGGGTGCCGACCAGCACGGGCCCGTTACCGCCGATGCTAACGTGCTCGGCGATGGTCTGCCGCGTCCACTTGCCGGCGCCGGGGCTGAAGCGCGCGTAGCTCTCGACGGTCGCGCGGACGGCGTTGCTCTCGACGTAGCGCAGCTCCTGGTCGTCGTCGTACTGCGACAGGTCAATGCCCGTCCAGCCGCCGAACAGGGCCAGCGCGCCCTCCAGGTCGGCGAACCGCTTGTAGTCGGCGTACTTGGCGCGGGCCTCGTCCTCGGTCCTGCCCAAGATGGGCGTCACCAGTGCGAGAACCTTGATGCTATTTGGATCACGCCTGAATTTTTCCCCGGCTAGCCTTCGCACGTCCGCGATGCTCGCTTTGCACGCCTCGGGCGCGTGCGCGGACACGAAGATCGCCTCGGCGTGTTGCGCGGCGAACTCCTTTCCCTTGGCGCTGGTGCCGGCTTGCAGCAGGAGCGGCGTGCGCTGCGGCGACGGCGCGCAGATATGCGGTCCCGGCACGGTGAAGAACTTCCCCGCGTGGTCGATCTGCCGCACAAGCGCAGGGTCCGTGTACACGCCGGCCTTGCGGTCCAGTTTCACGGCGTCGTCGCGCCACGACGATTCGAACAGCTTGTACATGACATTAATGTACTCTTCGGCCATAGCGTAGCGGTCGTCGTGCTGTGGCTGTGCGACCAGGCCCGTGTTTCGAGCCGCGGAGTCGAGGTACGACGTCACGATGTTCCAGCCCAGGCGGCCGTTGGTCAGGTGGTCCAGCGTCGACAGGCGGCGGGCGAGGTGGTACGGCTGCTCATACGTCGTCGACACCGTCACGCCAAAGCCGATGGATTTCGTCACCGCGGCCATGGCGGGGATCGAGGCCAGAGGCTCATGGACCGGCCACTGTGCGCCCGAACGGATGGCCGGGTCGAGGGACTGCGAATACACGTCGTAGCCGCCGAGCACGTCGGCGATGAAGATGCCGTGGATCTTGCCGCGCTCGAGAAGCTGAGCGAGGTTTGTCCAATGTGGCAGTGTATTGAATTCGTGCGACTTGTCCGCGGGGTGCTTCCACAGCCCGGGAGACTGATGACCCGAGCATGTTTCGACGAAGGCGTTCAGGATCAATTGCTTCTTCTTGACAGGGTGTGGCCCAGTGTTCACTTCTGGCGTGCCGTTCGTTGACGATATGGTGTAGGCTTTGGCGGAATCTCACAGCGTGATCTCACAGGACGTTGAAAGACGTGCGCAGTGTCCTAGCCTTGCTGCTTTCTGCACTTAGTGGGCATGGCAATGTATGTTTGTTTTGTACAGCCACCGACATTTAGTTTTCCTCTCTCTTTTCGATGCTTATATCCAAGAACACTCACGCTGATGTCCGTCTTACCGTCAGGGTTTGACCTTTCGCAGGAAGAGGATAGAGTGCTAAAAGGTATCTAGAAGTGGTTAGCGAATGGTGCAATCTGCTCCATATATCACGAAGTTGCTTCCTCGTTGCGCTTGTGGCTCCACTTTTGACCAGAACACTCACTGCAAGTCTCCCTCTCGCACAAAGATGATAGACGCTGCTCCGACGAGGAAGAAAATGCTACCTTCGGGACGTTATCGACCATTTGTGTCCGTTCACCACTTCCACCAGGTGGATACGGCTGGTGTTGGTACCTGGATCTTCCGTCTTGTGCTTTGGGACCTGCAGCCAGAATTCACATTATCGTGATTGCGAAGATGTGTCTTTCTCACTCGCTTCTGGTCCATGGCGTGCTCTTCGCGCATCTGACGCCTTTCGAGGACTCTATTGCGTTCACAAAGTTTAGCCGCTCGTCCCAGCATGATTTTGTTGGATAAGGAAAAAAAAAAATTTAAAAAGGTCTGAGGGTGGTCGGAAACCGTGCGAGAAAGGGTTGAAATCTCAAGCTTCTACGATAAGGCCGTCGTAACACACCTGCTCTGGCGGATTCGAAGTGATCTGTTTCTTCCAGCCCAACAAGCAAACTTCGAGCCTGGTTCTCCCTCCGGATCAATCAGTAACCAATGTCTCGCTCAGCGTCAGTCACGACAAAGCATCCAGAGCTCCAAGATGTCCGGGAATCATCTGTGCAGAAACATCCAGGTCAGTGTGTCCACGCACAGGAAAAGGAGGTATGTCTAAACAACTCACAGTCCGCTGGCACCGCTCGACCTTCTACAATGCCACAGTGCTTGGTCTCTGCAATTTCGCAGCACCGGGTATCTGGGGAGCGATGAACTCTCTCGGTGCCGGCGGAGAGGAGAAACCCTATCTTGTCAACGCCGCCAATGCGCTGACCTTTTGCCTCATGGTGGTATCCTGTCTCTTCTCTCCCGTGCTCACAAAGTACATTGGCATCAAAGGCGCTCTCATCTTCGGCACTCTGGGTTACGCCCCTTATGCGGCAGGCCTCTACACCAACAACCGTTTTGGCACAGAATGGTTGGTGCTCTTTGGAGCGGCGCTTTGTGGCATCTCGGCCGGCGTGTTCTGGGCAGCGGAGGCCGCTATTGCTTTGGCGTACCCTGAGCCATATAACCGTGGCAAGGTTCTAGGATACTGGCTCACATACCGGCTCGGTGGACAGATTCTGGGCGGCGCCATCAACCTGGGCATTAATGCGCATCGCAACGAGGCTGGCAAAGTCAGTTACACGGTTTATCTGGTCTTTATCGCGCTGCAGGCGACGGGCCCGTTTGTGGCAGCGTTGCTGAATCGACCCGACAAAGTCGAGCGGACGGACGGTCTCAAGGTCGAATTGGAGATTCTTGAACATCCCTGGCGCGAGCTCAAGGCCACAACAAGAACGTTCTTCACCAAGAAATACCTACTGCTTCTTCTGTTCATCGGCCAAGCCGTGTACGCAGAGGCTGTTTTCTTCACGTACCTTTCGTTGTGGTTCAGTGTCAGGACCCGTGCACTCGGCTCGTTTTTGTCTGGCATCATTGCTGTGACATGCGGTAATGTTCTCGGTCATTACCTTGATCGTACCAAGGTGTCAGTGAAGCTCAGGTCGAGATCTGTATTCTTCACGATCATTGCTCTGCAAGGGGGGTGGTGGATTTGGGTGACAATTCTCGTAACGAAATTCCGGCACACCAGGCCATCGTACGACTGGACGAGCAGCGGCTTTGGTCACGCCTTCGTTCCGTACCTGTTCCTGACCACAGGCTTCCAGCTGAACTACTTGTTCTGCTATTTCATGATGGCGCAATTGGCCACAACGCCAGTCGATATCATTCGCTACGCGGCGTTGCTTCGTGGGTAAGAGCAGCTTAGCACCCTCGTTTTGTTTTGTTTTTGTTTTTGGCCGACAAAAGCTGACGAACGCAGCACCGAGTCCGCGTGGCAAGCTGTCAGTTACGGGCTGAATTCAATCAAGATCTTTGCTGAAGTGGGAGGTGTGTATATCAACTTTGGGTTATGGGCGGCGGCTTTGTTTCCGACGTGGCTGGTGGTGAGACACTTTGGCAACGATGCCATTGCTTCCGCAGCTGAAGTAGATGAAGGATCGTCGAATTCCGAAAGCGTGTCTGCCGACAAGGATATCGAGGGGCCTGTTGAGGAAAAGGTTTGAAAAGGTGCACGCTCGTGGCCACTCTCTGGCCTTTAGGCAGCAATGCCTGCCAGCTCCGAAGGCTGGCCGTTGTTTTTCATGCCGTCGATCGATTTCGACATATTCGAACAAAAGCTAGATCTTGCGAACCAGGACCACTTCCGATGTCTTTACTACCAACTTCAACAAGTGATGCATTCTTTTCCCCCTCGCCCATTCGCTCCGTATGATATTTCACACGGTGCAGCTACACCCCTGACAAGGAGCACGCATCCCCAGAGCCAGTGTGTCTTTACTCACCCTGTCACGGACTTTCCCCTTCCAACAGAGGGATACCTCATTGTCGAGCCTGTAGTCCGTGCCGGATCTCAAATATCATGATGCCATCTTCTCAGCCCAACTCGCGCTTGGCCGAGACCGCCGCGATTGGCTTTGAAATAGTACGGAACAAAATTCAACCTGTCAATGATTCTCTTGCTGAACTTTGCCGCTCCGTTACATTCAACGCCAGGGTAAGCATGAATGCTGTCCTTCGTGAGCATGCTAACGCCCTTGGTGGCTGTGAGTGCCACGTATGTGTCTCCTGTGGTGTCGTCGGTCACAGTTTTCTCGTCCAACGAGCATGCAGCGTCGAGCAAAATGCTTTTGAAGTGGTCCAGCACCCAAGGGTTGTCGACATCCTCAACGCAATACACAATTGGACCGCGAACCACTGCCAGAGTATCTTGGTCGGTAAAAGGGTGCGGGGCAATGAGGCGAGGCGAGATGTCGATGTCCAAAGTAAAGGACCGGTTAATAGACAACCACGTGGCGGGCAGAATTAGGTATCCTTTCTCTTCGCTATCGGGCGGCGGCCTTGGACTCATCTGATTACAGCTTGTTAGGCATTTGACTTTTGGTTCGTGTTAGAGATAGTGATTTGGTGGTTGCTTACCGTCCACTCCTTGGCCCATCCTGGTATCCTAACAGCTAGACTGACAGTGATCCGCGATGCCTGCGTTTCAAGATTGAAATCGACCCTCCCACTCCACGGCCAATCGGTCTTTTGAATCAACGTTGCACGCTGATCGTCGCATTTGAACTCGGTGGAACTTGAGATATACAAGTGGACACTGAGTCGGTCCTGTTCTCCTGTTGTTCGTGTGTAGATGTAGCCCCCAATTTGACCAAGTAGTCGAAGAATGTTCGGCGGGCAGCAAGCGCATTTAAACCATTCCTCTCGTTTTGAGAGGTCCTCGTCGCTGGACGCTAGCTGATTGACGTACGTGAACTTGGTGCCGTCATAGGACATGGCTGTCAGCACGGCGTTGTAGAGCGACAATTCCATAATGTCGCTGAATCGATGGTCGAGATCGTATTGTAGAATTCGTTCGGCGAGCATCATGACGCCGATGGCCGCGCAGGTCTCAGCGTAGCAGCCTCCCTCGTCACTGCCCTGGGGAAGGAAATAGTTCGGACCGAAGCCCTCCCATTGCTTTATCGCGCCAATCCCTCCGGTCACGTACATCTTGCATGTTACCATGTTGTCCCATAGTCTGTATATGGCATCTTTTAGGCGACCGTCGGAGGTCTGGTCCAAGCGTACCAAGTCTGCGGCTGCCGAGAGGAGGTACATGGCACGCACAGAATGCCCTTTGATGGTCTGTTGTTCCACAAGGGGCTTATGGGCTTGATAGTACCATAGAGCGTCCGCGTCTCCCCAGTACGGCATTCTCACGCCCGGTTCTTCGCCTCTTTGCCTTGCTTCGAAATGGTAATAGTGACAGCCATCGACGCCGTTCGGGTTTCCTCTCTCAGTGATGAAGAACTTTGCCAGTTCAAGGTGCTCAGGATTCTGAGTCCGATGGTATAGTCGAAGAAGGGCGAGCTCGATCTCAGGGTGGCCTGGATAGCCAGGGGTTTGATTCATTTTGGGTCCAAACTCCCCACACAAGAAGTCGACGTACTTTAGTATCGGACCAAGAAGATCATCATTTCGGTAGAGTTGATTGTGAGCGAGGGCTGCCTCGATGAGATGGCCTGCGTTGTAGAGTTCGTGAAAATCCCGTAGATTGGTGAACCGCTCTCCAGGCTTGACGACTGTATAATGGATGTTGATATAACCATCCTTAAGCTGAGCACCGCGAATCATGTTGACTAGCTCCTTAACTGCCGCGTCGATTTTTGGGTCTTCATGTTCATGAAGAAAATAACATGCTCCTTCGATCCATTTGGCAATATCAGAGTCCCTGCAACACACACCCGAGGTTATTATTTCCTTTATTCCCAGTGGAATTTGGATGAGCTGGATTACCAGAAGAGGTGATTTGGTATCGGCCATACATCAGGAGGATCTTCGTAGGAAGAATGCCAATGCAGGTCAAACGCATCGTATCTGCCTGTCTTTTTCAACATTTCGAGCTGGTAAGAGAGAGTGTTGGAGCCAACAACGCCACGCCGTCGAGATATCAGAGACCCTGGCATCAGCCGCGTTGTGAGGAACGTCTCTTGGGGATAGGCCATGATTGTCGAAGGCTATTGTGCAAAGGTTGTTGGTAGTTCGGAGCCGGAATCTGTCGAGATCCGCGCAGGCACAGGCCAAAAAACGAGGATATGCGACTGTGCTGCTCTTTTCCCACTACTGCAAGATTTCATCCCGTCGCCCTGTTCCGTGGTCATTTATTCATTTTCTCCCATGAAGCCTGGAGAACATTCCTCGCGTGGAAAATTCCGACGGAGGGGAAACCCAACGAAACGACATAACTGCTATTGAACAGGCTTAGCCTAAACTAGCTTAGCACATCTTGGCCTTCACATGGCTTGTATAGATCTCCAACTTTAACACCACCGTCTCGTGGTGCCTTATTGGCGGCTTCGCTTCCGGCCTTCTGCTGCCACCGCCAAGTGCCAGGCTCGTTTGCCGGATCTGCGTCCACCGGTGTTTTACTCCAAGTATGTGAAGATCCACCGACGACAGATCCTCGAACAGGAAGGAGGAACACCAGAGTCTAGCTTGGTTTGCTTGGTCCAGCGCCCAGACCCTCGTCCCTCTGGAGCACATTCCTGGACCCCAGATCGACATCCGCCTTTTGACCCGATGAAGCAGGTTCTATTCCCCCCCCCCCCCCCAGAAGCCAGATGTATAAAGCAATGTATTTGTGCCTGCGCAAGAAAATGTTTTCGAGAACCCAGCACCTCCTTATCCAACAGCAAAAGCCTGAAGGCACATTAAGATGGCAAAAAGCGACTGGTACATTTACTGGATATGCGCGGTAGCATCCCTCGCGAATATTTTCCAGGGGTTTGACTCGGGCATTTACTCCATCATCATCTCGGACAAAAAGTTTGGTGCTTACTTCCACCTCTCTAGTGCACGAGAAGGAGTCGTGGCTAGTATGATCAGCTTGGGCAATGTCATCGGCAATCTCTTCGTGTCTTGGTGGTTCATCTGGTATGTTGGACGTCGATTTGCCTTTGTTCACGGCACCATCATCCTTCTGGTCGGCGTTGCCCTCCAAGCCGGCGCCCGAGACTTCGCCATGATCGTCGTGGGCAGAATTGTGGCTGGAATTGGCACTGCCATCATCGGCACCAACCTTGCTGCATACCAGGCCGAAGTTTCCTCGCCACAAATCCGAGGTCGAGTCGTCTCCTTCGTTCAACTTTCATACCAAGTTGGTGTCCTCGTCGCGTACTGCGTCGGTCTTGGGACCGTTAAGATTTCCGGCAACAACTCATGGAGAGTCGCGACTGCTCTCCAAGTTGTTCCTGGTGTTGTCTTGATCGCAGCCTCCTTCACCATCCCAGAATCTCCTCGATGGTTGATTGAACGCCACCCCGAGAAGCCGGAAGCGGCTTTACGGGAACTCGCCAGAATCCGCAGACTGCCCGTCGACAATGACGGCGTCAAGCACGAATACGCCGAGTTGGTCGCCGCTCGCGACTACCGTCTAGAGAACGAAAAACGCCAAACCTGGTCATCCTTCCTCCGCTCCTTCCCAGTCTGGAAACGAATTGCATATGGGATGACCACCATGGCTCTCGGTCAACTCTGCGGGGTCGGCGCATTGATGATCTACGGCATCCTCATCTTTGAAGGTCTTGGTTTCTCCTCTGGGACCATGTCGTTGCTCCTGAACGTCGTCTCTGGTGTCTTGTGTCTCGCGGCCACCGGAATCACAACCGGAGGGGTTGACAAGTGGGGTCGTAGGATCACTCTGCTCGCTGGTTCTGCCACCATGATTCTCAGCTATGTCATCATTGGCGCACTGTCAGATGCATACCCTACGGCCACCAACTTCAACCGTGGTGCCGCTATTGCTTGCGTCGTCTTCATCTATGTGATTATGATGGCATACAGTGGTGCAATGGGACCAGTCGCCTGGATCTACGCCAGCGAGATCTTCCCAACTCACCTCCGAGACAAAGGCGTCAATGTCAGTCAGGCAGGACAGCAGATCACGACTCTTTGGATCAACCAGGCTTGGCCAGTCATGTTTGGCAATGTTGGTCACAACGCGTACTGGATCCTCGTCAGTATTAATCTCCTTGGCTTCATCGTGGTCTTCTTCTTCTGGCCAGAGACAAAGGGAATCAGCCTTGAGCACATGGATCGTCTGTTCGGGGAAGTTGACAAGGTCGAGGCACAGATCCGTGCCCGAGGCCTGTCGATGGTGGAAGATGTGCTTCACGGCGATGAGGAGAAGGGGACCACAGTGTTACAGGAGAATGTTGACCGAAAGTGATGGTCAATTTGGAGGTGTGCAGAAATTTCGGCTGGATCCCGCAATATAGTTGACTTCCCTGCCATAGCGTGTCGTGATGCGAGAAATATGACAAGTCATGATGTGAACATCGTTACCGCCGTATGTTTATGTTTAGTCGGACCCACCACCGTCAAAGTCCGTGCAGGCAACCAAAGGTGCAAAGTGACGCTACCTCCCCACCGCACAGTGTTTTTTGATCTATATAAAATTTTCCTCAAATAATCTGACCAATCAGAGCCGATTCCTCACGCTTCGATTCTGGCTGTACCACTACTCAGAACTTGGTCCCTTAGATCAGTTGGTTAGATCGTCGTGCTAATAACGCGAAGGTCGCGAGTTCGATCCTCGTAGGGACCAACCTTTTGTTTTTTTCCTCCCCCTAAACCTCCTTGTTTCAGTTTCCTTCGAGCATTTTTTTTGGGGCGCTTTTCGCTTTGGTTTCTTAGGGAGTGGGTTAATAATAGATATCAAGGGTACAAAATGCTTCACGAGATAGAACGATGGTCTACATGTATGTATACAGGGCACATGCGTCTTTGGGAGGCGGTGATGCTCCGGCAAACCAAGGCTTGATGGTGATGGATGACGCGGATAGCTATTCTCGACAGGAAGACTCGCTGAAGCTCAATGTCAAGTACGTACAAAGATGGATGGCAAGCGGCTCAAGCCTCCTGCTCACTGAGCTCAGCTCAGGCACTCCAATCCCCATTCTGCTTCAGGCTTGACTTGACGCCAGCCTTCATGCGCGCCGTCTCCGACGCCAGCGACCACGGCACGTAGATGTGCCCGGGAGGCAGGTTCGTGTTGCTGAAAGGCTCTCCCTCTTGCAGATGCGCCAGACAGGCTGCGTAATTATCGCGAGCGTACGCTTCGGGATCGTGGTTCCATACCCATCGTCCAATCTTGAAGAAGCCAACGGTGACTTCCTTGGGATTCTCCTCGATGGCGGCGACGTCGACGTGGTGGAGTTCCTCCCTGTTCAGAAAGCCTGTCTGCTGCAGAACGCTTACTCTCTGAAACCTGTGGCAAAATGTTTCCACTCAGCAATGCCATCGGAGGAACAGTAACAAAATCATCTTGAAGCATACCTTAGCTGGTTGTGCACTTTCGTCGCCCAACCGGCGTTCTCCTTGCCGCCGATGCGCATACATTCGGCAAGGGACACGCCGTCTTCGAGAGCCTGGACTGCACCGTTGCCGGCAGTGGGAAAGAAGGCATGTGCCGCATCGCCGAGGCGCAGAAGACGTCCACTGTCCGAAGTCCATTGCTCAGTGCCGTCACGCCACCTCAACTTCCAATCGACGACGCGGTTTGGTGTTTGCCGAACGAAATCGAGAACGGCTGGATCCCAATTATCGCTTGACCTTTCGATCAGGGGGATGATCGCGTCCGGATCCTTAAGGTTTCCCCAGGACTCGGCCGTCTCTCCATCGTCCTGGAAATGGCCAGAAGTCAGCCATCAAGATCACTCGAGTCAGTGCTTGCAGCCAGACACGCACCGCATGAGTGAAACACCACGCCACCCAGTCTCGCGTCAAAAACAGGATCAAGTGCACATCATCTGCTACGTAGGTGCGGAATTCGGGCTGGACGTCAATGTTCTTCATCAGCGTTGCTGCTGGCGAGTCTGGCTTGAGTGTGCTGGCAGGGAAAGCCACTCGCGCAACCGCATAGCCACTGTCTTGCACGGCGACTTCCGGACCGGTGTCGAACCCGTCGATAGAGGATCCAATTCCATTCGCACCGATGCAAAGATCGCCAATGAATGTCTCTCCCGAAGCAGTGGTCACGATGACTTGGTCGCCTCTTTCGCAGACGCTGACTACCTTTCGTCCAAACTGAACCGAAACGCCCAACCTCTCAAGCTGGTCCAGTTGCATCTGAGCGTAGACCGGCCGCCGCTTGAGGAACGATACCGTCACATCATATGCAGCGTGAGCCCCTGCTCGACGCCATTCCGGATATGTCGAGTATATGGGCACACCGGACGGAGAGTAAACGTGGACAGAGCAATCATAAATACACTTGTGGTAGTCCGCATGCATGCTAGGGTAGTCCTTCAGCGTGGTCAATGCTGACGGGGTAATGGTGAAATAGTCGCCTAGCATGGTATGCCGTCAAACACTGAAGTGGTGCCTGGTGTACAAAGGAGTGATTCAAGCATACCTAATGGAGAGAGCTTCTCTGCTCGTTCGAGGACCACGACCTCGCAGCCTTTCCGCCAACACTCCAATGCGGCACCTAATCCTCCCACACCTGCTCCGATTACAATGATCTTGATCCCATTGCTAGGAAGTCTGTGGACACCGTCCACAACAGTTCCGGGAGTTGTTTCCCCTGATATCATCTTTGCTTGTGGCTCTGCAAAATAGTTGTTGTTCAGAAGTTGCTTGTCTTGGTCGCTGAATGTCGAGATTTATCGCTAGGGAATGGAAATTTGCACGAGTCAACATGATATACGGCCTCCTCTGGGGTAAACCCCTTATTCCCGCCGGGGCAGCGATCCAAGATGGCAACAGCTGACGGAGCTTGTGACTCTGGAGAGGAAGAAGATGATGTGGGACATCTTGAGGTGGGAACTGGCCCTTCGTCGCACTGTACAGACAGTGCTCCGCCCCTCAAAGATATTTGAAAATAAAGTTGAGGCTAGCGAGGCATTGGCGCGAGGAATCGAAGCTAGGAGAGCTCCACCAAAGAACGGCATATGATGTTCTGAAAGTCCGGGGTTGGCGCCTCGCTGTTTCTTGGTCAATGTTCCCTCTTAGACAAGAAAGTGTTGGTGAAGATCCTGGCACGAGAACGAATCGTCCCTTGAGAGTCCCTGCAAGGTCTCTACCATGAAGGAAAGAGCAAGGCACTAGTCCCTCTTCTCTGCAATACCTTTCCCACCGATGGTGAAGGAAGGGAGCAACAGTCCAGACCTTTTCGGGTACGTCCCCACCGGGTTGCTTCTCCCAGTGTAGAAGAGAGCTCCTTCAATAGGCAATGTCTCCTCGGATCGCATTGTCCCACATTCGCTTCTTGATCAGTATTTTTGTGCAGTCTCTCAGCAAGATTGTGAAAATGGACCAGATATACTTAGCAGGGGCGGCTGGCTGTCAAAAATCCTAGCTTCAGCCTTCCTTTCCCTTCTTGCTTTGCTCTTTGAGAGAGACCACAACATTCCTCAATTAACAATAACGTGAATCAGATATGGCGGCCGAATTCGAGCACAAGCATGGCAACCAGGATGATGCCGTGACACGATCAAGTGCTCTCAAAATGGATGAACTTCGAACGGCGCCAACACACCTCGAGCGGGTTGATCCTGCTGAAGCTAATCTGGTTTATGACGATGCTGAGCACGAGCCAGAGCTGCATCTCAGGACCTGGATAGCTCTCGTGGCAATGTTCCTGCTGAACTATGTGATCGTGTTCGCTCTCTTGTCACCACCAGCAGTGGTAAGCTAGAAGGATATTCAGCGTCTCTGCGCGCGGGTCTGATCTTTTCCAGCTCTCATATATCGGCACCAGTCTGCACAACACGCGATCCGAGACATGGGTGGTGAATTCGCTGTCGCTGCCACAGGCCGTGTTGTCGCCTTTACTTTCCTCAGTTTCCGACGTTTTTCAAGTTCGCAAATCGCTCCTAGTCAGCACACTAACCATCTCCTTCATCGGCGCTGGTGTCTGTCCCGGATCGCAAACCATGTACAGGCTTATTGGGGGCCACATCATGATTGCGATTGGGTTTTCGTGCACTCCACTGGCATATGCCATTCCCAGCGAAATCCTGCCTCGGAGATGGAGGCCAATCGGACAAGTTTGGGTCAATATTGCTGCGGCATTGGCGACTTGCACAGGGCCTCTGATCATCGGCGCTCTGACCAAAGCTAATCCCGAAAAGGGGTGGCGGAGATTCTACGTGAGCGGCGCATTCCCTTTGCCACGCGGTTGGATGAAGACGCTGACACTCTTATCCCATAGTGGATTCAAATGGCTCTTTGGGGTGCCGCTGGCCTCGGAATTTTGGCTGGATATCGCCCGCCCAAAAGGCACACGCGCTTGGATCATCTCTCATTCGCACAGAAACTGACATACCTTGATCTTCCTGGATTCGGACTCCTCGGGGGAGGCCTCACCCTCTTTCTTGTAGGTTTGAACATGGGCGGCGGCATGTATGCGTGGACTGATGCTCGAGTCCTTGCCACATTGGTTGTGGGTATTGTTAGCTTGTGTTGTTTTGGGATATACGAGTGGAAGGGCACAAAGACGGGAATTCTGCGCCATGACCTCTTCCGCGGCGGATCAGGGGCTGGTCGCACTTTTGCGGTCTGCGTTGGCCTCATCTTCGCTGAGGGCATTCTATTGTTCTCATATGTTATTTTTTATCCCATTATGTAAGTTTTGGATATGTTGATATCATTCTCGCTTGGACTTGCGTCATGCTGACCGCCTCTAGGGTTCAATCCTTGTTTGACCAAGATCCGTTCATAGTCGTCGTTCGCGAACAGCCATATTGGATTGCTTGCCTTCTTTCGACTGGAATATGGGGCATTATTAGCACAAAATTCAAGACAGTCAAGGCACCCCTTGCGGCAGGTTTTGTTATCTTCACCGGTGGCATCGTGGGACTCGCCACAGTTCAGCCCTCCGAGTCGACCAACTCGCTGATCTTCGCCGGTCTTGCTGGCGTCGGTTTTGGGTCGTTGATCATTCTCATCGTTGCTGGCGTCCAACTCTCCAGCCCTCACTATCTTATCGCCACCGCGACCGCTGTGACAGTTTCCTCTCGCGCTGTAGCCGCGAGTATTTTCACAGCAATATATGTGGCGGCATTCTCCGGCCGCCTGAAAGAGAAGCTTCCTGCATACGTGGCCAAGGCAGCCTTCCAAGCTGGACTTCCACAGACCTCGATCGAAGCATTTGTAAAAGCTTTGGTCGCGGGAAATGTTTCACTTCTCCCGAAGATACCTGGCGTGAGCCCTGGGGTCGTTGATGCCGGCCTGGCAGCACTGAAGCAGGCATATGCTGATTCAATAAGGGTGGTCTATATCATCGCAGCACCGTTCGGAATTTTGGCTTTTATTGGTTGCTGGTTTTTGGGAGATTTGAGCGCGACGATGAATTATCGAGTTGATGCACCAGTCGAGGTGTTGACGGTAAAGAAACATGATAGTGACAAGGTCAGCGCCTGACCTTCGGAATTTTGCACCTAGTCTTGGAAGACAGCAAAACTCTTATCAGTTCTCCCTGTGGTTTATGATGGCTTGAATAATTACTCTGGTTCAAGATCCGCCGTAGAGATTCCCGTACGGATGCAACGAACATTCAAAAGAATGGACGCGTACGGTTTTTCCACCTCGATTGCGAAGGTCTCTCCTTTGATGGACATTACCAAGCGATAACAGGATCAACAATCTCTGGTTAAGTTCTCTTCTGGAGGACAAATCATCCCGCATCATGCTTGAGACAGGTAGGACAGGATCTCTTGCAAAAAGCTCTGCATGTCAGGGTCCAGGTTCGCCAGGATAACATTCAGCATTCTCTGTGACTGGCCGTTCAAAAACCAGTAGAATTTCTCCTGCTTTGAGACAAGCACGCACCAGTACGCAACCAAGACCAGTGCTATGGAGTTGGCTGCTTCTATCAGACGCAAAAACTCATCTGGAAGCAAACGCGGCCAGCTCTCAATGCCATTCCATTGAGCCCAAGTGGTATTTGCTGCGTAGCTGCGTGAGTAGCTGGACACTAGCGCCGCCATGGCTTGGTCGAACATTTCAAGCTCCGAAGAATCCGGTATTGGACCTGCGGAGATAATTCGCCCTGGCAGAGAGGCGAGATGGGAGTATATTGCAGGAGGTATATAAGGATAACATTCGACGACCGGTCGAGGTGTAAGCAGCATACGATCTCGGCTGGATGAGAGTCTGGCATCAGCAAGTGCGATTGGGAGTGCTTTAGCAATGTCCTCGATGTGGGAGCTCAATCGGGTATCTGAGGGTAAGTTACTGCGTACCCAGGCTTTGGTGATTGGTCGCGCCGGAACGAGCATTGATGCCTCTTTGCAGAGCTCTGCCAAGTGTCGGACGTCATCTATGCTGGCGATATTGATTGACGCTGTCTTGAAGGCTGAGCTTTTTCTTCGAAGCAGAGCATTGAGCTGGTTGATGGCGTAGGGTAGAAATGAACTATCTGCATCAGATGCTATCTCCAACGGTCCCAATCCCTGAAGAACTTCGGAGGGAAGGGCAAAACCGGAGGCTTCAGAGAAATTTCTCTGCATATTGACCAATAGATCGCATCCACCTCGCAGCAAAAGCATGAAGTCCAAAATTTGAGACAATTCTGGTTTATGTGGTTGGTCGACGGGCGCTAGTTGATCTTCTGCGTCCAGCAGGGCTTGGGCACAGAATTGAACGCCCAGTAAGCGCGCAAATGCCGTCAATGATGTGCTTGTCTCTGCTGTTGGTTGCTTGATAAGCTCCCTGAAAGTGATCAATCCGGCGGATTGATGGAGAAGGCCGTTGGATTGGTGCATCTTCCGCTTCTGACCGTCCGAGGTTAGAGCCGCTTGATGAAATGCAGCAACACCAAGTATGCCGTGCATGAGGAAAGGTTGAGTCGAGGCATGCACTGGCAGTGTATCAGCCCAAAACGTAAGGGAATCGTCTCCCCTCGTAAGCGACAGACTAGTACGAGTGATGTAATGATGAAGGTACATGAGATCGCTCATCGGGAGTTCTGCGGCCGAGGACTTTCCAGAATTGCCGGAGTCGTCATTAGCCGGTAATGTCGGTGCGACCTGTGCATGGCTCAGGTGAGAGAGGCGCAAAAGTGGATGTCTGGTGGAGTCTGCTGGTCCCTTGTGGCTCGATGCTCCGTGGCCAGTGTGGACCTCGAAGTAGCGGACCTTATTGCCTTTGAAGAATGTCTGGAGGCGAACCCGCCGAGCTTGGATCTCGACGTCGATGGCAGATATCTCTTTGTGACTTCCGTGGTGTTGATTCATACGCTTTTCCGAAATGCACAAATGGCCACATGCTGGAAAGTTGCATCGATAGCCGTCTGAGACTTGAAGATAGGGCAGAGGGGAGATATCTGGTGGTGGCTTAGGTACTTCGGCTGGGTCCAGCAGTTTTAATCTGCCTATTGTCTCCAATAAATGTTGTCGCTCTCCTCTATATATGTGGTGACGCAGAAGGTGGCTCGAAATTGCCTGGGGTTGTATGGCAAATTCGCAGCGCTTGCAAATCACAACTCCATAGTCGGGCATATAGGTCAGCAGTGCGTTCAAACGCTGGAACCGGGGCGAGCCATCGGGAATGTATTCCTGCATGGTGAAACGGGAGCAAGCTTTTGCAGAAAGACCGGTCCAAGTCCAGCCAAGCTCATTTTATGTGTCTCATGAGAGGTTGAGTCGGCCGACCACAGATGGAATCTTATGTTTCTATACAATCTCGGCAATTCCGTCCTTGATACAGAGCTCTCCGATCATGGATTGATTAGGTGAAGGTGAAAACGGAGAGAGTTGGAGTCTCTGCCTTCTTGGCAAGCCCCTTCAGCAACTTGGCTTGCTAAACGAATGCCATGGTGGCGACGGGCAGAAATTGGTCATATACTGTAACAAGTCCTATTTGGAAGGAAGATGGGGGATGGCTCGATGCCCAGGGCAGAAGTGAAGTCACGCTCGGAAAACTTGCCGGGTAATGCACACCCCGTCATTCAGCCCGCGGCGCAAACGGGGCAAAAGCAGCGCCATCGATGTTCCGACTCGCCGAGTATTCGTCCGCAGGAAATTGTTACGGGCAAACTTCCACTTCCAGGTTCTCTAGGATATTTCACACCCCAGTTTGGCCCCCTCTTTTGGAACATGACACCATCTTCGACGCAAACCTATGTGAAGGTTTATTCTAGCGCCAGCTGCTCATGGGGGGTTTGGAGTATACAAACGTCTCGATACCTGCTGCGTCAGAGAAGTGACGAAAGACAAGATGTCATTGTTGGTCGACTGCTCTTTTGCTGATAATCCAAGAGGATGTTCCAGCATTCCAGAGACCGCATACATTGCTTGACCAAGAAATGAAAGTCACCGGACGGTGAGACTGTGAGTAATGTTGGCGAGCAGCGACAGAACATCTACGCAAGGCTGTAAATTGCTCCTACTGACATTCCCTCGCACAAAGATGATGATTGTCCCAAGAGGAAGCTAATGAGGCCAGGTAAGAAGCAACATCTCGTTCCGTTGTCATTGAAGGGCATTTGAAGGGCACTTCGGTGCTTTACTCTCCGGAGCTCCTTGCTTTGCTCCCATCTATGTCTCTGAAACGTGAATGTTGACTCTGGAAGGCCACTGTCCGTCCCTCCACTTGTCTAGTTGCGCATTTATCTTGTCCGCATCCAATCCTTCAATGACCTCAAAGGAAGTGGGCTTCAGCACCCCATCATCAATCAAGCTGGGCAACGCCTTGTAGAACTGAGCCGCTATCTCCCGAAACAAGGCTGGTCGACAAACAAATTTCCTGAAGTTGTAACCTTGCTGCTTGGGTCCGACTTTGGTCTCGTCGACAGTATTGGGCCGCGAGACTGCTAGAGGTACCATGGTGCCTTTCTTCGAGTTGGACAGCATGCGGATGCCCGGCGTGTGGTCGGCCCTGTTGTTGCAGTCGAGCACGTACAGGAGGTCGTCGCCGACGATGTTTCGGACTTCGCGCTGGATGTCTTCATCCGGCAGACTTCTGTCAATCACATGCGTGGCGCCAATGGATTTGAGGTCAGCTTCTCCGTGCTTCCCCGCGACGGTGACGATGGTGCCGATTCCGACCCATTTGGCAAGCTGAATTGCGAACCTCCCGCACGAGGAGCTTCCTCCAATGATGACAATGCCGGCATTCTTGTAGTCGAACTCCCGCGCCGATGCAGCCAGTGGGGATGGAATATCGAGCCCCAGTGGCGTCAAAACTGCCACATACGCCGTCAACGGGTTCAGGATGATAGTGTCGGCTTGGTCAGGGCTGACCGAGCTGGGCAGAGGGGCGATGAAGTCGGCGTCGAGAACAGCATATTCCTGTGATCCTTTTGTGTCTGACACAACAGGATCTCCCTGACCCATGACCTCGTCACCTATCCTGAAGGTGTTGACGTTTTCACCGAGTTCGACCACCTTCCCGACTATGTCGATCGCAAGAACACCCGGCAGATTGTCCTTTCCGACAAAGTACGCAATCTCTCGGACGAGCGCATCATGTGGATTAACTGTGCAGGTAACGAGTCAGCTGGCATTCTTTTGTTCTCTGCCCACAAGAGGCTTTTGGCAGAGATACTCACGGCCTGCGATGGAGACTTTGACTAGAACTTGGCCCGGGCCTGGTTTTGGAATGGGCCGCTCAATCAACTTGACAGGCTGCGCCGTCGCGACCACTGCAATAGCTTTCTGAACAGACATTTTCGACCTTTCGATCTTGTTTCCTTGTTCCCTTCTTAACATGCAGCTTCCCAAGGTTTTCCAGAGACCGACAGTCTCCTGGTTACAGAGAGACGTTTATATCGACCGCAACGCAGACTATTCCAACTTGTGGCTTATGCATATTGCAGCGGATTTGGAAGCATATGTCGTGTTTCGCATCAGAACGGTATAGCGCCTCAAAAGTTAGATGCTGCACATGGTCAAGCGTGCTTGACACACCCTGCCCATCTGCGACGTGCTGTCTGCCATATCCATGTGGCCTGACGTAACGGCGAATTGCCGGCCACAACACGTTGCACTATCCTCTCATAATCGCCCTCTCGATATTATAATACACCCCTCATGAGAAGTATGGGACGGATGTTTTTGGTTATTCAGGCTTAAAGCGGCGGGCATAAGCCTGAATAACCAAAACATCCGTTTGCAAGGGCAATGCCCTCGTCATAGCGGATCAGATTAATAGACAGATCACTATTCACTAGTAAGTGGGGTTATGAAGGCGCTTCGTAATCAAACCCTGTCCCCCTTCCCCTGGAGCCAGTATGAATAGAGTTCAAGCTCTGTTAAATGATTACGAATCGAGGGCTATTATGATTGGGTTCATGTGCAAGGTGTGTACCTAGGTATGTAAGCCCACAAGCCCACCGGTATGACTCCATCGGTACTTGCTCACAGAAAGGCCTGTGTTGAGGTGACTGGAGCCCACATCCTCTGCTGACTCAGCCACGTACCGCTTCCTTGGCCCTTCGCCCAGTGGCTGCTCATGAGCTGATGTAGAGCGGCCATGAGCTCAGTCCCTAGTTCCCCCCAGAGTTGGGGTCTTGCCTTGGAGCAGTGTGAGCGTAAGCGGAGGGCGTGAACCTCCTTGCCGGTCCTACAGAAAGTCTGTACGTTCCTTTCGGAAAGACAACCCACCACAAGCGCACCGGATTTGATGTAAGAATAGGTAATTTTTCAGAGATTACTTCTGACTTTTTCGTGGCATGTTGGAGACGCACCCTAGTTCTAAGTGAACGCTGGGCGGCATCTGTTCTTTTCCTTTTCTCTTACTTCTTTTTATTTCCCTTTCTCCCTTTGCTAAATCCAGGTTTTTTTTTTTGAAGTTTTTGCGTCCGCTCCGGGACGTTTTATCCATCCATCTCTCCATCTCCGGCGACCTGATCCAGGAACTCATCCCTGGCATCGTCAAAGCCCTGACCCAATGTCGCTCCGAGAAAGCAGCACTATCCAAGACTGGACTTCCCTGTTACTCGTCATCCAATTCTGGATAATGCCTGTAAATCCCCATACTGTACTTCAGCCTCCTGTCACTCGCCAAATAACTCTGAATCTTGTCCAATGCCTTGACCCTCTCATAGTGCGCAAATACCTTCTCATACTTACCCCTGCTCCTCAGCTTGTCCACGCACTTAGGGAACGCATAAGTCACTCCATCCAACGTCTGAAAGAGCACCAAGTCCGCATAAGTCATCTTCCCGCCGTACAGCCATTCACCTCCACCCGAGGCGGGCCCCGAGAGCACCCGTTCAAAGTAGCCCAGAAACTTGGGCAGACGAACGGCGCGGTAATCAGCGGCTTTCTTGAGGGCCTCTTCTTTTTGTTCTTCGTAGTAAGCTCCGCTGGCAATGGGATGATGAACATCATGGGGTTCATTGGAGAGCCCATCAAGTGCCGTCAATGCAAGTGCATTGACGTGGTACATTCCGGCGCTATCCTCGGCGACGTCAGGAACCAGACCGAGCTTCGGACCCAGGTAGGCGAGAATATTGGGTGTCTGGGACAGGAGGGTATCTCCATGTTGAAGAATCGGCGGAGCGAGTGGTGGCGGGTTGTTGTCATCCCCGATATTTTTCTCGCTGATCTGAGCCATAACTGCGTTGACGCCGGCGTCGGTCTTATTGGATACGTCGACGTAGGGGGTGCCTGTAGCTTCAAAAGCGAGGCGGATGTGTTCACCTCTGCCTGGAATGCCGGGCCAGTAGATCAATTTGTAGGCCATCGAGTCGTCTGTCTCAGCTGCTGTGTCAGCGCCGGTTTTCTGGCGCTTGGAGGAGCGGGTTGAGGTGGCCATGTTCATGTAGCGAGGGTGGATGAGGGGTTGGTGAAAGAGTGAGATGGACCTGGACTTCCCTGCGAGGTTGAGGTTTGCTGCCGGTGAGGAGGAGGCGGTGACCAGGACTCTGGAGCCTTGTGTGAGCTTGGAGACAACCAGAGCAGGTTGTCTCATCTAAGACTTCCACAAGGGCGAGGCGGGAAGAGGTCAAGATAGAAACCCCCAAGGTGTACCCTCGGCACGTCATACGATGGGGCTTTTATAGTGGAATGATATGTCTCCGATGCCGAACCGATCGGGCTACGGACCATTATTTATCCAGTTCCGGTTCGCTGGCATCGTCCCCTCACTTCCTTCTCCACCTCCAACCTCTGCCACCGCTGCCGCCTCCAGCTTCGCCTTTCCCCGGAAGCAAGACATCGTCATCTCTGTCTGGGGGCCTTGCGCCCATTTTTCGCTGGACGACCATTGGCTATGTCTCTATTCAAACGACCTCATTCTGCAAAAACCTTACTGTACCCCAGCATCAAGGGCCATCAGATCTGTCGTGTAAACCCACCTTCAACTGAACTCCACGAGCAATCGTAGCATATACACAGGAAAATAGCATTAGCAATACGACACTCAAAATGACCTCTGTCCAAGACTCCCTCATCTTCGGCAACATCCTTTCCACTCGGGAATCGGCCGCAATCTGGTCCGACAAGACACGCACCCAGTGCTATCTTGCATTCGAAGGCGCCCTGGCCAAGGCGCAGGCTCGGCTGGGAATCATCCCGCAAAGGGCGGCCGACGAGATCATCAAGTTCTGCTTGGACATCCGGAATGTGGACTTTGAGGATCTCCGCCAACAGACCGAGCTGATCGGGTACCCGGTGCTGGGCGTGGTCAAGCAGTTGGTCAAGCATGTCAATGCCATCGAGCCGGGACTGGGCGAGTGGGCGCATTGGGGAGCGACCACGCAGGACGTGACGGATACGGCGACGGTAATTCAGCTGTGGGATACGATGAGTCTCTTCGAGAAGACCCTCGAGGAGATTATTGCCTCACTTCGGCAGCTGGCGGAGAAGCACAAATCCACTCCAATGGCCGCCAGATCGAATTTGCAGCAGGCGGTTCCTATGTCATTTGGCTTTAAGCTTGCCAGATTACTCGCCACGTTCCTTCGGCATCGTGAGCGGCTAAAGGATGTTGAAACGAGGCTGACAGTGCTGGAATTCTCTGGCGCGGCGGGAACGTTGGCGACATTGCCTCCTTCACAGGATCTTCCTCTGCTCGGCCTCGAATGCCAGCGGGAACTTGCCAAAGACTTGAACCTCAAAGTCCCCGAAATAGCATGGCACACGGAACGTGACCGCATCGCCGACTTCGGCTCCCTTTGCGCAATGCTCAGCAGCACGTGCGCCAAGTTTGCACTGGACGTCAAACTCATGATGCAGACGGAAGTGGGCGAAGCGTCGGAACCGTACGTGCCGCACCGCGGGTCGAGCAGCACGATGCCGCAAAAGAGGAATCCCATCTCCTGCGCGTACATCACCGCCATGTCGGCCACAGTCAGGCAGCTGAGCGCGAGTCTTTTCGAGGCCATGGTGGAGGACCACGAGCGAAGCACAGGGCCATGGGAGATTGAGTGGATCGTGCTGCCGCAGCTCTCGACCCTGACGCATGCCACTCTGAAGCATACCGCCGAACTTGTGGCCGGGTTGGAGGTGCACGAGGACGCGATGAAGAAGAACCTTGACCTGTCCAAGGGCGCGATCGTCAGCGAAGCCGTGATGATGGGCCTGGGCAAGACACTGGGTCGCCAGTATGCGCACGACGTCGTGTACGACCTGTGCCGCAGGTCGCAGCTCGAGGACCGTCAGCTGCTCGACCTGCTTTGCGAGCACGACGAGATCAGCAAGAAGATGACGAGGCAGGAGTTGGCCAAGCTATGCGACCCGGCAAGCTACCTGGGGTACAGCGAAGCTATGGTGCAGAAGGTCCTCAAATTAGCAGATGAGCCCCCTGCACAAAGGAGGCCTAGTCTGGTCTGAGGGGCGGGCCCCGGACGGTGGATGTTGTTTCGGACCGGGACTCGACTGTCTCGTGCTCTTGGCGCTCGCACTTCTTAGGTAGACAAGGGTAGAGCGCTTAGAGGTCGAGAAGTCGCTGTCGAAGTCGCTGTCCGGAGGCAGACAAACTCGCTGCGACCGGCCGAGAGAACCATTTCTCAGGTGCTGGTTCTCGGCTTCTGTCCCTGTTTTAGTGGCATTGTCGTTCGTCATAATGGTATCCGGAATATCCTTGTTCTTTGTCTTGTGTGGGCAGTGGTTTTCACGGCCTCCGTCGTAGGAAGAAGACAGGGGGTCCGGCTAGTTGATCAGGGGTTTTATGACAGCGAGACGTCGGCAAGTGGGTAAGGATGCCGACAGAAGTATCTGGTTAAGGGCCATGGTGAATGAGGTACAACAGACAACCAGAGGAAACAGGCCAAGCATTGAAACGACCCTTTAGTTTCCTCGGTGCCTGACCAAAGTGCCTACCAGAAGCCCAGACTATTACCGTATCGTTTTCATCCCTTTCGCGTTCACCCGACGATCCCCAGCGGTGCCTTCCTCGCTTCCCATTCCAAAAAGCCCAAATCTACCCGGTACGTGAACTTTTGTGGTGGGACATGTGGAGAGGATTATGATTCGGTGGCCTAGGATATGATTGAAGCCTCAAGCCATATGTACTGGGTAGTTATTTAACTGGCTGGCTGCACAGGCGCCCCCCAACCCCGGCTTTTACCGCCCTCGCCCGAATTGTTTACGCGAACTGGCTGAGCAGGTGAGGTTCAACTGACTACCCTCGCCGCCTCGCCGTATGATAAACCTGCGCAGACCTATGCTTGCTGTCATTTCGATGAGTTCGTCCTTCTCGCACATCAGGCTTCACGGTGTCCGCAGAGTTTCACGCACAACGTCCCATTGCCCTCTAAAATCCTCTCCGGGTTCCATGGGTCTCGAAATCATTGGCAACTCCACGTACAGCGACGTGTTGATGTGAATCCCGGAACCGCTAACATTCTTGAAACTTGCCCCCCCGACCCCGCCACCCCGCATCTGGAAGGCCGGACATCTGAATATACCGGAATTCGGCAAACCTAGCTTTTTGCTCCTCTCCTCTCAGACTTGGAGAAAGATCCGATGGTTAATCACGAGTCTTCTGGCACCGGAATTGGTGATCTTTGCGGCGGCTTGGTCTCAATACCTGAGCGCAAGGAAAATTAGGGGCTATTGTAATAAGGTAGGTGTGTTATTGTATGAGCATATCCCATATATCCGATTCATGGTCTAATCTTCACAAATTCGAGCTATAATATCTAATCCTCGGTACGTCTAGACCCTCAGCAAAAAAGACATGGACAATGGTCCACGGCTTCTACGCTGCGATGGGAGGCTTTGCCTTTCAGAGTCCTGCTCCAGATGGGAGTGAGAATGAAGTGCCAGTAGCAAGAATGGCCTTGAACCTCGAGGCAATTGGAAGGCTCATCGATGATATACATCAGCCCGCCATCTTCGAGGTCGAGGAATATTTAGGCACCGCTGGAGAATCAGAGTTCAGAGCCACCCGTGCGATACCTCCAGTGGTAGCTCCCGTCCCTGAACGCGGTTAGAATCCTGACGAACGTCGCTGGAATTCCTTTCTCAACGTATCTAAAGATGATATATTGGATAAGAGGAAATGCGACCGGTTCGCAAAGGCCCTTGTGCGCATGCAAGCATTCTGGTTCTGCGCGCAATATATTTCGAGAATATCTTAGGGTCTACCTATCGCCCTCCCCGAGCTCAACACCTTCGGTCATTCTATCTGCGCACTTCTTATTTATGGAATCTGGTGGCACAAGCTAGCGGACATTGAACAACCGACTGTTTTGAATATCCAAGGTGTGGGAGAGAGAGCACTCTGGGTGGCCTTGAACCAAAGCAAGACGGTTCGAGAAGTGCTTCCACCGACTAGTAATATCCGCGATCCCTCCCAGTCCTCATACTAAGTGCCAGAACCTACCTCATCGTCGAATGCTTCATCCAGCTAGCCCATCTACCCCCGGGCCCTATATTCAAAATGACTGCTTGGACAGTTTACTTTCCCCATCTTGGTTGGTGGTGGAGCAGTTTGGGGCCTAAACATTGGTCGGGTGGGAGCAAAGTTTCATATGGATTTGGTTGTAATGTTTCGACAGAGTTTCTCAGGAACAAGCGCCGCGGCCAGATTGAGAAGTTGGCCTCATCGTCATGGGCTATAGAGAGAAGCGATGAACGAGAGATGATGTGGCTCCCATGCGATATAGTTATCTGCGCACGCACTGCTGCTTAAACTTCCCCTGTAAAGTCGTTGCCGGGAAATCCGCCTCCGGTTTAGGCGGCCGACCGCTTCGGGAATGGTCGCGGGCTGGGCGCGCCGCCGCTTTTGACGGCTATAAGAACCTCGTCTCTCATCACTATCCCCAACCCTCTCTCCCTCTCTTCCAACCTACTTTCTCCCTTCTCTCACCTCCGTTCGCCCTGGCGCACCTTGTCGTACCTTACTTCGACACCGCCTAGACCCTCTCCCCTGTAGCATTAGGCCCCCCATCGTCGATTGCTCTCCCGGGTTCTCTTCCAAAATCGGCCTCGTTGTCGGAACTCTTCCTTATCGCTTCGGGCTCCCCTCGATTTTCTCTTCCGGCTCCTTTAAATTCTGCCTCGAATCTATCTCGTCTCTTCGAGTGCGCCTCGATTAGCCTTTTAATCCTCGATCTTCGCGGCTCTTTTCTATTCTTTCGAGGAGGGCCCGTTTCGGCCCCCTTGTGCGCCTAATCCCTTTATAGCGTAATTTGACTTCGTACACCGTGTAGGCTTAGCTAATCTCATCCGTCATTTACACCTCGACTAGGAGTTCTGATAATGTGAGTGTCGGTCTCGGCCTCGGTAAGTCTCCTTATATCACCTTGCGAAGGTAAATCTACGTGATGGACTCTTATCTAGCGTTCGTTCCGGATCTATAAAGACTTAGTGAGATCATCTTCACCGACAATAGGAAAATCGAACTTCCTCCGGGCGCCGTGATAGGCACTCAACTCTTTATACTATATCATCGGGGCCGGGATTCTATACCTTAACTTTTAGTGAACTAAGGTATGGAAGGTAGCAGAACGTAGCGAATTCTTTGGCATAGGCCGGCGCTCTAAGCTAAGTGCCGCACCGGGTATATTGTTACGAAACGGCCTTGGAGGGGACCAGAGGAGAGTCCCGGAGAGATAGAGTAAAGGAGAAAGATAAGTCTTTTACGTAACTAGCTCCGTCGGGCTCCTAAGGCTAAATAGAGTAGAATAGAGCTAGATGGCTCTAGTGGATCTATTAACTCTATTAGAGTACCATAGATTATATAGAGCACTACGAATCTTCTAGGTCTATATATATAAGATAGTTCTTATAGTTCTCGTCGTAGTTAATCTCGTTCTCCATGAAATCGAGTTCCTCGAGTTCATGCCCTTTGTATATAGTTCATCCACTATACTCTTAGTTTTAGTCTCAGCTACCTAGCCTCACTCCTATATCACTAAGTAAACTCCGTTTACTACCGTGGTGACACCTCACGTAACAAAGCGGTTCATAACATCTCTGTAATTCTTTACCCCTAGTAATAGCCGATAGTATAGAATGGTAGCTTATACGTAGGATAGTATAGCTAGGAGAGGGATTCTATACGGAGAGGAGAGAGATAAAGGTCGCGGTCGCCGGCTTAAAGGTAGAGTTTAGATGTAGTTAGTCGTGTACATAAAAGAAGGGTGACGAGACGCGGTTCGAGAGGACTTCGTGAGGGTCAGAGAAGGTGCTCTTCTGTAGGAGACTGTGAGAAGATCCATCGAGATCCTTACTGCGCGTCCTGCAGGCGCCATACTTGGGGCAGTGAAGGCATTCATTCTGTCGGTGAATGGACGATTCCGTTGTTTCTAAAGGGGACTGTTTCTGGTCCCACTGAAGCCAGCATGAGTTTAGGGAATCTTACTTCAATTCCAACATCCGGCCAGATCTCCGCAAGCCTGCTTGATGTCCACGGAAAGTCCAGATTGTCATGCAACATCGAGAAAGAGTCGCATCCCGCAGCCTTCAGAACATCGTCTCGGTAACACCAGAAAATGATGGGTTGTTGTGTTTGGCCGACAATTCTGAGCAGCGCCTTCATCCATTTCTCATTTGGAATTCGGTAAAGCTTTGTCCTGTTCCAGAAGTTCATATTCCACCACTACTTAGATTCCCACGTCTTGACATTCGCCATCTGCACAGAGCATACCTGATCTCTGCTCGCAAACTTCTTCTGCAATATCAGGCTCCGGGACGGCCCTGTCGATGTAATGTGAATTCAACCAAGTTTCCAAAATTTAACCACTGAACTCTTCTCACACATACTCCCCTAACTAAATATCCCAATCGAGGAGGACTCTGAGAGCAATTAAACCGGCAGGTATGCCAATAGTATGGACCCCTTTGACCGCCATGAAATGAAAACCAACCACCTATTCCCTCAACCTCGCCGCGCTGGGGTTCTTCCTCTCTCCGTGGAACAGAAAGGATCATCCGTCGACGTAATAGCCATTTCGCCAATCACCCGTTTCAAATACCTGTTCACTGCGAGGAAACGATTGTTTGGAAACTCCTAATCGTTGACATAGTGGCCGACACCGATACGTCCCAGCCTGGTTTTGTCGTCGTGCCCGCTGCAAGCTTACCAGCAGACTACTAGATGATGGACTTATATTCTTTTGCATACATACTATCCTGGAAATCCTAGTCGAGCCCCCCACGAAAACCCCCCCCAAAACCCCAAAACATTGATCCTCCAGCTGTATGCGCAGAACTTGAATTGGATTTGCCTGGAGGGGAGATGCTCATCTGGCACGGGGGGTATGGTGTCATGTTTCGATGAGCTTGCGGTGATTCCGGTTTAGGGCTTCTTTTGGGGGGAGGGGGGAGGTACTGAAACTAAAAAATCTCGCGATTTCTCGGCCGGGCAGGGGCAGTGTGTCCAAGAAAGTGCGCGAAGCATTGCTCTTGGAGTGATGCGTATGTATATAGACACTATATACATATACGGAGCACACCTACATACCACAACGGAGGGGAAAAGTCCAAGTCTGCCCGGCAATGCCATTGTCCGTGCTCCTCTTTCTCTCCCCCGAAACGTTCGGATTCCCACGTTCCGAAACCAGAAATCCTCACCTGGAAGGACATTCGATGGGCTCCTCTGCGTGTTTTTCACTTGTTTTATGTTCTGTTGGTGCATTTTGACTATGTATGGGAACTATGCACGCAGCCTAGAAGCCCAGCGCCTGGTTGAAAGCGTCAGCGGCCGCCTGTCCAGTTTGTGCCTGTGCAGCGGTGGCGCCCTGATTACATGCGTCCAGGGCCTGCTGAGACGCTTTGCACTTATCGTTGAGTTGTTGGCCTGCAGGAATCTCCATGTTAGCCTTGACTGAATTTATCTGCCTCTGACGGACAACCGGGGGGGGGGGGAGATCGCCACGACGTGGTCGCGGGGCAAGGACGAGCAGCGATGTTACGACTTACAAATAAAGTCCGTGATGACCTTGATGTTCAGCGCGGAACCGTGCGGGAAGAGCGTCAGGTCGTGTGGCTCAAAGGCGGGCTGGTTGCGGCCGTCGAGGCCGTCGGCGAACTGGGAATCTTCTGTTAGTATGGACTAGTCCGGAGTGGAGGTTTCATGGCAGTGGTTTCGCCAACAATATCTGAAAAATGAAGGGGTGAACTCACAATAATGGTCGGGTCGGGACAGGAACCCAAATCCAAGATGGACGATCCCGTGGCCGCAGCGGAAGTACTGGTTGTGGCTGCACTTGCGGCCGCCGTCGTGGTAGCAGCAGCCGCCGTAGTGGTTGTGGTAGTAGCTGTGGTAGTGGCTGCAGCTACAGAAGAGGTAGATGTGGTGCTTTCTGCTGCATCAGGGAGTGCAATGCATTCTGTCGCCGCGGCCGAGTCAGTACCGGTAGCGGCTGCAGCTCCGGCAGAAGCAGTGGCTGAGGCAGCAACAGCAGCGTTGACTTCGTCTTCTGTGGCGTCCTCGACAAGCAGATTCTGAGTGAAGATACAGCCCACTGGGTCGTTCTGGTCATCGCAGCTGTTCCCCTTCGCAGTTGGGTCCCCGATCGTACCGGGAGCAAAAGTGCCGGACTGCAGGGCGTCGAGCGGGTTACCTCCAATGTTGGCAATCTGAACAGCGAGTGCGAGAGCGATGTCTTTGTTGACCGTCGCAGCATTGTTGGAAGCCGGATCTTGGTGCTGGGAGATTGCAGCGATTTCTGGGTTTTCGGCTTGGATTGCGGTGCAAGGAACAGATGCCTGTCCAACAGCTCCGGTATTGCGCTCAAGAGCTCTGTAGATCAAAGCAGCTGTCATACCGTCCACGTCGCCAGCAGCTTTAGCGTTGGTGAAGGCTCTGTCGGCGGTAGCTTGTTGAAGACAATCCGTATTAGAGATATCGCCCTGACCGGCGGAAGCGGCAGCATTGCCCAGAAGACCGAATACAGCATCCACGATGTTGTCTGGATTGTCTATTTTCAGGAATTGGTTCACAGTTGTAAGAAATTTCTCGTGTGAGTGTTCCTGTGGCACCTCGCGACGGCCAAGTTTGGAATTCCAGACCGCAGATCGGGTCTGCATGTCATGGCCTGGATTTCGCCTGATATGAAGGTTTGCCGGTCGGGCAGTCGTGACATCAATACCCACCGCGAGGAGGACGGAAAGACAAATGACTGGTTTCATTTTAGCCGAGTTGCTGTGTTCGCTTATGCTGTCGTGAGTCTCGTGAAAGAGCGTTCTGGATCGTTGATCGAAGAATCTGTTGTAGTAATACAATATAGGCCGCAGGCCCTATCAGTTCTCCAGGAACAATTCTGAATTGAAGGTGAAAAAAATCAGAAGCAAAGAGAGAGTGTTGGTAAGAACGAATGTTCACGATTGAGCTGAATCAACAGGCTGGAGAAACGGAAGAGAGGGAAGGAGTGAAGTCTGTGCATATATACCCTGGGCCTTGGGAGTAAACTTCCTCGAGCCTCCCGCATGGACTCCCTCAAAGAGTGCTGGCGTGCCTCAGATTTTTCTGGGGCTTTGTACTAGTATCTCGAGAGCCAAATTTGTCTCTGCGATAACGAAGTCTTAGCGGAGGAGCGAGAACAGGTCTGACCACGACAGCTCCGTTTTCAGTGCTTCATTGGATACCACAGGCCACCACAATAGTAGGCGAGGATGTGCAGCTTCGGATCAGAAGGTACCGGCCCCTGGCCATGTCACGGAAAGGTTAGCCAGGCTAGCACGTGGCACTTGATCGAGCTTTGAGCCATTTGTAGGAGCCTCAAGCTTTAGTTTCGGGGGAAGATGGCGGCTGGATGAGATTACTTTGGTGTGTGAAGGAGTTGAAGCTGGCCGAAATGTGTGTCATGTTCCAACACTCAGCCAGATCGTGCAGCGTCTCGGGTCTGGGAACGATGGCGGCTGAAACGCCGGAAGGACGACGAAGCGGCCGGCTAAATTCTGAGCCCAGGGACGGGACGTTATACACCTTCTTTGACTGGCATAGTAGACATCACACTCCTGCATCATGAGATGGCATAATACACCTTCAGGATCCTAGCGCTTTACACGCGATGCAAATCTTCCAGAGATGGGGGGGTGATGTTGGGTGATGGGAGAAGGACATGACCAGATATCAGGCTTTTCTATTTCGGGTATTAAAGTCTTGGATAATTCTTGGCAGCGGGTCTCCGGCTTAGGGCAGCGTCGCTTTTTTCTGGAAGGCCCTCGGATGCTATTATTATCGGTGCTTCTTCATTCTACTCCATACTATCTGATTCAACCTCTTGCTGTGTCTCCTAACAACAATAACTCCTATTCGCAGCTACAGAATCGCTCAGACATCTGACACCCTTCGCAATGGAAAACGCCGTGGCCACTCTGTCCCCGTTGTCATCAAGGTCGTCCAGGAGTCTATCATGCGAGTCGTATCCAAAATTTGCCAGACTGGGCCAGTCTCGTGGCACCACGCCATGAGAGCCAATATCAGCCTGGACGGTTATCTCCCACCGGCGCCCATTCGGGCAATACCCTCCAAGATGCGGCCCCCGTATCCAGTACCTTTGTTACTCGTAGGTGCCTTGAGACCGGATCCAGGGGCTGGAATACCCGAGTATTTCCCAGCCGTTGGCTTTTGCAGCATACTCACGGGTCGAGGCCGTCCTGGTAATGCCGACTTGGCCTCTCCACTGTTTCCGCTGGTCTTGAATCTATTCGGACTCGCTAATGCGGATGCTGAATTTGGTCTCCCATTCCCATCCTCACTTCGAGGTGGACTCACAGGCTGTTGTGGCTGTTGCAAGACGCGCTGCTCTTCTTGCTGAGCGCTCATTGCCAGGAATAGATCCACCTGTGCGACCAAGTCACCTTTTTCTACCCTTTCTTGTTCGATTTCCTTTCGTAGTGACTCGGTCTCGGCGGTAAGTGAATCAACTTGCCCACGAAGCCCTGCTGCCTCGGCCTCGAGCATTTTCTTCTCCGCGTTAGTCTCTTCGTTCCACCGCCGAAGCTCTTCAATCTGCCCCTCCATCTTGGAAATGGCCTCGCTTTGTCCCGGAACGATGCCGCTCATGGTTGCTTCTTTCTCTGTCTGCAGCTTCAGAACTTCTTCTTGAGATGTTTTAAGCTCCATTCGGAGCTGTTCAACTTGCTTGATCCATCGTTTCTCATAGCTGACTTTGAGGTCTGCCACTTTTCTCTCATGTTTGCTCTTGTACAACGCATGCAACTCGCGAGCCACTTTTTCTGTGGCATCCTTGACGGCAAAATCAATGTCAGCGCTCAACCCGGCAGTTGCCGGAGCGTTCGCCTTCTCGGGGCTAGGGGTGCATTTGACGCGTTCAGATCGCAGGGTGTCAAGGGAAGCCTGAAGCTCGAGGATCCGCACTTCGTGTTCCTCCGCTTTTCGCTCCGCTTCTTCGACCTGTTTCCGCAGCTTTTCCTTTTCCCGTTCCTCGAGAAAGATGTTCTGTTTGACCTCCCTAAGGACTTCCTCCATCTCTCGACTTCGGCGCTCCAGCTCCTCCTTTGCATGTTCTACCTCCTCTCGGGAGGCACGCTCGTTTCGGAGTTCCTCGCTCGTCTTTCCCACTCTTACTTCGGCGTCAGTGACAGCACGTTTCAAGGCCATGACCTCAGCCTCCTTGCCCGACAGAGTCGCTTCGAGACCAGAGATTCGCGACTGCAGTTCGGATCGAAGGGTCTCTAGCTCCCGGGGCGTGATGGTGGGGATTGAACGAGGAGTAGCCATTGGTTCGAGATCAATATCCAACAGATCCATTCCCAGCCCGGTCGTTGCGCCATACATGCTGTGCCTCTGGCTAGCAGGTGTTGATGGCACAGCTTTGTCTCCGAATGTAGCTTGGTCCTGCTTTTGCGGCGAGCGGCCTGAAGCTCGTTCGCGATCCACCGAAGCTTGCGACCGATGTACCGGGCTCGGATTGACTTTGATCGGGAAGCCTTTTCTCCCGGAGGGACTTCTTCTTATGGGACGTTGTACAGAACCGGGAGGGGGCATCAAAATATTCGTTTGTCCCGTGAAGTTCATGAGATCTGTAGGAGAGTCGTTGAAATAGGTGTTTCTTCTGGGGGTCGCGTCGTCTTCCTCGTTCGATGATATACTCCGCCTAGAGGCAGACAGCAGGCGCAGGGGGCGTTGAGCAGTGCCGGGGGCACTCGTGATTACGGAGGTTCTGAGTTGTTTTGAAGGAGACCAAGGCTCCTGCCGAGTCTGGGACGGTGTGTCTCTCAGGTTTGCGAATCTGGTCATGTCTGTGGGAATGGCAGAGATGGTGCTAAGGTCGCCGATTGTATCATCGTGGATAGTTTTCTCATCCATACTCAAGGTTAAGGTCATAGTATCAGATTCGTCCTTCGCAGGCGTTTCGTCTTCTGCAGACACTCCAACGCCATCGTCGAGGGCGTGGTGTATTATTGATTCGTCCAAACTGCCACTCTGTGCTTCTGCGTCTTTCTGCATTGCATCAATCGCACGCGTCAGGCCTTCATTGAACCTGAAGGTGGGCTCGGCGGGAGAGCCTGGGGGAGAGCTGTCGACTTTCGATTCGTCTTGTAAGCGGTATTTAATGGGCGAAAGTGGCTTCCGCGGACTGGATGGCTGACTAGAGGGTGCAGGAGAGGAGATAGGAATGTCCATGGCAGGAAGCGAAAGATTAGTAGGATCAATTGGGGCGGACTGCGCGAGAGTAGTGGTGGACATGGTGCTAGGAGATTTAAGAGCTTCTGGAAGAGGTTTCTGGGGAAAATCGAGCTTAACAGGGGAGGATCTGGAGTTCTGCTTGGCGGGCGACAGGGAAGATAACGGCTCAGGCATTGTGTCGGTGAGGGACATTGCCTGCTGATAGGATACTGAGAGAGGTACGGACGCAAGATTTGGATGTGAGGAAAGCCATAAGAAAGAGATGTAGTATGATGATGGGTGCAATTCTAGAGGGGGGGCAGTGTTATCACAAGATTGCGTGTTGGTAGCGCAAAGGACGTGTGTCAAGGCACGCCTCGTTGTCGTTGCGCTGGGTGACAGACCAAGTTGCGGTGATAGAAACTCCCTTTGGTGCCTTCGCTTCCCCTTCCTGCGCCCCCTGTCGATATTGGGATTGGGTTGGATTGGGAATTTCAGGAGGTGGAGCCCGATCGGATAAACAATGCCAAGACGCTAGACGCGCGCTAGACCTGCGCTAGACCTCGAACGGCCTGTACCTGAATCTCTTCCACTTTGGACCTGTGCCCTGCAGGGTGCGCCATGTCCTCCTCCTGTCGCATGAATACCGAAATGCCAACTCATCAACTGTTCTCTCCTGCATATGGCCTGCATCAACGCCCCTCCGCATCTCAGTTGTTGAGAGGTCGAACGCCTCCACAATTGACACGCTTATGCGGCTCTCCCCTCCTGCTTGTCACCCCTCTACAAATCTCCTGAGGATCCTCGCCACACTGAGGCATCTATCCTCAAATCCGCAACGCTCGTCCTTTCTGCAGAGGCGCTGGCCTTCGTCTCGATCTTCTGCTGTCTCTCGTTCCACAGGAGCCGGGCCACTCCATTCGCTGCCAGCCGAGCTCCTTCACAGCGCGTCCCCCTCCAGACGCCCTCCCTGACAAAGATTGTCGTCTACTTCTGCACCCATTTCAGTCTCCTGCATGCTACCTGCGTCAGCAGGACCATATACCCTCAATATTCGCGATGCCCAAAGTGGACCTTTCCAGATGACATGCTCCGTTAAAATTGCTTGATTTGTGTTGAAAGAAGCCCCGCTGAGGCTACTGAAGCTGCTGATTGTGGAATCCCTGGGTCTGAACAAGAAGACAGTGCCCCAGAGCCGCATTGAACAGACACTAATGGCGCCGATAATACCTTCTAACTCCTCCAATGCGAGCTCCTGTCTCAGAAAGTGCACAAATTTCTCCGAAAACTGCTTTGAGAGTGACTGCCCAGCGTCAGGGGAAGGGGCCAGCAAGTCTGCCATTGTCGAATGTGAAAACTCCAACGATGAATTCAGCACCTGACTGAAGATTGCAAATAGCAAGAAAGGCTCTCGATTGCCAAGTTGCGTGGGAGGTACCGCGGTAAGGGTGGACTCTCCGATTCCCTTGTCCAAATCCGCAGCAAGAAGTGCAGTCATGCGCAAAAAGTTGCCGAAGGCCATGACATGGATGATCGGTTGCCGTGTACCAGAGAACCTTTCACTTGCCCTCTGCGAGAGGTAAAGATCTCGAGCTCGTGCACTGATTCCATATCTGAAGCACAGGTCGTCGAGTAATAGATGAGTTTGACTGTCTGCTAACGCCAACATACGCGAATTGCTCAACCTGAGGTTTGGAAGGGCGCCATTGAGATTTGCCTACCGCACAATCTGTGCCAGGATCTCCGCTGGAAGTTCGAGGACGGTTGCCATCCTGAATAAACCCATACAAAGCCTGGAAAAAGGTCAATTGTACCTATGGGCGGACTGCTCTCTTGCTAAGAAGTTTATCCCTCTAAAACTTCATGGGCAGTGGGCTGTTTAGTAGCGACAGTTGATTACTCTACCAAAGCGCATGGCGCCATTGCCACATGCAGTAATTGTTGTTACTCTATGCTGGCATCCGATTACTATCGTAGCCATGATTGACCATTGCGCAACTTCATGTTAACGGAAAAGAGGCCCCCGATCTTCTTCATCTTAAGGTCCTCACCTCCTCGACGGCGCAGGTTCGAAAAACCGGCGACGGATGAATGATTCTCCGAATTAGCAGAAAGGTGACCGAGGCTGGTCAGCGAGGCGGAAATTTCATGCTTCGAAGATCCCTTGCTTGAACTTCCTAGCTTATGTTTCCCTGCTCTTCAGCTCACACTCGGACCTCTACATTCCAGAAGCTCACTGAACGTCGGATCATCCCTCAATCTGTCCGGCATCAAAGATCTTCAATGATTCTTCAGCAATTCTTCACGGCAGTAGCACAACGATCCGTCTCCCCAACCTGTGTTTCGCCGAACCATGTGTTTGCTCGGTGCCCGATGCCTTCCAACTACGAGAGACTCGATCTTGTTGATCCTTACAAATGCTGTTTCTTAAAATGAAGACAGCTCAGTTGATGGCGGGTATCTAGGCAATTTGCATGTTTCTGCTCCTACCATTTGACGAGCACAGGTTCAATCCTCCATCTTGGCCAGGCGGCCATGGCAATACAGAACACGATATCTCCGCATTTCATTAGGTTAAGCGAACCAAAACCACAAAGGACTTGACGCGCCCTTTGCAGTATAGCAAAGGCGAGAAGTGTGTACATGGTCACGCGCCCTGGCCCTCTGTATCCAACCAACTATTTCTATATGCCTTCCTTCTTGCTCTCCCAGTCTCTATTTTCCGCATTAATTTGCAGCGCAGGTTGCGATTCAATATCTGCTGCTTTGATTTACTAGATTTAGCTCCCCTGTTTCTTCGCAAAGATGCGGTGACTCAAGTCATTTACCTCTAGTCATCATAACTGCTCCTGTCCACGGCAGATATGCCTATCTTCCGGAACATGCAGAGATCCCGTACGGCCCCTACGTTATTTCCTCTGTTTCTGGGACGACGACGGTCGAGGCTCAACCGGTCTACTTCACTCGTTACATTCGAAGAAATACGATCATTGACCCTTTTACGAGATGGGCACTCTTTAACCGTCACAAGTGTCCCTTCAGTCGTTGTCATCCTCTCCTATATCACTACAGTTATAAGCCCAACCGCTGGAAACGCCCAGCAGCCCTCAGACGCAGGCATTACCTTCCCATCCCACCTATGGACATCATCGATCTACCCGAATACTGGACAGATGCTTAGCTCTTCAAGACAGGGCACCATATCTCCCACTAACTCTATACTACCACGGCCTTCGATCACAGCAACCGGATCTTCCTTCGCCTCGTCTGGATCCATATCAACAGCCAACTGTTCACTCCCACGGCCGGCGAAACGTCCTCTGGCGCAATAGAGGTTTCAACACTGACATATTCTTTTCAATCAACGAGCAATCCAACACCATTGAGCTCTACGTCCGAATCAATGAGTCCTATTCTAGAACATCCCCTCTGAGCATCACACAAGCTCCGCTGGTTATTGGTGACGGCATATCCTCCGAGAGCGTCACGTCTCTTTCCACTTCAAGCCCCATTGTTTTAGCCTTCAGCGATACCAACATCAGGAGACCAGAGCGTCGAAATCTTGATAAGCGGCAGGCTACCCCGCCATCTATGGGCACAGGTTCGCCTGTTGCGGTCGTGAACCTAGCCACTGTCCAATCCTCAGTTGACCGCAACCTCGATTGGGGGGCACGCAATTTCACAGGATAATTGCGACGACGCGACCCCGTTCATTCTAAATGATGGCTTACTCTTGACTGATGGATTGGCTGTCGGCAAACTCCCTGGATCAGTAGCCGCAGTACCCGGACCACTTCAAAATCTTCCTGACGATCAGGTGAAAAGAACATTCACAATTGTGGATGGGTATCTTCATGGGGACACAGATGATGTTGGCCCAGAACGGAATAGAGATGATAGCACGAGAACAGGCATGAGCACGAACGCGGATTTATTTAGTAGGTAGAAGGTCGAAGGTAGTGGTTTTATCTATTACTCTCTCTCCTGCGTACTCGATCCTACCTCCTCCCTCTTGCGTACTTCACCCCTCCCAGGTTCACCTAGGCGAAGTAACGACGAGTTCTCAGAATACTATGCCTCTGTGGACAGTGAATATGTTAGCGATCGTCCTATTACAGGAATGACACTCCTATTACAGGAACGTCTCCGGAGCGACAATCCTGCGGACCTATTGCCGTTCCTAAGCGGCGATCTCTGGTGGTATAACAATCTGGAATCGATGGTCAGTTTCAGGAGAACTCTTCTGTTCGCAGGCTAATCTGTATATTTAAACGACGAGGAACGCTCTCAGAGAGAAGATCGATAGACAGGAATAGACATGGAATCGTTGCCAACTGTTGACCTGTCGATAGTGCAACCCCGATTCTTGTAGCAATTAAGGTCACCTTCTATTGTAACAAGGCAAAGTGGCCGTGCTGTGATGGGCTGTGCTGGGCTGGTAGGGCGATGGCAGGGAGGAAAAGCTGTCTAGTCACATGTCAAACCAAAATGGGCTGGCAGAAAGGGGGTGCGGAACAGTTTACAGTGCTGGCAGAGTGCCATTCTTTACAGTTTTGAGAGAGTATCATGAATTCCATGGCTTTTTGGCGCCGTCTACCTAATTCCTGGGTGTTTTTATCAGTTCTATCCTGTTCCTCGATGCTGCCGCTGTGCTAGGTGTTCGTAGCCCTAGCCGCTGCCCCTCTGGGTGGTGTTGGTGGTGGTGTTGTCTTGTCAGTATCAGCCAGAAACGCGTTCTCGATTCCCGATCTGCTGGACAGGCCTCTGTGCGTTGTTGCACGTGCACGCCGAACCCTGAAGTGCTCTGTTATACTATAATAAGAGTTCGCTGCTCACAAAACTCCCTCACATTGCGAAGGCGGATTATCAAGGAAACAGACGTCAATCCCCTCGATTCGCCTTGGCTGGTGAGCTGGCGTGGCTGTTTTAGTTCTGAACAAAGAAAGAGCAAATGGAGCAAACTAGATAACACGGTTAGGGTTACGCCCAGAATACCTTGCACTGATGTCGCGGAGAGCAATTTCATTCGATATGCGAGGACATCGAGGATATTTGTCATTCGCTGCCATGGCGCTGGTGGGTAATCTCCAGGTTGAAGGTGAAATGGCAAAAGTACATCGCACCAGCGGTTATAAGCCACGGCTTGGTGAGGCCTAGAACCCTCATTAACATCCGCTTTCATCTCCCTTCCAACGTGCGCTGGGGAATTATCGTGAGTCCATGAGCTGTCCCGAAGGGAAAAGCGTCACAGAGAGGGTGCCGGCTTGAATCTGAAATGCTCTCAAGAATGCTGTCAACCCGGGTCAGTGATTTTTGGGTCATGATGGCCGACTGGTCCCCAGCTGCACGAGGCATGACTTTCACAAGGCATTGGCACGATGGCACTACGCATGTCTTTTTGATCCCTGAGCTCGTAGACTTTTGGGTGCAAATTTGCGCTTGTTCCTTGCGCTCTCTCTAGAATCGCACCTTCCTTTTGTCGAAGGACATGTCGGCCGCGAATGGCTTGCATTGGTAAATTTCCATCTTTTCCGTTGCTGAACACCCATTGGTACCACACAACTAAAGGCGCGCGAAGGGAAACGAACGTGTCAGCCCGATATGGGGAGAAGATGGTCGGAATATCGTGCCGTTGGAGAAGGCAGAAGTCCATGGCATTGGTGTCCCAGAGCCTATCAGATCCTGGGCATGTTCCGAGATCACTTGTAGGCTAGCAGAGGCAATGAAGAGTGCGCCCGACCCGTCTGCACTATTATGCAGCTAATCGTGTGTATTGAAAGGCAGTACCCGGTCCTGTCAGGAGGCCGGCTGGTTCCACAGTCCTCATCAGTTCCACTCGGAGCTAAGATCACACAGCTTCAGACCAAGCCCATCTGTTTTGGAGGCTAAGCACTATCCCTCTTAGACTAGTAGCTCCTCGGTATCCTTCAAGTCCTGCTTCCATCCATCTTTTCTCAGGTAGTAGCTCAAATCCATATCCTTCTTATCCCTCTGGGTGGTACCATTACCCATGAACCTAAAACGATTCGGTGAGCAATATTTGATGTCAAAATCTTCACCTCGCTGGGTGCTCATCATGTCCTTGAAATGCATGGGAGACCCAGCCCACATAGCTGTGACAGGGCCGTCAACCTTGTTATTCTTGTACCAGGAGCGGCATGGACTGGTGTAGACGGTCCGTTTGAGATACTCTTGTGTATAGACATTGAAGTCGTCGACGGATCCTTGCTTTGGTTCGATACTGTGGATTTGTTCACGAGCGATTTTGCGGATCCAATTGACGGCATACATCCCAGCCCACTCCATGGATGGAATGAGACTGCCATTTCCAACCGCTGTACGACATTAGCATTGAGTTGCGCGTTCATCGAGTCTAGACTCGTCTGGAACTTACGGGCATTAGGTCCCAAGATGAAAAAGAGATTGGGAAAGTTTTTGGCACAGACACTCAAGTATGACTGAGGGTCTTCGCTCCATTGCTCTTTCAGCAGTGCTCCATTTCGACCTTTGACCGGCCACTTTTTGGCCCATGAGGTGTCGAAACCGGTGGCACAAATGATGGCGTCCACTTTATGTTCGGCACCGTCGGAGTCAACCACCCCATCAGCGGTTATTGCCGTTGCTGAGTTGAAGATGGCATTCACGTTCGGCTTCTGTAGTGCCTCGAGATACCCGTCCCCGGGGCTGAGGCGACGACAGCCGAATGCCCATGTAGGGATTAACTTTTCTTGCATATCTTTGTTACCCTCCATTCGGCTGACCATGATTTGTCGAGATTGGGCCTGAAAGAACTCGTGCTCAGGTGTTCCGTACTGCAGGCCTCGATAGAGCTTGTTGAAGCCGTGCTCAATCTTTTTGCGATAAGCAAGCAGTTTGTCCGGGTCTTCAAATTCTTTCAATTCTTCTTCCGAGTACTGAAAATTACCCCCGTCCCTAGTGTGCTCAGCAGCGAAGTTGGGGCTAATCCACGTGGCAGAGCGGATGAAGGTTGTCATGTGCTTCACAATCGGTTGCAAGGATGGAACAATCTGGATCGCAGAAGACCCATTGCCAATGACAGCGACCGTCTTACCTGTGTAATCGTAGTTCTGGTCCCAAGCTGCTGAGTGGCACAGGTGGCCCTTGAATTTCTCCAAGCCAGGAATATCTGGCCAATGCCAGTCACTTTCCAGAATGTTAGCCACGGAACTGCTGTCATTGATGTTCTTACTTCAGGACGCCACTGGCGTTAATTACCACATCTGCATTGTCACGTTTGATATGGTCACCCATGTCAACCTCAACAACCCACTTTCCCTCGTCCTCGGTCCAAGTTGCACTCAATACCTTGGCATTGAACACAACATTTTTCTCGAGGTCGTACTCTTTGGCCACATTTTGGATATAGGAACGGATCTCGGGGCCTTTCACGTAATAGGAAGACCATTCTAGCAACCAACGATGTCAGCAAAGCTCGCATCCAGCAAGGCAATGACTTACTTGGGTTTGGCGCCCATGTAAATGTGTATATGTGCGCTGGAACATCGCACGCAACTCCTGGGTATTGATTCTCGAACCAAGTCCCGCCAGCTTCAGGATTCTTCTCGTAGATGACATGGTCGCAATATGTTTCCATCTTGTAGTCATGTTGTATCTACGTCCAGATATGAGCACGAGCCGTACTTGCCAACAGTGGGAACCTGACCTTGTGAGCAACCATTAGGCCCGAGAAGCCTGCACCGATGGTGATGACACGCATTTTGCGAGGCGTGTACATTGGAGACTCCATGATTGGAACCCAATTCGCTGGTTTTGGCAGCGAGTCTGCCGCCGATCCATATTGACCGTGGATCCACTCAAGAGGTGTGGGCAAGGCTCTAGCCGTTGAGCCGTTCATGGCGCAGGCTTCTTGAGCCGCCGAGTTATCATACATCTTCAGAGAAGTACTCTCAACAAGCTCTGGATAGTTACTGGTATGAGGGAGGATTGAGCGATGATAAAAGTTCCTGAAGGAATTGACGAAGGTGGATTTATAGCTCTTTTCAGAGCCTGATGTTTAAAGAGCCTTGTTTTGAGCAGTCTGCCTTCATCCACTCACATTACTACCTTACCTTCACGGCAGCATTCCGCATAGCAAGACAGCAGAATAATGAGAGGAGATCCTGTAATGAGAAGGCCTGCGGACTAGAACAGGGTCGCGTACGGGCTGGTAATGCCGGCTGGCCCTTCCTTGGCTTGAATTGTAGAGGAATTATCCCGCTGTCAAAATGCTACCTTGCAAGACTCTCCATATCGAAGACTGTTTAATCCTGTCACTGACGTAGTCCGTCAAGAAGTAGCGCGACAGGACACTCTAATGAGATACAGTAAAGAGAGCATATTGGCAAGGAAAGATACTGTCTCCACCAAAACTTGGGGGTGACTAGCCGCAAATGGTAATTGGCTTTGAGCTCCCAACCTGCGGGGTACCCAGGTCGAAGCACGTCTCTGGGGGATCCGAACGACCTCCGATTCCGCCATGCGGAATTAGGATGAGAATTGCATCTATTTAGATCGGTCTTCATTCTGCGGATTGAATACATATTTCTTCTGGGTGGCCGGTGAAGAATATTAATCTTTCTTGCATATACCCTCGATCTCCCTCCGTCGCATATCTTTCAGCATCTTCAGTATCCGACCATGTCAACAGTCTCTCCAGCTCAAGAGACGCTCAGACGCTCTATGCTGGGCCATGGAGCGTGGATGCTGCTGTCCAGCCTCGTGGGTGGCCTAGGACTCTGGTGCTACATTCTCGGCGGTTTCGAAGTCGTGCCAGGCTATATTATCAAATTTTCTCTTCCTGGAAGCGAGCCTGGCTGGGTTCGATGCCATACTGGACCAGTCGCGAATGCCCTGATGGTGATAGGCACAGCCCTTGCAATTCCACATCTTGACCTGTCAGATCCCCTCGCCGACAAGCTAGGCTGGATAGTCATGATGGATGGTTGGTCCAACGTGGGGTTTTATTTCTTTGGCAATCTTTCACCAAATCGAGGGCTGGCCTTTGGGCGCAGCCGTTTGGGCCCTTCCAACATCTTCTCAGTCCTCGCCCTCGGTCCGGCCTATTTCTTCGGTGTCCTGGCCATGGGCGCATTCGCGGTCCTCGGTTACCATGCCTTATACGCTCCACGAACCGCGAAACCAATCAGCAAGTCTCGCTGAAGGCATTCCTACCGATCATCTGACCGCGTAAGAGTTTCGGGTGGACTATATGGAAGAAGAGACTAAGAAAATTGTTGAACAGATTGGTTCTACTGTTGTACCAGCAACGGATCAACAGATTGCACGTATGTTCCTGTGTGTCCATGTTCTCTCTGGAAGCGTTGCTTGTCGTGTATGTTTACACGTTAGCCTGTAAACAAAAGATTTCTCCTGAGACTGACCATCGAATCCAGATTGTTATGCCACCAGAGATCGCCATTCCTACACGGCGATAGAAACGCAAGATTGTCACCCTGAGGACATTCCCGAAACAGGATCAACAGGGGGATCATCAACATCTACTACCAACGCTCAAGGAAGACGTATTCATTTCAGGAGCAGTGTTCTAGGGCGAAGTATTTACAGACATTAAATAGCCATCCATCCCAAAGGGATCATTCATAGTACAAACTAATGATCTTGCGAAAGTAATTCGTGGTGTCCATGTCTCCAGCAGATTGACTCTATAACGTTTGATAGCCATTTATGACCACTTAGGCCACCACTAAGGTCGTATCCCTCTACAATGAAACGCTCTCGTACGCCTTGACACTGGGCGGGTTTGACGCGGTGGGCTTCTGAGGGGGTTCCTTGACCTCCAAAATAGATGAGCTTGGTCTGAAACTAATGAGGACTGTGGATGTTGCTGCCTTACTTCAACGGCGGCCAAACTTGGGGTGTTATGTAGAAGATGAGGCTATCAAGGATTGAATTATTCTGTCTTCATAGGTTGCCCTGAGCTTTGTGCAACTATTCCGACGCAAGCAAGTCTTTTGCCGTTTGCAGAACGGGAGATGTAACAGGACACCAAACTTAGCACCAAAATAAATGGCTACCATTGGTCCGTGTAATCCTGTTAATTCTTATGTTGCTTTTGATCGGTCAGATTTACGCGATTAGTAAGCCACTTCTCCTTGCACTGCGTTATTATGCACAGGAGGCACTTCACAAGGATACGCAGAAGGGGCAGATTTAGTGGTGTTGTAAAGTCATTCAGACCATTGAGAGCATACAGATAGAATGGGATAACACTACGCTCTATGTACTGATACTATATCTCATCAGTGGGAGGCTGTCGACGTTTCAGAGCTCTGGCTATGCTGGGGAGTTCTTTCTTTACGTCGACGCGTCGTTTCAACCTATAGTAACAAACCTCTTACGGCAGAGCTACATAATATCGAGTTAATAGGCCCGTAGCTAGCTCGACTAGTCTAGCTCGAACACGAGGAGAGGAAATGTCAGCGGACGTGTCTTCCGAGCAGCTCGCTAATTAGCGCAAATGTTCGATTCACTGAGGACGCTACTGAACCCCTCAAGAAGTCGCGTAGCTGGAGGCAGATTGCCATTTCTCGCACCGACATGCATATCACACCAGCAGCAAGATTAAAAGTGGCTGAATAAGGACTAGAAGAACCATTTTGGTGAAATTGCTTATCAAGGCGACTTCGCGGATGTCGACTCTTTGGTAAAAGCAATCGCAAACCCGATCTTCCGATGACCTCCATAGAACCACCCAATGAAAGGAATTTCAACAGTCTACGCCGATGCACATCATGCTTTAAAGCCGACGCCTTCGGGCCGAGAGACACAAGCACTCCGATCGATCCCGATTATGCGAGGGCGGGTTCCTTGTCCTGGCAGTCTAACGCCTTGCAGGACGAGATGGCCATCTGCACGCGATAACTAGCTCTTCGTTTACTGTACCATTTCCCCACCCGAGATCTAAGAGTTAATGAACACAACTAAAAGGACCAAACTTAGTTATTGCCACAACCAGTTCTAGACTCAAGAGCATAGAAGGCGCGTCTCAAGACTCATCAAGACACCCAATCATCTCCCTTTCCCAGCCCTTTCTGCGCTCTTTCGAGTTTCTTACTGATGACTCTGCCTAGCCAGAGATCTTCGGTTCGGTCCAATCCCTCTTCAATGTCATAGGCTTCGCCTCCCATTACAAACAGTGCCCTGCCATTCAACCCGGCTTTGGAATTGTCCCAGTCAATACCTCCAACACTTCTTCGATGATTAGTCTCCGTATGTCCCTCGGCTTCATCATACCAGACCGCCCCAGTTCCAGGCCCGGCAGCCACCACACCGCAGATTATCTTAGCGATGTCTGCTGGGTCATTGACGGGGTTTCCGCCGGCCATCCACGCATCTTGAATGCCAGCAACCATTTGGGTAGTAGTCATGCTTGGACAGACAGCGTTGACGCGCACGCCGAAGGTGGTAGGCGTCCACAATCGGAGCGATCTCATTAAGCCAAGAATTCCATGTTTGGTGGCCTGGTAAACAAAAAGTCCTGGCGTCTCCTTGAAGCCGGCTTGGGAGCTCAACATGGTCAGAGAACGGTCTGTGTCGCCCCTGTTGCGAGCAAGATATTGCAGCGCGATGTGACTAAAGTACAACGTGCCTTTCAGGTTGACGTCAACCACTAGATCAGGTGGTGGATTCTGAAGAGATTCTATGCCATCCGGTTGGAACCAACCTGGTTGCTCGATCACTCCGGCGTTGGCCACGGCGTGATCGACACGACCGTACTTTTCGAAAGCAAATCGAAAAAGGGCAAGATTGTCTTCGTACTTAGTGACATCTGTATGAAAGTAGTCACCGACAGACGTCTTGGGTGGTACGATGTCACCAAACACCACTTTCGCTCCGTACGAATTCAAGAGAAGGACCGTTGCGGCTCCAATACCGGTTGATCCGCCGCTCAAAACGAAGACCTTGTCAAAAAGGGCGGCCAACGACAAGCTCGGATGGCCTGGATTGAATCGAGCCATCGTTACTTGCTGCCCGGAGTGAGTTGTTTTCGAGTTCTTCGTTCCTGATCAAATATAAAGTGCGGACAGAAATTGACGCGGTAGATATTTCCCAATTCCGCTGGGCTAAAAGATCGTAGCCTTAAACCGTATATTTCAACCCCTGGAGGATAGCACCAGGACTGTGGATACATGTTTAGCTTCTTCGGATGCCCTTAGCTTATCGGCTCTTCATTTCGGACATGAGCACGAATGTCGGAGACCCAAAACTTACGAATTTGATGCGGAGTTTAAGTTTGGGAGTCTGTTAGATTTAGGCAGATGGAGTACTCGGTACTAAATCAACACGGTAGTGATTTTGCTTTGTTTCTTACCAGAACAGCTGCTGGCTAGTGAGACATACACTCGTTCCAAGTTGAGACTTTCGGAGGTCTTGTCGCTTTCTGGCCGCTTCGGACAGCAACTTTCGGGAACGGACACCACGTCACTAAGACAGAAAGTCCCAAGGCAAGGAGCGAAGATTGACAGGAGTCCATTCAGATGTTTTAAGCAATACTGTTTTGAATCGCTTAGCATACGGGAAATCATGTGTATTGGCCGCTTTGGAATAGTTCCGTCAAGTGTAGTCACTAGCCACTTCCCTTCGTCTTCGTTCCATACTGCAGCGGAAACCCGCGTGCTAAAATATGTGTCTTTGCGCAAATCTCATTTGCCAGCGACGAAACGAAAGCAGGCCCGCAGCTCTACGGAGCCCGGGAATCTTCGACAGATTTCGGGGTCTGAGAACTCATAGCGAGGGATAGTACTGTTCACGTGTGCTCCAGGATAGCGATTCCCATATCGTACTCCTCCATATCCAGACGCAGAGTGAACCAATTATGGTTTATATACTTCCCAACGTAGCCTCCGCAGTTGATAGGGTCCAGCGAAGCTGCCACCAACAAGGAGGGCGTCAATCTCTTCGACAACCTCGTTTCAGGCACTTTTTGTTTAGTGGATTGCTGGCACCCATTGTGCCAGAGAGCGTAATAGTCAGACAACTCATGCAAGGGAAGATGTCGACAAAGAGGAAGGACAAAAGCTCGGATATTCAACTGGATGAGATCATACTGAAGCACTGGACACGAGCGATGATGAAGATTGATTTCTCGTTACGGAATTGTGGTTGCGATGTCCCGAACACGGCAAAGTGTTTTGCTTTCATCTCGAGGGAAACCACGGGGCACTGCACCTCCAACTATAACCCCTTGAAGAGGGTTGGACATGAAGCTGTCCTACCTGCCCAGTTGATCTTTTCGATATTGAGATTAATACGTACGGGCAACGGTTCCGAAAGAGTGGAGTCTTTTCGGGCATTTTGAGCATCGGAAAACAGCACAATAGGGTGCCCCAAATTTATCGGCTCTCCATAGCACTCGCTAGACGTTTTACGTGGCGCATCGGAAAGGACATTCCGACGTGTCTCTGTTGGCTGAGAATTTCATGGCAGACACGAGCCGAAGGTTATGCAATTCCAAGATCTCCGCTGCTCCGGCTGAACCTTGGCGGTTGATCTGGACCACAATCCTGGGATTAAGAGCGATAGTTAAGCTGTTCATCCCTTGGGCCCATCGCGTTCGGCTTCAGCAAGTTCCGATACGAACTGACAGCTCGTGCTCACGAGCTCAAAAGCTGTTCTACACAGTGGAGTGGAAGTTTGGATATTCTTATAAGGGTGAACACTGTAAAGGTTTGGAAAGAGCTCTGTAGCAAGCCAGCCAGCCTAGTGACAAGGAGGATAAGTCCAAGAAGAGGAAAGAAACAAGGAACGAACGGCGCTCCCGTAGATCGTACGTTGTCCTTCCCCATACAGTCCTTTATTGCATTCTCACCGGTTCGTACGTTAATCCTTACTTGGAGGCGTCAGGTGTAGTTGAAATTATATTTCAATTTAGTGTGTTCGATCGATAGGTGGCAAGATTAGCCCCCCGATATGCTGCATAGGAGTGCTTAGGGAGTGTTTAGTGATGCTCAGCTAAAGGATCAGTCAAAGCTCAGGTTAAAGCGGCCTTCGCTCACCCCTTAGGATCAAACCGTATCATAGCAATTAGGTCTTTCGTTCGCGAGTAATCTAGGTAGTGAGGCTAGTGAGGCAGCACTAGTACCTATGTACCACGCCTAGTCAAACAACCTGAACTGATCAGACCCGAGTCAGCTCAGCGAGTGAATGATGCCATGACTACTCCGATAGAGCACAGCATACCACCGCACAGCCGCAGTGAATACGAGTATATTCATTGCACGGACCCAACTACCTCGGTGCGGAGTACCCTGCCTCTAGTCGTGATATGAAAATGCCATCGTCGACAAGATTTGTTACAGCTCGTCTTTCCTCGTCTCCCCCCCATGTTCAACCTTTGCTTCACTATTTTTCTTCGGGGAGGAGGGCGATTCGCACACCGCTGCGGTCCCAACCTCCATGCGGTAGACGCACTTTTCGCTCTCGCTGACTTTCCAAATCTCCTCGTTTTCCGAACAGGCAAGAATGACCCTCGTGCTCCTGTGCGGTCCGTTCCAACAGTGCTGCCCGTTCTCGTATTTCATGACCAATCTCTCGCCCGTGCCCAGTCCCTTGCCATCGGTGGCTGACGGTTCATCGACATATTCCGTGTCAAACCCCACGAAATTGCCCATCCCGGTGTGAGCCCCTCCTTTCTTGGGCTTTTGCTTCGTCGAGGACATGAAGCACAGCTCGTATTCATACTCGCCGCTATCCTTGGAAATGCAGGTATCTTTCAACGCGCGGAAAATGCCTTCGGGACCATAGTCTTTCTCGAGATCCTCGCGGAACCGGTTGATGTCGTTTTCGGCATTGCGCACGTCCCGTTCGGCGTCGGAAAGCGTCTTTTTTGCGTCCTGCACGGCCTTTGACTCTTGCGCAGTGGCAGAGGAGTCACTGGACGTGTCGGCTAAGATACCATTTTCAACCAGGACCTTGCGGAACGAAGAAAGGGTCTCATCGAGCCATATGCGGAGCGATTGTGGTAAGTAAGCGCTGAATTGGTAGAGCGCCGCCACGTCTGACTCTGCCTCTGCGGATGAATCGTCCTCGAACTCGGCCCAATTAATCCCGTTTGTCTCACTGTCTTCCACAATCACGGCGTCGAGGTCGCGGTCCTCGGCCTCGGTCCATGTATCATCCGTGTCTCTCGCGGCGTAGTCTTCCCATCCGCGAACGGCGCGTTTCACCCCGTCATCGTTGAAGTTGGGGTTATGTTCGTCCTTGAGCGAGGCGAGAATGCCTTCTAACTCGGTGATCCGCGCGACCATGCTGTCTCTTTGGGACCTCGTCTTGTCTAAATGGCTCCTCAATTCGTCGATTCGGGATTTCGCCAGGCCGACAAGGACGCCCATCTTGCCGCCACCTTTCCCTCCAGCTTGTCCTCTTATGACTTTTAACTTCTCCCTCCTCTCAACCTCCTTCAGATTCTCCTCAGCCTCTTTGACGTTGATCTGAAACCCTTTCAATTTGATCTCCGCATCCTCGATCTTCATCTCGACTTCCTTCTTTAGCCGCGCGGCCTCCGCCGCGAGTTGGGATTTCCTCTTCAACGCCGCCCTGAGGCTCTTCTGGCGCGCCTCTTCAATTTTCCTATGCTCTTTGCCGATCTGTTGGCACCGATCTTCACACTTGATGCCCCCGACACTAGCCCACTCATCTGATCCGTCACAACATACGTCATAGTCGCATTTGCCATCGTTCACGCTCTCAAACCTCAGATATGCGGGGACGTGGCCTTTATTTTTGCAGTAGAACCCCGGTAACGCAGGCGTGCTGTTTATCGACACGCCGGCAGGTGCGTCTGGTCCCGGGTGGTATTGTGGAGGAGATAAGGGTGAGAGATAGGAGCATGCCGAGGTGCCCGGTTCATCTGAGCCGTCGGGGCAGTCGCAGAAGTCGTCATTGACGCGGGAGAAGGGGATGGAGATCGAGGGGTTTGAGATGCATGTGAAGGTATGTGGCGGCGAACCCTTGTAGAATTTTGCAACTATCGACCCCCACGCCCATTACTTAGCCATTTGGAACATCTGAGAGCCATAAATGAAAAAAAAAAGGACTCGGGAGGTTGCAGAAGATCGAGGGACATTTTCTTACATTCAGGACCGACGCCTCGGGGCCGTGACGACTCGGACGCCCTTGTTTCTGCTGCCCAAGACGGGGATACGAGCAAATAGGATAGTATGAGTAGTTCTGACCTCAGAATCATGTTGAGATTGTGAGAAGAGGGTCAGTCCACAGGCCGGGTCTGTACGGAGCACCTGTGTTGCGGTCTCTGTTTCAATATGAAAGTTGTCCGCAATTGAGATCGGGCCACCTTCCCCAGACAAGCAGCTCCTCAGGGGTTGATGCACGTCACAGCCTTGTGACGTAGACGTCTCCTTTCTTTCAGCCTCTTCGTTGCCATTGGCATATTAACAAAGGAATGGCTCAGTCGACCACATCTCTTAGGGGCAATGCAGATTCGTCCGCCAGTGCGTCAGCCATGTTCGGCTATGCGTGTCTGTCATGGTTCAGGAAATTGATGAAATAAACTCTGACTGTCGATAAAAGACAAATATTCCCCACAGAGGCACAATACAAGACGGCTTCCTGGACAAGAACTCTGCACCACTGGTTCGTGTTCAACTTGAAAATTCTATTATTTGGATATGCCAAGTTGAACAGAGCTACAGCCTGAGCTTCCGGTCAAATTGCAGTTGAGGGATCTACCGCCCCGTCTTGACCGTCCCAGTCCCATGGTTCCAAAATCGCACAATCAGAGGCCCTCAGAAATAGGTCCTCAGAAATTCCCATATAAGTTGGCTCTTCTTCTCCTCTGACCATTTCTACGCCAGATGCTTTCCACTCCATATCTCTTGTTCCATCATCTCTCATCTCCCATCTCAACTAACCACTATTGTCATTCCCTTGTCACTGTCGACCAGAGAACCACCGTCACCATCAAGACTTTTCTGTCCTCATAAACCTCCCTCGAAAACATGTACACCACCAATGATACTCCCCACAAAGCTGTTGAGGCTACCGCCCTCGCCAAAGCACTGATGCGAGTCGCCCGCTGTAACGCAGCCTTTATCGCCGATAGGACCCCCCACGGCATCAAGAGAAGTCACCAGATCGCCTTTGGATCGGAACAGAGCGAGTATGGCCATCTCGGCAATAACGACGAAGACCGGAAGCCTGAAAATGCCAGCCTCTGTGTGAGATTACGCCCATGCTTAAAACCGGAGCCAGCCCTACATACAGTTCTGACCAAGAAGACCGTCAGCTTCAACAACCAGGTTCGGCAGGTGCTGTTCTCTCAGGACGGTATGATCGGGGGTGAGGAGGCTTTCATGACCACTCATCTCTCTGGTGTCCCCAGCCTTAATTGGCGAATTTCATGGTTGGAGAAGACGATCCAGCTACGAGAAATGTGCTTAAGGAAGGCTAGGGACGGATGTATGCCTGCCTGCAGTATGCATTTACAGCATAGAGAGTCCTCGAAGAATATCCCCACTACTTGGGAGCAGGACACCAGTGACAGTGAGGATGAGACCAGCTCGATGACGAAGTTGCTCATAAACATGACATTAGCGTCAGGTGTCGACCGCGAGGGAGAGGTCGAGGTCCGCCATCTTCTCGTCGGCAACCTGTACGATCAAGCAGTCCAGGAAATCGAGGGTGTTGTCCAGCAGCGATTATCCATCCTGACGAGCGACCCGGTGCGCAGTGAAATCAAATTTCTCTCGGAGCGCACCAAGTGGAAACTTACTGAGCTACTGCAGCACTTGGGGGTTATATATCCTTATCACTGTCAGGCGGGGGTGCCGGACGCTCGTCGAGACCGAGATTGGGCTGAGGTGGACGCCAAAGCAGAGGCACTGTTTGCTTCGTGTGCGAGTCCGTGGGTGGTGGAGCAGCTGAGCGAAATTATACAGCAGTTCAAGAGGAAGCTTGATAGGAAGATAAGGTCAAGCGGTCATTGACGTCACACCATGGTCATGGTTGTCTTCTTTGAAAGGAAGGTGGACTCTTCTGGCAGGGCGGTCAGGTATTCATCCTGGGAGAGCTCGCAAGGGTCACGCCGCTGGCCGGGGTTGGTGACTGCGTATCTGTAGCCTTCGCACCGAGCAATACCAATTCTCTTCCTCTTGTCGCTCTCCTTGTCCAAGATTATCCAATAGTTCAGTTGCCGCTGTTCGAACCCATGGGAAACCAGTAGCAACAACTCAAATTCCTCCTTGAGAATGCGCTCATTGAGGGTTGGGTCGGAGAATGCTTCCCTGTCGAAAGCGATGCTCTCTTGATCCTCAATCTTTCGAAGGTCTCCAGTCGCAATTTTCAGAGTTGCCGAGAAGAATGCTGAAGGCTGGTCGCTGATAAGGTCGCAATTATCGTCGGGGAAGAGCTCGAGGGGGCCGTCCAAGACGAACCAGTAGTCGTGGAGCATGACTGCCTGGGTGGGTTTCATAAACCGGACTTTCACCAGGTAGCTAGTGATTTGAAGGTGTTGTCCGGGTTGAAGTTCCAAAAACTTGCTTGCAGAGCTCTGTGCGACACCATTCTGCCACATGCTAGTCAAGGTAATCGTGCTGCCATTACTATCAACCACGCTGAATGATGCGTGGACGTTGATCCCTGAGAAATCCGCTATGTAGTCCTGAGGATTGCTCCAAGTCATATCAACAACGCCGCGTGAGGAGAGCCACGACCACGTGGGAAATCCGGGGCGACGGGTAGTTCGCGGAGGACCTGGTGTCCTTGCAAAAGCGCGGTCCTGGCCAGCCCAAAAGAGCCCCAGCGCATATCCACTTTCGAGATCTGTCTGTCCATGTCGACGTTTCTTCGCCTCCAATGCGATGACTCCGCAGAGAGAATGTAGACTGCTCCTGCGCAGGACACCGCGAAATGCGTTGAGAAAGTCACTGTCGAGAGACAGGTCCCTGATGGTATATTCACGAACGTCCTCGGTAATTTCAAGATCGTGAGCATTCGTTCCTCTCAGCCGAAACAGCGTAGACCGCAATGCATGGATATCTAGTCGACAGTCATTGAATTTTGGTAGGCCTTCAACCAAAGTCTCATAAGCGGACGAAGTTTGACACACAAAATGCCATTGCTCCGAAGTAAAGAAAAGGCATCTGCGAGCCAGTAACGCCTCTTGATATGTCCAGCCTCGACTGCTCCACCTAGAGGCTTGTAATTGCTCGCGAAGATCAGAAATGTTCGTGACTAGAGTTGTGTCGCCAGTCCTTAGAGCAGGTTGAGGGATTCTGGGAGTTGAAACTCCTGGGAGTCCAGTATCCGAGTCATCTCCCAATGCAACGAGTACGAGGTCTGCATTGTTGTACACATAGTCCATCTTGTTGATGAGGCTTTCTTTTGAGATTGCATCGTCTTGATCAATACAAATTGCGTCGACCCATAGATAAGTGCCGCCGAGGTTGATGGTGGCGAAGATCGCATCTCGTATTGTCAGGGGGAGGGAATGTACTTCCAGAGGATAAGCTGTTTCATCTGCTCTTCTTATCGCTCCAGGTTGCACAGCGCCCCAGCAATAACTCAATGCGAAGTAGCTCATATCCGTCGAGCCGTCGACAAGGGTTGGTGGGTTAGTTCGGCAGTCGATGAGTCTTGTCTTGATAATTAAGGCAGGGTCCATTTTCTTGCAGCTTGGATGGCTTGACCGACACTGCTGTAGACTGCGGATGATATGATCGTATTCGATGATGCTTGGTTCAATATGCCGTGCATATGTAGTGCCGTCTGCAAAAGCCCAGGCGCCATTTGGGCCCTGGCCAGCTGGGAAGATGAGGTGTTCTGACAAGGGCCCTGGTCTCCATGTTTCAAAGGCTTGCACACTTGGGCCAGACCAATGCAGCTTTAGACACTTATGATAGGAACCACGAGATTCCCGGATCGGGGCATTACGAGAAGAACCCTTCTTCCTGCAGGATTGTGCCAGAAGATAGCCTTCGGCAACCTCATCAAACGGACATTGTGGTTTGTTGAGGAAGACAATCTGTGCCCAAAAGACACAGCAAGGACATGTCGAACCGAGCATCATTCGATCGAGCCTGCCAATGTCGGCAACTGCAGTCTCTTGTGAGCTCGGCTGAGCCTTCAGCCATTGGAAGATGGCATCAAAGTTGATGCGTTTGCACCGTCCGCAGAAGGCGCGATTTGGACTTTGCTCGGCGGAAGAATACCGGAAACGCTCGACAGAACGGAATCTTTCTTCCTTTTCCCTCTGCGAGTCGCGAATAGTGACATTTGTTGATTTGTCTGTCATGTTTCGAGAAAAGAGAGGATGGAGGGATGGGACGACAGTGACACATTAGATTCAGGCGAGGGAGATGTGGCGCTTTTAGTTTTTTGATGTTGAAGGGGCACAGCCTTGCACAGCCTCACACTTACACAGCCTCGCCGACCCACGTGATACCTACTCCCAAGACTCTTTGCCGCTGATCTTCACTATCGGTTTAACTCAACACTCAACGTCCTCTGTGTCTCGTCCCCAACTTCATACTTGCTTTTTCTGCCTGGGAGCACCCCATAACCAAGAACGTATCTCCCTGAACGCATCCTTCACGGCCTTTTTCACGATAGACATGGTAGCCCTTCGCGTGTTGGCTTTACGATACGCATGTGGAGCAGACCTCTCGTGAACCTTATGGTTGCGAAAGGGGTTATCTGGTGGACTGGAATGCCATAAGCAGCGACGGCGGGACCATGCGCGCGATTGTACACTTCTGGAGTACCACCAACGTTGTAGTTCGTGTTGCTGTGCTGGACTGGGTAGCCCGCATTGACCGGACACAACGGTGGGAATAATGAACACTTCACTGGCGGCCATAACTGGAGTCGGGTCAACGAAGGAGAGTGACAATCTAGAGCACAAGCACTTACTGTCTCCTCAGTTGGCCGAACTGTAGCTCACATCAACATTAGCCTATTTATTCTTCCCTATTTCTGCCCGCTTCTTGGATCAATTGTGAGGTGTGCCTTGAGAGGAGATTCCAACCATCACCGCCTTCGATCGAGTCAGGCATGCATGAAGGAAGGCAATAGCAAGGTTGAGGTAGCAGATTTTGTATCCCGAACACCGACAGTGAAATTGTCCCATTGGGATAAAGCTGTGAAGAGGATCGGGAAGGAACAAAGACTCGAGGAGATTGTTCAGCAGTGGATCAATTCAGCGCCGATGCCATCCAGCCCTCTTTCTTGATCACCTGATATGCCTTATGTACAATCGCGAGAGTGGAAGCAAGGAGTGCCTATTTTGGATCTCGCGCATCTCTTTCAACTCTTCGCGACTTCTAGCTCTCACTTGCCGCTTTTTGATAGCCTCTCAGCTTCCAACTCCCGCTCTGCTTGCTGGTAATACTTGGCTGTGTCCACACCGTGCTAGAACGCATCAGCTCGTCACATTCTTGCCCGTCCAATGACACTATACTCACCTGATTGTGGTTAACGAAATTTGCCCATGGTACCACATTTGCCATCAATGCTGAGTATCTGCTGTTTCGCGCCGCGACACCTTGCATGTATGGAGTGAGGTCCGACTTGCCATAAAGCGGCTCCCCCCTCTTCACTTTATCGACCATCTCCCTCATATCCATCTTGACTTCTCGCTCGTTTTCCGTCCAGCCGTAGAACCTCACTGTTATGCGATGGTCTTTGTTAGTCCAAGCTCAACCAGATTGACCTGCGTATTCGTCCTCGAGGCAAAACCTACAGCAACTCCTCTGGTATACCAATCCTGCGCCTGCTAATATACCAACGGCACAACCGAGTCTGAAGGCCATGGGAAAAGCACCTCTGCCCGCAAAAGAGGGAGCGTATCGTTCGGTCATGAGCATGAAAGCCGGAGCTACGGCTGCCATTCCGGCTCCGTATAGCCAATCTTCTTTCCTTGCATATCCAAATGCTCTTCTCCAGTGGCTGAAAGTTCGTTGCGTCAGTGACAGGTCATAAGGAGCTTCTAAACGTGTGATCAAGGAGGGACGTACGGATCTGTATCGATAATCTAGCGGAGATAGGTGTTAGCTTTCATTCTGTGTCTCGTTGTCGTTTGACTCACCGGGTAGTCTGTGTTCACCCGCTTGGGCGGGATGAAGACCTTTTGCTCATCAGCCATGGCTGTAGCGACAGTCCTCACTTTAGAGATGCTCCTCAGCATTGGATGTCGAGGTTCGACGAGCATGCGGAGCTTGAAGTGCCAAGGAGCTAGATCAAACAAGGGTTAGTTCAATTTCTTTCAAATGACGTAGTCACGACGCGTCCGAAACTCGCAGCGCGTAGAAGCGCGTTTTTCCACGGCTCCATTTGCTCAATCCAACTCACCACCAGACACCTCTTTGCAATACTGAATAAGACACTGCAACAACATGGCCGCTGATTCTCTCACTGCAGCAACCGTTGATAGCCTCCTCAACCTCGATAATTCTGACTATGAGGATTCCTCTAATCATAGACCACCGCGGCGAGATCGTGACGACAGCCCAACATCGAGCCCCCACGGCAAACGAAAAGCAATAGACGATCTCGATGCAAGCCTAGGGTTGGACGAAGAGGTCAAGGTCACTAAGAGAAGGAAACCGATTTCAAAACTCGACGAAGCAAGGCTCCTTTCTGCACCAGGAATCCCAAAGCTGCGCGCCGATGCACGCTCTGGGAAATTCTCTAAGAAGCTACGTCTCAAGGGAAAGGGACATGAATTTTCCGACGTAGCGCGGCTGTTGAATTACTATCAGTTGTGGTTGGACAATTTATACCCGCGAGCCAAGTTTGCCGACGGGCTGCAGTTGATCGAGAAAGTCGGGCACAGTCGACGCATGCAAGTTATGAGGAAAGAGTGGATTGATGAAGGGAAGCCAGGATATGTCAGAGATAGAGAGGCAAAGAAGACAGGTGAAAAAGAGAAGGAGGCAAATAAAGAGACAGATGATCTGTATGCTGGGGACCGGCCGGTTGAGAATGGAGTGGACCAGGAGGCTCCCAGCGCTGCCGTCGGCGCCGAAGACGACTCTTTGTTCGTTCCCGACCTACGCACCGGGGCGAATAATGGAAATGATGATGGTCTTCTTCCAGATGGTGACGAGCTCGATGCTCTATTAGCCGAGCAAGAGACTCGCATCACTATGCGCCCTGCATCTGCATCGAAAACCACAATAAACGACGATTCCGAAGGCGACGACGATCTTGACGCGTTATTGGCTGAGCAGGAAATGAAGCGTGCCCACCCTCTCCCCTCTACATCTGAGTCTGCACCGGCAAGTGCGCCCAAGCCAAAGCCCTCGCTTTTCGGCGGAGATGACAATGACGATGACGATGAAATGGACGATCTAGACGCCCTGCTTGCAGAGCAAGAAGCGCGCATTGAACCCGGCACAACACAGTCGAAACCGAGCAGCATACAACAACCGTTGACAGCGCAAAATGAAGAGTCCACTACTTTTATAGCAGATGACGAGGACATTATGGTCCAGGAAGACGACGAATTGGACGCGTTAATCGCCGAGCAAGAAGCACGCCAAGGTGTCACCGACGAAGCATCGGAACCGTCCTCGCCCACAGTTAGAGCTGCAACTCCTCGTCCCGCATCGGCTGTCGTCGAGGGAGCCGACGAAGCCGACGGTGCGGACATGTTCTCCTCATCGCCTGTGCGAGGTACGGCACCAATAGGTCCAAGCTCCTCTCAGGAACATGAGGAACAGGCATCCATTGATCCGAATTCAAGCCTCCTTGCGCCTCGAACGCAACTAACTATAGCATCCAAAAGCGAAAACGCGCATGTTGACGACATAGAAATATCCGAAACCGGCACCAGCGCTGGAGCAGAGAAGGATGAGTCCCAGGGTCTGGACGCTGGTGACATGTTTTCATCTTCGCCTGTGCAAAATGAATAATTGGACGGTTAGTCTGCCCCTGTCTGATATCGATGCCGCCATGATGGATGTTTGGAACGGGTACTATTTAGTTTAAATGGGAGACCTTTCTTTGTCGTCGAGGAAGGCATTATACGGTGCGGAGAACAGAGAAAAGAGATGCCAAACAGATGAGATTTGCTTTTCGTGTACGGATAATGAGTGCAACGCATGATAGATGCCCCAATTCCGAGCCCCCAGTCTTCGCCGGTAACTACTCCCAACACACCTCGATCACTGAATCGGTAAAAATGACCTTTCTTGATCTTCGACATCTCTCCGTCCCTGCAGTACAGCAATCGTGTAAGTGAAGTGATACCAGAAATGCCTCGTAGCAAAGGCTGTCTGGTGGCTTGCGTGTTTGATTTGATGATTTGGTGATGATGGATCAAAAGAAAGCACACCAGCCAATGTACATCCTACACAGGTTGCGGTAGTCAGTGGCCCTAGTGATCATCTCGTCGACATAGCCGCCCACACTCAGGGGCACCGACTCTCCAGGTAACATGCCCCTGACCTTGGCGCTGACGCCTTCAAGCACTTCGACAGGTGTGCTCGGCACGCCGGGGACGACCTTCTTCTTGCTTCGACCGGCCGAGTTGATGAAGTCCGTGGTGGGATCGTGCAGGAAGGTTTCGAGGATGGTCATGAGGGCGTCCTCGTTGGATCGCAGGAGCGTCAGTGTGATTTCGCAGCACTTCCTAAACGGTCCTTCGTAGCCGTACGCGCCCATGGCGTCAACCATGTTGTGCGTCAACCGGAACGGGACCATCTCGGGCTTTTCAAACGTGAGACCCTTGTCGAACAGACAATTGAAGTCCACGTGCAAAGTCCCACCATTGTCTTCTTCAAAGAGGATGTTCTCGCCGTGCCGGTCCCCAAGGCCCAAGACGTGGCCGACGATCGACATCACCGCAGCGGACCGTGTATATCTCAACCGCGCATTGAACCACGCGCTGGGATCGGGGAAACTCTCAACAAACCATTCGTGAAATACAGGTGGGAATTTCTTGAGGACTTTGGTCGTGAAAAATTTCGCCTTCTCGGGATCGCCCGAACAAGATTCATCCAACAAATTCCGAATCTCGACGTAATTCGGATGGATCGATTTATCCTTGTACAGCCTGAGAATGATATCTCGGAAAGTCTTGAGGTTGTCCACCCACTCAATCAGGCCGCATTCTTCGTTCATGGGGATAACGGCATAGGTGCGTATATAGAGTCTTCGTTTTGCGGCGTCGACGTCTCGCTTGAGAAACCGGTTGATCATGTTGTTGAATTCCATGAGGCGTTGGTCTTTACGGAGATCGTCTTTCGGTTTCGCGAGAACCGAATACATGTTGCCATCAGACCCACGGATAGTAAGTTTTCTGGGTCTCTGGAGAGAGGCCAAAACGAGAGCTTCGTCGACAAAAGAGCTGATGGTGATCGGTTCTTTGGCAAAAGGACGGAATGCTTTAAGCTGTGAGGGCTCGAAGCTTGTGGGCATGCTGGGAATGAGGCACGCTTGATTGGGGACGACCAGTTTTGAAGGGGCAATCTTATGGTTGAATCCCATTTCTCTGCCTAGGCTGATTTTCGTAACTTTGCCTTTGATTTCGTGTTCAGAGACGCGAAGGAGTTCTTTGACGAACTTTTGACCACTGTTGAACATGCTCCTGAGCTCGGCTGCGGATGAGTCCTTGCTGGATTTTTTTGCGACCTCGACGATTTTACTGACAATACCTAAACCTTTTGTAGCTCGCTCTTTCTGTTGCGATTCGACCACTGCCAACAAGGTCCACAATGCTTGCTGAGGGAACGTTCTCACAACCTTAACGACAATACTGGTGAGAATCTCACAGACGACTTTGTTGGGATGGCATATCCGAGCAACGACCTGTGGCAGAATAGTATAGAGCAAGACTGACTGTAAACGATCCGTATACTTCTTGATCTGATTGTTAGTTTCCTCAATGATTCGTTTTCGTTGTGCCGCAACCTTTGAGTGAAACTCGGCGCTACCTCGTCGGTCATCTCTCGGAAGGTCCATTCCATCTACCAGCTCAAACCAGAGTGTCAGGACTTTCGGCAGGGTTTGAAAGACGTATTTGCTTCCATTGAAAAGCGATCGTAGGTAGTTTTCGATAACATGTTTCGCGGTTTCCCCTGTCAGATATGTTTGACTCTCTTTCCCTGGAGGCATTGCTCTCTCTGAGTCAAGAACTTTGTTGTAATAACGGCCAAGGTGATACCAGCCTTGTTCGCCTTTGCTGAAGATTTCTGTCGCTTTCCTGAATGTCTTCCTGATGACTTCCGATTGGGTTTGACCGGCTTGAGCCAGCCATTTCCCGAGTAGAACATGTGCCTTCGCGGTGACTTCGTTTTGAGAGTGTCGCTGTTCCACCGTCATTGTCGTGAGGCCATTTTCAGCTACAAAATCATGGGCCACGAACGCCCCGGACTCAATGGCCCCTTCAAGGGTTTGAATAGCCTTCCGGTGATGCCCTTCCAACCACATTAGTTTCGCCTGTTCAATTGCTGCAGATTTGTCGCCTAGTACAGAAGCCTTGAGAACAGCATTGAAAGCTTGGGTGGTCGAACGTGCTTTGCGAGCCAGTCGTGCGCTCGAGAGCCATGCGGTTGCAACATCGTTTGAGCCAAACATGTCTGGCCTGAGGGACATTACGGCGCGGCGAATTCCCAATAGATACTGTTTGTCGCCAACGTTCGATCCCAGCACATCGAGACGTCCTCGTAGGGTGTCTAGAACGACAGCACGATCTTCCTTGGGGCTTGCCGCAATTAACTGAACATCACTGAGTACATGCAACCTCAGCAGCGTATCATGGCTGGCTTGAAATGAAGAGATGCTGTTGGGATTCAACTCGGAGGCGGTGTTCCGATACATCTCGGTAAGAAGCTGCGACACTCTCGCCGCATCTTTGTTATTAACGGCCAGCATTATTTCTGCAATCTGAGACGCAAAATCATGTCCACCCTCTGGAGGAATGTAGCTGGGTAGTAGATCCCAGCGGCTTGTTGCCCATGCGGCCTCGAGTGCATAAGGGGCCAGCAGAGTCGTAGAACTGCTGCTGCGGCTCTTGATGCCGTCAAAATGATGGAGGAGGGCGTCATACTGCCCGGATTCCTTGAGGCAAGCCATCAAGTTCTTCTGTGCATCACTATCGTCTGGAGAAGCGACGAGTTGCATCTCATACCAGCTTTGAGCAGCAGTCCATCGACCTGCCTTCTTGTGCTCCAAGACTTGCTGTTCAATGTCGAGCACATGCATGCGAGAAGAAATGCCCTCAATACCGTCAGGTTCATCGATCTGAGCATAGATGTCTTGCAGTCTTTGGAGCTCGGCTTCAATGTCGTCCTTCTTGCATTTGCGGATATGCTGTTCCCAATGAAACAGCGCCCGTGAGTAGGATCTGCATTCCAAGGCTCGTCGAGCTAGCATGTCAGGGGGAATCTGTTCTAGCACCCGATCGATACTGCGTATTTGGTCCGCAGCTTTGACCAAAAGCAGATCATTAAGTCCACGATCTGATTTGGCCAGAGCCATGGCATACTGTTTGCGCTTCTGTTGTTGCCAGGTAGATATGTAGTCAAGGATTTCAAACACTGTCTGGCTGCATAACTTGATGTCATCCTGCACTCGTCGGTCATAGTCGTCGAGCGACTGGCTGAGAATTGAATTGACCTCGGTTATGATATCTTGACTGTCCTGCTCAATGCCGCTCACTATGAGATTGACCACAGCATACGGCAGAAGGAAAGTTGGAATGGAAGCATCTTGACCATGGATGATGCGGCAACATATGGAGAAGATAATTTCGACATTGTCTCCCGTACTTCTGTGAAGGAAGTCCAATGTAATAGTTCGAAGCCAGTCGCGATGCTTCATACCCGGCGTAAAAAGAGGATAATGACTCTTTTCAGGAGCCCGAACTTCCTGCACCGTATACTTGGAGCTCATGAACGGCGTCAATACGTTCTGGGTAGATTCAGGCAGCTGATTCCACAAGCTTGTCGCCAGATTTCCGGCTTGGTTCGAGGAAGTGTCCTGCCTGCAAGAGTTCAAGAACTGCTGCATCGCCCAACCAAGGAAGCCTTGAGCTCTAGTTGTGTTCGCAGACAGGAAGGCTTTGACCAGGACGTGCTGCAGGAAGAAGAAAATCCACTCAATGACCTCGTCTGCACTTACGAAATTTGCCAACACGACCATTGTCTTGCGATCTCTCAGGCTTTCGATCTTGCTAGCATCCATGCATCCTATACTGCCCAGGCATTGCCCGCACAGCCTTGAGACCTCATTGCTTGTGTTGAACTTCACGCAACAATCAAGCAATGCACGAGTCAAATCGGCAACAAGCTCATCTGGTTGTTCCCTGAGGATAGATCGTTGGAGGAGATCCTGTTTCTGATGCAAAAGTGGTGCTAGCTCAACCAAAGCTTGTTCGACGACGGCAATATTCTCATCTTGTAGTCTCTGGACGTAGGCAATGAGTTGATGACGCTCGTCCATCTGGCCCTTCAGAGCCATGATTTCAGACTCGAACTTGCTCATAGCCGGGATTGAAGCTAGTGATGGCATTGTGCTAAATTGATCTCGCACGATGTCTGTATGGTGTTTGAGCAGATCACCAATGAGGTCATGTGCTAAACTCTGGGATGGGCTGTCAAGTGCATCCCAGGTTCGGACAATAATTGCCAGAGTCTGATCAATAAGAGGTTTCAAGTCGTCTCTTTTCAGTGATTTAGTCATGGCAGCCCAGGAGGTAAAGGCAGCATCGCAGAGTTCGGGGACAGCCAACCCAGATCGGAGACAAGCACAAATCTGAGGAAGAGCTCGCACAATCCGGGTTCTGCCGAGCCTTACCACCTCACCAAGTGCAGCAAGGCATCGCCTTTTGTCGACTTTGGATTCCTTTGCCTCCAAATCATTCAAGAGGACAGTGAAGTGGGTGACGATTGCAAGAACATTATTCTCCAAGAAGGTTCCCATGCTATCACTGCGTCTCGTGCCAGTTGATTGTCCACGCTGGCGAGCTACTAATTGCGCTAATAGTTGCAGAGCTTGATAAATCCTAGAAGATTTGCCTTGACCACTGTCTCCGATGGCTTTTAGAAGTTCGCAGGTGATGTGGATCGGGTCCAAGGCCACCCAATCCGCAAGATCAGTCTTACCAAAGTCTGCAGATACTTCTGACAAGATTGAGATGATGGATTGTTCCGCTTCAGGAAATGGCTGAACAAGCAGGAACGACAGGATGGCAATGAGATTCTGTCTCTGTGTACACAGGTCGAAGAGAGTAGTGGATTGGCCATTGACCTCAGCGAATTTCTTCATGACATCCTTTGCTTTGTGCAGGACCAGATATGGAAGTGCGAATTCGGCAGCGTGCCCCATCAAACCTGTAATGTCCATACCCAGTAAGTCAGACAATTGATGTGCAATATTGGGTCGAGACATCAGAGACTTGGCGAAGACCACACCGAGTGTCCGCCAAAATGGCCGAAAGAGGAGCCACACTGAGACCTGCAGGGATTGGGCGAGATGCTGAATCTCAGCATATACCAAACCACTGAGATACGGATTTGTGTGGCCAAGGTACTCCACGAGTCGGACCAGAATGATATTTAGTTCTTCGTCCCCAACAACTTTAGCTACCTGTGTCAGAGCCAGGACTGCAGTCTCCTGCAGGGAAGCATCTTCTTTCTGCCATAAACTGTCGAGATAGTCCAAAGCTGTGATTCTGTTTTCCCTCGTAAGAGATAAGTCGTGATGCTTTTTTCTCATCACGTAGGCTTGCAAAGTTCTGCCTGCGACGATTCTGAGGTCTCTGGAGGAGCTCTTGAGAGATTGGAGGCACCAGTCGCCAGCGGGTGTTTGGCCAAGCTTCAAGTCTTCAGTCGAGTCTGTATGCATGATGATTCGACGAAGAGAAGACATAGCAATTATTCTTGCTCGAGAACGACGAGAGATGCTCTGAACAAGGGAAACCAAAGTCTTAAGAAGTTCTCGGTTCGAAGGGGGAGATTCATCGGGACCTGTACTCGCTGTTTCGAAATCCTCATCACACTTCGGACAATGGCGATCCAGAGAAGACGCAGCAAGCTGGCACGTGGTCAGACCAATCAATTCAAGTGCGTTGCATTGCTTCTCTTCCGACAAGCGTCTGAAGTTCTCAGACGATGTTTGATCCAGTCCATCAAGGTCGGGAACAGCGCAACCAGTCAACTCTGCTGTTAGTCTGCGGCAAATTTTCTGTTGCAAGTTATCATTTATCAGCCCATCCTCGTCATTGGTGGACAGCCGCAATCTCTTCCGTGCTCGATCGGTATCAGGCCAAACCTCGTACAGGCCTTTAGACAGCTTTCCTGGCGGCGCAGGAGGTGTGATGCTCAAGATGCGAATTTCGTGGCTGAGATTCTGGGAAGTGGTAAGCAGTGGTAGGCCGATATGTGCCACGAATTTACCTCGGAGTGATCGTTCCCTATTAAAAGGCTCTCATTTTCGTCGGCAAAAAGTCGGAATCGTGAGAAGACTTTGCGAAACTGAGCTTTGCCCTGTTCCGATTCAGACTGTCTGGAGACCACCTTCAAAACATGGGCCAAGCCGAGGAGCAGGTGTTGCAAGGAGGGAAATTTGAGGCTCGGAACATTGACATCAAGACCATATGTGATTTTGGAAATGGTTAAAGCGAAGTCCTCTCCATCGATGACTATGGCCTTGTGCGGCTGAGCGCTTGGTAGCGACTCGACAACGCCAAGGACGCCTAGTTGAGGTCAGTGCTGTTCTGACTAGAATTCAATGATGTTGACTGGCTGACCTGATACGCAATTCCTTAAGAAATCAAGAACGATATCAGACGAGTATGTGGTTGTGCATTTTCTGTCAGCTTCCACCATAGAACTGAACAGCTCGAGAACAACATCCCTGACCACATTTGCCTGGGCGGAAGCGACCAACGGCAGAAGTGTCGGGATCAGCCAGGAGTATAGAGGACAGCCATTCCCACCTGTGGTCCTGATTTGGGGGTCTGACTTCACAAAGATAACCTGAGGTGATCTTTCAATTGCGACTTGAAGAACTTCAAGGCAAGTTTTGAATTGAGAATCCGCCCTACCTGTCGCGGTTGCGGAGCGGAAAGGATCTTCTTCAAGGACGCGCTCGATGCCAATTTGAAAGACGATACAGATTAGCTTGTGATTGACGGAGACATCGGCACCCAGATTCGGTTGGCCTTGTTCATCGGAACCTAGTGCTTCGGCCAACAGCTGATTGAAATTGTCTTGATCAAAATCAGACACTCCGTTTCCGTGTACAACATGTGTAGCCAGTATAGAGGATGGCGGAGGCTCGAAGCCATTGATTTGGCGTGCAGCAGGCACTGGGGCCATGAGCTCTCATACAAGCATGTCGGATTTGCAGGGAACAAATCAAGGACGCGTCGATGAAGGAAAAAAGATGTGGCGACAGGAATGGCATGTTACGCGTTAGACGATATGCATCACCGTGGAAACTGCCATTCGCGCTGACAGAGACTACCGTATTCCTTGGCACGGAATTTCAGTAAATCCGGCGTCGCCGGAGAGTCATGGCTGCCTGTCTGTCCCCACTGTGATCTGTGTCTTCTATTCAAAATATCTCTTCTATTTTCTCGTCTTCATCCAGCTCCTCGATCTTTGGAGCCTCCTCCTCATCTCGCATCAGCACCTGTACTAGGCGGTCACATGCTTCCCTCACGCCCTCGTCCGCGACCTGCATATGCGTCTCCCTAATCAAGGGATAAACCTGCACCTTCCTCAACTTGTCACGCCCTTCCTTCGTTGTGGTCAGCAGTAACAAAGTTTCGAGATGGGTTACAAGGATATCGTTGTCGCTATCTCTAGCCTTGTCTGGCGGCAGTAGCTGCAAATCTGGGAGCATATTGGCCGACTCCTCTTCTGAGAATTCTTCAGATCCAGCCAGCGGTAGGAGGATATACGGCAGTATGTTGACGCCAGGGACCCCATCAATGGTTTCGGTGTCGTCAGACAGAAGTAAAGGATGTTTGTCAACTTCAAAAGCAACATTCTTGATTGTGCTGGCGACTCCTCTCCTCCGAACGTGGCTTTTGTGCTCCGTGAAGACCGTTAATTTGCTTATCGGCACCACGACATCATAATCCCTCCTGCTCAGGAAATAGTCCCGACCAACTTTATGTTTTGATAAGTCTGCTAAAAAGTAAGCCAGATAGTCGAAGTTGGCGTGCTTATTAAGGGTTCCGTTGGCCCCTTTTACAAAGCAGTCGAGCAGCTGGTCGAGGGCATATGGAGACGTAGATACTGTTTTGGCAGGCAAGGCTCGCTCAAGGTTAATCAGTTTTTCCATGTGGTCCGATTTCGCCAGATTTGAGAGAAGCATAGCAATTTCATCGGCGGTTTGCTCTTTCGGATCCTTCAAGATTCAGTGAGCTTTTCATGATACTGCGGGGATGGGGTCGAGGAAGTGGAGGTGGATTCCAACCTACATACTGTTATCTTCTTGAGCAGGGTTTCAACAAAAGCATCATCTGCCGCGAGGTTCTCGAAGATTTCACTGTCATGACTGATGTTGATTAAAATTGTAAGAGCATTCTTGGCTATGGGCTGGAAACGGAAGCATGGGCCTGCGTCAGCACAGCGTACTTGATCTCATGTCCAGGATCGCACTCACAGGGTAGTCTCTAACGAGAAGTTTCAAGTCTTGGACTGGGACAAGCTGAGGCTTCTTGAAGACTGTCGGATCTGAGGAGTGACCGACAAGATGGTCACAGGCTGATTGAAGAGGACTCGGTCAATGCCACCGTTCACACAACCACTTCCGCATATCGACGAATCCCGGAAACTTCAAGTCAAGACTTGGAACGAACAGGTTGTGCTTACCAAGTTGACGGATTTGAGTATTTCCATGATGTAGAAACTCAAGCAACTGGGACAATTCAGCCATGATCGCCACGGCGTCCATCAGAACTGACTCACCTCTTCCAACTCGGTGGGCATGACGCGCTTCTTTCATGAGAGGCGTAGATTACCGGAAATAGGGGGATTCCACACCTCGTTGCTAGGACACTGTCGAGGGTGAATTTTTGATAAGAGTCCGAAACAGGCCTAGTTTTCAAATGACACTAATGACACGAATGACGGTGGATTTCTGTCTGGGCAACACCAACCACCTCAAGCCACATCCACCACCATCAGCACCATGCAAATTCTTCCTCTCTTGTCAACGCTTGACGCCCACCAAGCCCACCTCGGCCACCTTCGCCCCTCACCTCGACAGCACAACAGAGTTCAGCTCCAGGCGAACCATCAATCATCAATGCGAACCACCTCGCCTCCGTGACCACTTAGCACACGGCCCTTCCTGCATGAATTGTACAAAGATGCATATGCAAGCGCCCGATGCCTTTGGGCCTTTAATAGCCTTTTGTCACCCTCTTCCCTTCCCTTGTCGCAAAATCATTCCCATCGAATTTCTTCCATCATGTTTGGGGCGGGAAGTGCAAACTTAACTCGCCAAACAGGCGACCACAACATTGACTCCGCGTGACCCTCACATCAACCCAATTCAAAAAGGTAGCCTTTCTTCCTCAGGCTGACATTCTTCTTTCCATGTCCTTTCTGCCACCACGGCTCTGCGCGAGCCTCGCTTCCTAAAGCGAGACATTCACGCCGATTCGCGCCTAGCTCCTAGCATTCTGATTCGGGCTTGCGCTTGTCACCAACGCCCTTCAGCTCTGGAGTGGAGAGTCTCTACTTCCACGATAGGATCCATGTTGCCATCTTATATTTTATGTATCTGAACACTTGATCAAACCCAAGGCTACGAATACTTTCAAACTTCTCATTTGCCGGTGCAGCAGCGATGGCCGCCACTATTCTGGATCCCGACTTGATGCCACCTCCACCAGGGCCGACAACGATTCGACAAGCTATCGAGGACCTGCAAGTAACCCTCAATCAAATCCGCCGCAAACTTCGCACCTTGATCGACTGGTACATTACCCCGGATGTTGTGCCCAACTCGATCCAAGCCTACGACCCACGACTTCAAATCTTACAATTGCGACTGAAATCCCTCTCGACCATCGACTTCCAGTGCCTACCCTACTTGATCGACGGTTCCGACGATCTGGCCTCACAATATCTGAACCAAATTGTGGAGCAGCTACTCTCTTCCGTACGCGGAATCCAGAAGATCTTCGTGGAACACTATGATCGGGACCTCCAGGAGCGTCGCCCTTTCGGCACCATTTGGGATACTCTGATTTATAGACAGGACCAGATCAAGCAACTGCCTGTCATATGTCCTAGCATCCCGCGGCGCGCTGCCCCAGAAGATCTCCGGCCGGCGGAACTGGGCAATTTCTGTCCCGGGGCTCTAGGGATCAGCAACCACCGCGACAGAGGCCGAATCTCGTTCGTGGAGACGAAAGAGCTCAACGATGAAAACAAGCGCAAGCTAAAGGCCTTCGGGGGGGCATTTTTAAACTGGCAATGCTCCGAGTGTGCGTGCAAAGTGCGCTACCACGTCGCCACCAGCACGACATCCAGCATCCACAGCACAGACGAGGTCCGCGACCACCCCGGTCTGGACATCCAATACCGCAGCTCCTTCCTGGCCAAGTGCCATCTATACCTCCCACCGTCGGGGAAGACACCCAGCTCAACCAGCACCGCTTTGTCGACCAACAACCGACACGACAGCTCCGGCTTGGTCAAGTACGGCTGTGTGTTCTGCTTTGCGGCTGGCCACGAGCTCGAGCGTGGGTTGACCGCCTTCGCCACGGTGCGCGAGTTCGCGGAGCACATCGCCTACGAGCATAGGAAGCCACTGCCGCCAAGTTTGCTGATTCATCGCTTCGCTGTTGCTGTCGAGGGGAAGACCGTCATTGGGGGTCGCTGGGACTTGAACTTTTTGTAATGTCAGATGATTCTATTATTATGCTTTATCAAAGAAACCGAAATAGGGTATATTCCCTTTTCCTTTTGGCACACGGCTTGCATGCAACTGGTATGATGACTGAACGATTTGCGGCACAACGGATCACAATGGATGATGCTGATGCTGATGTTGCAAGTGACGCATCAGCTCGAAGAGGCAGAATGCCAGCTCTGTAACGATGTGCACAACCATGTAATTTTATGTCTAGGGTACTTCAAGCTTTACACGGGTGCTTTCTCTCCCCTCTATTTATCTTCCTCTGTTTCTCTCCCATACGTCCTCTGGGAAGGGAAACCGAAGCAGAGCGAAGCCATCAGGATCCTGCGCTGCCCTGCCACGCGCTATACTGCCCGCCCGCGACCCAGCGCTGCCTGACTGACACCCCCTCCAGAAAAAGAAAAGGACACAGCCTAAGAGATCAAAGTGAGAACAGTTCATAAAACCCACTTCTCCCCCCCCTGCCCTGGGCCGGGCTCGAGCCCATAGATCCACCCATTGATTGCACCGCCCTAAGCCGCGCGATCTTCCCAGCGCCGTCCGTCGCCTTGCTTGAGTATGCATGCATGTATGCATGTATGGAATATACAAATGCACAGTCACCCTCCACACACATATATGGATATATGCAATCCGTCATGGTATGGTATGTAGATAAATAACAACCCCGCCTGCTTGAGATGGTCATGAGTTGAGCACTCCAAAAAAAAGGAAAAGAAATAAGACAAAGGAAGAAATATATATCCACAAGAATCGAAACCCAACAAATCTTTTGTGATCCCGTTCGTGGAGGAGGCATACATAGAGAGAGAAGAAAGGGGAAAAAACAAGTCACACGCTCTCCACGACCAAGCCGACACTAACGCCAGGCCGATGGCCCCTCTCGGCCTGTACGACGACGGGACTGTAGCTCTTCTTCTCGAGGATCTCCCACTTGCGCGCCTCCTTGATGAGCTGCTTCTCCGACTCTCTGCTCCAGAGGAACTTGCCAAATGTACCTCCAGACGGCTGCGTCTTGGTGACTTTAAGGGTATTGGTGGTCGTAGTTGTGGTGGCCTTGTTGCCTCCTCCTCCGCCGATGAGGTCCTTGGAGGCGCGGCGCGTGGACGATGCGGTGCGTTTGTGCCTGTGGCCGCCCCTGCTGCCGCCTAGGAACGAGCGTTGTGATTTGTTTGATTTCTGCGACGTGCTTGACGGGTTGCGCGCGTGTCGCTGTGGTTGAGCGGCAAGCTGGAGATGGGATTGTGATGATGAGGTTTGAGCCTGGGGTTTTGTTTGCGCCTGTGTCTGTGCCTGCGCTTGAGCTTGAGCTTGAGCTTCGGCGCGGCGGGCAGCGAGCTTCGGTCCAGGGACGAGTATGCGAGCGGACTGCTTGCGGGAGAGCGAGACGGTGCGCGCCACCGCGACTTCGGCAGTTACCGGATTTGAAGCCACCGGGTTGGGTTGTCGAGGCGGAATGGGCTTTTCCAGGCCGCGCAGAGAAGCCTTGTGGACTACATCGTGAGAGTGAGCGCGAGGCTGGAGCGACGACGGCAGCGTCGCGGATCGTTCTTTTGATACTCGCGGCGACGCCCCCGAGCGTAGGACCAGGTCTTCCGTGTTGGCGCGCATCGGTCTGGTAGGCGTCACGCCTGACCGTTGCTCGATGGCCGTCACGGTGCTCTTCGCAGCGTATTTTGACAGCGGGATGAACTTTGCGTCCTTTTTCGGGACCGGAGGCGGCTTGTCGTCCTCCACTGGTGATGGTATCTGCTTCGCGGTTCTCTTCGGACTAGGAGGGCCTTGAGGAATTGTGGGCGAGTCGTCGATGGGACGATCAACGCGCTTGATTGCGGCCACGCGAGGAGTCACGCCTTTGGCGGCCGCCGCCTGTGGTGGTTGCTGCACCGGCGAGGAGGTCGCAGGAGCTTTCACGGGCGACGCATTCGGTCGGGGAGAGTCGTCTTCTTTCACTTCGACCACTGGAGAAGGAATCAGGCGGCCGACTTCTTCGTGCGTCTTGCTAGTGGCTAATCGCGCATGGTGATCGGACGGGCGTGAATGTTGAACGGTCACGATAGGAGTCGGCTGATGTGGTTTCTCGTCATGACTCGCTATCATAACAGTTGGAATGCTAGGAACCTTCTCGATGGCAGAATCGGCATTGCCGGTTGGTGTGGTGAGTCTCTCCACTGCAGCGATTGCTTCGTCGAAGTAGGCCGTGTTGATCGAGGTGTGCTTCGTTGTCCATGCAGACGGGGCGCCGCTAGATGCTGCCGGCGGCTCCGGTGGGATCGGCGTGGTTCGCTCAGGGGCCTCATCTGCTGCCGCTGCTGAGGCTTCCATATGCCGCAGGTGGCTGGGGGCAGGGACTCGTTTGGACCGCGTTCGAGCCAGTTCTACCTGGGCCGAGTCGGGTCTGGTCATGACGAACTGGCCATCCTCGACGCCTTTGGAATCCCGAAATGACTTGATATCAAAGAAGATTTCGTCAACAGTGGTTGCAGAAGATACTGATGACTGGAAGGAGTGAGCAGAGCTCCAAGGCGCGCTGCGATCCGTCGACGCCGTATTATCCTCCGGGCTGTGAATCGCCTGCTCGTTCAAAGCGATCCTGTTCGGATTGAGAGGTTCTGGCCTCTGTACGGAGAAGTGGTCTTGCATAGGAGACAGGCGGGCCGGGGACGTAGCTGACCTTCGTAGTTGGCCCGTTGGCAGTTGGTCATGATCCGAGCTCGGTACTCGGCCATGGATCTTCACTGGCGCAGGTGAAGTGGTTGGGAACAACGAATATTTGCTTGCTGCTGGTGATCTCGTCATGGTCGGCGTCGTTAATCGTCTCGGTGGCATTAGGGGCGTGAGAGGCTCCGAGTCAGGATTTGGATGGTCGTCATGTTCGCCGTTGGTGGTAGTCCCTTTCGTCGTAGGCCGACTGTCATCGAAGGATTTAAGACTGTCCAGAGCCTTGCTCCGTCTGGCGAGAAGTGAGGAAGACCGTTTAGCAGCGGGAAGATTAAACGGGATGTCTAGTTCGAGTTTTGGTAAAGGCGGACGTGTGTACGGTTCTCCCGTGGACTCAGCATTGGTCGTGGTTGCAGTCGAAGGTCTCGATATCGTGTCGTCTTCAGGCTTTTGAATAACCAAGTCCGCGGTCTTCAGAGCCGAAGACTTCTGATCCTTTTCGATGGGTGCTAGTGATGCTTGACGCCTGGGATAGTCCGGCTGCGTCGATCGCAGTTTATCCTCTTCAACTATGGGCGTCTCAGTCGCCGGATCTTTGTCCAGAACCACGAAGCCGGTTGGGAGGCCGATAGTCGGTCCTGACGGGACCTCATCTCGTCTAACAGCAGCTTGTCGGGATTTGAACAGAGTCCCTAACTTCCTCCATCTCTTAGAGTGCATCTGAGCTGTGTGGTCTGGGATCTCCGGGTGCTGTCGGAGAATCGTGTTGTGCTCGATCGTGCTGGGTTCCTCCGGAGGAGCGCAGAAAAAAGCGGGAGGATGGCTTGGACTGCCAAACGCCAAACCTATCAAGCTGTCCTCCGATCTCGATACGCCGTTCACGTTCTGGAGAGGCGAGGGCTTGTGATTCTCCGAAGTCCGTGGTCGGATTGCTGGAACCTCAACACGCAGTTTCCTCTTCCCTGTTGGGCTACCGGAGGTCGTTGGACGAATCTGAACCAGCCTGGGCCCGACGATCCTGCCTGAAGCACTCTGGCCAGCTGAAGGCGATTCCCCAAAGGCAAAATCAAATTCCTGCTGCTTCGCAGTCGGTTCAGCAGTCCGCTCGTTGTGAAGAAGAGGATTCCGTTTGCGAATGGACAACCACCTCGTCGGCATGTTCAAAGTTCCGGACCAGCCAGCAGGGAAAAGGAAACCGATTAAAACAGGGACAAATGAGTGACAGGAAAAAGAGTGCTGATAAGCGGGTGACCTTGCAACTCGGCTCAGCAAAGTTTGGGGATCGAAGGCACCATGAAACAGTTACAAGGTGAGCATTGTGACACGGCCGGGTGTCTTTCTCGCCTGCAACTCTGGGTTCACCAAGGATATCGAAGTTATGTCAACGCTGGGGGCGGTAGTGGGATGTTAGAAGAGCCAGAAACAAAATCCGACGCACGAACTGCAACAAAAAATATCAACAACCAACCATCATACCACTATTCACCCCAGCGAGAAGAGAAAGGACTAGAGCATTGGCGAAAAAAGCCCGTCCCCCGGACACGAAGGTTGCAGTAGGGGACAACAGAATAGACTGGGATGCAGCATGACTTGCATGGATGAGGTGGTATGTAAGTCCCGCGATCTTTGGTGGCCGTCAACACGGCCATTTTCGATAGCCGAATCAGCATTGTTTCTTTCAGCCATGCGCAGCTGGCGGGGGCAGTGGCATTGTTGAAAGGCGGTACCAGCAGGGGGAGCGTCTCCCAGGCTTGAGACCAATCTTCGAACAACCTCCGTTGCAGGACTGATGAGGGATGGAAACGCAGCGGAGAGGGCACCAAGGGTACGAGGGAAAGATGGAGAGCGGAAGTTCGAGGGAGCCACTCACAGACGGGCGTCATTTGGGCCCATTTGGGCCCATCAGCCTGGCGTGCTTCAGATTGTCCCTAGTCTCTCGCGTGGCGTCCTGTCGCATGTCAGGGCAGGGTCCAGAAATCTTCCGAGAAGTTGGAGGCTCTGAGGAGGAAGGAAATGGCTTTCTATTTTCCGCACAAGATGGAAAATGTTGCCCCTAAGGGAGAGTCCACCGGTAGAATAGAATGATTCTGCTTCTGCCGCGAAGACTTGAGCATCGCGGCCTGTTCAAGGCCAACCACGCCTTGCTTGTGAGACGAACGGCTTGCCGCCGGACTGTTTGGCTTGAATCTTCGCCCAAGCTCGTGTTCGGTCCTGTAATCTCGTCACCCTCGGGCCTTTCTTGCGCTCGGATTTCTCGGCTGCCCCTGAAACAAATCGGCCTCAAACCTGCGCAAAAGACAAGGCGCCACCACATGCTTGTCCGAAGTGCTTCAGGCTTTGCTGAGATTGACTCCAACGTCGCAATCCACCTTCTGGACTGTGACTGGCCTCTTATTTTGGGATGATTGGGGGGAGGGGGGGCATCACTGATCACCGACGCCAAAAGATCGCCCGCCCGTGGCAAAGACGTCAGCAAGCAAGCGTCGCTTTTCTTGTTCGCCAGATCTTCTTTTCGGGGCTCTTTCTGGCCATGGCGCTGCTGCGACTCTTTATTGGCGCGCTTCGCAAGATTCGATGGTGGGTTGATCAGCTGGGTGTTCGTGGCCGTTAGATGAAAACCATCAAAACAATCTTGACATTGTCCTCTTTCGTCCGGGCGGCTGATCTTTCTTGTTTTTCTTGAGCTGGCTCAATCACTGCATTGTGTGCCGCCTTATGGTGCGTGGTGCCCAAGTGGCTCTTGCAAAACCAGTGAATTGTCCGAGTCGAAGCCATGATTTCGCTTGTTGGACACATTTTGAAAAACAGGATTCAAGGCAATCATCCTAACCAGGAGCCTTGATCAATTTGAAGAATCAAATGCCACATTTGAAGGCGTGCTCCTGCCCTGAGTACCTTGTATATCGGGCCTTCCATATGCCGGAATGGGATGTGAGGCAGGTAGATACCTTCACCTCGAGTCGACCGACTGGGCTTCGTTATGTCACACACCAAACTGCTGAGAAGGACTGTGGTCTTGCGGGCTCTTCTGGTGGACGGGTCACAAATCATGCATGCATCCGCACAATGAACAGGTAAGCAACTCGATGAACATCTCCCGCACACAAACAGGACCATGGCAGAATAAGAGATAACCCTATCCCGCTCTACTCTGCGTGTCTGTCATGCCATGCCATCTTCATCTCCGGCTCGGAACGGATCTGGCGAAACCAAAGTGGATGGATGATCTACTAGAGTCTGAGCCCCAGGTAGCAGCCTAGTGAGTGGAAAGAAAATGGAATGCACAATATGAAGCAGACCAATGCCTGCCGTGAGCCGGTGGGATAACATCAGACAAACAGACTTCGATCATATTAAAGCTAGGAAGATACACATATTGTACGGTCGAAGAGCAGAGCAGGGCAGAGTGCATGCAGCCAACTCAGTAGATGGTTATCTTCTGCGCCATCCCCTTCGCCAACGACAGCGCCGTAGTCTCCGCCACCGAGTAGCTTGCACCACTCGCAGTTCCTCCGCTGGTACCATGGTCATGCTGCTCTGCAGTATTGTTACCCTCGTCACCATTTCCACCTCTCGGAGAGGGCAAAAGCCATACGGCCCCGATCCTGACGAACTCCCATGGCTCCCTGGCCTTGAGAACTAGGCCGTTCTCACCGTCGAGCAGGAGGGCGAAGCTGGGGAAATGCGGTTGGCCGTCGAAGGTTGCCATGCCGCGGCCGTGCAGAGCTGCATTCGCGGGTTCGCCGTGGACAAGGAAGTCGACTTCGGTCGTGAACGGGTGGCGCACGCGATATTTTGCGTCCGATTTGGCCGGTTTGAGGAGGTACAGCGGAGCCTATAGGTATGTATGGATCTCTGTTAGGTATCGTCGTCAGATGGCCTAGGATGAGTGGGTAGATGGGCGGAAGGTGAGGCAAAGGAACAAAAAACAGAGAAAAGAGTAGTGGAGAGACTTGACCTCGAGCGTAATCCACCCCTTCTTGACCCTGCCATACCGGTCTCTGCCCGCAATATCGACATGTGCACAAACACAACGAGCCCTCAAGTTCTTACGGTCCAGTGGAAAGAACTTGACTTTCCCGTCTAGACTCGCCCAGGACCACGAGGGTGCGCGGTACATTGCCGGATACCTCACTTCTGACTTTGTCGCGAGAGGCATTGCTGCGTCATGCGTCAGGTCATCGCAAAGATGACTCGGCTCAAACGTTTCTATGGACCAGGACAGGTTTTGCAGGAGATCGTTTCGCCAGAGGCCCGCGAGGTAGTCGTCTCCTGTTTGGCCGGCTATGGAGCTCGCAACACCGGAGAGGGCGGGCAGCTTGTCTTGGTCTCGTGTCAGGTTCCGAGAGGTGTACTCTTCGATGAGCCTTAACCAGACGTTGGGCCACGGGCGTGTGCTCTTGACCTCAGAATCGGTTACCGAGTCAGAGCCATTGGCAGCGGAAGATGAGGCGAGTCTTCTTGACTCAATGACCTTTGATATCGTTGGAAACTCTCTTTGCAAAAGTGCCCCGTCCTCGGCGAGCAAATATTGCTGGCATTCCCAGTAGAGCTCCTCCGTCCCGAAATGCAATGTACGCGGAGACAGCAGTCGCTCTTGAAGAGTCCAACCACGCTTATTCAGCGGTTCGTGCTCAAATGGCTGGACTGCGGCGCCAAATTGCCCAACAACGTATACCTTTGGTTTCTGTTTCAAGGACGACGGCATCCATTCCGCCGTGATGTACGCTCGAGACCGTCGGTCACCCCGCATACCGAACATGTTATTGAATGTCCTGCAAGTAACCCCATCGCCTTCGTAGGATATGACCAGAGGTGCGGCGAGCGGTATACAGCGTCGCCCAGTGGATAAGGTGTCGTTTGAGATGAACGGTCTTAAATATGACACTTCAATTGGTTTCGATGCTTCGCGGTAACAGCCGGAAGAGTCATCTGCCGAGCTCATGGCGGAGAGTGTCAGATATGAAGCCAAGTAGACAATGCCCATCCTTGAAGCCTCCATTTCCCAGTCAAGCTGGTATGTCATTAGTGAGGAAAAGCTGTGTTTAAAGATGGATAGAAAATGGCAATGTAGGAAATGATAGGTAAGGAACCGCTGCCCGCAAGGCATGGCGAGGATGGAGGGCCCTAACAGCATTCTAACGGACCGCTGGGAAGACTTACATCGTCATCCTGTATGATGCAAAGGGAATCAATCCACAGGAATGGGATCTTAAGCTCGCGAGTAATGGTCACAGCCTGTTGAAAAGTTGCCGGTAGTTCATTAAGCGGGATACCCTCGCAGTGTTTTGCGTATGTCTCCTTCGTCGTGGTGATTCGGTGTGAAAGGCCCCAGCAATGACTCAGGGCTACGTAGTGTCCCTGCCGCCCATTGGTTTCGACGAGACGCACAATACCCCCTTCGCCGTTGACGTCGAGGACCCGAGTCGGTAGTGATGGAGACATGGTGTTGATCGCACATGAATGACTTCGATCGCAATCATGGCCTTCATGACAGTCTTTCAACCAGCTCTTTATCCTTTGGACTGCTATGGAAGAGCCTTGATGGTTTGTGCGAAGGCGGCCCGGAACCATTTCTGCCAGGCCAGAATCTCGGATAGAAGGTTAGCATAGTATTGGCCATTTGAAAGGAGAAGCATGATACCGTCGTCTGTGCGTACCCTCAGAAATGTGCCTCTCAGGCGAACCTCCTCATCGGTATTGCCTTCTGCAGCTTCTGCACTGGGTCCCGTGCCGAGCCTTACGCCCAAACCGATCAATTGAAGAGGTATGTCCTTGAAGGGCGATTTGTACCAGCTGCCAAATATCCATGGTCGAATTTTCCCACTGATCTCCTCGGTGGCCGGAAAGCAAGAGCGTGGATCCATGAAAACAGGTTCGCGCAGGTCAGGTTTTGGGCTGGGGGTATCGAGAAATACCGCTCCGTTCTCCATGGCGCGCAACAACCCGATGGGGTTGTAGTTGCTTTCTGTCTCTTGGGTCATAATCTTGCGGCCTGAGGGGTATTCCACGCCAGATCTAAAAGCCACCATTCCGCCGACGTTCACCAAGGAGCAACCGGCGGCCCACCAGATGAGACTGCATATTGAACATGACTCTTTAGAAGCCTCTAGGGCGTCAAGACTGGGTTGATGCGGTAGAGCATTTTGCTCTTCTGACGGCAGATTTCCAAATGGGATCGCCTCGCAAATGTCACAAAGCATCAGGGAGAGCTGCAGCCAGAATCTGAGACCAAATTCGCCAGTTGCCTACCTTGGAGTTGTAGTAGCCTTCTATGACCACGAGATCGCGGAGAGAGAGACAAGCTCAACCTCTTCATAGGGCTGAAGTCGTCGAGTAGTGTCCCATGACCTCTGTTCAGCTCCTCGGACTGTTTGGGTTCTAGACCATTGATACGAGGCTTGCATGGACAAATCGACTTCGAGACTTCGTAAAACAAAGTTTGGGTTGAAAAGCGACATTTTAAGCGATTGCAGGCAAATGATAAAGTTCAAGGGGCCTAGCAGATACGAAGTTGAGCGGCAGATCATCTTCGTGGAGTGAGTGACAATAACCACTTGAACACGAGGAGAGGGAAAGGAAAGAGTAACACGAAGTACTCGAGACTTGTAGGAGAAGGAAACCTTGGAAACAATTCTGCGGATATCGGAAAAAGGTTATACCGAGAAAAGGAGCTATCGGCATCTTCGGCATCCAAAGCTCTCTTCTCCGCACCGGCCGGAGAAAGACCGCCCCTATTGCAGCCTCGTGCGGGGAAAAGACTATCAACACCGACCGAGTCCGGAGTAAGGAGCAGATCCACCAGATGCAGACATGTTCCCCTACTGTCTCCTTTGCTCCGTGATGATGAGCGCTGGTCACCTGGTTTCAAAGAAGACCGGTCCATTCCGACGCTCAGAACTAAGACTTACGGACGGAGTGAGCGACGTCTTCATTAAGACAGCAGGATCATCAGATATCTCAGAGCACAGCGGCGGTCAACCAAGATGGGGGGACTTCAGTATGACTTTTTGAGGCTGATCTGCCGGTCAAGCATCGTTTCGAGGGCCCAATTGATCCCGAGTGGCTGTTGTACCAGACCGAGTCCGGCCAAGACAGAGCCAACGAGAAAAGGTCGGATACCGCTCTCTCACTGGAATGGTCGGCCGAGTTCGATATCACGCAGAGGTGTTGCATCTCACCGCTATATGAGCTCGCTCAATGCCCCGGATTCAGAAGCGTTTCAATTCAACGCACCCTCCAGCCGGCCGCTCTCCGACATAACAATCGTCGCTCTCGAACAGGTCATCTCCATGCCTCTCGCAACCCGCCATCTCTCCGACCTCGGCGCCCGGGTGATCAAGATCGAGCGTCCCGGGACGGGGGACTTTGTACGGCACCACGACAAGCGCGTGCGAGGGAAACTCTGCAGCCACTTCGTGTGGACGAACCGCAACAAAGAATCTCTCGCGTTGGATATCAAACAACCTCGCGACATGGGGGTGCTCCGAAAGCTAGTATGCGAGAAGGCCGACGTGTTTGTTCAAAACTTGAGGCCAGGTGACGCCGAAAAGATGGGCTTGGGGTACGAAGATATGAAAGCCATGATGAATGCAGCGTACCCCGGAGAAGGGAGGGGCGATAGATTGATATATGCATCGATCAGTGGCTACGGAGCCAACGGTCCATATGAGCATAAGAAGGCGTATGATCTACTCGTACAGGCGGAGGCCGGGTTGTTGAGCATCACTGGCACGAAAGACGAGATGGCCAAGGTAGGGTGCTCAATAGCGGACATCGCGGCGGGCATCTATGCATACAGCAGCATTTTGGGAGCGATCATTCAAAGACAGAAGACCGGGAGAGGGTGTGTGATTGATGTCTCCATGTTAGAAGCCCTGGTCGAGTGGATGGGGTTTCCTCTGTACTACGCATTTGAAGACCAAACGGCGCCGAAACGGGCCGGGGCAGCGCATGCGAGCATTTATCCTTACGGCCCATTTTCGACCGGCGTTGCGCCTGACGGGAGTTTGGGTGCACAGGTCATGCTCGGCGTGCAAAATGAGCGGGAGTGGAAGGTCCTGGCCACCGAAGTCCTCGAGCGCGAGGATCTGACCACAAACCCAAAGTTCAAGGACACGGCGTCGCGAAGCGACAACCGGGCCGAACTCGAATCCATCATCAGCGGTATCTTCGCGTCGTGGGGAGATGGAGCCGAAGAGGTCGTCCGGCGCCTTGACAAGGCTGGTATTGCGAATGCAAAAGTCAATGACATGCAGGGGGTGTGGAAACATGAACAGCTCGCGGCGCGAAGACGATTCAGGGAGGTCGACAGTGAAGTCGGACCAATCAAGGCGTTCTTGCCTCCTGGGATGAGCTCCGATCTGGACGCGAGGATGGAGAGAATCCCAGCAGTGGGCGAGCACAACGAAAAGATCCTGAGCGAATTGGAGTCTTCCAAGGCGAAGATATAGAAGGGTGAAGGAGCCTTCTAGCTCCCACATGATATCAGACCTGGCAACGCAAAGCTTTGTGCACTATGACCACCTGGAAAGGTCAAAATATAGAGATAGAAGTATTTATCAAGAAGTAGGCTGCAATCCATTTTTACAGGATGAGGCGCACATCCTGGCGCCAAAGTAAATACTACACTATATGCAGCCGACGGAGTGCACCGTGGGATGGGAACGAGGCTGACTACTGCGTCTTAATACAACGGACGATACATAGGTAGATACCTTGGTATTGATGGTCAGTCTGATTGCGGTTAGGGTCTGGGGCTTTAAGGAATTATATACCTACCTCTATTACTCGAGAACGCAAGACCTAGTTGTTGCCATTTACTGTTTGATCCTAGAGGGTGAGCGAAGGCAGCTATAACCTGAGCTTTAACTGAGTGCTCCCTGAGCGCTCCCCGAGCACTCCCTGAGCAAACACGCCAGCGGGGCCTAATCTGGCCCCTTGCGATCGGCTATGCCTGCCTCTCGGCTATGCATCTATTTCAGATGGGCGTGAGAGAACCTGGCAGACTCCCAGCCCTTACCTTGCTGCCTAAATTTCCTTGTACAGTAACCTTTGGCCTGCCGGTGCAACAGGGTGCGCGGTTGAATCGTATGTCGTCCTGAGGGCAAAGGAATCAAGAGGAATCTAAATTAAGCAAAATTGCGGTCCAGGCTGATTCCTGCGTATGGATACGTGACATGCTTCAAACATTCTGTTTTCAATGCCCAGATATCGGCTCTCAAACAGTTTATGGCATTTCTCAGCTCAACATTTTCGAGCTCTAACATCGTGACGAGATCTTGGTCCTGAGTCTCTGTTGCTCTTCGCCGTTGTCTATGACGGCCGACAGCTTGGCGATTGCGCCTCGGTTGTAATTGTTCTCTTGAAGCCGTCTTGAACACGCAACACTCACTTGTCAACTTCTGCTTTGGTGCAATGCTTTACCATCCAACTGACGCCAGCGAAGGCGTACTAGTCTTCAGCTGCAACATGCAGCCGCAGCCTGACTCCATCTTTGGGCTTGCCAGTCAAGGTTACGGCCCATTTGATCGGCCCTGGGGGTACGCTTGATCCATCGAGCTTGTCGAAGCGCTGTAGGAGGCGAACAGTTACGTATGCGGCCTTTGTCAAAGCAAACTGTTGTCCGAGACAGATTCTGGTCGATGTTAGTACGGACTCGGTATCTAGTCGAATCACCTACCTTGGCCCACCGTTAAACGGTAGATACTCGAAGCCATACTTGTGATTCTGCCACCGCTCCGGTCTAAATATATCCGCATCTGGGCCCCAGAAGTCAGGCTGCCTTTGCATTACATACACTAAATAGGCAATCTCTGTTCCAGCCGGTATGAAAACGGGCGAAAGGCCGTCTTCGCCACCACCGAAAGGCAGGCTGGTGTCCCTTGTGCACCGCCGTCCATTGAGAGGCACACTAGGGTAAAGCCTCAAGGTCTCATTTATACACCATTGTAAATATGAACAAGCCTTCAAGTTCGCAAAAGTGAGATTTAGAGGCGATTTGAAGGTTCCAAAGTCTTCAATAATGAGTGATCGTAGCTTGTTAAATACCTCGGGATGTTGGACCAGCATGAGGAACAAGAAGCTCAGCAACGAGGCGGTGGTATCGCGACCGGCCAATAGAATCGATAGAAGTTGATTACGAATCTCGATAGGATCTCTAGTCTCGTTGACAAGGCTCTCAAGAAAGACGTACTTTTCTTTTTTGCTGCTCTCGACGGGATCTTGCTTACTGTCGCGGCCCAGAGCTTTGTGCACAAATCGGTCGATGTATCGATGGCACAATCGACAGTCATCTCTATGCTTCTTCGTCAGGATCACAAAGTAGAATTCGTTCAGCAAGAGGGCCTTGGCCATGCGGTCTTGACAGGCCTCGAAAGATTCCACAAAGGCGCGGTCTTCAGCATTTTTTGCCGCGGCCTCCTCGGAGAGTGCAGAGAGTTGAATGTTTGTGCTCTCTCCAAAGAGGAATTCGCTAGCCGAATCCATGGTGAATCGGGATATCAGAGGTTGAATGTCGGTGGTGCTCGTCCAAGAGTCTGCTTTCACAGGAAGTGCTCTGAGTAAGTTTTGTACATGTTTCTCTTCCAGATCCAAGTCCTTGACCTGATCACGAGAGAACTGGGGTCGTAGAAGAGCACGAGAGTGCTCCCATTGCTTCCCATCCGCCGAAAAGATGCCGTGGCCAAGTCTGTTCCCAGCGGTCAGCGGGTCAGCCTCTTTTCAGTGTTACGGTCTCAAGCCAACTCACAATGGAGCAAATGCGCCTGTGCGGATTTTTCCAAGCTCGAAATCTTTGAACTGAGTAGCCAGAAGGGCCTGGATATTCCGTGGGTCGCACGTAAAAAAAACCCTGTCGCCCAGGATGTTCGTGTCATAAGAATAGACTGTCTTGTTCATGCGTAGCGACACATCGTCGAACACGCCTCGGATGTACTCGAGTATTTGACTCTTTCTGTTTGCCCGTAGGGTCTTAAACAAGTTCACAAGCCCCAGTGGGTCCGGGTTGTATTCTGTGGGTGCTGGCCTACAGCCGAGCTGCTTTGCGGCTACAGCATGGCGACGCCTTGTAGAAATCGAGGATATGAGAAGATAAAGCACGACAGCAGTGGCAACGGTACATAGCAGAGCAATCTTCAGCATGATGTTCCGTAATGCGGCTTGGTCTGGTGGATGCTATGTGGACCCCTCGAATCAAGGAGTAAGCATACATGAAGTTCCACCATAGTGTTACCAACTGACCTGCGACCTACTTAGCAACCGTGAAGTACAACCATCCAGGGAAGGTTGACCGAGGAGGAGATGTGATTGACTGTTAGGGATTCCTTGGTAAGTAGGTAGATTCTAGCGATAAGTGTATATATAAGATATCCCTATAGTATGGTTAATACTGTACACGGCTCTAAACATGAAAGAAGAGAGAGTGCGCCTCTCATACGGGGAGTGTGCTAGTAATAAGGATGCATTCCTTGAGTCGCATCCCTCCTTGGCTGGTGGCCTAATCATTCCCTGAGGTATCGGCCGTCCGTTGTTCCGATGTTTAGTCGAATCCATAACACTGCCCTCCCTTTTAAGCTTCTCGTCCCCGAGAAGATATGTGTTGGACACAGTCTTGAAGGGGACCGGTCACGGGTCGTACGGGCCCGACTCACCACACTCATTGGACACATCGAAGGATCCATGGGAGAACAAGGCTGAGTCACGTGATATGCCCTGCTGGCCCCGCTGGCCCTGCGGGCGCAGAGCGCACAGAACATCAGTGTTATATATACGCCCTCATTATCCCTAGATAGTTTACACTCCCTTCGTAGCCAATTCATGTTAGCTATTGAACCATACCGTTTTTAGTAACAACGACTACTCGTACCTTGCGTTCTCTACATCCAGTTCATACTATCAAGGATCTATTACTGAGGGGCCTAACTTAGTTAGGTGATACGGTAGCAGCCTTAACAATATGAGTAATACGCTCGTCGTATACGTTATATATATACTTTACCTCGTGCCGTAAGAAGTGTATCTCATTATACTTATATTGTAACAAGGCAAAGTGGCTGTGCTGTGCTGTGCTGTGCGGTGCAGGTTTGGCAAGGTGGTAGCAGGGGGGGGGAGAGTTGTATGTCAAACCAAAATGGGCTGGCAGGGGGAGTGCGGAACAGTTTACAGTGCTGGCAGAGGGCCATTCTTTACAGTTTGAGCAGAATATCATGAATTCCATGGCTTTTTGGTGTCGTCTACCTAATTCCTGACCCGCTGGACAGGCCTCTGTGCGTTGTTGCACGTGCACGCCGAACTCTAAAGTGCTCTGTTACAGTATTATAGGAGCAGCGCATCTAAGTAGGGTAAGCATATTAGAGAAGAGAACTAGACTAGGATTCCGCAGTATCTTAAACAGGTCCTATTGTCTAAAGTTGACGGAAGTCAGTGTCATGAATAAAGAGGAAGAGGGAAGACTAAAAAGGCTCAGGAAGACTCCGGAGCGCTCAGGGAGTGCCCAGGAAGCAGAAAGTGAGCTTGGACGGGTGACAAGTTTTTCGCACGACACTATCCAGGTACCTACGTAGGTACACAAGGGAGCTACATTAAACACCGCTTGGGCTGATGTGATTACGGAGAATCAGTATCTACTAATAATGTATAGAGCGCCCCTCGCCCTCGTACAAGTAGCATACCTAGGTACATATACCCACCCCGTCCTAGCTCCTAACGAGAAGAACAAGGAATGAGCAGTTCCAAGTTCAAAGGGAATTAAAGGTCGGTGCCACTTCGATGTGACGCGGAGCCAGGGCTACCGAGCTGGTGTCCTGTGTTGCATAGACAGACAAGGCCTTTGGTCTAGCGGACTTCGCAGGGTCGGAGAACAGTTGTATGAACATGGATGTGGAGGAGTGTTGTTATTGTTCTCTCTCTGTCGTTCCCCCCTCCCTCCTTAGTGCTCTGATTTTGATGGAGCCAAAGTAAGCCATATCACTCGTCCATTTGCCATTGAAACCGCAATTCCTCTTCTCTCCCCCTCTTCGAGCGTGCCTGGAACCATTCTTTCTCAAAGGCATTGCTTCGGTCGACCCCATCCCACCGCCATCCAGGAAGGATTCCGTACCGATTTGGGGCGGCCGGGGGACCTGTGTATACCTTCTTCCTCACTGCCGCCCTTCCACCTGTATCTCTTTTAGATTTTCTTGTGGATAGTGTACCATCGGTCGCCGCTTCCTCTGCTTTCTGCTGCGCTAGGTACCCAGCCACAGGATCGTCCCACCTTACTTTCGCACGTAGCTCCTCATTCATCGCTTCATCATCCACGCCTCTGGCCAGACTCAAGAACTTCGCTTCTTCCAATTCTTTCTTGCGTTCTTCCCGCTCGCGTCGCTGTACGTCGCCCATCGCTTCTTCCTTTGCCTTCCTTTCCGCGCGGACCTTTTCCTCTGCGGCGGCTCGGGCTTCGGCTCGTTTTAGGCTAATGTCGATGCGCCGGCCAGTGGCGTCACGGTAGATGGTTTCCTCTGCCTCAACGGGCCGATCCTCGTGTTTCTTTGACTTGGATCTGGATTTTAGGGATTCAAGATCTCTTTGCTTCTCACGCTCTTCCTTCGCGGCCAGGGCCGCAGTGTCTGCAGCAGTCTGGAGACCCGCGCGAACGCCAGATTGCATGCGGGGTCCGCCATCTTCTTCGACGATCGCGGGAGCGTCTTCATCCTCGATCTCCTGGCGGCGTAGACGAGATTCTTCTGCTGCTTCAGCGAGGATGCGATCCGCTTCATTATCCTCATCTTTGTTGTCAAGAGTCTGGCTAGGTCTCGAGGCTGGAGTTGCAATAACTTTCCAGGCCCCTCCGCCTTTCTTTTTCCTGAATTCTGCGGATTTTATGCTGGTATCGAACGTCGGGATATCCCCATCCTCATATTCTTCCCCTCGCCTTCCTCGTAAGGCGGTGCTTCGAAGTGAAACGTCTTCATCGTCATCGGCAATCACCAGTCCACCTCCAGCGGAATCGTCCTTGTTCTTCCGCCGCTTTTTCTTTGGGCGAGTCGAATCTAGGAAGTCTGATGAGACTGTGTCGGACTGAGGAGCAGACTGGGAGGTGGTGGCGGTCAGGTAGTTCTTTGCTAGGTATGCTGCAAGATTTGCGCCGGGCATTATGATCCGTGATGCGCCGCGCGGTAGTCTTCTAGATTATGCTCTGCAAGACACGGGTCGAGGGGGATGTGGGATGCGTTTCTTCAACTATGGCTTGCAAAAGTAGTGGGAGATTGTTTTCGCCCCCATGTTTGTGACGTTTGTCAAGTTTGCACTATTTGCAGGTTTGAAAAGACGTCATTGTTGTTGACGCCGAACGCGTCACATGCTTCGAACACGTATCTGGAGGGGCACTGATCGAGGCTCCATGGCTGTTACGATAAGGATGGGGGCTGCATGCTTAAAGATATGTATTGCTTAGTCCTTCCTTGACCCCTTCTCCCTTCCGTGCTCTGATAAACAACGCCAATAGTGATCTAGGAGGTAATCCTCCTCTCCAAGGTCATTCATATCCTCAAGAAGCGCCGTGTAGTACCCGTGATGATGTATTGATACAGCCTCGCTTCCCTAATGAGTCCTTGGGGTATCTTTGATGAATTGAAAACATACAAACAGTAGTAACTCGGTTGTTCTGTTACAATCATTACAAGAGTGTGAAATGCAGCCGACAACGCCGAGTCCGGGCCTGTCACAATCTCACCGAGAGTCATGCATTCACTTCAAGTGAGAATAGTCGACGAATTCAAAATCGTCATCATCGTCTTCGGTCAAGACCTCAGCCATTTCCTTGTCGTCAACGATGTTGTATTCTCTGTCGACAAGTTTCTCGGTCTCGTGGTTCTCGAATCGTCGGACAGCCTGAATGATGGCCTGGCTAAGGATGTCACCGCCGGTGCGTGGGCCGGTCGCGCAGTCGAAGCTGTACATGAAGTCCCCCTCTGCCGGGACCGGGGCTTCAGACGCGTCCGGGACTTCCTCTTCCTCAGAGGTGTCGGAAACGTGGGCCAAAGGACCATCTATGGCATCGACCACTTCATTCCGGAAAGCCTTGCGAGCCAGAGTAGCAGCGTGGCCGCTTAGCTTGTTCTGAAGGTCATGCTTGTGTTTGGCCTCAGATCGGCCGACCCTGCGATCTTGATCTCGCCGATTCGGTTTGCCCATGCATTTGCGGCAGTTGTCCTCAGGGTACGGGTGCTTGTGGCAGTGATGTTCGGGAGGTTCCTGCGCTCCTCTTGCCCACTTCTTGTTGTGGTTCTTTTCACGGAGGTACGGTTTGGCTGCGCTACGGAGGTCGTTGCTGGGCAAGGCCGACATTATATAGCTTGAAAGGGGGCTCGGTAGGTGGGTAGACAGTTGGTGTGACTGAGATAAGAGAGGTGTCGATGCGTGGTGTATTGAGAAGAACTATAGGTCTGATGGAATGTGCAGGCTGTAGCAATGGACAGGACCTGATTCGGTACCAGATGAGTCAAAGAATGACGCGTGCAGAGAAGACTCGAGAAGAGGAAGGAACAAAGGAGAGCGATAGCAGGGGACAAGCAGTGTGGATGTGGCAAGAGTGGCTGACGGCGAGGCAATAGAACAAAGAAGTGAGAGACAACCAAGAAGTTGTCGTCGAGGTGAAAGAGAAGAGAGAATCAAAGGGTCTGAGAGATAAGGAGAGCAGCTGTGTTATGTATTTGAATCAGGCCCGTGATTCGGAAGTGAGGATGATGAGAGAGCAGAGGAAGGATGGAGATGGAGGATGGAGGATGGGATGCGTGTGTCACACGCAGCAACCACTGGCTGAGGACGGGCACGCGGGGCGGTTAGGGACCGACATGATGGGAGTCAGAACATGTATCAAGGTGCAAGCCATGTACTAGGTACTCGTATCTATCCTGCTGGTTGTTGATCTGAGATGTGGAGGAGGAGCAGGAGGGGCTAGTGACGGATGCATGAGCAATGAGTTGACGCATTAGTGGCAAGTAGGGTCATGGCTGAGGCCGTGGGCGGGATACTGAATGCTGGACTGAGCGGGAATCATGCACGCGGCCAAGGCACAGGCGTGGGATTGGTGCAGCCTGGTGGCCTGGTGGCCTGGTGGCCTGGGCAGCCCTGGGCAGATACTGTATGAGCAGCTGCTCGCTCGCTGACTTGCCAGGCTGCTAAAACAAAGCATGTCATTTGGTGGCTTGGAGCTTGCAGCTCGGACGAGTTCAAGACGGAGATCCAAGGAACCGAACCGAGGCAGGGGACAAAAGCAGGGAAAACAACGCTTATAAGCAAGACTGGTGAGACCCTGAGCTTCGGTGCTTTCCGGGGGCGCTTGGAGGGGTCGGGAATGAGGAATCTATGGAGAATACGAGGTTGTCCAGAGGGGCATCGAGAGCAATCGGGGGCGTCTCTTTACCACCTGTGATACCTGGGACGCCTGGACAAGAGGCGATATGACCTCACTCCCAGCCGCTTCTGTCGTGGCCATGTGACGATCCTCACAGCCCACTGTCTGGCTCATCTGCTCGGTTCCCACATATCATACAGACTTTGCACAGATCATACTCATCACCATCATCAACATCATCATCATCGCCACCAACCTTGCTTTCAAACTTTGGTTTCAGTCATCCATCCAGCCAACATCAACACCATGACGGCACTTTGCTGTGATTCCATGCAATGACTAAAGTTTACCTGCAAGAATTCCAGAGCCCGCCTTGAGCCTTTACGTACAGCCTTCCTATCATTCCGGATTCCGCCTATCAGGCTGTAAAGCTGCACTCGTCGCACATTCAATCGCGAATCCAAAACATCTCAAGAGCCAAGCAGGTCCCCAATAACTCAGCTCCAAGCAGTGAGGAGCATTGGCAACCAGCACGGCCTCGACCTTCGGCGAGTTGCTGAATGCGCGGCCGAATTCCTCAATGTCCTGCTGCGATGCGTGGAACAGCGAATCTCGCTCTCCGATGGCTGCTACCACTGGCATTTTCACCTGCTCCGCGTATCCCTTCCAGTAGTGGTCCCAGTGAAGTCTTCTGTCTTCAAACTCTCCGAAGGGCGCCCGAAGTGTGATTTCCTCCGAAACCCGACGCATCTCTGCGCTTGCCAGTCCCAGCCGGGCATCACCAAACATCAAAAAGTCCTTTGCCCCCGGAGGAAATTCCACATAACCCAGCTCTCTCCCTCGTGCCAGCTGTTCTTCGCCTTGTGACGTGGGGAAAGCCGACACCATGCCCCGGCCGGAAAGGATTACACCTGCCCATGGATATTGCACTGCTGGCTCCTGGGCGTGCAAGGCTGCAGCAATAACGCAGGGAGAACAGCCAAGTGAATGACCCATCACCACCATCGTACTTGCGCCGGATGACACGCCGTATTCCTCCCATATCTTGGGCAGAATATATTGATGCAAGTACTTTCCTTCTTCTTGCGCATATGTTGATCCATTCGGCACAGACGGCAGGGATGAACTGTCTCTGTATCCCGGACGGTCAATGGCCACGAAAGAAACCCCAGTTGCTCCGGATACTGTTCCCGCAGAGTGTTCCGGGAGGGTGTCAAAATATTGTGAACTGTAGGTGCCTCCATGTATTGCAACTATCAAGGGTCGATACCGCGGGGTCGTAGTGGTCTTGCCAGGAATGGAATAGATGCCCGAGAGACGTGCATCGTTCGACAGGGTGAGCAAGAATGGCTTCATAGCGCAAATATCCAACGTTTTAAAGGCAGGTCGACGTTCTAGGGTTTTCGATAGAGATCGAACTGTGGAGGGACGAGCGCCGGTAGATATCCGTTGGGGCTCGACACTTCGCTCGCAGTCATTCACAGCAAGTGGTAAGCGTATTATGGAGAGAATAGTCTTGCGGTTTGATCGACAGAGATGCCGTGTCATCTGGCACGATGCGGACCCTTGTCCGCTTCTCACTCATTCTGCTGGGCCTGCATGTCATCCTCGCTCTCCTCTTCCGGGAGTCTGGATGGAAACCAACCATATTTGCCAAAGTCGACCGTCATCTCTTCAATGCCCCTGGCCGGGTTGACTTCGACCCCTTCCGCACGCAATCTCTCCGCCTGTCTGTTTGCAGCTGCTCCGTCATCACCACGCGGACTGATGCCGCCCTTGGAGTTGACCACCCTCTGCCAAGGGACATTCTGATCGTGAAAGAAGAATTGGTCCGGATTGGCAGGATCAAAGGTAGGCAGGTGTTTGAGACACACACCAACCTGTCTTGCACGTTTCGGGAAGTCGAGGAGCAAGGCAATGTGGCCGTAGCTGGTGACCTTGCCGTGGGGGATTTGCTGGATGGCCGAGTAGACGGCGTGGTACCACCACTGCGCTTCTTCGGATTTCTCGCGAGGCATGACTGTACTTGTAGATTCGAAGACCGCCAGGACGGCGTAAATTTCCTCAAAACGAAGCAAGGTTGATGGACAGACAAGCCAAAGCTTCTTTCCAATGGGTGGACCAAGGTGGACTTACAAATCCGAGGTGCACAGAGCAGCGTGCATGGATCCAGGACCCCTGCTTGCCATGCTTTGCCCTGCTTGCCCTTGCCAACGATGCTCGCAAACTCCACAAATGATCCCGCCGCGGTCTTTGTTTGTTTTCCCTCCTTCAGTAGGCCATGCTTGCCATGTGTTTGGCCCACCAAATACATCCCAGACTTTGAAGTCAGCCCTGCCTTCCATTTTGCAGTGGTACTGGCAGAACATTGAGTTGTTTGTGTGTTGATTTAACACCTCCAAGCTTTCTCCCCCACAACATGGCGTTTCGTGGTACAGAAAGTCCCATGGACTTTGAATGGCAGGGCCACGGTCCTGTCGATCCCACCTCTCCCTACCATAAACGCGTTCTCGAGATGCAGGCCAAAAAGCGTACGTCTTGCTGTTCTTCTACGTTGTTGCTATGCTAATTATATCAGGTACTCACAGCGAGTTTGAATCTCCCGAGAAACCAACAATGCCGGCGCTCCGCCAACCCAACAACCAGCCCTTCTTCTTCTCAGACACCCCAGCACCGCCGCCTGAATCCTCTCCTTTTCGCACTCCCTCATTTACAACCCCTCGGAAACCGTTTGATATCGACTTCTCATCCCCGCCCGACAATTCCTCGCCGCTGGCACCAACAGACAATGAGAACACGCCGGACGCTACACCGATACCCATCGAGTTCAAAAGCGGCCCTTCAAAATCAGAGAACAAGAGAAGTTCGTTATTTGGTCTCTACGGCAGATTTGCTCCAAGCCCCGGAAGAGGAGAGATCAGAAAGCCGACGAGCGATGCCGTTGCGAGACGGATCCATAAGAAGCGACGGCGCGCTCAGCAATTTGACAGACAATTGATGACAGGCAGAAAGGGTTCCTTGGATGACAGCGATGACGAGAGTACCCCAAGTCCGACTGAGCCAGAACCAAAGAAACCGCCGGCGAAAGACGCAGGGTGGATCACCGGATTGTTCACATTCATCCACACATACCCCGATGCACCGTCTATTATCGCCAAATACCTCCAGGTTTTTTTTAACGCCGCGATCCTCGGTGGTTGCCTGTATATGTTTTGGTCGTTTTATGCCACCATTCAGGCCGATGTGGACCGAGCGAGCGAAGATGCCATGGCCGAAGTGTTAGCGGAGATGGCGGCGTGCTCCAAGAACTTTATCGAAAATCGATGTGCTGCTGATACCAGGCTGCCAGCTTTAGAAGCAGTGTGCAGCAATTGGGAGTTGTGTATGAAGCGGGATCCTAGCGCTGTGAAGCGAGCGAGACTGAGTGCACATACATTCGCAGAAATCTTCAACAGCTTTGTCGAGCCCATCAGCTTAAAAACCATGATCTTCACCATCACCCTGGTTGTGGTGGGTTTGGTGGTGAACAACGCCACATTTACCCTATATCGGCGACAACAAGAGACCCAGCATATCTACCGAGCACCCTCTGGATCATATGCGCACCCTCAGCAACACCCCGTACAAATAGCTCAGTTTCCACTCTCTCCGGCGGCACCCTACGGTCAACACCCATATGTGGGCTGGCACGGTGATCCTGGGTTTGGCGGCCAGCAGCAGTTGGAATATCCTCGAAGTCCCAGCAAAGAGCATCGAGCACGGAGCAGAAGTCCAGAGAAGAAGAGAATTCAACTCTGAAATATAACGATTGTTGTGATGAGTTCAGCGATTGGTGTTTGGAGGTTGGATATTTGTCTAGCAACGCAAATGTGTGAATGATTGGATGGCGTTTGCTCTATGTTGACGCAGAGCCTGGATAAACGATCAATTCGTTACAGCGACGGCAATTGCAATCTCAGCAAGAGAGTTCTGATCCTGGATGTTGGGTCGAGAATGTTAACCAGCGAGAAGTGTGGGGGAAGTCGTGCAAACCGCCGTGCGCGGGTGTCTATCCACTTCGGCCAAAATTCAGATGCGCGCCCTTCAGACATTTTCAATTGACATTGTCGAATCAAACTATTTTGTTTCCTTCGCCGACTTTCGCTACCGCTCCTTCTCTGATATAAACCATTCACTCTCTTACCGGTGTCCGCAGCCGTATCGAGCACTTCCAGCCCGGCATCTTGTCACGCACTCGTTCTGCAAATTTCAATCCCAGGAAAAGAGTATATTCTTTACAGGCTTTGTTACCTCTTTGTTAGCCTACAAGCGTTCTGTTCTTCGCAAGAATTTATACGAGCCCCCTCCTGCGATCTCGTCCCTCTCGCGCCGGCAGCCCATTACAAAGAAACAAGCAGAGAAAGACAGAGAGAAAGGAAGGGAAAAAGAGAAAGGACGGAACGAGCAAACGATGGCTGAACAGGAAACGTCGACGTACAAGATCCGATACGCCACGGAGCGCGACGTCCCCGTGATCCTGCAGCTGATCCAAGAGCTGGCCATCTACGAGAAGGCGCTGCATGAGGTCTTTGCGACGGAGCAGTCGCTGCGAGAATCGCTGTCGTTCCCGCTCGACCCGGCGGACCTGGACAAGGGCTTCACAGAGGGCTATGCGAAGACCCTGCTCATCTGTCCTCCTGCCGATGTCTCGTCGAGTGCTAAAGAGCAGGAGGAGGTCGCAGGCATGGCCCTGTACTTCCACAACTACTCAACCTGGCACGCCCGGCCGGGCATCTACCTGGAAGACCTGTTCGTGCGGCCCTCGCACCGCGGCCGGGGCTACGGGACGGCGCTGATCCGCGCGCTGGCCAGGGAGTGCCGCCGCCTCAACTGCAGGCGGCTCGAGTGGTCCGTCCTGAAGTGGAACACGCCCAGCATCGACTTTTACCAGGGCGCCAGCGTCGGCGCCACCAGGATGGAGGAGTGGGTTGGCATGAGAGTCGAGGGGGACTGGCTGGAGAGACTGAGCAGGATGGTTGAGGGAACGGGAACGTCATAATAAGACTCGTCACCCGAGGGACTGGAAGTAATGGCGATCGCGAGAGAAAGGAAAAGGTCAAAACGGCGCCGTGAAGGGGTGTTTTTCTCTCTTCGTAGAACCGTTAGCTACTTCTTTTACAGAGATCCGCATCTGCTGTATAGAACGGGCGCAGCACGGAAAAAGGATCGCGGACGGTCACCCAGAATATGGTTTGGTGGCTGTGAGGTCAACATCAAGTCTTTGGTTTCGTCTTGTCCGCTGTCAACACCGAAAACGCCTACTTTGCCTGATTCCCGCATAAGTATCTGACTCCGAGTCCCAAGCTTGCAGTCCCCTTCCAATAGTTAGGTCTGCCACTGCTGCATTCTGACTCTTGATCCATGACCGACGTCGGCCCCAACTAACGAATGCCCTTTGCATCCTGCGCACCTCTTCGATTTCTCGTAGCCCTCCCAGCCCGACACGCTCACATAACCACACAACAACTGTTCTGCTTCTTGGCTTGCTGATAGAATATCCTACTCTGCGCGCTTAGACCATCACTCTTGGCGACGAGAGAATCAATCTTCTCTCCTCTCTCTAAAACGCTCTGGATCGTCTTGTGCAGCACAATCTTGGTCTCATCCAACTCCCTTTGCACTTTCATGATACTATCCGCTTGCCCGGGATCCTGGTATTTCACGATATACTCCTTGAGTTGCGGGAATGGTCTTGTGTTCGGTGGGTTGGTCGAGTATGAGGACCGGGGATTCTGCGAGGAATATTCGTCAATTATCTTGGAGAGGAGCTGATGTGCGACGAGTGCCGGGTATTCGGCGTCGGATATGATGATGCCGCAGAGCCCCAGGCTGGAACTGTAGGCGTGGAAAGTGTAGGATTTCTCTTCGATGTCAGATCTCACGCCGGGCCGGGTGCGTTCGGCCACTGTTTTGGAGAACACGGTCATGAATTCGCCATAGCTGGACAAAGCACGTGCGTTAGCATCCTCAAGAAGGAGGAGATATGAGATTGCAGGCGACGAATGAGCTATCCCTACCTGTCTCGAGTAAAGCGAGAGAAAGAGGACAGGTCTCGCTCAACAGCGAGTTCGATGGCAGGAGCGGATTCGTTTCGAAGGACCTGGAGAGACGTTGGCACATACGCCCTGCACTATAATGTATGATCAAAGCATTTGCCTACTCCAATGTAGAAGATCTTCATTCTGGCGGTGTGTCCTTTCCCACGGTAGAAGAGCTGAGGAAACAGAGACGGATCGAGGTCAAATTTCCGCCCGAGAGGTTAACACAGCAGGAGAAAGCCAAGAGACAGGATTCCGCAGTAGAGATGAAGAATTGCAGGAGCAAGGAGAGCGGGATATTGTCAAGAAATGATAGAGCGGGTGAAATGTGAGTGCCTGCAATCTGGGGGAACGTCACAAGTGTAGCGCCGGGACAAAAGGTCCCCGCCGACTGCCTTGTGGGTGGTGCCAACCTTCTCAGCCTTCTCTCGCCCGCCAAATGCCCCTCCTGCCTCAAGTTTTAGCCCACCAGCCCCCATTCTTTACCTACCGCATATGGCTCGCTAGGTACAGTACCAGCGAACTTTATCAGCCTAGAGCCTCCAAGACCGCCGTGATACTCTGTCGGCCTATCAACGTCGAGTTCTTCTAGAGCGAGGCTGCGCCTACTGTACGTGCGAGTCATCAATCACAAAAAAGTGACTTTTTCACTTGGTCGAATCTCTCTTCCTGCACCAACAAAACACAGCCTCCCGGCACAGGCTGCTAAGTTCACTCTTATCGCACTGCCTGTCCCGGTCATCTTTCTTGCTCTGCCTGTTCAGCCGATCGCAAAATGGTCGACCCGACTTTTCACTCCGAGGAACAATGGCTGGCTCAAGTGGCTGCTATGCGACAGGCCATTGCCGATTTAAAATTGCCATCCCTCAACGATGCTTCGCAGATGTATGGGATAGATCTCGACTTGGACGAAGATTTGAGTGAAGACATTGATGACGATATCTGGGATGCCGAAAGCACGGTTGACGAGAGCCCTTTCACTGACGAATTCGGCGAGACGGCTAATGGGTTCAAAACTCCAAACTTTGTTACCGACGGTGTCTTTGACAGGGCGTGGCTACGCTCGAAATGTGCTGCCTGGACTCGTTCGAGGTCTGGCATTGACGCCTCCGACATTGAACACCGAATCACTGCTCTTTTAGCATCTGGCAGTTCGGACGATGAATTGCAGATGTCACTTGCAGACATCGTGGGCTTTGACGATCTCGACTTTGTCATTGAACTTATCTCTCATCGCAAGGAGGTTCTGACTGCTCCAACTGCAACCACTCGTCAGACAGACGGACTCTTGGGGAAGCTTGAAACCCATCAGGAGCGAGAAGCAACTCTGCGACGACAGGACTATGCGCACAAACACGCTGCTCTTGCTCCAGCTTTCGATCGATCTGGGCCCAGATATCCTCATGTATACAAGTCTGATGTCGCCGCTACGGGCAACATGTTGGATGTGGCTGGCAGGAGATATGCTCTACCTGTTGGCAGCACCCGACACGACCATCAAAACTATGAGGAGTATTCAATCCCTGCCTCAAAAGTAGGCTCCCTTGTTGCAGGACAGAAGCTGGTCAATCTCTCCGAGATGGATGGTTTATGTCAACGGACTTTCAAGGGCTACAAGAGCCTGAACCGAATGCAGAGCCTACTTTATCCTGTGGCATACACTACTTCCGAGAATATGCTAATTTGTGCTCCTACTGGTGCTGGTAAAACTGATGCTGCCATGCTCACAATTCTGCAGGCGATTTCGAAGAACGTCATACCCAATCCGATCGAAGAGCACACCGCCACGGACTTTATAGTAATGGCAGACGACTTCAAGATCGTTTACGTTGCACCAATGAAAGCTCTCGCTGCAGAGGTCACCGATAAGCTGGGCAAGCGTCTAGCTTGGCTTGGTATTCAAGTGCGAGAGTTGACTGGCGATATGCAGTTGTCCAAGAAGGAAATTGCTGCCACTCAAATCATCGTGACGACCCCGGAGAAGTGGGATGTTGTCACTCGGAAGAGTACAGGAGATACTGAACTCGTCCAGAAAGTCCGGCTTCTCATTATCGACGAAGTCCATATGCTCCATGATGAGCGTGGTGCTGTTATCGAGTCTTTGGTTGCTAGGACCGAACGACAGGTGGAAAGCACACAGTCACTGATCCGAATCGTTGGACTCTCAGCTACTCTTCCAAATTACATTGATGTTGCAGATTTTCTGAAGGTCAACCGGATGTCTGGTCTGTTCTACTTTGATGCTTCTTTCCGCCCAGTCCCACTCGAACAACATTTCATTGGTGTCAAGGGAAAGGTTGGAAGCAAAACCCAGCGCGAAAACCTCGATCAAACCACCTTCGAAAAAGTCAAGGAGCTTCTGAAGCAGAACAAGCAAGTCATGGTCTTTGTCCACTCCAGGAAAGACACTGTCTTAGCTGCGCGAACTCTCAACCAAATGGCTATTGACGATGGATGTGCGGACTTGTTCGTCCCAGATCCCGACAATCCTGCTTATGTAAGAGCCATGGCGGATTTGAAAACCACTCGAGGCCGTGAACTGCGAGAAATCGTGCCCAAGGGTTTCGGGTGTCACAATGCTGGAATGGCGCGATCAGACAGAAATTTTGTCGAACGAATCTTCTCTGAAGGCGCGATCAAAGTTCTTTGCTGCACAGCAACCCTTGCATGGGGTGTCAATTTGCCTGCGGCTGCCGTTATCATCAAAGGGACGCAACTTTACAGTGCCGAAGCCGGTAAGTTTGTGGATCTTGGGATCCTGGACGTTCTTCAAATTTTCGGCCGCGCTGGTCGTCCTCAGTTCCAAGACAGCGGTGTGGGATATATTTGCACCACTCAAGATAAATTGCAACATTATCTATCCGCCGTCACTCAGCAACAACCCATCGAGTCCAAGTTCTCGCAGAAGCTTGTCGATAACCTCAATGCTGAGATCAGTCTAGGCACGGTAACTACAGTTCAAGAGGCCGTTACCTGGTTAGGCTACACCTATTTATTCATTCGCATGCGGCGGAACCCGCAGGCGTATGGAATAGATTGGAACGAGTACCAGGACGACCCTCAACTGGGCCAAAGACGGCGGAAACTAATTGTCGATGCTGCTAGAACGCTGCATCGAAGTCAAATGATTATTTTCAATGAACGGACAGATGAACTCCGGGCGAAAGACGTCGGTCGGATCGCCAGCCAATATTATGTCCTTCAGAGCAGTATCGAAATATTCAATACCATGATGCGACCACATGCAAGTGAGGCAGATGTTCTGAAGATGATCAGCATGAGCGGGGAGTTTGACAATATTCAGTCCAGAGACAATGAAGCGCAAGAACTACATCGACTGCGTCAAGAAGCTGTCGTGTGTGAGATCGAGGATCGAAAGAGTGGCCCGAAGAACTCCGAGGATGAGAAAGAGCAGAGAGTCATCGAAAACCACGCAAAGACAAACATCCTGCTTCAATCATACATATCTAGGGCCAAACTTGAAGATTTCGCCTTAGTGTCAGACCTGGCATATGTTGCACAGAACTCGGCTCGGATTTGTCGAGCCTTGTTCATGATCGCTTTAAATCGTGGCTGGGGTTATCAATGCCAGGTTCTACTTTCCATGTGCAAGGCCATCGAGAAGCAAATCTGGCCTTTCCAACACCCATTCCACCAGTTTGATCTTCCTGTTCCAGTCTTGAAGAATTTGGACGACAAGGCACCTTCCTCAAACATTGAAAGCCTACGAGAAATGGAGCCGGCTGAGATTGGGAATCTTGTCCACAACCAGAAGATGGGAACTACCTTGGCGAAATTGCTCGACAATTTCCCCACGATGTCAGTCGAGGCGGAAACCGCACCTCTTAATAGAGATGTGCTCCGTATGAGGTTGTACCTCTATCCAGAGTTCGTCTGGAATGATCGTCACCACGGCACTTCCGAAGCATATTGGGTTTGGGTTGAAAATTCAGAGACGTCGGAAATCTACCACCATGAGTATTTCATCTTGAGCCGAAAGAAGATGCACGACAATCACGAACTTAACTTCACTATACCGCTCGCCGACCCCTTGCCTTCTCAGATATACGTCAGAATTATATCGGACCGATGGCTGGGCGCAGAGACCGTACATCCAGTTTCTTTCCAACATCTCATTCGGCCGGATACGGAGAGTGTGTATACTGACCTCCTCGACTTACAGCCCCTTCCCATCACCGCTTTGAAAAACCCAGCGCTAGAGGAGCTCTATGGACAACGCTTCCAGTTTTTCAATCCAATGCAGACCCAAATTTTCCATATCTTGTATCATACTTCGAACAACGTCCTCTTGGGCTCACCAACCGGTTCTGGGAAGACCGTCGCCGCAGAATTAGCCATGTGGTGGGCGTTCCGTGAAAGGCCAGGGAGTAAAGTCGTGTACATTGCACCCATGAAAGCCCTTGTTCGAGAAAGAGTCCAAGACTGGCGCAAGCGCCTCACCATACCGTTGGGTTTGAAGCTGGTCGAGTTGACTGGTGACAATACACCAGATACACGGACTATTCGCGATGCAGATATCATCATCACCACGCCTGAGAAGTGGGACGGTATATCACGATCATGGCAGACCAGATCCTATGTTCGACAAGTTTCTCTCGTGATTATCGACGAGATCCATCTTCTGGGCGGTGACCGTGGTCCCATTCTTGAGATCATCGTGTCAAGAATGAACTACATCGCATCACAAGCGGAAAGTGGCTCGATTCGCCTGGTCGGCATGTCGACCGCTTGTGCCAACGCCACTGACTTGGCAAACTGGCTTGGAGTCAAGCCTGGAAATAATCAAGGGCTCTTCAACTTCCGTCATAGTGTCCGTCCAGTTCCGCTCGAGATATACATCGACGGATTTCCCGAGCAGAGGGGATTCTGTCCGTTGATGCAAAGCATGAATCGGCCGACCTACCTGGCCATCAAAAACCATAGTCCAGACAAGCCTGTGATTGTGTTCGTGGCATCGAGAAGACAAACTCGTCTCACTGCAAAAGACCTCATCAATTTCTGTGGCATGGAAGAGAATCCGAGGAGATTTTTACATTTCGACAATGAAGATGATCTCGAGCATACTCTGTCGGCGGTCAAGGATGCTGCGCTAAAAGAAGCGTTGAGCTTTGGTATCGGATTGCACCATGCCGGATTGGTCGAGTCTGATCGAACACTATCTGAGCAACTTTTTGCAGCAAACAAGATCCAAATCCTCGTTGCCACGTCGACGCTTGCGTGGGGAGTCAATCTACCCGCTCATCTGGTTGTTGTCAAAGGTACACAGTTCTTCGATGCGAAGATCGAAGGATACAAGGACATGGATTTGACCGACGTCCTTCAGATGCTAGGTCGAGCAGGACGACCGCAATTTGACACGTCTGGGATTGCTCGCATTTTCACCCAGGACTCGAAGAAGGCATTTTATAAGCATTTTCTACATACAGGGTTCCCTGTGGAGAGCTCTCTGCACAAGGTCCTGGATAATCACTTGGGTGCCGAGGCCTCCGCTGGAGTCATAACCACCAAGCAAGACGCGCTCGATTACTTGACGTGGACATTTTTCTTCCGTCGTCTCCATAAAAACCCGACGTACTATGGTCTTGAGATTTCAGCAGAGGAGCACAAGGACAATCAGCTTGCTGCTAGACAAGCTGCTGCAGATTACATGATCACCTTGGTGGATAAGTCGCTCGACGACCTGGCTGAAAGTGACTGTGTTTTGGTGCACAATAATGGCGATGTGGATAGCACTCCGTTCGGAAAGATCATGTCGTACTACTATCTCAGCCACTTGACGATTCGCAAGTTCTTGTCCAAAGCCCGCAAAACTACTTCGACTACCTTCGCGGATGCTCTGGCTTGGATCAGCCTAGCTACCGAATTTGACGATCTCCCTGTCCGGCACAATGAAGACCTCATCAATGCTGAATTGGCCAAAAATTTGCCCTTGGACACCGAAGGTCTAATGGACAATCTGCCGATGTGGGATCCTCACGTCAAGGCATTCCTCCTCATCCAGGCGTTCATGGCTCGCATTGACCTCCCCATCTCCGATTATGTCGGCGACCAAATCTCGGTGCTGGACCAGGGCATTCGCATCATCCAAGCTGGAGTGGATCTCATGACGGAGCTCAACAGATTTGATGCGGTTGTGCAGATGGTCCAACTGCTGCAGTCCATCAAATCAGCGCGATGGCCGGAGGATTACCCGCTCAGCATTCTTCCTGGTGTGGATGAGGTGTTTGACGATAGACTTGAAGGAAAAATCCCCAAGGATTTGGTCACGACGGCCGTGCTGTCTACAAGGCATGGCGCGAAGACGATAGACGGGTTGATGAACGTGCTTGGAATCAAAGCTCATAATACTCGGACGGCGTTCGTCAAAGCTGTGAACGCTCTTCCAGACATTGCTTTGTCGGCGACAGGTGACACGGACAATCTGCAGCTCACTCTGAAACGCAGCAATCGATTGCTCGACCGTGAAGCTAGAATCTACGCCCCGAAATTCCCGAAGCCACAGACAGAGGGGTATTTTGTGCTTGTGCTCCCCACTAGAACGACGTCAAGTCGACAAGGAGTGGATATCTTGGCCCTGAAAAGAGCGAATTGGTCTACCATGAAACAGGGAACTCAGACCAAGGCGGTAGAAACCGCAAACGTCAAACTCAAGATCCCGGCTCCAGAATCACTTCTGGGAAGAGAGCAAGCGGAGGTGAAAGTTGATATGCTGGTAATGAGCGATGCATACCCAGGGATGGAGTGGCGATTGGAGAATGTCGTTGTGCCCGTTGCCCAGAAGACCGAGGTTTCAAAGACAGTAGAGGTCAAGGTTGATGAGAGTTTGCTGAAGAAGAAATAAAAACAATGGGAAAGGACTGAAGGCTTGGTTACAGCATGAATGAATTGACATGAAAGGCCGGTTTCTATCTGAGGATGAAGGAGCCATGGTTGCTGCATCCAACTGTCATTTGTGCCACCTCGAATACAAGCAAACTTTTCAGACGCTGACTTGTTTATCCAGGCTCGAGACGGGGAGCTGCTTCCGCTATGAGTTTCCATGGCTGCTCCGTGAGCTACGCCTCACAAATCCCCTGCCTTGCCCACGACGCTTGACGTTCTCCCACCGAACCAGCAAATCCCTACCGGTCTGTATTTCAACCGCGCCTGTCTGCATCAGTTGTCTCCCTTACGCGGATGCATCGTGTATCGGCGCTCTTGGCCACCCCCATGCCTTCTCCAGCGTCCTTCGCTCGCAAAAAAAAAAAAAAAAAAGGCTCGTGACCTTCATGGTCTGCTTGCGCCTTTCTTTCCCTCACCCAGCACGTGGACCTCGACCTTCAAGTCTTCTTTCTTAGCACTCTTTCACCACGTTGCGCTGAAACTAGTTGGCGTAGTTATGGAGCTAAATTCCCCGGCAGTGGAAGTCCATTGATAGTTGTAACTTTCGCGCATAGGATGGGGAAGGGGTCGACTGCGTATTTTCGGTTGAGGACGACGCGGCAGAAGATCTTTCTGTTCGTTGTAGCTGGTGTCTCGAGGTGTTTCTTTGGCGGTTTCAGATCCTTTGGCGGCTCCAGGTTGATTGTCGGCTTGAGGTGGTTCGTTGGTGACTTAAGCTGGTCCGTCGGCGTCCTCGGGCGTCGCTGATAGTCGCTGACACTGCCTCCTGTTCAGCCATTGTCGCTGTTTAGGTGTGATTCCGACGGCTGAGTTCACGGTTTGGCTAATTTTCAGATGCTCTGATAGAAAGAAACAAGACGATATTTGTAACTGAACAGTGCAGGCAGTGGTCGCGAATCTTGGCGAGACCGAGGGCAGGAGCGCTCCCTTCCCTTTGGGCTCACATATCAGCTGCAGCGCCCAATGTCAGTCATCCACTCTCCGTCCTTCACTATCTGTAATGATTTTCAAGGCTGGTTCGTCCGATAGTCCCTGTGTAGCTACGGTCTCTTGTGTGCTCACCAAGAAACCCCTTTTCTTATTCAGCCTTACGTAGCCTTGTACAGCCTTGTCAGAGATCTTTGTTGTTGCAACTACAGAGAACCTTCAATATCGGTGTGACTGGGAGCCAACGGCGCGATATGTGATGGATTGTTCTGTCTACCCCGTTTTAAGGCCAAAAAGGAGCCATTTGGTCTCCTCTACAGGTTCTCGCCGTAGCCAAGGAGGACCGTTCAAATACCGGACACTGGATATCTGACCGAATGTCAAAGGTATAGGTGTCTTCAGGAGATGCCTACACAGAGAAGGTTCAGACAGAGTAAAGAAGGAAATAAAGGCACCAGCTGTCCGTGGATTATTGACTCACTCTGTAGCAAACACACAGCACTTGCCAGGAAAGGCGAGGCTGGTTTCACAGCGGCGACCCGAGCTCTATCCTCCTTTTCATACTGTCATCATCAGCCGTATTCATTCTTCCACAACGAAATTTCATAACAAGTCTAGCAGGTATTGAAGTCCAAGACCGACTACTATTGGCAGCTCCAGTGACGACGTTCTGTGCGAATAAAGCGGTATCAAGGGATGAGAGACTTTGTCATACAGTTCATTTTGCCTTGTCAGATATCTTCCATCCGTATCCCATCCACGAGGTCAAACCGAGATGGTAGGGTCTGCTTGAGGTTGAAGATGACCTGACTCTAGAATGCTGCTCGAAACCCACTATCGCCAAAGCTGTACGAGCGCGAATGAACATCTGTGTGTGAGGGGCAAGGTAGAAATGTCCCATTTGGAGATATTCCCGAGTCATGGTTTCGTCTTCGGCGGTGTCTTCTAGCAAATACTGAGCCACGCCACGGTAGTCACAGCGGCCCTCCTCCAGGAAATATTCTTTGATGGACGGATTGAGGTAGAGCTCGGGGAGGATCATGTCCAGTGCGTGAGTGTGAGAGTTTCGGCGCCCTCTTCCTAGATCACTTCTCCAAAGGCATGTTCCACCTCGCGTGGTGGTTGGACCTCGCAAAAGGTCGCCGAAGCCTGAGATTCAAGCCCATCCCGCTTTGTGTCCATCCTTCCGTAAAGGTATTTCCGCATTTCCGCTTCAAGTTGTAAGTGGATCTTCCCTTTATGGATAGTTGCGAGCGACCACTCTCGAAAGATCCCGGCGCCGAGAAGGACGAATAAGGAAAGATAGATTCGGCTGGATCAGGGTGCAACTATCTTAAATCGGCACTTGAGTCAAGTGGGGAACTTCGATTGACGCGCATGCATCGTGTGTCAAGTTGCTCTCTAGTACATGATGTACTATTGTGTATATGACGGGAGCTGGTAAGATCTTGAGTCGTTCGCAAATGTAGAATTGAGTGCTGACGACCCGTTGAATTCGACACACGCTTGGCCCTTGCCAGGTTTGTCTTCAGGCGTGAAACGAGCTGTAGAGACGAGAGTCAGCTCCCTGTTCGGATACTGTTAGACAGTGAAGATCAGGGCCTGACGTTTCGAAGCTTTACGAATGTACTCGGTACTTTATAATTACGCGAGAGTCTTGGCATGCATTTTTTAGTTGAAGGCCTAACTGGCTAAGTACCGGGTACGAGGTTTCTTCACCGAGCCGTCAGACAGCACCACCTCCATAAGCCATAGATCCTTGAGGCCAATTTTCACTCACTTTTTCTTAGATGATGATTGATGATATCGATATCGCTGAATACCCCATAAGGCTAAGATTACACCCAGAGAATATAGTCCTCACGTATTATAGAGTAAAAGGGGGAAGCCAAAGGCCCAGTCGAAGGCGATTCTAGATCTAGGAGTACTCTACCTGGTACTATTGAAGTAGTTACTGGTTCGACTATCGGGACCCGTTTGCCGGACCTACTTCGGCTATTGAACGCCGACTGCACATCCTCGATCGACATGGTCTCCGCAGTACGGCCGGAGGTGCAATTCTCCGAAGCGAGCGGAGAATGGGGGTCGGCTCGGTCAAGTCCTCACTTTACATAGCATCTCACTGTACGCTAGATAGGGCGGATCTCAGGCCTGGCCTGCTGCTGAAGCAAAGGATCGCGTCAAGGAGCCACTTTTGGACGGAACGCAGTGGGCTGGACCTGCCGTCAAATTCGAGCCCCTAAAGAGCGAGAAGAAAACGGGAAAAGGGGGGAACAGACACCAAAGTCGATGGCTAACCCCCGGGTAGTTCAACTCTTGGGCCAAGATCAAGTAACTGTGTTCAGTTGCTGGAGGCGGTCGTCGCAACAGGAGACAGTGAATTGCTTCATATTCACCGTGAGAGCTAGCATAGACTGTGCTTGAACTCCCAGCGACTCGAATAGGGTTAAGCCCTGTAACCAGTTACTCTCACAACGCAAGACTCTGGTCGCTGGCCAGATCCCCCCTTTTCGTTTACAGCTCCAGGATTTCAACGGGGATATCGATCGTTTTCGCCCGGATATAGTCCGCAAACGCCTTGCCCAGGGAATCGAGCAAGGTGCTCGCCAACACGCCACGACCGAGAATGCCGTACACCACAAAATGCACCGCCTTGAGCTCTGGGAACTCCATTCTCTCGATAAAGTACGTGTCTCGCCAGTCGTCGCCGATCAACTCCTGAAGCTTCTCCCGCGACATGTATCCGCGGAACCAGTCCCAATGAGCTGGGTTTCTGGGATAGATGCCGAAGTTGCAGTTTGCGCCTTTGTCGCCGGATCGGCCGTAGGCGATATCGCCCAGAGTGACAGTTCGAGTGGGTCCCTGTGGGTTACGCAAAGTATAAGGTTCGGCGTCAAAATTGATCCTCCGTTCCAGGTGGTAGTACTCGGTCGGCAATTTCGCGTCAATGGTTTTGGCGACTTTTCCATCTTTACCTAGAATGTGTGCTGCTTCCTTGAGAGCGGTCTGATCATACAGACCGGGGTAGAAAGATATGTACGGCTTGGGGTGAGCAGTACGGTAGTCAAGCGACCAGTGCAACCCTAAAGCAAATATCAGAATGGATTTAACAACGACAACGGTTGAAGAGGCCCCGTGTAGAGGTCAGATGGTACTTGCCGTGAAAGTGTTGCATTATATGGTCCGCCCAAGCTGGAAATATCTGGGAAATAGCCTCTTCGGTCGGAGCCTGTGCAAAGACACGACAATAGGTCGTACTGCGGAGTTGGCTTCGAGGATTGGGCTCCGGCACGCCCACACTTTGGAAGGGTTAGGATATGTCAGCTCTGAAGGCCCGAAGAAACAAGGCATGCATCGAGAACTCCCCAGGGGCCACAAAAGAACTCGAAGGACTTTGCTCACATCTGGAATTCGAGGTGGTCAAACTGATCCAGAACACCTCTCTCGTTGAGGAAAAAGCGCATCTGCTTCTCGAACAACTGCCATTTCTTCTCTGTTGCGTACCCAGCCGCGTTGGCTAAAAGCTGGCATTGATACCCTGCGTCATAGAAGACAGCTAGCTTCGTTGTAGGAGGCGGTGGATAGCCCTTGATCCCCGACATTTGGACCCGGTTTTTGCCAATGTCCCTGATGACAATGTTGGTCGTGTCGGCGGAAACATCGCTGTTCAGGTAGATAGCACCCTGAATCTCGTAGAGAAACTGACATGTGATAGTGTCCGCGTTTACTATGCCTTTCGTGGTGTTTTCGTGTTTGGTAATCACCGTAGTACCGTCGTTAGCCACCTCGGCGATACCGAAGGGAAGGTCCACAAACAGGTCCAAGTCGAACTGATCGAATCCGGCAAAATTGGCGCCGGTGGTGTATGCCGAGCATTCAATCAAATGACCTGCGATAAGTGCACTTGCAAGTTGGTCGTAGTCTGTTGGCTTCCATTGATGCCAATACCAAGCGGCAGCAATAACAGGAGATGCGTCAGCGACTCGGCCGGCGATGACGATATCTGCGCCGCCGTCTAAAGCCCCAACAATACCCCTTGCTCCAAGATATGCATGTGAGGTGATCACTGGTCTGGCTTGGTAATCTTGTAGTGCAACAGCTAGCTTTTCAACCTTGACGTCGGGGTTATTGGAGTCAAGATGAGCTGGGATTTGACCTGTTCGAACAATTTGGTCCTTTGTTTCTTCAGTCAGATCGTCGCCGGAGAGGTAGGCAACCTTGAGGGAGAAGCCTTTCTCGTTCACCTGAAACTTGATTAGATAACTCTCAATGTCAAGAGAAAGCACACGGCGTGGATGCGGGAGGGTCGTACAAGTTCTTGGACTTTGGCTGCGAGCCCGGCAGGGTTCAGGGCTCCTCCGTTGACGATGACTTTCAGCTCTTTCTGAGCAATCAGATCGATGGTTTGCACAAAGCCGTCCCAACAAGTCGGTTCCCAACCCTCGTGCAAACCGGCATCCATCCCCTTTTTGTTTTCCGGGAGATTGATCTCTGTTGGATATCACGCACAGAACCATCAGTCTTGCGTCTTTACAATGCCGGAAAACAGGAATTCATGTCATAGCTCAGCACTTACCCGCGAGGTAGTCACCCGTCAAGAAATCAACGTCGCCCCATTCCGCTTGTCGACGCATATGATAACCGGGATCGGCTGGTGAAACGTTAGCCTCTCTACCGGTGTTGATATCAACAAATATTTAGAGGAACACAAACTTCTGGCACCCGAGACATTTGCAATCCTGGCGGGCCGCTTGCCTCGCTGGTCCCATCTCGATTCTTTTACAATCATGGCCGATTGGTGGAGAGAGGTAGAGAGTAGGTTGATTCCAACCAGAAAATAAGGCGGCGGTGATCAGTGCGTCCGACAGAAATCAGATTATTGAGAAGAAAAGAATGTCCACCGGGGCAGGATGCTCATGTAAATATTCTGGAGTGGAGGCCTCCTGGCGATCTACCGGTTCTCCAAGTTGTTCAAAGCGTCGCGTGGTCGCTTCTGTTGCAGCCGTTCGACTGTGCCCCAGAGTTTGCCATTCATCTCCAACCCACTGCATCCGTAAACATGGAGACCCCGAGGTCTCGGAGGTTTGGACCGCCGGGACTGAGACCCGTTACTGGTGCAGTAGGTCAAGCTTACTTCCGGTGCCCTTGGCGGCCGTCTAGATCCTGTGAAGGATTGGATCGTTTCGCGGGACAGACGAGGATTGAGCACGCCTTCTATTCCACATTTCACATCTCTGTGCTGTACTCCTGCTCAGCTATTACGGCGATGAGTTCATAGTACGAAAATACAAGCTGCCTATCAACAATCATTCTGCATACCCCTCCCTGGCCTCAAGACGATGCAAATATGCTGAATTCCACCATACTCGGTTCAATTGTCAGTCAAGCACATGAAAATAGAGCATATGGCACAAGCTCAGCCAAATAAGTAGAAGAGACCCGCGCGCTGTTAGACTCCTAGATCACCGAAGAGCCACAATGGGCCACTCGACTCGAGTCCATCGGAATCAAACGTCGCCGAGAAAAGCCCTTGGTCGTCGTACAGAGAAGGCATAAACTCCGGAGACAATATCGGCAGCGACATGCGTAGCCTGGACAGTAACCCTTCATCTTCTTCGCTCCACTCTTTCTGTCGTTGTGAAGGCAGAGGTGGGAAATTGCACCGACGCATCAGCGAGAGAACGATGTTGGACAGCGTGCGCGCGGATGCGAATGATGTCTCCATCTCTTTCATACTGCGGACACAAGAGTCCACACGTTCGATGTACTGGCTCTCGTCTGTCGTTCCACCCTCGGCCCAATTTGCAATCAAGACGATGACCGCAATTGTAATGTTGTAGAGTGAGTTCCCTATCATGGTTCGGGCACTGCCATGATTCGCTCTGTAATCTTGGGTAATAGCGGCCAGCTGTAGTGCATGGCCTGTATAAATAGTCCGGGCACTTATACTGTCGGGAGACGCATTCGACGTCTCCACGCCAAAGCGCGCTTCCGAGAGTCTTTCTAGGATGACAGCGCTGTGGTAATGGAGACTTGGTCCTGTCAGCATAGTCTCTTTGATTGTCCGGTGCCTATTTCACTCTTCAAATTGGACTGGATCCAAAGACACACGTAGACGCGAGAGCGGTGTAGATCACTTACTGTAGAACCTGAACTGCCGGTGGTGACTGCGGCAGATAGCGGAGGATAGGATCCAAATTTAACTGCCAATTACTGAGTTCCTGACGCACAAGCAAGGGCTGGGATAGCTTGTGGTTTCTGAGGCGAATCTATCAGCAAGTTTTCGCACAGAGCAGAATATTTTCGGTTCCAAGGGTAGAGCTGCACCAACATTGAGTCGCATATGCGGCCAATAATATCAAGGAGGTCCGTCCAAGCACCAGAGATTATTTCATCCCAGCTATGCGCTCCAGGTGAGGCGGCAGGACGGCCAAGTGTAACAACGTCTAGGCGTATTAAGTACGGTCGACCTAGATATGTAGCCCATAACCTGTTGACAGTAGGGTTAGTCAATCTCACAAGCTCGGAAACCTGCAGGCCGCAGGGAACAGTGCAGAAACTACCTGTCCAATGTAAAACAGCCCCAGAATGTAGTCCTAAGCACGCTGCTGTCGACTCCACGAAGACTGTTTGGTCTGATAGTGGAGAGTTCTTGATGTAGTCCGAACTCGAATGCGAGACGGACGGCACGTCCTGCAGAAGTAAGTGCTTGCCATTTTGCTTGCCATTTTCAGGAGGACGCAGGCGGGTGCAGAAAGAAGGAAACGAGAGAGGCTCACGGACCGGAATCCATCCACCCCCTGCCATCGGAGCCCGCGTAGCAGCAGCATAGAACGCTCAATAGCGCCAGAGCCTGCACTGTCGTCACGCTAGCATCGTGGCGGAGCTCCTCTTCGACCAGTGTAGATGCTTTCTTGAACAGATACGGCTCTTCAAAACGAAAGCTACCGACTTCTGGTGGTACGACTAGCGCTCGAATCTCTGGATGGTCCGATACCCTTGCAGCTGAAGCGAAAATGGCGTAAAGCAGTGCTTTGCTGTAGTATTGACAGCGACCTACCTTCATGTCGTTCAAAAATGCCTCGCGGTTGACCACCTGGATCACTCCGTGCTGGAACTTCCAGTACTGGTCTAGGAGGTGTTCTTGTAGTTGGACTGGCAGTTCGCGAGCAGTTTGCTGTGGCGCCTCTGAATAGATTGCGTCTGTAAAGGTGAACCAAGACGAGATGCTCTCGGCAGTGTGCAAGCTTGAGGAAGGTCCGTAGAAGTGTAGTCGCCCTGCTCTATCGGTGCACAGCCGGGGCTCGGCCGCACATAATCTGCCAATGAGACTGTGAAATCGTCCCCGGGGCTTCTGACCTTGTTGCAACAGGGGCTGAGGGGGTTCATGTTGCGAAGTTACTGATTCCTGCAAGACAGCTTGAAGGACCTGGTCTCTTGTTTCACCTGGCGGTACTTCCAAGTTATTCTTTCGCAGCTCGGTCTCAAGCTGGCGAACTCGGCGCTCTAGCCTCAACGTATAATGTCGGGAAGAATTCCTGTATTTCTTGGTGAGCAAATGTGTCTCTATCAACATCCAGAGCCGAGTGGGGGTCGGCCCCTAAGTACTCGTCACGGGAATCATACAACTTTCTCCCATCCTCTTCACGAACAGAGCATGCCAGACCGAGCTTAGTGCATCGGGCACAGGAGCGAAGATTATCTCGTTGACACTAGTACTCCATTAACGGACGAGAACAAATCAGCGTCGGATATGACCGCAACGATTTGTAGATATGTTCTACCAAAGGGACTGCGCTATACCTTGACTTTCTTTTGCCTGCATGTATTGCAGGCGAGGAAGATATCCTGGTTGGACACATGCCGCCGAATCCTGCCTTGCCCAAGGGCCGAGGGCTCATTTCGGCTGGCATTCGATGGACTGGCCGCAGCGTTCAAGGGGGCTGGTAGACCGAAGTCGAGGTTGAGCCAGGTTCTCTCCATGGATATGACAATTGCCAATGATGTGTGGCAGAACCAGGACCGCGCCTGCTTTCATGAGGGAGCAGTACAGGAAGTCACAATAGCGCGACATCTCGCATCACCCAGAATAACTGATGTCGAAGGCCTCGGCTGCTTGTGCGGGGACTAACGGCGCATAGGATTCCCACTCGCCCTTGCTTGTATACTCCAGGTTCTGCCCCACTTTCCGCTAACCATTCTCCATTCTCCACTGTTCACTTGGTAAGGACTTGTCCAACCAAGCTGATTGGCAGACACTTGTATCTCGGAGTTGATGACGCCAGGCTCGGATATTGAAACCTCCGAGGACTTGGTCTCTGGGCAAAGCCACACGAGGTGTTTGTCGATGGGTAGGACCATGGAGTATTAAAGCTAGCTATAGGAGTCTCTTATTTTCAGCCATCGAACGCACACCACGCTTTTCCGCTTGGTGCTCGGTTCTCAGTCCGAATCCGACGGTTGTTGAATCTCCAGGGCTTCTTTGGATTTAGAGTCGTCCGGGTCGTGAAGGCGCATTGTCATTCGCAGCTTGCAAGGAAGCTTATAAAAGGCTCAGACTCCTGTCACGACAAGCTTTTGTTTTTCCTCGGACGCAAAGCACTAACATTCCACACCAAGTCTCTTTATACTGTCCATTCTCAACGCAACGATGCCATCTATTCAAAGTCGCGCCGTGCGCATCGGGGGATGCGAAGGAGGAATTACAGATCACCATGGAGTTCTAGCACGCATGGCCCAAAACGAAGATGTGGACGTTATCTTCGGCGACTGGATGAGCGAGTATAACATGACCACTCGGGGTGTAGAGAAAATACAAGACCCGACAGCACCTGGCTATGAAGCAGTCTTTCTTCAATCGCTGGAGCCCGCTTTGGAACACCTGGCGGCCAAAAAGATCAAGCTCGCAGCCAATGCCGGTGCTTCTGGCACTGAGCTCTTGACCAAGCACGTCAGGGAAATCATTGCACGGAAGGGTCTCGATTTGAAAGTGGCTTGGGTCTCTGGTGATGAGGTAAACATCGAAGATCTCAAAACCCTGCAAACGAAGGGGGAGAAATTGCAGAGACTTACCACGGATAAAGAATTTTCGACCTGGGAATTTGATCCTATTTATGCCCAATGCTACCTCGGGGGTCGAGGTATTGCAAAGGCTTGGTCTGAGGGGGCAGATATTGTCCTCACTGGCCGAGTCTCAGACCCAGCTCCTGTCATCGCAGCTGGCATCTGGTGGCATGGCTGGAACGAGGAGCAATTGGACGAGCTCGCTGGCGCCCTTGTCTGTGGCCATCTCATCGAGTGCGGCGCATACGTATGTGGAGCCAACTGGTCGGGCTTCAAATCGCTCGGAACTGGCAAAAGTATTATCAATCTTGGCTACCCTATTGCAGAACTTGCAAAAGATGGCACATGCACTATTTCCAAAGAGCAGGGATCAAACGGCGTCGTGACGACGGAGACTTGCAAAAGTCAGCTCCTGTATGAAATCCAGGGCCCTTGGTATTTCAACTCGGTACGTTCCGCCTGAATTCGCGCGACAGGCTTCGTTCGAATGCATAGCTGATGGTCCCCCTAGGATGTTGTTGCCGAGCTCTCGAACATTAAAATGGAACAGATTGGCACAGACAGAGTGCAAGTGTCGGGAGCAAAAGGGCTCCCGCCGCCACCGACGACGAAAGTCGGCATCACTGCGATCGGCGGCTACCAGGCTGAGACCCATTTCTATGTGGTGGGTCTTGATGTCGAAGAGAAGGCCGCCATGTTCGAAACCCAAATCCGAGATATCCTTCCGATCGAGAAATACCACTGTTTCAGAGTGTCCCTCAATGGCAGACCACCTGCCAATCCGCGCAGTCAAGAATCGGCCACATGCGACCTCCGAGTCTTTGCACAGGCGCGAAAACTTGACGATCTGCAAACTTCTGTCTTCCTACAGCCGGTCGTCGATACGGTGATGCAGACGTACCCTGGGGCGCAGTTCACCTTGGATATGCGCCAAGGCACTCCAAAGGTGTACTATGTAAGGGAAATCCCGATAGAATCTGGCGGCTTGTATCGAATCTGTTGCTGACTCGATTTGTCGATTCTCTAGGAATTCTGGGTAGCATTGATTCCTCAAGGAATTGTTACCCATCGCGTCCATTTCTCAGACAAGACTTTCGATATTCCCATTCCAACCAAAACCCACACTTACCTACGCCATCAGCCATCGTATGACCCTGAAAACCCGCTGCCTCTGACGTCCTGGGGCCCCACAACTTTGGCCCCTCTGGGATATATTGTGCACGCAAGGTCCGGAGACAAATCGTCCAATTGCAATGTCGGCTTCTACGTCCGCTTCGAGGAAGAGTACGAATGGCTGAGGTCGACTCTGACGATTGCCAGGATCAAAGAGCTTCTCGGTGATGATTACAAGGGCGGTTTAGTCGAAAGGTTTGAGCTTCCGAATATCTGGGCTGTCCATTTCTTGCTATTTGACCACCTGGATCGCGGAGTTGCGAGCAGCAGCACTTATGACATTCTCGGAAAGAATGTTGCCGAGTATCTGCGAGCCAAGTATGTTGAGATACCAACTGCATTCTTGGAAAGAAGGAAGATCTGAAAAGGGGTTGGTGTGCATATATCGGTTTTAACCGCGGTCACCCATTGTAGCGCTGTTATCTGGTGGTGTGTCCTCGAATTCAATTCAATTGCCTGTAAAGATAATTACACAGCTGACCATCTCGAGGTCTCCCTGCGGTTTGAAAGCTGACCCTAACATCTTTTGGCTCAATTTCCATTCTCGTCTGTTGTTGCAATTCGTCACATGGGTACCGAACCAACCTTGAGGTCCTTTGCTGACGCTGGGTCGGGATGGTTGAGAGTGCTAGAAAGGAATGCCCGACCTCTTCATTTTCAAGGTCCCTTGGGTATATAGATAGACACCTCTCCCTCTGGTAGATAGACAATCCACAATTTCAATCCACTCAATCTCTGACAGAAAGCAGTTGCTCATGCTTGAGCTAATATCGCAGGGAGGTCTTTGTGATCTCAGAGGCAAAAGACGCCTTTTGTCCCCAGATCATCAGGGACAGGGAAGGAGTCCAGAATGTGCCGTCCGTGGAATATGGATATGTGGCAGCTCAGAGTCAGCCGATCAAACAACATAGTAGGATGTCTTGACGCAATCGCTGAACCACTCGAAGTCATGAACCCACGCGAATCCAACACGCATATAGACCATCCTCTCCTTATCAAGTGGGTACAACGCTACACACTGCGCGCCAATCTGATTTTCCTTCATGCGAGACGCCGGATGGATTTCCGTCATGACGGGCGAGCACCAGATCTGGGTGATGTGCCTTCGATCGATGTTGTCGGGGGTGTACCTGCCGACTGGGTTCAGGGTGTTCAGGTCAAAGAGGCTATCTCCGGATCTCGAGCGGGTCTTGATCTCTTCTAAGAGAGGGTCGATATCTCCTTCTCGAAAGTATGGCCATGCCGGTTTGAGGAAAGCTTTGATCTGTAGTCTTGCAGAAGAGATCTCCCCAAATGGATTCGCTCCCTTGACATGCACCACAACGTCTTCAATGTCCATACAGCTGGCGTCTGGCTTGTCTTGGATTAGCTCCCGGACGAAGAAGGTGCAAGTGGCCGGCAATGATGCCCAGGACCAGGATGGCGCGCGGTATTCCCTCAGGTCCGCCCTCGACGAGGTAGAGTCAGGAGCCGTCCACATGAGCCCACGATGGAGGTCGGACTTCCACAACCCGGCAACGTACCAGTCTCCAGAGGCGCGAGAGATGGAACTTGCAATGCCGGAAATGGCAGGGAAGACGTCGGAAGCATACGTGAGGTTGCATTTGCCGTAAAGCATGATGAGATCATACCAAGCATCATATATGTCTTTCATATCGGATACCGATATATCGGGATCTGTAGTGGAGGCTACCTGTTCTGTAGCACCGCTATCTTGTCTTTGAAGTCGGTCCAAGATGGGTTTCACGACTCGATCTTCGTTACTTCGACCAATCCACATTGACGATCCTTCCGGGGTCTGTTCGGACGCTTCCTTTGACCTGCATCTCCAACTCATTTGAGTTGTTGAGAACATCAAAAGGCGCGGAGACAAGAGCCGTTCTTGCAAGACCCAGGCGCGTTGCCAAAGTGGTGGACGCTGAAAACCGTCAGTCCTCTTGCTGGGATCTTCGACTCGTGAAGGTTTAGAAAACCCGAAGGTATAAGAGTTCGACCCAGGCAGCTTAATCGCCACGGGGCATGGACTGAGCTCCAGAGGATTTCTTCTGCTGAAGAGACCCCCAGAGCTGCTGGAGGCACTGATGGCTGCCAGGGTCAATAGCGAGTTCGCATAGTACTCCCCCATCCTTCTGGATTCAACCTCCCAGTCGAGGGCAGAATCTTGGACTATACATAGGCTGTCGATCCACACAAAACGAACAGACAGCTCACGCGCAACAGTCACCACATCCTTGAAGGTCTGTGGCAAGCTCTCTATTGGGATTCCGTTCATTCTGTCATTTGTTGTAGCAATCGTCGTCGTCAACATTCTAGCACGACCCCATACATGACTGAGAGTGATGTATTTGCCCTTTCGACCTTCACCCAAGGTGAGTTGGATGACTGGTCCGCGGTCGTCAAGATCCACATCAAGAACCCGAGTTGGGAGTGGGGGATGGTCTGCGTGCGAATCACTGCATTGTCCATGCTGATTTAAGCAACAGCCGAGCCATTCCCGAGCAAGTTGAAAGTCTTCTTGACTACCAATGCGTGGATTCGGCTCCGTTGCTTTGTTGAGCAGGATTCTTGTTAGGGACTCTGTTCAAGTGAGCATCTTCGCTAGACAAGCTCTCAGGAGACGAAAATACCGGGAGAGGGAAGAGCCGTGACTCACTTGAGTACTGTACGAAGTTGAAAGGGACTTTTACTTCGGCATGTAGAGTTTTTGCAACTAAATAGAGTTCCAGTTCCTCTACGTCGTTCTCGTTATTGCTCTGCTGTTCGTAATAGCGAAGCTCAAGAGGGCCGTCGTGTCTAGGCTCGCGAGACTCGTGTCCTCTGTGAATCCATAGCGCATATCGAAGCTGGATGCACAAATAGCAACCTCTCTCGGCAGCGGAGACAAGTTGACTGATGCCAGGATGATGTACATACACATAGTACCTCCCACTCAGCTCGGAAGGCTGGTAAGGCAAACCTTCCCAGCGATAAGGCGCATCGACGGTATGGTGGTGTAGCAAGGAGTTGCTAAAATCTATCGAACGGCAGCAGTTACAGAGTGAAGTGTCGGCATCGACTTCGCGCGAATCCATCATCCAAGGCAACGGGGTCGATGTTGGTTAAGTTACCACCATCGCTCGTTTTTGTTGTAGGCGAGTAATGAAGGCTCTCTGTTGTTGGAGCAGATGCATATCCTGAGAGCGCGGAGTAAGGCAGCCAAATAACCGCTAGTCTTTCAAGCGACGCCTAGTTGGTTCAGGCTACCTTCCAGAAGGCCTGGCGATGAAAACCGCCTTGATGGTGGCGAGGAACAAGGCTCACTCCTGGAAGTTTGGATACCTCTGACTTGGCTGCCAGGCGAAGTCTTGCCCAATAAACGCGAGGCCGCGGCGGGGTCAAAGGGGCTCGAAGGTGCTGATGGGCTGGTGCATCAGGCGCATGCACGCGCCCCAGAAACACAGCCTCACGTATCGAGTATTCTTCTGCCCAAATATATTTCTGCCTCTTCAAAGCTCAGCAGCCGGTGTCAAGGAAATTAGTAGGCGTCAGAGGCTGCGTTCAAATGTGTTGGCTTCCATCACAGACCTTTCGCTAGCGGGAAAGACGGCCATTGACCTCATTCCACGGGTGAGAAATCCCCTCAGACACTTTGGAGATGCTGGATAGGAGCTAAGCAGCATGAATATCATTCTCTCTGGGCATCAAATTTATCGCAGATCGGCAATGTTTCCTCATGTCGACTGCTCTGATCCCAGCGCAAGTTGTTGTCTATTCACTATTCGGATGGTCTAGATCTATTCTGAACCCGAAGCGATTGCAGGAGTGTCCGAGAATGATGGAATAGGTCGTGTTAAGACTCGTGTCTTTTGTTCAGTGGACGCGGGAAGGCCTCTGTCCACCTCGTCGTCGTTTTTCTTCCAGATTTCCATGTGGCTGATTGCCGCTGCCCACATATCTCAAGGCTGCCCATCCGCTTTTGATAGCCGACAGGTGCCCAGAGGGTCGAGATCAAACACGGATATGACACTCCTGATCGCGCGACGCTCATAGAGCTTTATCCCCCAGCCAGGTTCATTAGATAGGGAGCAAAGCTATCGCCTAAGAATTCTTGGTTCATTCCTGATCCGGCCCAAGGATCTAGAATCAGGTCATATTTCCAGGGAGGTTTTCATCAAAATGAAAACAGGTTCGGGAGCCCGCATACGTGTCTATCTATCGGGGTTATTCTGACCACGCATTTGGATCCACATCGAGGCCGCATGCCGGGTAAGAGGAGATTAGAGCGTCGGACTGAGTACCGAGTGCGTCTGACCCCCCCTCTCAAGAGTCTGATCGAGGTTGATGAAATGGAAGGGAAAATATCCGCAAAGATTTGTACGGCGTGAGCAAGCCCGGGCATGCTTGGTACATCCCAGGGCAGGGCGTGGAGCCTCCAAACAGAGGCAGATAAAGGAGAACTAAACCCAGTCGAGGCCAAACTAAGAGACACTCAAATGACCAGAATGACGCTTCGGATTTTCAGGCGTCGCCACACAAGCGGGAATGTCCAACGGCACCTGAACCGAATCCTTCGAGTCGCATGGCCGGGGAAAATCCTACCCCCTCTTTTCCATTATGTTTTTACACCCTGAGAGGGTCAAGTTCTGGTTCAAGGAGGTTTATGAGTGCGTATACGATGCTCCAACTCTGGTCTCCATCGAGCAAGTTCTCGCGACACAGCCGAAATTTGTCTAACAGACGCCCACTCACGCTATTATTCTGAGCATTTCGACAAGACAACAAAAATGTCATGTATCTTCCACTCATCATCGACGGCAAAGTCTGGAGCGTTTGGCTTGCAATCAAAATCTAGGAATAGTGTCTCAGCACTTCGTGGCGACCTGTTACCCATTCAGACGATCCTGACTGTGCACAAATCAAGCAGAACATGTCTACCACAATCAAGCTCGCGGAGTACTTGTTCACACGCCTCCATCAACTGGGAGTGCGCTCCATCCACGGTGTACCGGGTGATTACAACCTGACCTTGTTGGATCATATTGAACCCTCAGGGCTTCATTGGGTCGGCAACTGCAACGAGCTAGATGCGGGATACGCTGCTGATGGCTATGCACGGATTAATGGCGTTGGAGCGCTGATAACCACGTTTGGAGTCGGAGAACTTTCGGCTATCAATGCCGTAGCTGGTGCATACTGCGAACGCGCAGCAGTGGTCCATGTGGTCGGCACCCCCGAAACAGCTACTCAGGATTCTCGTTTGAAGGTGCACCACACCTTTGCTGACGGCAATTATCAACGCTTTGCTCAGATGCATGCCCACATTACGGTGGCACAGGAGAGCCTCAGGGACCCTCGATCAGCGCCAGAGCAGATTGACGCAATTCTGAAGAAATGCCTCTTTCACAGCAGACCGGTCTACATCCAGGTGCCGGTGGACTTGGTGGGTGCACCAGTTGAAGCCGGCAGGTTATGGTCAGAGTCTCTGTCATCGGAAATCACTTCAATCGAAACTATGGTCTCACCGGCTCACGACCTGACCCTTTCAATTATATTGGAGAAGATCAGAGCCGCCAAACAGCCGATGATTCTGGTAGATGGCGAGAGCAGAGCACTTCGAATCACCGAAGACGTCCAGAGCATCGTCCAGATAACCAAGTGGCCCACCTGGGTAACGGTCTTTGCCAAAGGTCTTGTGGACGAGACGGCTTCCAATGTCCATGGAGTCTATCGAGGCAGCTACGATCCAAAGGCGAAGGCTTTCGTGGACAGTTCGGACCTGGTCTTATGCTTCGGGCCTCACTTCAGCTCCACCAACACCTTCGACTCTACCAGCATCCCTCCCAAGGCAGTCACCATCAGCTTCACAGATAACGAGATTCGGATAGGCGAGCAAACCTTTCGAGACATCCGGGCCAAGCTTGGTGTCTCCCGGCTGCGGCAGGAGCTGAGCGCTATGCACTTGAAGCCTTCTGGCATACCTGCCAACTTGCCTAGTGAGGACCGTGAAATTTGTTTCTCATCGCTTCCGAGCAAACAATGCATCACGCAAGATAAACTGTGGCGTCTTCTCGCCAATTTCATACGTCCGGGCGACATTGTCCTCGGCGAAACAGGCACTGCAGGCTATGGTGTTCAAGAGATGGTACTTCCGCGCAACACGCGCGTGTTCGCACCGGTGACCTGGCTCTCAATTGGATATATGCTTCCCGCAACCCAGGGCGCGGCTCTAGCCCAGAGGGAGCTTATAGCCTCTTCAGCTTATCACGGCATCAGCCATGCGCGGACCGTGCTCTTTATCGGCGATGGTAGCTTCCAAATGACCGTGCAGGAACTTAGCACCATCATACGTGAGAAGCTGGACGTCATAATCTTCCTCCTCAACAACGATGGCTACACTATCGAACGATGCATTCACGGCTTGAAGAAAAGGTACAATGACATCGCCCGTTGGCGCTATCTGCAAGCACCACGCTTCCTGGGTGCCGACGATGGCGTCTTTACGGCTACCGTGAGCACTTGGGGTGACCTTGAGCGAGTACTTTCGGCCAGAGAAATCGCCGGTGGCAGCGGTTTGAGGATGGTGGAGATAATGCTGGACCGTGAGGATGTTCCGGAAGGTCCTTTGCTTGATTTGCTCCGAGAGGAAAAGAAGGCTGTCTCAGGGGAGTCGTAACGTATCCATCGCAAGGACAACCAGATGTAGTCCCATTTTAATATATATCATCCAAAAGCCATCTTTCCAAGACTACCTAGTATGAAAGGTGAGTGAGACACTCCTTGTTGTCTCTTTAACGTATATATACCTGCGCGCTGTTCTCACTCAGTCAGGAAACCCTGCTTCTCGTCACATGTATCGCGGAACGATTTCCGATATCTATGCAGCCTTCCTGCCCAGTTTCGGAAGGTGCAGTCTAAGTTCTTGCCAGAAACCAAGAGGGACCTCAACGAAGCTGGCTTCATAGGCGTCGATGACAGGACGCTCCCACACCAGGTCCGCCTCTTCCGGCTTGACCAGCTTCGTTTTCTTAAAGACTTTCCAGCCCACGTAGAGCAACGGACAGACAAAACACATGGTGTAATAAGAGAAGAAAGTCCCGACGTCCCACCATCCGGGCAGGAACGTGGTGTAGCCATAGATGCCGATGATGCAGATCAAGAAGATCATGGCGATCCATGCCACGTACGGCTGGCCCCAGCCCTTGTAGGGCAGGGCGTTTCGGTCGTAGCCTTGGGCCTTCATAGCGCGGTAGAAGAAGATGTAGATGATGCACTGTGAAGCACATTCGACTAGTTAGTAGATGGATAGCACACGGAGGTAGAAAGGAGATTCTCACCATCACGATGAAGTCGATGATTTGAGACGCCTCCGTAAGATTTGTCAACCTGGCTTGACATTAGTACCGGTCAGATACAGAATGGATGTAGGAGCGCGCACCAGGTGATAACTTGGGTACTACTAGTTCCCAGCGTGAGCAAGGACAAGAGTGGAAATATCATGGTAACGCAAAAGCAGTAAATAGGCACTCCGGCTTTGGTGCATCTTTGCAAGAACCTCGGAGCATGGCCGTCCAGGGAGAGACCGTAGAGCGTCCTGGAAGCGCAGTAGCTGTGGATTCAACGTCAGTCCAACGTCTCGCACAAATAAGCCGTCAATCAACTTACACATAGGTGTTCCCAGCAGAAAAGATGCTCGTAACAAGGAGAGCATTTGTCAAGTCCGGGAGCACACTGACTCCCATGTTCTGCATGGCAATAACGTACGGGGATGCGCCAGCCGTGCCAGTGGAACCTCCGTTCAGCACGGCGTTCAGTGTCGGGTCATTGTATGGGACCACAATGCCGACGCAAAGAGCTCCGACGATGAAGAAGACGCCGAACCGCCAGTAGACGGTCTTGAAGGCCTCTTTCAGGTGCTTTCGTGGGTACATTGCCTCACCGCTGACCATGGCCACATACTCCGGCCCAACAATGGTGAACGCGGCCATAAAAAGCGCGCCCAGGAATCCCTCGAACCGACCAAGGGCGCCAGTCGTGACGTAGGGCGCAAAGGCCTGTAAAAAGTTACCATGGTAGATAAGGCCGTAGATATGACATAAAATTTACTCCAGGATTACTCCAGTAACGAAATCCGTATGCATCGTGCTTGGGATTACCTCCGACCTGCATCCTGTTATCGAACGGCGACGGCGGATGTGACTGTGGAATTGCACATACCATTGTGACAAAGGTAAAGGCAAAGACAATCGCGACTAGAACAACCTTGCCGCCAGAAAGCCAGAACTCGGATTCTCCGTACCATCTGACAGCGAAGAGATTGATTAATCTGAAATATCAGCCTCATGGCCAGGAATGATACTGTGGGGCATTAGATTACCCGTAGAGAACGATGCAGCCAATGCATATGGCGACCTTGGGAACGTTGTCGGACCAATAGGTCAGAACGAGGTTGAGAGCTGAGATCTCCCAAGGGATCAAGACAGCTTCGTAAAGGAAAAAGTTCCAGCCCACCATGAATCCGAATGCCTCGTCAACCCACTTGGATCCCATTCGAATGAAAGAACCGCTGACTGGCATGAACACTGCCATCTCCGCCATACAGCTGTTGACGAGACCGAGAATGCAGGAATACAGAGTGAATGCGATAAACAGACTGCCGGGACCGCCTTCAATGAGCCCATATCCAATGCTGACGAAGAGCGCCGTGCCGATTGAGCCGCCGATTGCTATGAGCTGCATCTGACGATTCGTCAATCGCCGCTTGAGGGAGTCAACATTTTCGATCACGGAGGAAGCCTCGCCTTCCTGGACCTCATATACACGCTTCTCGCCGACCTTCTCCACCGAGTGATTAGGCACGGGCTTGATGGAATCCATGAGGAGTTCTGGTTATGTAGGAGACAGAAAATCGTCGACGGGATAACCAACTATTCAAACAACGACGTGGTTCCCATGGTGGAAAGGTCAGCTAACCGAACCTCAGGGTTGCAATAGCCTGTTGACTTGTGATCAAGATGGTTGAGCTTCCTGAAAAGGTAAATCGATACGATAGGTGGAAGCGACAGAATCCTTTGCGGAGAGAACCATCCTCAGCCGAAACCGGGTGATAAATAGAGACTCCTTATCAGTCCGACGGGTCTAGATGATCGGCCGTCCCCTGTCGGAAGATAAAACATCCAGCATAATAATTAGACCTAGGCCATTAGCACTCATCCTAACGGAGTTGGACGTTTTGACCTTTCCAGATTCTTCCCTCTTGTTTACCACGTGGTCGCGTTCAACTCAAGGATCTTACAGCGGTATAATATAAAAATATATCAAGAGTGCCCACAATCTGACCAATAGTGGGATGCACATGAGGTGCAATGGGTCACTGAAAAGATATCGCTGGAGTTGCTTCCCCAGATTTCGGGGTGAAGATGTTGCGGAGCGCTATTCCCAAACGCCCAACTGCCTTGGCAAGGTCTGCCGCTTCGGCAGACGCAAACGTTAGGCGCAGGAAGACAGCAACATTTTCCTTACCCAGGGATGTCCCAAGCGCAGCCGACAATTGTCCATCATCATTGATAGCACCAGTGCTAGTCAGTGGGGGCGTTTGAAAGGGGCTGCCTTTACAGGCTAGCACCCCTTCCTTCAACGCTTCCATATAAATCTTGTCCTCGATTTTCATAAGTGCCTGCTGCCTTGCTTCCGCATCCATCAGTGTTCCGGACATGTCTGGGAGCGTGCTACAGTCAACTTTCAGCCAAATGAACATTCCGGCCCGGATTTCGCTCCAGGAGCAAATGTCTGCTAATATTCCCCATCCGAGCTCTCTCTCCATCGCTTGAAGCAATGCTGAAGCTTTATCACGATAGTTGCCCGCCAGGACGTTTAGCCATTGCAAAAACCCATCGTGTCCCCACGTCTCTGATATTAGCTTGTATACAGCCACCTGGCTGAGGCCGCTAGGATGTACAAACCCGAGGTCATGCGCCGCTTGAAATGTCTCGACGATGGCCTTTGGAGCCGTAAGCCAACCCAGCCTCAGCCCTGGGGCAAGAATTTTGGATGTGCTGTCAAGTCGTATGACACGCCCGGTTCTGGAGAGTGCGAGGTAAGACGGGAGAGAGAGGAAGTCTGAGTCTCCATGAGTTTGTGGAAAATGAAGATAATAGTAAGGGTCGTCTTCAAGAATCAGAATGTCGTGTTTCTCAGCAACATCTAGGATCTCCTGCCGCCGATGCAGAGGCTGTGTTATGCCAGTTGGATTGTGTCCGGTTGGTATAGTGTATAACAGTTTCGGTGCCGGGTTCCCCTGATGCAAGTCATTCCACGTCGATAGGATGTTGTCTAGCGAGTCGGCATTTATCCCGTCTGCATCCATTGCCACAGGAACTAGAATCAGGCCGAGAGCCGACGCTGCTTCTATCATCCCGGAGTATGTGTACTCTTCCACCAAGACAAAATCGCCAGGATCAGTGAAGTTGCGAAAAGCAGTCTCCATGGCCGATGTGTTCCCCCCTGTGAGACATATCTCCCAATCTGAATAGGGCGGAGAATGAACATGAGAGACATGTGTGGTAAGGTATTGAATGAGTTGCTCAGACCCAAGAGAGTAACCGTAGGACAACGCGATTGATAGATCGATCGAAGCCGACGGATCCTGCTTGTATACGATGCCTGTTCCCTCCTTCCCTTGAGAGCCATGGATACTCATCGCCTGACCAGTCCAGGCAGTAGCGTTGGGCGAGGAATACGCAAACTCCATCCTCTCGAACGGATATGTATCTGGCGATGGACGACCTGTACCGAGACTAATCATATCTTCACCGAACTCGGCCACGCTGGCTTTCAGAGACGACGGTTGTCTAACACGTCCCTCGCGACTGAGGAATTTGCTGATATCAATGCCAGACTTCGGCCTTTCTGAATAGCAAGGAGGCTTAAACAGGTCCGCCGTTGTGATCGGGGCAAGGGTCCTTTTCAATGTACCGAGGTCACTGAGACCTGGAAGCCTCTTTCGACATGGAATACTGTTTTGTCCAAGTCCGTTTCCGGGCACGCTGCAGCTGCAGCTTCCGCTGGATGTTTCGTTGCTAATGTGCATGCCGTGCTCTTAGAGACCCAGAGGCAGCTCCTTGAAATCTGTGCTGCCAGGAAAAGAGTTCCGGCGCTCCTTACAGACGAGAGTGAATTTGGAACACTGTCAACGCTCATAGTGTTACAAGAGACTGCCTCTTTTTGCGAGATAGTATATTCCAGTCTCATGAGTCATATGTCTTCGTTGAATCGTCGAGAGCAGGAGCCATCAAGCATAGGGCGCCACGGTGTATCTCGGAGGCCTACCGAGGAAGGAGGTGAGAGATCCTTCCTCAATTGGGAAACCTGGATTCCACAGCTTCACGTGAGCTAATCCTGATGGAGGCAAGAAAAGGAGAAAAACCACGCGGCAAGGTTTATGACCGTTTGCTCTTGTTGAGAGAGGTGATTCTCATGCTCCACCAATCAATCGTCAACCATCGGTTATCATGGTGCTCCTCCCAGAATTGATAAGGTTTGAATCTTACCGGCCTTGTGGTTAAAGGTTGTTCCCACACGAAAGTCGTCGCCCCAGATACCTCGTATTTGTAACTTATCAGCTCAGGCACGCCGGATAAGTTGTACTTACTGGGACACAACCCTCCGATGCCACTTTTACCCATTTGATGATCGGGTCAGAATATCAGTGCCTTTTCGGTTTTATTTTGCTCATAGGGGGAGTCGGAGTCCATGCCTGGAATGATCTACTACTGTAGGGAAATGCTGTCCCTTATGGCACCCACAATTGGAATCATCGCGCTTCAGTCAATCGTCAATGGCCCCAAGGAAGTCGTAGTCCAGGCAATCGTAGACCCGACAAAGACCCTTCGATGAGAACGCTCGACTTCGGGTGTATGACACGCGCAACTCCGCCTATCGATCTGAGGAAACCAGAGCTCGGCGAACCTGCCGCGCCGTAACCCCACTCGACGAAGTCGTTCTCGCACCAACGATGCGCATCCAGTCTCGTCGAGTTTCGTCGAGTTTCAAGTGCTCGAGGACGATAATGATGGCCTGGTCGGATACGCGATCTTGGTTTAGAACAGGGGGTTAGGTCTTCATGAGAGATTTTCCCGCTTCGCTGTATCGCAACCTGAGGAAGTGTGACACCCTGTGTACTCTTTGCGTAGAATTATTCGTCTTGCCCTGTTGCAATATTTGAACTGACAGTGACAATTTGTGCTTTGAGAGCTGCCGTCTCCAGTACGACGTACGACGTGCAAAGTTATGGGGTACAGGAGGTATTGATTGTGGGCTTGGCTTCGCACGGCCCATCGCTTGGCACTTGGCACTTGGCGCTTGGCACTTATCGCAGCCTTGGGGCTTATCAGCCAAAAGCTTGTCACCACAAGAATGTCTTCTCTTGATCTCTTCCAAAAAGCTTTCTTCAACCTACCTGTCATCTCCCATCAGCCAGCGCATCGGTCTTTGGTACTTGCTCCGGGTACGTCAAAAGGGACTCATGTGATCAAGCGCGAAATGGATCTTCAATCACTATAATGGTGTTCGGAGAATCCAGTCTACCGTCGAGTCCACTTGCAAGCAAAGGTACGCATCAGAATGGGCGCCTTGGCCCCTCTTGCTTAACATTGCCTGTCAGATTGCCGTGTTTGCAACAGGAGGCGTATCCATTGCGACCGAACCCTACCGTTTTGTAAGAAATGCGCGCGGAAAGGCGTCGAATGTCCTGGATATGGACCGAGATTTCGATGGACGAATGCAATTGCTGTTCGCGGCCATTTCAAAGGCCGCAGTGCACCTGATGTATCTCAATATCCGCAGCATCTCATTCCCGAGTCCCAGTCCCTGCTGAGGGGTGCTGGAGAAGACATTCCCGCCCCAAGTTACCAGTCCGGCCTCGCTTTGGCTCAGCAACTTCCCCCATCCACAGCAAAACGTCTATTGCAATACTATGCGACCAATATTGCCCCACTAATGGTCTGGCTGGACTCGGAGAGGAATGAGTACAAGCGCATAGTTATTCCCCTGGCAGAAAAGGATACAATCCTCCGTCTTGCAGTTCTTGCTATCTCTGCAGCACATATGTCGCATGAAGACTGCCTTCCACCAGGCTTTTCACAGCACGCAGGAGAGGCTGCCATTCTTATGATTACCGAACGAGTACGCCAGATGACCGAATGCAACACGAATGATTCACAGATTGACGCCAATGGTGGAATTACCGCAGGAATCTTAGCTGCCATGCTCATTCTCTCAAATCATTCGCTGCTGAAGTCAGAGTTATCTCACGCTCAATCTCACAGACAGGCGGCGAGGATCTTGATGAATTCGCTAGCACTAAAACGACCTCCCGATGATGACCTCACTATTTTTCTAAAAAACCAACTGGCGATTTATGACGTCCTTGCATGCACAACCTTATTCGACTACGAGCACATTCAACACGTCACTTTGCCACATCTTGCGCAACAAGATGTTCCTTTCGGGGACTTTCTCAAAATTTTGCACAATGTCACTCTCATATCACTCAACAAAGCCCAGCATGCGAAGCAACCTGAAGGTCTCGAAGAGGAATTGAAGCTTGCAAGTGGTTCGACATTGCTGGCCGCGGGACCCCTCAGTCAGACGTTGACCAAATCATCCAGGCGTGACTTTATACGACTAGTCCAAGCATATCATCATGCTGGGATGATTTACGCCTGCACTCGCCTTTGCGCGTCTCTCGGTGGTCAACAAGCCCTGGTAGTCCATACCAATAAACTCTTCAAAGTGCTTGAACAATTTGACGACATAAATGCCTCTTTACACAATCTGGCATGGCCCCTGTTCATTGCCGGAACTTCTTGCTGTGGAGACGATGGACGCATGAGGATCATTAGTGGGTTGTGTCAGACGTTGTCTACAAACACACGTTTTGAGCACTACGCCAACCTGTCAACTTTTCTCCAGGAGCTCTGGCAAAGTTCGAATTCCGATTGGACCCTGCTTGCTCGTCAATGGGAAAGCAAAGGCACGCCGGTTATAGCCGTCTGAGCTACCGGGCTGGTCATATCTCCATGTGACGTATTTGCGAAGACAACTACCAAAGTACCATCCCCATAGCGCTAGTCGTCAAAACAGATCACGAACCTTCAGTCCATGGACATCATCACTCTTAGATTCAGACTTTGTACAAGACAGAAATGATTGCAATGCTCAACTACACACTAGACTCGCTGGACTGAACGGTTCTATCGGGCAATCTGCAACAGCTGCTGTCCTGTTTGATATTCTAGATGAGGTATCGTCGAATAATTTCTTCCGGCGCATCCTTGTGTAAGAAACTTGGAATTCTCTCGAACATCTCCCATGCACTGCGCCGCAGAAAGTCCGTCTGCTCTTTAACCCATCGTTCAACCTCTTCCCGCTCGATCATCCCCCCACTGCTCTCTTTCTCTGCCAAGCCCGCCAAAACTAGATCAATTCGACCTCGAAGGCGAATGAGCTTCTCCTGTAAAAACAGATTGCACATCAGGGGAATGTCGTCATTTGCAGGGTCGACACTGCGAAGCGAAGAGTACCGGTCATCCAGATTGGGATCTGCGAACGTATAACTGGTGACCATGCTAATGCGCTCCGGCACGTTGGTCGCTCGCAAGGCGGCATGCTCGGTGCATCCGCCTTGCATGATGACCGCTCCTCCTATGGTTGGACTTTTGACCTTGACGATGGAGCCATCACCGGTTCTGATAGCCGTCTCACCTCCTTGCATCGCACTTGTGTCACTTAGCATGACCACGCACACGACGGGAACCTGGTCTTTGTGCCACGAGTCGATTGGAACGTTGTCGTACTCAGACTTCTTCAGTTCCGAAGGCGATTGTGGCGGCAAAGGAATTTCCGTAAGCTTATAGACCCCGGCCAATCCATCTGGACCCAGCTGAATGTTGACCATCCCAATGTCTCCCGTTTTATAGAGCCGCCGCAACGGGAATCCGGCTGCTCTGTTGATGGCAGCTTGGGTGGCGGGATGTTGCCATGCCTGCAACATGAATTTCGCCGTCTTTTTTTTTGTCACGAACTTAGGTCAGACCATCCATAATTCACCATTATGCTTTGCGAGAGAACCCAAACAAGGGACCAACCTTTTCATGGCCAGCGATGTACGCAGGAGCACGGTCCCAGGACCTGAGATATTTGTCTAGCATTCGCTTATCGAGCATCTCGCGCCGCAGGATACGCACTCCTTCTTCCGAGAATAGAGGAAATGGGTCTGTGTAACATAGGTCCGGGGCATTATGCGGTTTCGGCAGTCCTACTTCGCCGAACGTGTGACGTTGAGCAGGCGGTTGGAATGCTAGGTGGATCGCTGGGTCGAAATCAGGCAGCTCAATGTTGTCGAGGGCTGTGGCTCCCTCCGCCGTTGGTATGGCGGCCAAAGCGGTAGCAACATCAGCGGCCATGTCGGACGGTCTTTGAGGCAGGATATGTCACGGCGCTCTTGCTTCGTAGGCGTACAATTGGCGTTGAGAGACGAGGGGCTCAACCCTTTATCGCCCACACGTCAATGGAGTCCGTTCACGTTCCTCTCACCTTGGACTAGGGAAAAACTCCAGGAAACATTTGTCCTTTCCGGTACTATTCAGGTGGCGGCCTTGTATCTACTTAAGGAATATTTAAGGAGAAACGGCAATGATACAGGACCGGGGCTAAAACGTGCTTGAAGGATATTAGGAAGCAATCAAACCCGAGGACCAAGCGAATTCACCCTTTCAATCCTCCCATCGCAACTTTATCACTTCGCTCTTGCAGCTTTCCCATTCCGGTAAATATATGCACTCTCGGCGCTTGGGCTGAACCATCCCTCCTACAGTAGTAACCCTACCTGCGATAAGGGACGGGCAGCGTCTGTTATCTGCCTCTAGAATCGCAAGGCGAGAGGAGTTTATTCCCGTTGTGGTTAGCAATGCGAGGGAACCCCCATCAAAAGATCAATCCTCGGTTAACCAGCTGGCTGGCCGAATTCACTTGCTCGCTGTGCCCCAAGGAACGCCAGTCCCTGTGTACATGTGCATATTGCGACAAGGGCGGGGTCAGGGCAAATAGACACGCCTCACCCCCCCCCC